ATCTCTTGTTATACAGCAACTACATATCACTTAACAGTGATTAAGACCCCTCTTTCGGTCATATACACCAGAGTACCTCGTCGCCCGCGTCAGACAAGCAGCCTATACGTTTCAGGCCTGACGTCATCTCAGTCCTCACGCTCGCTCGCGCTCGCTTGCACTCAAGGTATCTCATTAATGAAACAATCCACATCACAGTACCATATTCCAGATAAAATAATGACTTTATTACTGCAGACAGACGGGAGTCCACGGAGCCAATTCGACCCCTGCCACGACCATTGCATCACTGCAACTATACCATCAATTCTGCCCTTTCCTTGCAGCGTGGCAGGTGTTATCATCATCCAAGAGAGTGCTTCCAGGACGACCAATTACGTCGGCATCCCCATCCCAGTGCCCTCAACCCTGCCTGGGTGGCCAGCTGCCCCACATGTTGTCTGCTCAATCCTACGTGGCGCTTCTGTTTTTCGCTCAATTACTTTCAGCGACTGATGCCGCACCGACCAGAGATACTCAAATTGAAGGGAACCAACTCACTTGGCCACTAGCCGGTGACATGACTGACCTCTTCGGATTAATGCTCATTTTCCTCAACATCGACGTCTGGATGCGGAGGAGGGAATTCTTTAGGCTACCGGTCAGACCCGCCATAGTGCTGGCCATTATCGGCTTTGCTGCATTCACAATAATGACCGATCAAACGACGAGTCCGCTTTTGCTCTTGAGGTAGGTATCTTCCCGGTACTGAAGACATTCCGGTATCTAATGGTATGCAGTCTTCTGGCTCTTGAACTCACATTTGCTGTGTACTTCGCACAAGCACACTATAACGGCAGGCGAGTCATTGGTATCCTGTGAGTTGTTCCGATTCTCAATGCGCCGACGTGCGTGATTAACTAGGTCTAGTCTGTCAGCAGCGATTGCCATCTCCTCCCTCGCATGCGCAATGTTCGTCACGCCTCTTCTGCGCAGGGTGCCTGTGCTTTCAGACGATCCACAAGAGATCACACTCAGAGGGAAGTCATTGCTACCATGGTGCACTGTGTTCGTCCTCTTTTGGTGGTTTATGGGCTGGCTTTTCCCTCGCTCCCTCGGCCACGAGGATAGACACCAAACACCGAACATACCGGAGCGAGGCCAGCAGAATCGCAATGAGGACCATGACCAGCGACGCGGATAGCAGTCTCGCCCCCAAATGACCTGCTGTTCGGAAGATTTTCCAGCCAGAGCTACACCAAGACTTACCAAAGTGCAAACGTCGGAGGTCAAAGATACGTGATACCCCCCATCAGCTTCCCTGCTTTGCACATCTCGCCTCCTCGACCGACAACGAAGCCTTCCGAAGTTTGAACGATATTATACCCTTTTCGCCTCCTTCAGCAATGGAGTAAGCGAGATCTTGTGCGATAGAAAGAGTCTGAAAAGGCTCTGATATGCTTTTGACTTGAATCCCTTGGACATCACTCTAGACATACGATCACGAGATCATCGACGGGCGAGTGGGAGGGATATGGCCTTAGTGATTAATGAATGGAGTTTTCTATTGCATTTTGGAATGATGGCATCAAGTAGAGCGACAAGGAGTGGCGAAGATTACCCATGTCCCTGAGTGGCAGAAGAAGATGTGTATAAGTGGCAAAACATACTACCATCGCTGAAATCATTTTCGCTTGTCATTAGATGTATGATAGTATTTCACATAGACAAGGTGGTTCTTCATATCTGCTGAGGACATGTGGGATAGCATCCTTGACTTGCGCCGTCAATATTCGCCATGACATCGAAATTCATAGTCTTGGGCTTTGGTTAAAGCACTGTGTCCGAGGACAATTCTTCGACATCAAAGTGCAGAGGTGCGCTCATTCCGGGCAAGCCACGGCATTCTCGGACCTCCTCTACAATAATGCCGGACGTCCTGGAGGTATTGTAGCCCTTTTCAAAGTCGTTCCGGCAGGCCCTTTACATCCCGCTCTTTCACATCAACAGCCTGCAGCAATTACAGGCTATCTGACCACAACACTTGAATATATCTTCTTACGGACTCAGCGATGGCAGATTCCCTCCAAAGTCTATTACATCCGGCTTTGTTCGAACCCTAGGGAGGGTAAAAGCTGGATGAACCTTGGTCGATCAAGGGCAAAGGTAATAATGAGAGAACAATGGCTGCTGCATGCATTCATCTACGGGTCCGCAGTGACATGCAAGGGTAGCTATTTCATCATGCGCTATGCTGATGCATCTCGATTTCTCGCCATCTCGACCTCTCATGCTCCCTCTCGAAAGGCTGGCGGGTAGCGGCGGGGATCATGACTGTAGGTGGGCATGAGTAGCGTCACTAGTTATCTTGCTGCCTTTAGCCCTCGGAGTCCTTAGCAGAGGCGCAGCCAATCATACCTGAAGGACAGCCCGCTATGGAGTTCGCTATGGCGCGCTGTGCTCATCTTACCCCCCAAAGGTGCTAGCGTCCTGCAAGTCTCGGATCGAAATTCTCAGCCTGATTCAATCCCCCCATTTTTCACGTTTTCATCTCTGTGACACCAAACCACCAAACGTCATCACTACAACAACTCATCCCATGATGAGCATCGAGCGCTCCTCTATGATGTTAATCTGCTATTCACTCAAGACTTGCACGATATATTGAATTGATACGTTCTGGCTTGTCCCCAGCCTAGCCTTGAACGTAGAGAGTCATATCCCATCCATATTGCTGTCAGTAGCGACATCTAATACACCAACATGTCGCTGAGGCGCTCGTGGTCTTCAGACCAAATATGTAAATTCAGATTTGCCCGTTGGGATGTCGCACAGTTGTTAAATTCTCACCGACTACGACAAAAATATGATAAAGTACCCATAAAAGACGCCGCAGAACTATGTGTCAACTTGATTCTTCAAGTCGCATGTGTACCTCTTATAGCAACTTATGATCCAAAACACTCCACCAGAGTACCAAATGTAAGTCTCAATACTCGAAAGCTCATTGTTGAGATGCAACAGTGCTTAATTGTTGCAGCAAATACATCTATGCCACCGCAATGTTCAGATACCACAGTTGATCATAGACCCTCCGCCTGGCCTATTCCTGTGCGCCTGCCTCCTTTACGCTCTCGCGGTGGGCTCCTTCCATTCACTTCACTCGAGAGATCGGAATCAAAATACATTCGTCGCGATTGGTCTCCTCTCAGCCGTTTTTCTAGCCTCTATACGCCACGACATCAACTCAATCAGAACTTTTGCACCCAGCTGCACCACGCTTGCTCTGCTTTTCAGCTCCCTGAGTCATCGATTATTCCCAGAGTGGAGAGCGGAAGAAGAGCGAGAAACATGTGAAGAACATCATACACAAGGCTTGAATGAGAAAGTCATCGGTCCGGATACCAAGTGTTGAGAGAAGTCACAGAAGCCCTAAGACGACTGTGACACTCTCCGCCTTGGAGGGACTGAAGGTCATAAAAGAGCCGTGGAATTCCGACAGCACGTACACTTAAGCCTGTGGAGGCACCTTACCCACTGTGGGACTTGAGAGACGTGGGTCGAGGACGGCCATGAAGATTTTCTGGTAATTCCAGACCAAGATTGACTAGCCACATGGAGCTCAAACATCATACGTCCAGATTGAAGTGCATGAAATCTGAGCTTCAAGACCGCATTTCGGATTTAAGGTTCTGCGGATCAATGCAAGACTGCGGAAGATTATAATAATTGATATTGAGTTTGCGGTCATGAGGGGAGCGCAAGCTCCACAAGTGGAAGAGCGCAGCTCGGAAAGCATGTATCTGTACATAACAATCATATGTTCATCAGAAAGCCCGCTCGAATTAGCGGGAGGAATCTGCAATAGGATTTGTTGTCTCTTCCCGCTTTTCAGGTAACGTGATCATTGACTGTAACAATATGCCGTAAGGATTTCGTGAAAATTTCCAAGTTTTAAGATCATCAAATTATGACACTCGGAATGGTGAGCGGCTAAAATTGATTTGTAGCATACAGTCATTGAAAGAGGGTAACGCTAAGGAATGAAGTGAGCCCGTGTTGGAACAGGCTCGAATTGGCAGCTGAAAAGAAACGAGCAAGAGCAAAAAGGGTCATTCTTAGATGCCAAGAATAGTACTTTGGAGTCAAGTTTGTGTTTGGAAATGTTTTGATATTGTTTCCTCTGAGGGATGTCGTGGTCTTGATTTTGTTCTTATATTTTCTGGCAAAGCTAGGATCAGATCATGAAGCGGAAGATGAGTTGAGGAACATATTCGAAATCCTCATCAAGTGAGGAGTACTCGCTTCAAATTGCTATGTCTTTAAGTTCATCACACAAGATAAGGAAAAATTAAGGAAACTCTTTCATTCCGAAGATACATTGGATTTTGAGACTCGGTGGCGATATCAATCAGGAGAGACATTTCGCGTCAAGTATGATATCAGGCGACTTACGAACAGCTGATTTACGAGTGGTCGATCTGCGGAAATCCCAACAAACGGGAAACAAAGAGATGGAAAGTACTATTCCTCAACTTAAATGCAGGCCCAATATTTTCTTCTCCTGTTAAGAATACGAATGATGGTCCTCACCCTACATCTTACAGATACACATATACACTACGAAATCAGGGTGAGAATGTGCTGAAGACAATTTTTGACGGCGGTTGTCAGAAAAATAGAGCCTCTGCCTATGTTCGCAAGCAAAAGGCTGCATCAGCACTTCTGACCCTGAGAGACTGATCATTGAGGAGGCCTTGTGAAACAACTGCTGGAAACTCATTCGCAGGGCACCAAGTGCTGCATGAAATTGACACAGAGGCGCGGGCGGAGTGCATGCTCATACGCAAGCACGTAGCCTGCAGCCCTCACGATCATTATCATAAGCGGAAGAACTCCTCAGATACCTCCTTTGCCGCATCCTCTTGTATTATCGACTATTTGACATTAACCAAAATGACTGACACAACGTTGACTTCGGCTCCGAGACCAACATCATTGCCCTCAAAAAAACCAATGACATGCAGCGCCTGTGTGATAAATGCTCAGTACTCGAATTTGCTTGGAGCATATTTCGCGTATGGTACTCCACCTCTTTGTATCCCACATTCACATTGACGTCTGATACTCGAAGAAACAACGGCTACGTCGTTTACCCTGCATACTCCGTCCTGTCATCTCATGTCGACGGGGAAGTCTGTACAACCACCTCGGTAGGACCAATAACTCTGCCGACTCCGTACACGGCGACCTTTGACGTTGGACAAGACCAACACAGTGCGATAGCGTCTGGACACTCTGCCTTAGTGGCATCACTTACTTCCAATTATCATAATATTAGCAGAAATCCGCCGTGTACGCCTGGAAAACTTCAGGCGGTAGGGAAGAATTATCTTCCATCACTAGCCGTGACCATCGCAACCACTGTTCCTCTGGGAGTAATTTTCTTGATTAGCATAGGCATCTATCTTGGTCGGAAAGCCCTCTCAAAGGAAGCACTCTCGCGCCGCAGGTCAAGACTCTTAAGCAGTGACAAGGCCTTCTTGTCACATAAACCTGAGCTTGCTGGAGACAGCAGCTGGCAGGAAATCGGTGGTACTCCAATACAGAAGCCTGAATTGGCCGGAGACGATAGCAATGTGGTGGAGATAGCAGCGAGTGAACGAAGAGCCGAGCTCATTGCGGACATTGACACGCACGAAATGGCGGCAGCAGACCTTGGAAGTGAAAAACAATCGCCCCAGAGAGTACATCTGGCGTCAGAAAGTCGGGGCGCCTCTGCACTTGGAGAGTTGGGGGCCGGAGAAACCGCAAAGGAATTGCCAGCGCGATCCCCGTAGCGCTGGCTGGGAGGAAAGCATCATTAAAAATGTCAAGCCAGCTCACAGGGACAGCTTGGAATGGCAGGGAGTTGCTATGCTCTACTCGACTTGTATCTTTCATCATCTCTTCCATGATGGTAATATATCCAAGTCTACCATTCAGCAGTAGGAGAATGTGACACGAGACTTCGCTGATCAGCTCAGGAGAAACTGAATACCAAAACAAAGTCTACGATTAACGGGTGGTGTAGGCATTGACGTTTGCAGAGACACCTTTATGCAATTGCATCTAGAGCGAAGTCGGCGCTTTGAAAGAATTTTAGGACTTAGAACGGTTTAACTTTCTAGAATTGATTTCCTTCAGGACCCTTTTGACTGTTGAAAACCAGTAATTGTACCACTCATAGTCCAAAATAAGATTGCACCTGGTCTGGTCAAACAGGCTACCAACAATGCAAACCTATATTCCCCACTGCGATCTACGCTACACTATTATCTGAATAATGCATGTCAAGCTATGCAAGTAAGAAACACAAGGTAAGACTCAGAGAGAAGGCGCCTATGCATTTCTCAACCAGCAGAAAAGGCATCAATCGTTGCACAAAATGATTACTTCAAGACTCAATCTATGAAGAAATCAGATTTTAGCATCTAATTAGTAATAACTCGCCTCTTTCCCTTTACCCTTCGTCTTGGGCACGATGGGTCCTGCAATCTCTTGCGCCTTTACAATGACCGCATCCCAGACCCTGCGCATGTCGTAACGGAGCCCGAACAGATGGTAAAAGAATTGCACGACGGCGTGGTCCAGTATCACGACCAAATCTCCCGGCTTATTGGCGTTCATATCAAGCACAACATCATACTCGTGGTACTTTCCAATCACCAACTCCTGAATCGGCGCCTCCCACAGGACGATTCCGCTATATTCCGTGTCGATAAGTGTGAGAATTCCTCGTGGATACTGTCGGGAGAATCCTTCTGGATTCAGGATCGTGCCTAGGTCCACCAGCCTGATGTCAAGTTTGTCCCTTTGATCAGCGCCGGGCCATTCCAGTGTGCCCTCGGCAACCCATGTCTTGAATACCGTGTCCAGGAGTTCCTGGTTCGGGTTGAACGAATCGACGTTTTCCTGATTGAGGTTGAAATCCCCAATGGAATCGACGTATTTGCGGTATATTTGTCGCACCCTCTCTTTATATTCTATTTCTGGTATCAGCACTCCTGAAGTCTTAAACCATGTGAAGGTGGTCTTACCCCTAATAGAAAAGTCGAAGGTTCTTCCCACCATTTGGTTTCCCTCGTAAGTGCGACCGGCCTCACCGACAGCGTGCTGCTCTGTTAGACGGGGTTGTCCTCGAGACATTGCGGGTTGTCCTCGAGACATTGCGGATTGTCCTCGAGACATTGCGGGTTATGTGTCGTAATTGCTGTTGAGAATTGGTGATAGATGTCAAACTAGTGTATACTGTTTTGAAGGAAATGCTGTAATGTAAAAGAACGGAGACTTGAGAAGGCTCGAAAGGACAATAAACAGCCATCTCGCTGGTAAGACAGGAAGGCGCGAGAAAGGAAAGAAGACTGCTGCACAACAGGAAGGCACGTCCATATAGCGTTCTCATGGACAAGTACCGCAGTGGAAGGATCTGAGATTAGGAGAAAACGTGATAATTAAGGCCTGCCCCAAAAGGGTTGAACGGATGAAGTGAATGGAAAATCGGCAGCTGCCTGCGTCATGCCACAAACCGGAAATTGACCACCGCCCATAACCAACACATCACCTTGAAAAAGTGAAGGCTCATGCATGATGAGTAGCATGCCTTCGCTATCAATAAAATAGTGAAGGAGCAGACTCTGCCTGCTGTTGCTATGAGACATTTTGAAATGAAAATCCCAGCGCTAAGGGCAGGGATGGACTTCAACGGCCACCGCATCAATGCATGGGAGAATTTTCAGTCATAATGCGTGAAGAATTTAGGTATCTAATATGACATTCTAAAATCGTGAAGTCCGCCGAAGCAAGGAATCTGTAGAGGGGACACTATTAGTCAAATATCACCTAGTTGAAGAGGACAGACATACATCACTGCGTCCCTTAAGAGGTCTTTGCTCACTAACTTGCTGCCCTAAAACCCAAAGTGAAGCCGTCCTCAAATCTCTGAATGCCCCGCTCAAAAAAGGGGCCATTACGCATTTCCCATCGGCATTTAGGAAAGAAGGGCAGTATTGACTTCTGCTTGCGTCCTGGAAATGTAGACCACTTTTCACCCGTAAAGCCCATGTCATACCAGTATCTTCTTAATGATCAGCAGCGCCAACGCAGCGATGACGCCCGTGATCGCCTTGTCAACCCAGACGGGCACACCATCTGTACTCGTCCTCGCAACGACAGGAACCGCATTATTCAGTCTCGGCGCCGCAGGAACAGTCGTAGCTGGCACCGCCGCCAACATCTCCGCATTCTTCGCTTTGATTGCCTCCTCCTGCCCTGTCCCAGGCGCCTCAACAACCTCCTTTCCCTTTCCCTTATCCACCTTCTCCCCCGGCTCCTTCCCCATCTCATCTTTAAACCCAAACCGCAACTCCTCCGGTATCTTATGCGCCTCCCCTTCCCCCTCTCCACCATCCCCACCCCCACCCTCCTCACTCAAGATCCTCTCATTACTCCGTCCCCCACACCCTCCACAAACCCACCCCCTACTCTCCCCCGCCAACTCCCTCCTCTGCGACTCCCCCATCTCCATCCCGCCCACCTGCCCTTTCGCATCCCCCTCCATAAACGCCCTCAACGCCCATAACGCCGTACGTATCCCCCACGCCGGCTGCCACGTCTCCTCATGATGCCCACTAATACTCAAGCATATCTCGCGGTTTACTTCAAACCGGCCCGAGGGCGTGAGGAAGCGGAAGGAGGGCGGACGTAAGGGGTAGGAGGGGGGAGGATGATGCGGCCGTGGTACATTCCAGAAGAGTAGGGGGTGCTGGGGGCCCGAGGAGGGTGAAGTGCCATTCGAAGAGGTTGGTGTCGAGGGGAGCGGCGTGGAGGGAGGGATCTGGGTGCGTGGAGAGTTCGCGGGCTTCGGCGAGGATGCGGCGGATGGTGGGGGATTTGGTGGAGAAGGTGGGTGTTGGGGATGGGGTGGTCATGTTGAGATGGGTAGGTGGTGAGATAGGGGAGGGGAAAATGAGGTGAAATCGAACGAGAGTGGAGATAGATGGTGAAAGAGGATTGGTGCTACGGCATGGTGTGTTTGTTTGGAATGGTGACAGTTGGCCTTCGAGGTCCTGAGACGGCAAGCGGTGGTATGATGGTTTTTGCGGGATGAAGCTTTTGACTGCCGTGACCGCTCTTGGGTGTTATGGTCTACCGTAGCGATATGAAGGGCTTCTTCCCCAGGGTTCACAGGCAGACTGGACGAATCTGTAGGTGTCAGAAGTAGTCGCTGTGATTGACTCCGCATCATGAATCCTCCTCTGTACACTGTTGGGTGTCACGTAGGTCACGTAGGTCACGTAGATGAGTGACACCTTGCAAACGTAATACTTGCTCCTTTAAGCGTGTAAGGAATTATAGACTATATAATAATTGTCCTCCTATATATAAAATAATTCCTTAACCTAACAACAATATAAATATAATTATCAAATTATTTTAATTTTATTAGGTTATAAAGCCTAGTTAGTATTAATATATAAGTTAATATTATATTTATTATTATTATAATTAATAATAATTATATTACTATTTTAACCTCGCTATTACTTAACCTATATTAGTTATAAAGGATGCTTTACTTAATAAGTTTAAAGATTTTAGAGTAGGAAACTATAATATATAGTTTATTAATATAAAAGCTTTATTAATTAAAGAAAAAGTATAAAGTATTATTTATAGTAGGCATTAGAATAAGAAACTTAAACTTTTACTATTAGAAAATAGCTTATTATTATTAGTTAAAGCTCCTAATAGTTTAATAAATATTAAATAAATTAATAATATTAAATAAGAAAATATAAATAATCTAGCTTAAGCTTTATTTATATAGAAGATTTATAATATTATTTACTATTTTTTTAACTATAAAATTAACTTTTTAATAATATAATAAAAAGCTTAAAAAAAATATAATATTAAGAATAAAGTTATATTAATTAATAATAAGCTTATTATTATATAAATTATTAATACCTCTAAGTATAAAAATATTTAAAAATATTAAACTAAAATTAAAAAATATATTTTTAAATTATATAACCTAGGAGAGATAATATTAAAAATTTAAATAGCTATAGCTTTCTAAAAAAGATTAATAATAATTTAATATCCCTATTTATTTAATATAATCTAAGGGGCTAAAATAGGCAATTATATTTTTATTATAAATAAAATAATAAATATCCTTATAAATTAGGAGTATTATAATAAGGGAGTTATTTCTTATATAAAGGCTTTACTAATAAAAGTTAAAGGATATAGTAAATAAAATAAGCTAATAAATAATTAAAAAGATTAGAAGAAATACTATAGCTATAATCTTTTAAGTTATTCTATAAAAAATTATTTCTACTTATATAAAGAACTTTATCTAGCTAGATAAAAGCTTTATAAAAATATTTTAAAATAAATATAAAAGAATAAAAAGTTATTAAAAAAGGCGAATAAAAGAATAAATAATAAAAAAAAGGATAAAGATAATAATAATTATCTTTAATATATTACCTCCTTTATATATTATTAATTAGTTAATAATTTCTAGCCTATAAAAGCTTTAAAAGCTAGAAGCTAAATATTATATAAAGAATAAGATAATTTATTATATATAAATAGTAGATTAGATACCTATTTATTCTAGAAGAAAAAATATTTTAAGATATATAAGAAAGTTGTTAATTATACTTTTAAAAGAGTAAATAGTATCTAGTTTTATATTTATAAAATTAGAAATCTTATACTCTTTTATAAAATCAATAATTATATTAAGCTTATTTAGCTTAATAATATTTATTATATATTAGATTTAGCTTATAATCTATTGTCTATTAGCGCCCTTAAATTAAAAAAAGCTTTTATTACTTTTAGAAATAGGAAATATATTATTATAAAAAAAGGAAAAGAGCTTATATAAAAAGACTATAAAGGTTATATTTATATTATTAACTTAGATTATTATAAAAAGTTTAAAGCTTTAAGGTTATTAATATAGAAGATTATTAAATATACTTCCTAGTTGCTTTAACACTAACATCTAAATTATATTAATAAATAAATAGTTAAAGAGATAATAAAATTAATATTAGGAATTATAAAAGAAAAGTCTAATAAATTACAAATATATAAAATAGTTAGTTGATTATATAAGTCCTATACTATTAATAAGATATAATAGGAATACTTTTATATAGAATATTGTTAGTAATATATTAAAAATAGAGTTTAGAAGGGACAACGCTTTTATATTAATATTAATAAAAGAAAAAATATTACCCTAACTTTTAGAAAGTATTAATATTTATATATTTTTATTTATAATATTACTAATAAAAGATTTAAGTATTTCTTAAAGACTTATAATAGTTTACCTTAAATTCTAAAAATATTTTTTAATATAATAAAGACTTAGGGTATTATTATTTAATTCCTAAGGAATAATAATAAATTTTAGAGCAATATAATTAATAAAATATATATAAATTATAGTATTATTTAAAAGGCAACTACTTTTTATACTTTTTATTAAAATAGAATAGCTAAATATAGCTTTAGTATATTATTTAGAAGAGTTTAAGTAATATTGCATAATACTAGTATATATTAATACTTTTAAGGGGAGGTAGCAGCTTATATAATCTATACTAAAGATTATATTGCTATTAAAGTAATAAAAAAGACCTTAATTAAAGCTTAGACTAATCAATATCTAGATATATCTTATATAAAGACTTTTAGCTATTATAGTTAGTATTATAATCTAAAATATAAGGCTAAATTAGATAATAAAAAGATTAAATATTAACTTCTTAGTTATAGTACTAAGAACTAATACTATATATAGGATTTAATAAAGAAGAAGATTATTATTACTATATATATTAAATAGGACGAGTCATAAACTTATAAAACTAAAGGAGATATAAATAAATACTTAGATAATTATTAGGATCTCGTATCTATAGATAATAAAGAGAATAACTCCTTAGATGACTTAGATAATGATTTCTTTACTTCTCCTACAAATAGAAGTATCGGACATCGCGAGGAACGCTCTCGGAACCCTATCGGAAACATTGGACACGAATCTGAAGGGAGCGTCAGCGATGATCATGAAGATCCTGAAGATCCTGAGGAACCTGAAGAATCAGGAAAGAAGGAATTTGAAGATGGCCGAGATAGGCTAGGCTTGGTTTTTGTGACTCATGACGTCACAAGCGATGGACAGAATCAAGTTTGAAAGGGAGTGTTGGGTGTCACGTAGGTCACGTAGGTCACGTAGATGAGTGACACCTTGCAAACGTGATACTTGCTCCTTTAAGCGTGTAAGGAATCATGGACTATATAATGATCGTCCTCCTGTATGTAGAATGATTCCTTGACCTAACAACAATATGAATATGATCATCAAATCATCTTAACTCTATCATACACAATGTACGGTCAGACTGTCAGCCCATGTCAAGTGAGCTTCGTAGACCCTAGAAATACACCGTTCTCAAAGTGGCGCGGAGGTCACAAAGTGAGACAAAGCCCCTGATCGAGTACTCAGAAGTAATGCATGAATCCAAGAAGGCTATAATTCTGCTCTATTTAATGCCCCTTCCACGATCCTGTCCTCTTCCCTCTCCTCCACCACCCCTTCCATTTCCCCCAATCCGACTGAGTCGCTCCTACCAAATCATCCACGTTCAGAAAGTCCGCTCCTTCTTTCATTAGCGTGTCCCATACATGATTCCTCAACCCGATGGGCCAGAAAGGCGTATCCCAATATCGCGCCTTCAATCCTCTCGCTTGAGCACCATTGATATATCCTCGGACAAGGTCGAGCTGCGCTTCACTAAACTCGCCACGGTCCAAATGACCGATTACCTTGTTGAAGGAAACGGAGGCGTAGTAGCTGTTGAGCTCGTTGTATGCGTCGGAGCTAGAAGGCGTATCGTTTTGACCTTGTCCGCTTTGCTCCACGGGCTCTTCCGCTGAGCGAGGACGTAGATCTGAGTCTGATGGGGTGTTTGGGAGGCTTGGAGGGGCGGTCTCGTTCTTAGGGCCGAGGTACATCTGCTCCAGGGGAGCGTCGAAGAAGACGTCTTGGTGTGGATTCGCGTCTAAGGATACCACTTTGTCGAAAGGCGTGTTTCCCGTTCCGACAACGGTGATAGGGCGCTGAATAATGGTGTTGTTGGCAACATGGGTGAGATAGCCTTTGGTACGGAGAGGATCTAATGCAGAATACATGGCAGGCCAGGTTGAGGGACCGTAGGTCTTGAAGTCGATCAAGAGGATAAGGGTTTGGGCTTGGTCGGTGTCAAAGACTCCGTGCAGGCTTTTGTCAGAATCTGGCATGATTTGTGGAGTGGGGTTTTGTTTCTCAAGAATGTCGAGGAGAGGGTTGATGTAGAGACTGGCCAAGGTTCGGTTGGGCGTCAGGCTTGTGATGGAGTGGCCGACATACAAGTCTTTATCAAACCGCCATATGTCTGCCTCGACACCAATGCAACCGGATCGAATGGCAGAAAATAGAGGAACGTCGCGCCAGTAGTCGTTATGCGAGTGGCATGCTTTTGGCAAGATATCCCGGGAGAAATCAGTCGGGTAATGGACAAGCCCGGCTCCAAGATGGCCGGGTCGCCCCCAATCTCTGACAATCTTGTCGACGCCTGTAGGGAGGACCAGCGAAACGAGGCCGATCAGTATCGAGACCAGTTGCACAAAGCCGCTATGGCATGTCAGCTCACCCTCTTTTTTTCAAATGAGTTCTTGCCACTCACAGCAGGAGCAAAGCTCCCGTTCCGAGCATGAGGAACAGCCGATAGCCCTTCCATCTTGAAGTCGATCCCACATCGTCGATCCTCCGAGGTAGGTGTTGTCTCCTCCTCTTCGACTCCTTCCACTGCGGGGTATCTTGATTCTCTGCATCACTTGTTTCGCCCAGGAGGGGCTCGGAGAGGGACATTTGAGAGGTCGATGAGGAAGTCGACGAATGTTCAGGGTGCTGTAGAGGTCGAAGTCGGATAGCGGAATTATGTTGGATGTGCATAGTCCTAGGGAGACATAGCGATGTGGGATTATAAGTTAGTTGAGCACGTCTTTGCGCAACGTAGTTGGAAGCATTGTTAGGGCGCCATTGAGGCCGGATGCGGAAAGTCGCAACCAATAGGTCAGGGCATTGGCGACCGAGGGAGGGTCTTTCTCGTCAGTGGTCTAGATCGCCTGATCTAGACTCTGGTCTCATGAGAGACGAGAGCGACTGTCGCAGAACGTCATCAGTAACGTCGGTCTTGTCCTATGATAGGCAGGCTAGTGCCAAGCGTGGGGAAGGTCGGAGCGGTGATTGGCGGAATGCCTCCTGCGGTATATCAGGCAGGCCACCAAGGTCAATGACCGTCCCAACATCCACATGTTTGAGATGCGCAAGCAACACGATAGGCAGCGCACTTGACAGGAAGCTTAGGAAAAGCTTAGGAAAGGCTTATGTCTGGAGATCCCATACACGAGCCAGTCGTGACTCGACGCGCGTCAAGCGGGTCGAACATCTCGGGGACCTGGCCTCCTTACACGATCCACCATTGATCTAGAGAGATCTGGGGAGCTTTGGGTCATTCTCTTACAGAAGGAGGAGGGCCACGCAATACTCTTATGCTCAGACGCTCGGCTCGGTCGACGGAGATCGAGCGGCCGAAAAGGAGCTGCGAGGCTCGGCCGACCTTGAGATTCGTCTCAACGAGAAAGACCAATAGAGAACTCTTGCGCATTATGTAACAGGCAATCCGTGAACACGATCCTTCGATGCAGAAGCAACTCCGCCTAGCACACTACCTGGCCCTTGCCTGAACCTTGACGTTAAATCCAACAGGTCTCAAATTGAACCAACCATCCTGTTTCAGCTGATACTTGGGGTCAGCCATCTCAAAATCAACCTCCTTCAGCAGCGAAATGAGCGTAATCAAGTTCCACATCCAAGCAAAGTGCTGCCCAATGCACACTCGCTTCCCGTTGCCAAAGAATTTCTTAGCCCCTGCAGGTAGCTTTTCGAATGCTTCGCCTACCATTCTTTCAGGTCGGAATGCTTCAGGTTCTTCGTAGACGGCTGGGTCACGGTTGACTCCATGCAACACAATGATCAGCGTCTGTTTGGCTGGGACCTCGTATTTACCCCCAGCCAGCTTCACAGGTCCTTTGGTCTCTGGCAGTGGCTCGATGTTGAAGCCTGGTGCCGCGGCTGAGAGACGTAAGGTTTCTCGTACAATTCCGGCGCAATATGGAAGCTTGTCCAGATGGTCGTGAGTGAATTCCTCATCACCGATGCTTGAGTCAATCTCCTCCCGAGCCTTGGTGATGCAATCAGGGTTTTTGAGTAGATAGTAGATCGCACTGGACACAACACAGGGAGCAGTACTTGATCCGATCGGCATGGTCACGATCTCATCGATGACCTGTGAATCAGTGAGACTTTTGCCAGTGTCAGGATCTTTTACATTCATCATCGTATACAGCATGTCTTTGCGATCGCTTGGGTTGGCTTTTTTGTACTCGACACATTCAGTGGCATACTTTCGCATGGCCTTGGTATCTCGCTGGAATTTAGACTGATAAAGCAACCAATTCAAGATCTTGGGTCGAGTCGGGCGCTTGATGGCTTCTGATGTGGCTCCATCCATTGCCGCAATCATTGGGTGCTCTGGACCTGTCAACCCGTTGAGTTTTCGACCGTAGAAAGCCAGCGTTGTCGTCTCAAGATCTAGCCGATTCAATTCTCCAATGGCGGACACAGTAGATTTCTTCCCCAAACCCTTCCATTTAGCTGTCAACTCAGAGGCGCAATCTCGGACTTCGCTAAAGTAATTGGCCACAGCCGATGGCGTCAACAGTGGAGCCAAGATCCGATGATGTATCGGCCAGCTTGGTTCGTTTTCGAATGCGGTGAAGAGCGAATCATGCACAGCATATCGAATCTCCACAATTGGGCCTCCAACAAATTTGCGAAAGCGCTTTTCGTCACATATTTCTTCACAGAGGGCGACATTCCCTACGAAGACAATTTGCTGGCCTAAGACAGTGATCTTGAAGATCTCACCTGTCGTGTTGCTGTTAGTTAGTCACAGACTTGTAGATACCCGACTGACCGTGCTTCTCCCATAGCTTCTGTAATGATGTCCATGTATTGCTCGGGTCTATGTCGAAAATGTTCCCAAGTAACGGAATGCCTGGTGGCTGCGGGATTGGAGTAGTCATTGCCCAGCTATGTCCAGAGAATACGAAATGGCTTCAAGATGGATGAAGATGGCACCGCGAAGGGAAAACAACACAATCGCAATCTGCCGTTTTCAAAACAAGGTCTCCCATTGGCTCCTCATTACTATCCCTCGCTTCTGGCTCATCTTGCCACGAGCGGGGCCACTTTCATCAAGCCTACGATCTTCACGGCGCCGCTGAGAGGAAGACTTCCTCTTCAGTCAAGGACACCAATCGATGGTCTCAAATGATCACTTCCAATGACATTCATTGGTGTCCTTGATTCAATGAGTCTGAATCAGGCATTTGACGTGCATTAGATTGTGCGCTGTAGAATGTGATTTCTTCGGGCATGCTCGGTCAAGATCTGCGCTAGATGAGCTGGGTCTAGCGTCGGCAGCTTAGTCATCCACTCAGCTGTCCAATCATGCAGGACCGGCTCCGATAACTCACTGCGAGTAGTATTGTCGCTACCCACTGATGTCGTCGACTCCGATTGCTAGCACAAGTCACCTCCGTCTTTGCTGCCGGCAACATGCCACTCAGTGTGCTGCCGGCAGCTCGTCCACGGGCCTACAATGACCCCAGTTTGATGCCTCGTAGGTCGCTGCCGCAATGACTTGGATGAATAATGGCCGTCAGAAAACTCACAACCTGGCTTCATGCCGACGTGCATGTGCACCCTCGGCAGGTCGGAAGTTTACCCGCGAAGTATATGGAGTGTTCAACTGCAAAGTGGCAAATATGTCACCTGGACATTTCCCCCAATATACTGCTACTCTCTCAATACACACAAATAAACGTTGGAAATGCAGGTGATCAACTGAGACTACTCTCCCAAGTTTCATTCTCAGTTCTTTTCCTCGAACTCCAGAGGTTCGCGGAAGGATGAGTCCCATACTCGTCTTCGCAGCTGTCGTCCTGCTCGTATGTGTACGCGTTGGATCCTAAGGATAGCTCAAAGCTGCTAAACCTACCACAAGTGCATCCTTCATTCGCTTGCTGTTGCTGCGTACAACATCACGATACACCCTCTAGCCAAGTTTCCTGGTCCGAGAGTGAGAGGCGCTTTCTACGTCCCATTTTTCTGGGATATCCTTACGGGACATTCTGTTCCAAACACTAAGCGACTTCACGACACCTACGGTGATCCGGTTCGCATTTCTCCCAACACTCTTTCTTTTGCAAGCTCTCAAGCATGGAAAGGTATGAAAGAGCTTTGATTCATCTGAGCATAAAACATTGCGGAGATCACTGAGGACCCCTAGATATCTACGGGTATAGACCAGGCAAATCCCAAATTCCCAAAGACAGAGACGTCTACATTGGCCGTCCGGATGGTGTGCCTGACATAATTGGTTTGGTTCCTGTTACTAGGCACCACAATGGCTAATTCTTGAGACAGTGTCTAATGATGCTGACCATGCCAGAATACGCCGACTGGTCAGTCACGCATTTTCAGAGCAAGCTTTGCGAGAGCAGGAACCCTTGATAACGTACTACTTCGACCTACTCATCTCGAGACTACATCAAGAAGTCTCTGGCGCCCAGCAAGGCAAAGTAAATCTGGTTCAATGGCTGAACTTCACAACCTTCGACATTCTTGGTGATCTCTGCTTCGACGAGTCATTCGGTGCGCTCGAAAGTGGCAGATATCACATATGGGTCACGAGCATCTTCCAGGGTCTAAAAGCAGCGCGAATGTTTAGGATTTTCCGAGCCTACCCAATCTCGCGACAATTGTTCTCCGTTGTGCGGATGATCGTACCCTATGCCAGCAGAACTCGCCAACGTCACTTTAAATTCACTGATGAGAAGACCGAGGAAAGGATGCATCGGCGGACAGATCGAAAAGACATCATGAGGTGAGCCATACCATTCGCCATGCCATATCACTCTCCCATTGATTGATACAAAACCAGCTACATCTTAAGATACAATGATGAAAAAGGCATGACGCGGGACGAAATCAAGGCAACAGCTACGGTCCTCATCGGAGCAGGTAGCGAAACAATGACCACGTTATTGAGCGGCACAACCTTTCTCCTTCTCCAAAACCCTTCGTGTCTTGCGGAAGCCGTTAGAGAAGTGCGCACGAATATTGCCCACGACTCTGACATAACCTTTTCTTCAGTATTGAGTCAGCTTCCGTACCTTAATGCCTGCATGGAAGAATCAATGCGCCTCTATCCTCCAGTCCCTATTCTTCTTCCACGGCGTACTGGTCCACAAGGAGATGTCATTGATGGCCATCTGATTCCCCCCAACGTGAGCAATTGCTAGATTCTGCCAGCAACGACGCTGATCATGAAATTACCCTAGACCTCCATTGGTGTCCACCCTCCATCCGCAAATTCGTCCGAATCGAACTTCAAGTATCCCTTGAGATTTGCCCCAGAGCGCTGGCTTGGAGACGAGACGTACGCGAATGATGATCGTGCAGCGTGCCAGCCATTCTCACTGGGACCTAGAGGCTGTGTGGGAAGAGTAAGTCAATCCGAATATGTGATAAATCACACATGAGCCGGGAGAGTATGAACGCTGATCTTGATCTTGCTATCAGAATTTGGCGTATGCAGAGATGCGATCGATGATGGCACGTGTCCTCTGGCACTTTGATATAGAGCTGTGCGAAGAATCAAGCGATTGGATGAACCAGAAAGTCTATCTCTTGTGGGAAAAGCCACCACTCTACGTGAAGCTGACCCTGAGAAAGAAATGCCTTCGAGGATAGACCCTGCGAAAAGGAGGTTGATACCGTAACGCTTCCTACTACGAATGGAGCAAGAATTCGCCATCTGATGTCGTCTACACATGTGGTTAGAGGGAAGTGCAACACTTCCAGATTTTGGGTATTACTATTGCAAGAACTAGATCAAAGTGCATTATCTATCAAAGAATTGACACCCTCTGGAATACGAGCCTGTCTCTTTCTAATGTCAGATGACCTCTCATAGTCCATACAGTTGCATTAGCAAAGTCACTTGCTATCGCGTGAAGGGAAAATCAAGTGTCGTCAATTGTGTCTAGGATTCCTTTCAGGTGTGTCCAGATTTCTTCTGGGGATGTCCTTCAGGGGACTTTGCGCTCCCTGGGGCTTCCGGTGGCACCCCGGACAGCGAATTCGAGCCTGAGAACTACGCATATAGGATCACTAATAGAAGGAATGACCCAGGAACCGGACAAATCCGGGTACCGGACAGTCTTAGATATATGTAGCCAAGATGAAATATGCGCAGTACAGGGCCCCTATAACTTAGAGTTTTAGGCTTCAAATTCAGTGGAAGTCCCCTAAGAGGAGTGCGTATTTTTTGTCCTGTAATACCTGGAACTGCGTACTTTTGAAACTGTCCGGTACCTGGATTTGTCCGGTTCCTGGGTCATTCCTTCTACAGCGGGCAGCATTTGCACAAAGAATTGTGCATCCACCTATTACAACTTTCGGATTCGAAAAAGCGATTGGTCATGCCACACAAGCACCGCAGAGTCCGACATGCGGATCCATCATACTGGGAACTGCCTCCTAGCAAGATCGCAAGCGAACGGCCTCTGCCCTCCTCTAAAGCACCTTCCAGAACCGCCGTTGGTAGAGATGCAAAACCTTCCCGCAAGCAGCGCGTCATAGAAGATGATACACCGCGTGCTTTCACACGCCTCCTAAACCACTACCGCCCGCCCCGATCAGGCCTAGACGATGGAGAGCGGCGCCCAAGCAAGAAACGCAAGACCGCCCCGTCTGCGACTACAATTCCACCTACCGTACCGCAGACCACCCATGACCTCAAGATTCGACCACATGAACGCCTCTCCCATTTCTCGGCTCGCGTAGATGCAGCAATCCCTTTCGCTACCGTCTCAAAACCGAACACGTCCAATGATCCTGCGCTGAAGGATGTTAGTCGACCGCGGAAGACGAAAAATGAGAGGCGCATGTACAAGATGCAGCAAGCGTGGCGGGAGGAGGATCAAAAGCGTAAGGAAGCACGGCTGGCTGAAGGAGAGGAGAGAGAAGGCGCTGTGGACGAAGATGGGGTGGAAGAAATGGGCGTCGAGGAAGAGGGTGGGGTTGCGAGGGTAAAGCGGAAAGGCAAAAGGGGGAGAGAGAAAGAGGATGATCCTTGGCGGGAGCTTGAGGCTAGGAAAAAGGAAGAGGCGGCGAAGAAGGAGAGACATGGGAATGCTGGGTTGGCTGGGATTCATGATGTTGTGCAGGCTCCGCCGAAATTGTCGAGGGCTATGAGGGAAGGGCATGGTTTGCCGGGGCGTAGCAAGAAGGGAGGGATGAAGGAACGTGTTGAGATGAGTGAGGCTCGAAGAAGCGTTATTGAAGGCTACAGGGCGATGATGAGGCAGAAACGCGATGGTGCTGGAGCAGCGTAGGTCATTTTGAATGTGCCTAAGCTTGGAGATATGAAGAGCGATGCTGGGCTACCCAAGGATTGCCAATGCTTATTTAATGCTGCTAACCTCTGAGCAAAGCCCAAAGAGCCGTTCCAATAGTCTATGGGACTATGGCGTTGCTCAGTCTCCATGCATCTCATGTCTTGACGACGAGACGACTCGATATCCTGGCAGCATGTCTTATCTTATCAATCTTAGCGTGAACGTTATCCCGCTGCCCCGCCTCGGCTCCGCCTGCGCCATTTCGAGTCACCCGCAAATCCGTAGACAGAAAGTGCACAGTTCGAATCGCGCCCTTTGCCTCCATGTCCCATTTCACGCATCCCATCTAGCGAATACACTGGCTTTTCATACATTCCTTTTCTTGGAATCATCTTGCCAATGATGGCCTAGCATTTTTGCAATCTCTTGTTGGTCCTCAACCGAGGCGGGGGGCCAGCCAAAATGTATCGAGGGAAAGAATGGAGAAAAGCTTGGACGGGCTGCTCAGCCATTTGGTCGAGCAAATTGCTCTGACAGGGGAATTTGGTAAGCTTTGCCGAGTCCTGCATGCGACATATTTGATAGACAACTACTCCCTAACGCTTGGTTCTTTGTGCTGGGTTCGATCCGGCGCAAATCAATAGCACCTTTGTAGTCCCGCGTTCCTTGAAGCGACCTCGCATGCCACAGCGCTGACGAAAAGCAGGCTCTACACCCGCACAATTTCGAAAAAATGTCAGATCATATCATTTGAAATCGAACGACCAAGACGATGTCTCGGACGAAGTGAGATCCACGCCAAACTTAGACGATCCATTTCTAGAATATATATGGAAGCTCTTAACCAACGATCCAGAAATTCAAGTTGGCGACCATGGTCAGTATTCAAATTTATCTTTGGCGGAGGCGGAAGCCTCGTATCATCACCAACGCGCAACAAAACCAAGCGTTCGTTCAGTCGAGCCAAGCGCGCCGACAGAAGGTCGCCCTTCTGAGCCTGATCTCAACGAAGTGACCGACCCCCATCCTGTTCCTGACGTGGGTTCCACACCGCAGCTGACTGAGCCCACCCGGCTCACACACGATGAAGGAACGTCGCTACCAAGGGAAACAAATGAACTTGATGTACCAAGTCATACTGGCGACGACTTTGAGCAACCCGAGAGAAATGCTGAGCAGCAAGGTATCAGGATTTTCGCAAGCGAAAAGTGCATGTGGTATGCGCTCACAGGTCATGAACCTGACCCTGCGCGAATTAAAGCTTTTGACTTTGTTCTCCTATCGATCATTGCGTCTTGTGGCTCTCAGGGTATCCTTCAATTTGATCTCGTGCGAGTAAGCGGCCAGGATAAGCGGTCTGTGCCAAATCGAACGGATCGACTGCACGAGCAAGGTCACATAGTTAAGAAATCTATTACAACCCTCACCCATGCCAGGAAAGAGGTTTCGAAGATTGTGTCAAGTCATTGCGTCCTCGCACGCTTTGCCGAGGAACCACAATATCAGGCAGAATTTCAGAGATTAATAGACGAGGCCAAGCGAAAGCCCATGAAAAAATTGAGAAAACCAAAGACCATCGAAAACCCGGAAGTTGTCTCTGAAGAAATACTTGCACAGGAAGCAATAGCGAATAATCTAGAGCTCCCAGAATCCTCGAAAATTACAGCACTATGGATACCAGACCGTCCTATATGCAAACAGATATACGACGTGGTCGATCGGGCGGGGAGTAAAGGAGCAACTCTCTTTGAGATACGAAACGCTTTGTGGGGCGATCACTACAAGAAACCTTCGGAAAACATCCTGAATCGACTTGTGAATGCTTGGCAGATATCTCAACCATTACATCTTCGTCATCTGGCTGTTGTGAGAGATACGGTTCTACAATCAAAAAGCCCAATTTTTGTACACTTTACCTTCCCACATTACGAAGAGTTGGTGAAGCTTGGTCGGAAGTCTTGGAAAGCTGTCACGACCCTATCATATGATACAGTGCTAGGCGGCGTCTCTGCTTCTTTGGAAGAAGTACCGGAGCTTGACGACCATGGTTTTGCTAAGATAGACACAAAATTGTTCGAAAAAGATGGGTTTGCAACACTCGCTGAATGTGCAAGGAGTCCTGGAAGGCCAATTGGCGGTTTGGCACGAAAAGTTTCATCCCAGCGGGCCATCGATAATGAGTTGTTAATGGAAAGCGAGACCAGGCCTGGGCTCGATAAGGCTCCTCGACCCTCACCGCGGAAACGCCGACGGTCCAAGTCTAGCCCGAATGAAATTTCGGAGTCGAGACAACACGGTACCCATGTCTCCGAAATCATGAAGCTGCATGAATCACCTCTAGAAAAGTCTTCAATTCAGCGATCAACAGCTGCAGGCAAAAAGAAAGGACGACCTCGTAAACATCAAAATCTCGAAGGCGCTGAGGACTTCGACAAGATGGACGATGACGAACTGAGGGAATTTCAGAGATCTCGATCAGCGGCCGAAAGATATCAGAAGTCTAAAATGGACGACGAGATTGAGAGGCGAATTTCTCTTGGTCAAGATTCTAATTCTGCGGCAATTGGAATCCTGCAAGAGACAGATGATTTGATTCAAAGAGGAAAGCAGGATCCGGTGTTTCCAAAAGTCAGATCTCAGATACTTCATGCACACGCTGGGGGCCCCTTGCCGCAACCCACCAAATTAGACCTCGAAATTCAGAATCGGGCTTCAACCGGCAAGCCGAGAAACGCAGATAGACTACGTGGACCACGTAGAAGGCCTCGAAGGAAACCTTACTGGCCATCAATAGCAGCTCATACGCACCACATTGTTGGGTACCCTCCTTTACTACAGTCGACTGAGTTCAGACCTGTCAATACCGCATTTCCGGCTGTTGATGCTCGAACGCGAAAGCGCAAGATCACAATCCCAGAAGAACTTCTTCCAGCAAAGAAAAAGAAAGGACCATATCAAAAACAGAAGCCTTCTGGGCTGGAATTTGAGTATCTCCCTTCAATAGCTGCTCACTCAGGTTCCTTTCTGCCCTCTACAAGAAAAGACATTGAAGTTGAAATACTTCCAAGGCCGAAGAAGCCGAAAATCTCTCACTCTCCATTTTCAAAGATGACACAGCAACACGCAAGCGAGAGGGTCGGGATGTCAATAAAAGCCGTGCAGACCAGCTCCTTGCTTCCACAACCAGGCAAATTCTTTACAGTTGAAGAAGCAATCGAACGAAGATATGAGGAGCAAGTGAAGGATCTAGACAAGTCCCATGAGTTTATTCACGTAGCAAAGACGATTTCTTACAAACGACGATCCGATGAGCTCCAAAGTATCCCTGGAAAGCGATTTAAATTGGTGATTTTCAGACTCAAAGCGCTGAGATCTTCCGACTGGATGACCACACTATCTACGACCACGCAGGCAGTGCTCTCCCAGACTGGGGCCGTCCATATCCAAAGACATCAAGTTCATGCTAATAGATTGACGGCCTCCGACTCAGTCATGGAGAATGTGCAAGCTGTCAATACAATGTCAGCAGTTGTCAGCCCAATACTACCACCTGAGGCTCAAACGCCGGCCAGACAAGTTGACCTTTCTACCGAACTTCCAGCCTTCGCAGCTTCGCAGATTGCAAGAAGCTTGACGGAACCTAGCTCTGGAGCCCCGCTAGGAAGGGGTTTGACTCTATCTAACGCTTTGCCACCAACAAATCACCTTGTTACCCCTCAAAGTGCATCAAGCGAAATATTTCGGGGCAGAAATCAAAAGCGCAAACGAAAGCAAAGTCCCAAACCAAGTTGGCCCCGCAAACTTCAGAAAGCCAACGAGGCGGCCTCAAACGTACCTTCTAACTCTACAAGCACCACAGTGGACTCATTTTCTACAGCTAGATCGCCAGAAGAGAAACGTAAAAGTGACTGCAGTAGTTCTCAAGCACTTGCTTCACCAAAGTCACGACCAGATAACACCCCAACTTCCCCAACGGGCGGCCATCGTGGAAGCGTTCCTGCAACCGTGACCTCACAGCCACCTTTTCGAAGGCAAGCGCTGGACTTTTCAAGAGCAGATTATCCTACTGCTGGCACTTCGTATCCAAGATCCAGTGCTAGAGAGAAAGTGACTCTGTGGGTAGTGTTGAGAGTCCCTAGTGAGCGCTTGCGGCCATTCTTGAATCAAAATCGAACATTCACAGTGAAAGCCTCAGAAAGTCAACGGCAAGCACCAATGTCGTCTACAACACAGGTGTTAGACTCTTCAGAGGCTCCATCCAAGGCATCCCCAAATCCATCTGCTCCTCGGAAGAGACATTATACGAATCCCCACGAGACAATGATAGCGATCGGCAAAGTACGACGGACAGGTGGCACAACCGCTTTGATAAGAAAGGATATTATCTTAGAATTAGTGAAAGAATGCGGTGGTGTGGCCCCGGGCTACAAAGATATGGCACTTCCTTTTGCCATGGAATGGACGCGGAGAGGAAATCCTGGCCAGCCGGAGACGGAAACCGTGCGGACTGCGGTCAATGCTTTGTGCAGTGCTGGTAAACTTCGACAGATAACGTTCGCATATAAGACACCTGAGGGGCTGCCTCGGAAGAGGACTATGATCATATCCTCAGATGTCAATTACCAAGATCCAAGGATTCGGGAAATGCAAGATAATTTGGCAAAGAGCGGTCAAAAATCATTCTTACCCAAGGAGTGGTTACAAGTAGATGCAAGAAATACTGATGTGGTACAGCCTTTCAGGGAGGAGCCAAAACACACAAACTTATATCATCGCTTCAATTATCATCAACAACGATTACAACAAAATGAGCAAGCAGAGGAGGAGAGGAACGAGAAGAGGGAACGTTTAGCCAAACTCAGAACTCTACTTGAACGCAACAATGCCAGGGTCATGATACCAGATGTCTCCATCCCCTACGGTAAAAGGCGAATGCCTAAGCATTGGAACCACCGATTTGCCATGTTCTTGGGGGAGCAGCTTGGGTCGGGCAACTTGCGTCGTCGTAGGAAAGAGCAGCGGGAGGGCTATTTTGCCGATCCTGTGTTCCAAGACCCAGACGCAAACACCTGGCATACAATACCAGCTGTTCATGTATCTACGCTTCCTTTTAAATCAAATGCAACGCCGACTTTAAGTCGGCGGATTGGACGACCACGGCAGTCAGACCGAATGCAGCCTATTTCTCGACGGCTACCTAAACTTTTGAGTCAACGTCAAGCCGCATCGCCTGAGCCATCTGAACTTTCAGAAAATCATACCGAGGATGAGGAGATCGTTCCAAGTAGCAGTGACAGCAGTAGCGACGATTCCCACGATATTGTCACCGTTAGACCAAAGCCAGCTCCAAAGTTGGTAAAACCAGACCTAGCTGCAAGACCAGCACCATTGCGACGCATCATCAAATCTAGAGCCGCGAGACGTCCTGATTGTCATATCGTGCCATCATACATGAGACCAAGACAGCCTTACCAAAAGCAAAGCGGGACCTTCGGGACCTCCTTCAATGGTTACATTAGGGTCGTTGCATTACGTTCACCTGAGAAGTCGATTCAAGGCGTGCAGGGGTCCATTTTGAAACCTCGACGCAAGCTTACCGTTATGAACTCCTTCATGCTTTCTCGACAAACTTTTCATGCAACCAGCGGAACTTTTGGTACGCCCTTCGAGGGCTTCGGATCTGAGATCAAGCAGCCAACATCTATGAAGAGGATCATACGCCGTCCTCAAAATGCTTTCAGGCCGTCTTCTCGGGAGCTGGTACCTTCAGCTTGGTTCATGCGGCCTGCACAGCAATTTCATGGACCGAGTGGCACATTCGGCACAATCTTTGGTATTTTTCTTATCTTGTCAGCAAAGCGCCCTCGCGGTGTTGTGCCATCTTCTAGGGCGAAGACAAGGGAGACGGAACCGAGATTCAAATTGACTTGGCCCGAAAACAGCTCCGATCAGGTACATAGTGGGGCGAATAGAACTCTTGAAAGCCCTTGGGCTAGCTTCACCAACAGAAACGGTTCATCTGAATCAACGCCAATGCTGGCCACTTTGGCGCCAAAACCATGGCCTGGTGTACATGTCAATACTGTCTGGGATCCTTCGATCGGCCTCAGCTCATATTCAACTGAGTTTACCGACGAGGTGCTGCTAGCATCGAGCTTCCAAGACGAAATAAAGGAGTCGCTGAAGTGGGAGCTTGATCAGCCTAGTCTCCTCGACTTGACGTTTCCAAGTGGTATCTTCATCAATCACACGTTCCCTCACGACCACGAGATCATAGACGCAGGTCCTGTGAATATTGACTACGGCAACATGTACACTGTAAAGGAGAACGGACGACTATCAGCGAAGCCAGTGTCGTCTTTCACTAGAGAACAATTTGAGCCCTCCTTTGACGCGCTTGCGGTTGTGAAGCCTGCGAAGGGGAATGGACGTCAAGTCACCTTTGCTCTAGAGGATTCTGATAGTGCTGAAAGTGAAATGGAATACTTGGATCACGCGACTCCTAATCTGCGAGTCCATGCAGGCCGAAGAAAAGGTCCACTATCACGACGCTCCATTAGTGCGGCTGATCAACATAGATTAGTCACAGCAGTGACCGTGGTCCGCTGTCTGACTGGAGGATTGGAGAAACGCGTCAATTGGTCTCTGGTCGCCAAGGTTTTTGAGGACGAGATGGACGAAGAATTCATTGTTGCCAGGTGGAACAAGACCCGAGAGAACGCAAAGGCTGATATGGCCAAAATAGAGACAGCATTCCAGGACATATTTGCTCAAGGCTACGAGGAGGACACTGTTCCTGCAATCGATTACAACGACCTTAATTCATATCCATGGAAATGGCTGGTCCAGTGGGTCATCGACAATAGCGACCTTTCTGCGAGTCTAGTGGAAGTACCAGACCTTCCATTGGATCGATACATCTTATCAAACGAGTATACTCTCGAGGAGGTGCCCAGCGATGACTTCAATAAGTATTACGAGCTTGATAGTACAGTGGCGACCAGCCACCGTCAGCGAGTCCTTTCTCAGCGAGCCTGGACCATTCCGATCGACCACGACAACAATTGCTACTCTTCCGACCCGGTAGATGACGAAGAAAGCCTCGCAATCGCAAAATCCTGGATCCGTGCCAACGTGGTCACGCCCCCAGAAACATACAGCGCGGACGCCGCCCACGCAAAACTAAGTCAGATCCCCAAACCTACAATTGAAGCCGCCCTCAGCGACCTGCTTACCTCCAAAATCATCACCACCACCCCTTCCAAGTCTCTCCGCTGCTACACCCTCAACGAATCTATCCTCTCCCGTCTCGAAAAGACTATCAAAGTCTCCGACCTCCAGCGTGCCACCTCCTTCAAATCCTACCTCGACCTCGCCCTCGAGAACCACGGCTCCCTCATCTGGTCCCGACACGCGCAGAACGGTGACATGATTGTCGTGATGAATTTGCTGGCGGCGGGGCGAGTCACGTTGAAGACCGAGAACGTGCCAGCGAATGAGTGGGGGCATACGGATGGTGGGTATAAGACTAGGCAGATGGATAGGATGCGGTTGTTCTGTGATGCGCTTGTCTTGCCAACGGAGAGGTATGAGATGGGACTTCCGCTGCTGCCTCTGCCTGACGCGCCTGGTCAGGTGTGCGAAGAGGGCGATAGTGCGGATGGGGGAGATTGGGGGAGGCAAAAATTGCCGCTGTGGATCGATATTCATGGTCATCTCGTCCCGAGGTTGTGGGAAGTCGCGCTCGCGGGTGTGTTGTGTATTGTGGTGACGCGACCAGGGATTGGTGTCAAAGAAGTAGGGCAGACGCTGAAGGGAAGTCTGGAGGTCTGGGAGGTGGAGATGGTGTTGGAGTGGCTTGTAAGGGCTAGCGCTGTAGGCAGAGGGGATGGTGTTATTGGGGCTGGAAGGAGGTATGTGACGGAGGAGTGGTGGTGGTGCGTTCTTGGTGATGGTCAAGAAGAAGACGATGGCGTGGACGCCGTGGTGGAGGATGGGACATGGCCGACTGTTTAGAAAAAGGGGTTGAGGAGTTGGAAGTGAAATATTTGTATGCATAGCGTGGTGTCTGCATAGAAACATGGAGGAGCAAGGCTATAAACGGGGGGCACTTTGATCTCTGCGTTACGAAATCAAATATCCCATTGTCTAGTGTGGTGTCTGTTCTCTCAAACCCTACGTAATCAGCCTGATTCGCCCTTGAAAGCATCTAAAGAAGGCTCCCTGGAAATAGAATTAGGCCACAGAGGGCTGCTGAAAATGCCAATCAGAGAATAGACACCCCTTCCGCTAGACTACGGTAGGATATAGGAGACGTGCTGTGCTTACGTGAGTGATGAGAAAGTCATTTTAATCTCTGTCTTTAGAAATGCTAATCATCAAATACAGATTGTTTGACGTACTTAATCCAACGCCTTGGATATTCTAAGTCCATTCTATCTAACCATCTACCCTCTATCTTCCATGATTCCCAGCCCCTTCATGCCTAGACCTTGCCCAGCTACCGCCCACTCCCCTCATCAAGCATCAAGCCCATCAAATTCCACCAGCCTCCTCACCACCCCCACCACCTCCTCGTCCCTCCCCATATCCCCAGCCAACCCCTCAAACCGCCTCCCTAAAACCTCATCCAACATCCCTCTCACCCTCCCCACGAGCGCCACCAATCTCGCCCACCCCCTCACCCGAATCCAGCCATCAACCAGTACGCCGCGCCCCAGCGGATCGAGCTCCAGTTTTCCGCAGAATAGGAGTAGAGTGAAGACGTTGAAGGGCGTGATGTCTCGGATGTAGGGTTTGTTGGTGTGGAGTTTGGAGAAATAGGTGAGGTAGTGCGTTGAGGAGGGGAAGGAGGGGGTGGTGAAGAGGGTTGAGGAGGGGTGGATGAATATGCGGTCGTTAATTGGAGAGGGAACGGGAGAGGGGTTGGGGGTAGGAGTGGGGGTGATGGGGCCGTTGGAGGTGAATTGGGTAAAGTATTTTATCGTTCGAGCTTCGGGATCGAGTTCTACGGCGCCGGAGACAGAGGGCGCGTATTTCTTGTCTGGGAAGGAGATTGTGGCGATGCTGGGGGTGAAGGAGGCGGCTATTAGGGCGCGAACGAGGGGGATGTTGGTGTTTTGGTCTCCACCACGGCCTTGAGCTGAGGGTGGCGATCGAGAAGGGAGGAGTCCGGTTTCGGAGAGTGACGAGAGGAGTTGTGAACGTGTGGATGAGATGTCGGTGAGGGTTTGCTGCGATAGGAAGTGGGTGTCGCAAAAAGCGCGGGTGTCTCTGTATGATGAGGTGGATTTGAGAGTGTTCCATTCTTCGTGAGCACGTAGATCGCAGACGAGGTCGCCTTGGCCGGGTGCGAAGGCTGTGCGAGCGGCTTTGGACTCTTCGCGTTTGTCTTGTGGCGAGAGGAAGGGAGAGCGGGAGGAGAGGATGGCGGCGATTGTGAGGCAGGAGTCCAGGCAGCCAAATGTAGAGCCGTAGACAATCAATTTACCGCAGCGGAGATCGGCCGGAATCAGAGAGATGTGACGGCCAAGGGCTGTCAATTGATCGCCATCGAGCGCACCCATACGTGCCAGCAAAACCATGGCACCTTCGACGGCCGTAGTTTCTGGCGGTGTCAGAGCGCTGGCAAGGAAGCTCGGAACGTCGACGATCCCCATTCCTCGTACTGATAGACACAGCTGCTCCAGTGGAACACGTCGAATCTCAGGCTCTGGTCTCTCAGCCATCTTGGCCTCAGCGTTCTTCGTGTAGAGCTTGTAGCATTGTCCCTCGCGGACACGGCCAGCTCGGCCTCTACGCTGCTTACATGCCGCGCGAGAAGCCCACACCTCTTGGAGTTTGACCATGTTATTCTGAGGATCAAAGCTTGTCTCTTTTACCTTTCCGGTATCGATTACGGCGACAATATCTTCAATGGTAATGGACGTTTCTGCGACGTTAGTGGCAGCGATGACTTTGCGTTTACCCTTTGGTGCGGGTGGAAAAACTCGCCGCTGCTCCGCGGGAGTCAGAGAAGCGTGTAAAGGTAGGGCATGAATCTGATGTAAAGACTGAAGGACTTGTAGAGTTCGATTGATTTCAAACGTCCCAGGCAGGAAGATGAGGACTCCGCCTTCGACTACCGATCCAAGATCAAGATCAATAGTCTCAACTAATGACTTGATGAGGTCGTAGTTGATGCCCATTCCAAGGCTCTGTATTGTCTTGGGAACGCTCGCGTTGGCATCCTGAATCGGGTCGTCGCCTCTGTTGCCACCCTTCGCCGGAGTAAATCCCGTGAAACTGACAATATCGTCTAGATAATTGTCCTCGACGGGGTAAGTACGCCCTTCGATCTCGACAAGGCCTACCTCACCATCGAAATACTCGCTGAATATAGAGGCATCCAGGGTTGCGCTCATGAGTACTAGTTTCAAATCACTGCGTCTGGCGAGAATGTCCTTGAGCAAAACAAGCAAGAAATCGGTGTCAAGGCTGCGCTCGTGCACTTCGTCTACAACAACATGACTGACGTCCGCAAGCGCCGCGACTAAATCTTCCTTGCTCCCACCGGAGGTCTGCAATCTCCTCAATAGAACACCTGTCGTCACGAACGTGACCTTAGTATTCTTGGACTGCTTTGCTTCCCCTCGGATAGCGTAGCCCACCTCGTCACCTACTGAAGAGCAGCGTTCAGCACTGACTCGATCGGCAAGGCCTAAGGCTGATATGCGTCGTGGTTGAGTGCATATTAGATTGGCCGCCGAGCCCAAATGTCTCGAGATCATCTCATCAAGAATGAATTGTACTGATTGGGTGGACTTCCCACTGCCTGTCTCTCCTGCTATAATAGTCACTTGATGAGTATTGACGGTACTGACAATGGCTTCTCTCTTCTTCCACGCCGGTAATGACCGTCTGACGGCGAGCATTTTTTGTTGTTGAGGGGTTGCCTGACGAAGTTGCAATCTCTGAAGCATCTCACTGCTCCGAGGATCTCTTGGCCTCCAATCAATGGGGCGTGGGGCATGACGGACTCTTGTCTGTGTCTGTCTCTTGTCTGTTGAAGTAATCTCCGTTGAACCTGATATAGCGGCAGATACTGACTTCAATTTGCCTGGATTCTCCACAATGTTTGGAATTTCAGCCTCCAGCCAGTCACATATACCAAATATCATAGGTTCCCCTAGGAGGTTCGAGTTTGCATACTCTAGAACTTGTCTTGTTATACTGAGTCGAATGTATGATGGCATACCATGAGCCACGATCGCTAAGACGGGAGCTCGTTGTGGGTAATGGGCTGCCGGTCTCACGCGTAATTTAGCATGCATATCTTGAGACACAAACTCCATTTGAATCTCTACATATGCCTGTAAAATGTACTGGAAGCGAGATCCATAAATCGCTTCCAAGGTCGCAATCTCCTCATGCCAGACATTGTCTCTTGCATCATCATTCAAGGTAATATCTGCAATGTTAGGAACCTCAGCACCATCTGCCTGCTCTTGATAAACAAGACTAGATTGTAATACTTCTGCAGCCATGTTCTCATCCCCTTGACATTTCGTGAGTGATACTGCGCACATTTCGCCAGAGTAGCCTCCTTCAGCAAGTCTTTTGATAGCAGCCTCTTTCTTCATGTCGCTACTCGCGATACTCAAGCCTGCTGAGTAGCCTTCGGGCAAAGCCCACTTGGGCAGATCGTCCTCTGGCACATGGATCAGCAGCCATTCCAAGGTCTCTTCACGATCCTTGCATTCTTCAACAGCCTCTTCGGCGTGACTTCTCCTGAAGCCAAGCTTGGAGAGCTCATCGATAACATTATCTCGCTGTTGCTTGGACATTCTTATGTCAAGTGGATTCCAGACCACACCCTTGCGTACGGTAGTCTCCATGTCCGCTCTCGTACGCTTGCCCATCTCGACTTTCGGAGCTTTTGTCCACCCCTTCATGAGATTGCCCTTCGAGCTACCTGTAGTGCTTGAGCCAGGAGCAAGCGATACTATGGGATTGTCTGCCTCTTTCGCTCGCTTTTTCTCCCTTTCGTCCCTCTTCTTCGCGGTAGCCGCTTGCGCCTCCTCTCTTTCAAGCTTCGCTGCGAAAGGGTCTGCCTCATACATCCAGCCCTTGCCGTCTTTAAGATCTGCAGACTTCAATTCATGGAACTCTTTCTTCCAAAGATCTCGATAGGTTGGAGGCAACATCATGTGGATATTCTTCATACTGCTGACCCGAAAAAGTGCATAAGTAGCTGCGAAGTGCCTTGCCTCTACAGCGGATGGCTGGAGTGCCAGGTGCTTCGAGTCTGGCGGCAACTTGAAGGGTGGGAGAGTGACAGTCTCTCTTGTCTTTGGGTTCGTACTCTTCAAGATGACCATCGAAGAGAAGTCCGCGGCGTTGTGGGACATGGTATACTCCGGCTTGTGCCATTTCACTTTCTGGCAGTGCTCAGCGAGCATGTTCACGGGTAGTTTGCCCGTCCATGACGCTCCCCTATCAAAGCCCGGGTATCGGACTTAGGTGGCGCCGCAGCATTGTTTTGCCCTTCCCTTGATGCGTCCTTTGCATCGTTATCTTGCCTCTCTTTCTTCTTTGCGCTTTTGGCATCTCCGAACACTACATAGCTGGAGTCCTCATCCTGGGTGGGTGCACTTTTGCCTCCGCGGCCGCCTCGCTTGGGCATTCTTCCTCCGCCTAGAACAACTAATCCTGTCTCCAGAGTCTTGCACGGCCATCGATATTTGGAGAGTAAGTCACGGTCACCAGGTGGAAAAGATTGAAATGACGCAGGTCTTGTACTGTGCGCTATTCCCAACGCGGCTAAAGCATTGACTAGCGTCCAGTCAATCAAATTTGATTGACGAGACTTATCAAAGTTGGATCGTGAGTCCTCTCTCTTTACATCACGCCGACCGCGACTTTCACTGCATTGGAGCTTGACGATGGACGCAACGAAGTTCTGAGGTCTGACCGTCTAGCGAGGCAGTTATACTTGAATGCACAACGGCAGCAGCTCTAAGGCCTGGAGCAAAGTCTTCAGAACATCGTTCGATCTTGTTCACGTTCAATGAATGCTTCAATTCAGTGCCCCGAAAATCCCCACGTCCGTCCACCTACATTCGCCTCCCTTTTCCCCAACCCTATTCTTCTTATCCCGACACTCTCTCCCCTTCGTTCTGCAAATAGCCCCTCCACATCTTTTGCACTCTCACCTCCTTTTGAGCTCTCGAATCCTTCCGCAAGAACCCCCTCCAAAGTCAGTCTCGCCTGCACATCCCTGACTCCCATCTGCTTGAATTGCCCAAGTCCGAGCACTAACAATGCCATCACTGTGAGCGCAATCCCCAAAATGGCATATAAGAGGTCTAGAAGTACGACCGCAAAGAACGGCGCCTTGGGCACCCTCGTCACAAGGGTGACCTCGCGCCTCGTGACACTGAGCGCTGGACGCTGCAGTAATAACCCCGTAGGGAGCGAGAGCAGTGTGCGATCGTAAGCGGCTGCAAAGCCACTGGCAAGCTGGACTCCAAGGCTGTGGTTTCTCAGGGAAGCACCCATTATGACATTAGGCTGAGGGAAGAGCTCGGTGGTGTTGATGTTGGCGACGATTTGTTCGATAGAGTGGTGTAGATTCTCAAACCCGTGCAGTTGAGACGAGGTCATAGCTGTGATAAATGCCTGAGGAGCCGAAGAGTTCATGAGGGAAGAATGGAGAATTTGGACTGTATTATTCTTCATGGAGTAGGTCTTTGGGTTGAGAAACTTGGTCAGCGGCAACATTGGACGGCAATGGAGCGATCAATCTGCTTGGGGAGGAAAGTGCTGGGAGAATTATGCTTACCAAGTCTGAGAGCTCGGTCTCGCAGGACATGAGTCCATTTGGGCCTCCAGCCTCGCTGGCTCTCAGGTCCATCGCGGCAAATTTAGCGAACCAAGGAGCGCTTTCAGGTTGTTTCTCGTATTGCGAATTATATTCGGGGTCTGTGGTGGATCGGATCTGGCCCTCTGCCGCCCAACTTGCCTCAAGTTGAAAAAGAAGACCGAAATACAGATGGGGCGTATACTGATTGAGATGCAGCTCGTCACCAGTCTGCTGAGTTTTGGCGGCATCGTTGAAATATTGAAAGCCCAGAAGCCTTGTTGAGGAAGCCAAATTTGAAAAGTCGGGTGGATATACCCAGTCGGTTGTGTTATCATTTGACTCAGTATCTGAAACGTCGCTCATGTTGCCGATCATGTTCAGTCCTGCAACGGTGGCACTGCAATTGTACGGCAAATTCGCATCATTTCCGTCGTCGGTTGTGTCCATGTGCCCAGCTCCGCACAGCGAAGTCACCATCCTACAAACTGTCCGGGACGCGAAGCTGGTAGCCTCGAAATCAAAGCCGACTGGAGCATTTGCAGGACCAAGGATTGTCTGACCCTCACTCACGTAAAGTCTATTTGAGCTAGAGAGATTGCCAGCAGTCCTGATATATTCTGATTGATTCTTGAGTCCCCCTGGAATATTTGAAGTGCAGTCAATTCCATCGTCTGGAGCGCCATCCATATCGAGGCACTGATCTGGCAGTCCTCGTCCTGGCGCAAATGATGGATCAACGTAATCGGGCATCTCTCGAACGTATTCTACTGAGTTCGTGGACTTCCATCGTCAACTTTGGCATTCTGGGAATGCTTCTTTCGATCAACTTACCACATGAAGCCAGACATCTGCAAGAATAATCAAAATGCTTCACCTTTCATATAAGCATTCAGACGATTCCGGAGGAGCTCCGCTGGCTTACGCTAAGATAAATAGACCTCCCATCATTGCGATAGCCTTCCGTAAGTCTGGCACCAGTGGGACCTTCTTTCCCTTCTTGTCAAAAATATACAGTGCTGTAGACCACAATCCCGTCCATTTCGCATCCAGACTTTTGATCAATAGTGCCAACTGGTACGGCGATGGTAGGTTCGCCGAGTCATCTGCGTCTGATCTTCTTGCTAAATAGTATGCTAAAGGATACGAAAACAATAACATAGCTGCACTAATAAGCACTGTGGCAAGCGTGGAAGATACCGAAGAAACGAATACTAGTCTGGTCGCTGAGTAATTGACATAGTAGGCCGCCCCTAGTGGGATTTCCGTGGCGTTGCCCATGGAGTAAGTGGACGATTGATCAGGCATTAGGTGTGTGTAAACGAGGCTTATGAGGATAATGCTGAGCACCAGCATAGGGATAATGACTATTGCAGCGGCGAGGAAAACTTCGACATAGTGCCCAGTCATGACTCCACGCCATGGTCCCTCCGCTTTCTCGTCATTCGAAGACCCATCTCGAAGCATCTCATCTTGCTCGGTTGGCGCTGGAACTTCATGCTCCTTTGGGTCTTTTTGGTCGAGAATTCCGCCAGTGGAGAAGTCCATTTCTCGCGCAATGCTCGAGGGCCTTCTGCTTGAGCATGTTGAATGAGGATACAGCGGCCTAATTTGAGAATATATCTTATCGCTCCTGAAGGATTCATGGCTAATTTAGCCTGCCTTGCTACAGCGGCTCAGCCCTCTGGTGTCTAACCCCATGTCATGGAATTAAGGTCGTCTTTCATGCAGATCTCTAGTGTCTTACAGCCTAACTTTGTGTAGTTCAGAGAGAATACATCCCTCAGAACATGAACTAATCAATTAATGGTCTTGATACGATGGTGGAAACGCTGACGATAGAAGGCGTGTGATAACGCTTGAGCGGCCGCTAGGGCAGACTTATGCATGCTAATAGCAGCTGCCTCAGCAGGTCAATCATTCGATCCTCAAAAATGAATACCCCCGTGGCTGCAGCTCGCTAAGCCCTAAAGCGCTTAGGAGTCTCTATGTGCTGGCGCAATAGATCGGACTGCGTCAGGCTACCATACTCGGAAACCACGGTGGATCTTTTCCTCGTAATACTGAGGAGCTTCAATTATCACCTTTTAAGTATTTTCTCTATGAGTTGGCTGTAGTTGAGACTGAGTTGCATTTGATTGCGTGCCTCACAGCCTTTCAGAATTTGTCAAGTGCCACCTCAGGCCAGCCTTGTGCAGCTCCGCTTTCATCGACCTGCGGGCGCTGGCAACTGTAACCTTCCTCCACTCACACAACTGAGATATAGAATAAGAACCAGACCACAAAGATGGCTGAAGCACTTGCCGTCATTGGCTTGGTTGCTAATATAACTCAATTCATCGACCTTGGGACCAAGATTGCCCGAAGAATGGACGAGATGAGGCTCAATAATGACGAAGCTCCCCGGGTCTTTCGGACGATCCGTGGCCAAGTTCCTCTCCTTGTTGACACCCTGCAACGCTTGAAAGAACGTAGTGAGAAGGGTGATCTCAGCCTGGAGACAGAGAAGGCTTTGATGCCTGTCATTGATGGCTGCCTCTCCGAGTTAGACTCTGTTGACAAACTGATCGAGAAAATTGTGCCAGTGGCGGGAGACTCGTCGTGGCGGCGAAATTTCAAGGCTTTGTCCAGGTCAGTACCTCACACTTCTTGCTTAATTGTCGTCGAATCACATGTACGCGGACTTGCAACGTCCGTATGGCATTGTGCCCAAGCTTAGAAAATGATTCTGACAGTGTATCAAGTGTGGCGACGGAGAAGAAGGTGCAAAATATCATCAGTTCTCTTCGCGACTACATACAAAACCTTACTCTCTACCAAACAGTCCAAACCGCCAACTCTCAAATGGCGTCATTTAGAGAAAATACTAAAAGTGATCCGATCTTTATGGTGCCGTTCGAGAGGGACTCGAAATACGTAGATCGTTCCGACATCACGGCACAACTTGACGCCAAATTAAGATCCAATCGTCGCGCTGGACTTGCCGGTCTCGGTGGTGTTGGGTGAGTCTAGTACGTTGACCAAGAGAGAATCCAACGGCTCAATGTTACTTCTGCAGGAAAACCCAGATCGTCATTGAATTCTGTTATAGATACCGCGAACGCGATCCTGAGGCTCATATTTTCTGGATTCACGCCAGCGAAGCGGCTAGAGTCGATCAATCTTATAAACACATTGCCAAAAAGCTCAACTTACCTGGTTGGGACGACCTGAGCCTGAATACCTTCGAGCTTGTTAGCGAATGGCTCAATACACATGGTCGATGGTTGCTTGTTTTGGACAATGCTGACGATCTTGATCTCTTCTTCGGACCACCCGCGTTCTCTGACCAGCACAAGCAAATGCATCAGTATCTCCCTCGTTGTGAGGAAAGTAGCACTATCATCACCTCACGAGATACAAAGGTGGCTTACCGACTTTCTGACCGAGAAGACCCTATAGTCGTCGAAAACATGACAGTGGAAGACGCTGAAACACTCCTAAGGTCAAGATTATCTCAAGACAATCTCCACCCAAGATATGCCAATGACCTTAGACAGCTTCTTGATATCTTAGACCGCATGCCTTTAGCAGTCACCCAAGCAGCAGCATTTGTCACTGAAAACAACATCGAGGTCTCGGAGTACATAGACATCCTTCGGGTCAACCAAGCGGAGGTCGAAGATCTCCTATGCGAAGATCTAGGAGACCACAGGCGATATTCAGAAGCTCCGAGCTCAGTGCTGGAGACTTTAAAGCCGTCATTCGATCAAATAGTCAAGCAGAAGCCGCTTGCTGCTGAATTACTGTCATTCATAGCATTCCTCGATCGCAATAGCATTCCAAAAAGCTTGCTCAAGCGTGAAGGCGTTCGGACCCTTGACTTTGTCTCAGCACTTGGAACGCTACAGAATTTCTCCCTCATCAGCACTCGCCGAGGCGGCAAAAGTATCGACGTGCACCGATTGGTGCAAATATCGATCCAAAGATGGTTGCGTGGGGAACGAGAAACATGGCAGAACGAGACTGTTCGAGCGTTGTCAGAACGCTTGCCAGTTGGATCTTATGAAAATTGGGACGAATGCGAGGTCTTGTCACCTCACGCCCAGACTGTACTTTCATATAGTATTGAGGGCGAAGAAGCAGCGTTACGGCGAGCCAAGATTCTGCACAATCTTGCAACGCTTGATGAGCAACAAAGCCGTTACGGCTCCGCCGAGAAAAGACTGAGGGAGGCTGTTAATGTGCGTAAAGCTGTACTTGGAATCGCAAACAGCGATACGATACGGAGCATGAGCTCTTTGGGCGAAGTCCTTTTTCGCGAAGCTCAGTATACTGAGGCTGCTTCAGTGTTGGGGATCGCGATAGAAGAAAGCTCAAAGCTTTTTGGTCCCGAGGCAGAAGAGACACTATACAACGTAGCTTTGAAAGCTGAGGTAGTGCAAGGATTAGGAGACTTTTCTGATTCTGAAGAGCTTTTCCGGCGATCACTGCAGGGTGAAGGAAAATCTCTAAAGGATGCCGATGCAATGAGGATAGCAGACAATTTTGGTGCAGTGCTTCGAGACCAGAAGAAGTACGAGGAATCAGAGTACTGGATCAAAAAGGGTCTTTTGGGCCGCGAGCGAATTTTCGGAGAGACCCATCCGTCCACGCTGAGGAGCGTCAATCATTACGCATTGATTCTCCAGCTATTAGGTCGACTTGACGAATCAGAGACAATGGCACAAAGAGCGATTTCCGGATCTGAGATTCTTATGGGCCGCGACCATCATCAGACGCTGATGAGCGTTCATACGTACGGGGATCTTTTGCGGGTCATGGGTCGCTATGAGGAAGCCAAAGAACAATTTCGGCGAGCTTTGGAGGGCTTCACCAAAGTGCTGGGTCCGCAGAACCGCGCTACGATGAGAATCTTGCATTCACTAGGCCTGATTGAGGAAATTCAAGGGAACTTGATCAACGCGGAGAGCCTTTTACGACAAGCTGCCGAAGGAGAGACGACAATCCTGGGGCCGACACATGCATTCACGGTGGAGAGTATGCACGATCTCAAGAGGGTTTCGACGATGATTCAGCTCCAGCAACACAACTTGACTAGCCCGTCGCCTGCCTCATGAGGATGGGGTTTGAGATTGACTCCATCGAGATGTTTTTCATCACTAATCCTCATTCATTCGCAACAAATGCCAATTCGCAAATTTCATCTCGTCGACTCTGGGTCGAGGAAATCCGTCTCAATTTTCCCCATCCCTACCAACTTGAATCATGTTTGAACTGGTTAGATGATCGTCAATTGTATGCTGCAACCGAAGCCGAAAGGTTGCTCATCATACAAGGGTCAGATTGGCTGAGGATGCAAGGCGCTGAATTTCTCCAAATCTCGGTACGGGCATTATTCTGATATACTGTCGAGGTGTGGTTGCACGTGGGGTCCGTAAGGCAGTGGAAGATAGCATAATCATCTTCAGCCCCTAACCGTTGAGGACGTCATCTCAAGGCTGGGATCGAACCTTATGTACACAGCCAACGGCTGTCCTGTAGGTCGGACGTTGATCGACGTGACATTTGGCATTCAAGCTCAAGGTTAAGCACCGCGTGTTTAGATCGTCGGACCGCGCCGTACGTCAGCTCCGTCTTCCAATGATGTTGTCATCCTGGCGCACGTTTTCCACAGCCGGGCCCCTTTTGATTGAGGAGAAACACCATAGCTGCGGCTGCACTCCATGTCCGTTTCTCACTCGTTTGTTTCATCAGGCGAGTGTAGGCGTACCTTGCAGCTTCGGTTCGTATTAGCCTGCATTGGATGTCCTGTGCCCCTGAACCATTCATCTTCGCTTGTTTACTCGGGCCAGATTGTCAGCATCGCTTGCGTCCGTACAATAATGAAAGCTCGACTTGCTTGGCCTGTCTCCTCGAGCCGGCTCGTGAGCTAGAGCCGTGGGGGGAGTTGGTCTACTTCGGGGTCGGTCTTTGAGGAACTCGCCACGACCCAGAAAAGGGCTGAGTCGACCTTCATGCAGGCACTAAGAGTTTCCGCCTCTTTGATCATTTGCAGAATCCGCCAGTAATTTCCAGTCATCTTGCCTACAAATCTATCCACTGGTCCTTTCACATCCGCTTAGGGCAGCTCAATGCTTTCTGAATCCCATCAGGTACCTCAACAGATGCCGTTCACAATACCGTCAGCGGCTCGTGCTGAATGAAATTTCTGACAAGGGACAGTGTTTCGCCGCATTGATGACCGCTGCTCTTGGGCATGACGCAGGGCTACTGGACACTAGATCAGCTTTACGGACCAACAGAACTATGAGATTGAACTCTATCCGTGAGGTCAATGCTGATCATATGTGAGAGATTCCATAATCTACGAGTCTCTCCAAAAGAGCATGTCGTCAAGGTTCAATCAATCAATTGTCGACAGGCTAAGCCACTAAATCATACCACCAGGGTGCGTTGCCCCGACGTCAATGTTTGCTCTGATAGAATCGTGTATATAATGACTGCTGTCTGCCGTTTACCATGGCACGCAAATAAGACTCTTGAAAAGAATCCGTGCTTTTCATGATCTGCTTCTGCTTCACTCACATTTAACAATGAAGCTGACCAATATCCGCCAAGCAATCCACTTCCTATGCGTGAGCCATCTATCTGGTGCGGTAGCGTTACCTCAAGGCACACCAGGCGATCCCCCAGCATCGCCAGGACCTCCAACGTCGCCAAATGACTGGAAGACACTTAAATGCACCATCCCCGCCGTCACCGATGCAACACAAAACCCATCAATCCGCTGGAAGGGTGTAGATGCAGACGACGCCTGGAAGGCAGCTCTCGAGTACGCATCGACAACCGCAAATCCAGCTCAACTATCTTTCTCCCAGCTCATCAGCCAATTCTTCCATGGGCCCGACAACATGCATTGTGAACTGCCCAATGCCAGAGATACCTGTGCAACGGCAGTCTTGTGCAAAGACCCGCCAGCAGGATATGCGGCTGGATTTTTGATCTTAAACTCCTTCGTAGAGATTAGCAATGTAAGTTCAATGGCAAGACTGTGGGGTCTGCTTCAGCTAACACAGTGGGATTTTCAGTTGAATTACAACATATATGACGCTGTTTACAAAGCCCAAGATTATGTTACGACGCAGATAGCCGGCTTCTCGGAGACCTTTGCTCCGATAAAGCAGCCTACTGACGCCTTGAAGGTAATACTCGATATCGTCGGCCTAGGATTCGCAGTGGCTCTTGCCCCGGTGTGGAATGCTGCTCTGAAAGCACTTCCTTGGTTTAAAGCCAATGGCAATGCCTTGGGGACCATCAAAGACACAATCAACCCCAGCATCTCTAATGGCATCACTCTGATCAAAGATGGCGGTTTGACGTAAGGCTTGGCCCGGTAATCACATAGTATCACACTTCCAATGCTAAGCGTTCTTTCAGTGGTAAGATCGAAGTCACGAACACCCTCGAAGAAAACGTAGGCGAAGTGGTGAAAGCCTGGACCGCAACCCTCAACACGCTCAACGGACAGCTTTTTAATGGCAGCACCTCTTCGACAGACGATCTCTTTGGGCAGATCTCAGACGGCAAGGTCCTAGAGTCGGGTTACACCTTGGATGAGTCAGAAGTTGAAACCGCAATCGAGAAGGCCATCTATGGCTACCTCGTCCCTCGGGCGTGGTCCTTGAGCAACGAAGACCTTCATGCCGTTGTGGTGTGAGTCTTTCTACTACCATACCAATTACTATGAAGCTGCTAATCCAATTTATAGTGACTCTGGACTGCCTTGCACGCCTCCAGTCATTGCTTTTCCAATCAACTTGGTCGACGAGAAGTACATCAGCGGAGACGTGCAGGCCAAGACGTCAACTTGCGTGGACGGAATCTCTTACTACCTTGTCATGGCATCCGGCTCGGGGCTCGACTGTCCCGAAAATCCAGTGGGTTTCAATCCATGTCCGACCAAGCCTCTATTACAGCTTCCGGGGGAGGAGAGTCTGGATGGGACGCATTGGGGTGGATTGACGCACGACGATCTCATCGCAGGGTAAGCCTCACCGCACCTTTGCCCCTGTGGCAAGCTCGCTAACATGACTTGTCAGCGCTGTTGCGACATATAAGAAGAACAATAACGCGAATGGTGCGCCTGAAATTGATGCAGGAAGCCCCGATGCGGTGTCTGATATCTATGATAATGGTATTCGAGCCGCGGGCATCACGACGATTCCGGTGTGTAAAGCTGATGAGGCGTGGAATAATTGGCAGAAGCAGGCGAAGACGCCGAACTATCCTTGCAACTGAGATGCTTGAGTCGCATTGATAGAGGGTATGCACGAATGGCTGGACCGGTACACCCTCTCGTCGCTACCTTTTTATGATATGCCCATTCACCCGCCTTTTGTGGGTGTCTGCAAATCAGCAAGAATCATCATCAGATAGTATCACAAAGATATTACGTATGCCTAATACGTTGACAATTCAATACTCATCCGAGGATTCTACACACATCCGATGAGGTGTCTAAAACTTCGGATGCGTACAGGCCGTTGATCGGAAACCGCATCCGCTGTACGGGTCATTCGATCGTTACTCATCGGTGTGAACACTCCTTCTCTTTGCGTTCACGATAGAGTCGTCATTGATCCCCCCACTCTACCATATATCTCAATCTCAAACTCTCCATTTACTCGCTCTACAGCGGCCCCAAATACATTACTTTACCAGCAAACTAATTGTGGGCGGTCGGAAGCAATGTTTGCCCGCTATGCTGATTGACTCAAATAGATGTAAAATGCTCATGTCTCTATCTTGGCTACGTCAGAGACGCTGCATGAAAGCGGGTGTCACACCTCTTTCATCAATCACATTAATCACATCAATTGATGGATTGTCTACTTGGTCTGTCAGATTGACCAACTCAACATCTGATAGGGCCTTGCTCCGTGGCTGCTATGTCAGCATCGAAATGATTCTATCACCGAGCAATTCTATCAGTAGTATCGCTAGATGGAATGCAGACTAGACCGGGCCACAATGGCATGATTGCCTGTCAGATCTTCATCTCCTGACTAATCTCGCATGTCAAACAAAAGAATTTGTTGATCGTTTGTGCCAACGCAATATCGACCCCGCATCTCGACTCTGACAAGCTATCTAGATCCTTGTCATCCTCTCAAGTTGAACAATGCGACAAGCTGACAGACGACCGAACACAACATGGAGACGACACTCCTGAAGTGTGACGGCGATAAATTGCCATCAAATATGAAATCAGGCCAAGGACAAGATGTTTACATCTTGCAGACCGCCATAGGTCTTCTCTGAATCAAGAGGGTCATTCTCAGTATTACCGCTCTTGCTTTCCTCGTCGGCTCCCAATTCTTTCCAAGCCCATTGAATGTCATCAGACGCAAGCAGCTTATGGTAAGCGACTGCGGCCAAATCGAAGGAGACCAGCAGGCCTTCCTCACTCCTCTTGCCTTACGACGATTAACCAATACCAATCCACATGCAGAGACCCTATCGATAATCCCCTGCACAACTGTATCGTCTCTCTCACTTCTTCAGTTGCCAGCACGGGAGACCGCTCCGTCTACCATATAGTCTCCAACGGCAGCCTACGCATGCGAAAATCGTCCAATGGAATCAATTGGTCTCATCCCCAAGGTCATCACCGACGGGCTCCCATCAATTATGGCGGCTCTCTCTGCCATAATCTGGACCCGTGGGGATGGCAAGCTTGTCAATTGCGTCTACTCCGTGGACTCCACTCGCCGCATGGTTGAGTTCGGAGCCGATTGCCATGCCACTGCGTCTCGGTGCTCGTGGTCGCAAACGTATCGTTTCACTGAGACATCGGCGGGGGACGTCTCGGCGGTGGCAATCGCGGACGGAGGTATCCGACTCTACCTTCTCGACGACAAGGGATATATTGGGGAGCTGGCATACGACGGTGATGGTTGCGGGCTAAGTCGTTAGGAGTCGAGGCTTCCATTGAATCAAGCTTGCAGGCCACGCTTGACAAAGATAAGAACGGGACGCCGAAGAGAATCTTCGTCACCTTTGTCGATCCTTACAGGTTGCTGAAGGAAATCATTTGAGAAAGGGGTAAGCGATCCACTACGCTCAGGGAGGATCAAATGAAATGAGACAGACAGCAGAGATGCAAATGCGTGTTACCGCCACTCTTCTGTGATGCATTCGACATGTCTCAAAGCTTCACAAAGATTTCTTTCGGTGTCACGAGCTCTTTGGCACAGTCTTGAGTATCCTCAGCAGACTTTAACTACGATTCTATAGCAATCTCCCCTTTTGCCTCTCGTTGACTTCGGTCCGTAAAGTCAATTTCAGCACTCACTATCCGTATTCTAGGTTCGATTATAGCGTCAAGGAGTTACGGCACAAAACGCAGACAGTGAAATGGCACAGAGATACAATTGACCTTACACATTTTATATGTCACATGTACTCACGTTTGCCATGATACCTAAGTGCAGTCAACTACCTTACTGCCGGTGGTTTGAGCGAGACCATTCAAATCTTAGACGAAGCTCGTTACGCTCCCCGTAAGTCTTTGTAGATATCCCTCAGAGCTCGGTATATGTGTGTGACGAAAAATTTCGTAAGTGAAGCTGATCGTCGTAGTACATTCATCGAGCACCATCCCATAAACTCGGCAGCAAGCACGATCCAGAGCTCTCCTTTCTCAGTTTCACAACTCGCGAGCGTGAGAACGGCCGCTAAACCAAGCAGCCCGAAGAATCCCCAGACACTTATGTTGCGCCAGCCAGTGCTTCTGAATTTCCCCATGTGGCAAATATTTCGGTACTCGGCTGGTATTCTGAGCCATTGTTCCTCGACAGTCTCGTTATTCTCAGGATCAGATGTTGGACGGACAATATCAAGAACATTCAGCTGGATTCGCGCAAGTGAGGCTTCGAACCAGCGTCGTACCTCGATCTTCCATTGATCGTCTGGAAGATCATCGCAGGAGAGGTGAGAACAATGAGATTCTGCTTCGAGAGCCATCGCATACGTGCCGTATCGTCTATCACCTACTGCGGTCAGAACTGACATTAGTGTGGAGTCGGCCAGACAGGCTTCAAGAAGTACTAGAGCTGAATCGTTATTGGAAGAGACGCCATTTAAGTTCCGAGAGCGAAGCAAGTTTCTCGGCTCGTTGTAATTTGGCATGTACCAGCATTGGTTGGCCATCGAATCGCAAATTTGAACATGATCGATACAAGTGATTTTCAAGTGAGTAGTGCCGTTGTTGAAATATCTATTCTCGGCTTCCTTGGAATTTGTACAGAGGTCAAACTCACTGACTCCTGGAGTCTGGGCTTTGAAGACTGGGCCATCACGGTATGTTGGATAGCTCATGGAGCCTATGTATAGACCAATTGTAGACTCCCAGAGCGGTGTACCCAATCCTTGTTCTATAAGGTACTTGGTATATACTGATGAGGATCCGCCCGAGCCCCCTCCACTAGCCAAGATATTAGCTAAGAGTGTCTGAGAATTTCGCTCTGAAAGTAGTAAGATAAGAAGCATATTAAGGGCAAGTACCTTCCAATTGCAAAACCAAAGCCTGGTGGCTTTCCTGTCAGCTGAGTGTATGGGGCGCAGGTTGCTGTGCGTCGGAATCGATATCGTTTGGGAGCATTGATTCCGATGACACTGGATTCGGTCAAGCCTGTATCGAAGAGAACGGCTGCATCTCTGTCCGATGTGGAGGAACGGTCCAAATGCATTCTTTCGAAGTCACTGCCCCCTCTAGTGCTCTGGGCTCGCGCATTACACGCTCCATAGCGCCAAGGACATTCCTTCAACGCGTGCTCAGTATAATTTATCTCCTGCCTATACAAGAACCCGCACCCTTCTGTCTCCGGTGGCTGTCTGTAGCATTGCTGGCTGTATGAAGCAGCCCTCAGAAAAGATCTACTACCTGTATATGGTATCATCTGTTCATTCGGTGGATAGCAGCGATTTGACCCTCCAAGTGCTATCGTATCACTCAGGATTCTCGCTGACAGAACGCTCCCGGACGAACCTGCAACAAAAATGCCTACAAAGACGATGGACAGGAATAAAGATATTAGAAGGTCGACTGGCCGCTTGAGAAGTATACTCCAAATGGTCATTAGCCTTTGAACGTACACATTTGCCGATATTTGTCGATTCACGCTTTCAATATGAAGCGGAAGCTCGATGCGCGGTTGAAGACTTTGGACCACATTCGCCATCACATTCAAACTTGCGCCTAATTCAGAATGTGACTCCTCAATGATGTCCATATTACTCCGAGATGATCCTATGGTTGGACAGTCTACTTTGGGCCAACGCCCGTTATGCCATTGCAGAAAAGCGCCATAGATACTCATTCCTAGTCGCTTGATCAGGATCCAAAGTCTAGGCCCAGACAGAGTCAAGGCCATCGCAACGAAATTGCTCATAATAGACGCTTGATAATTTGTGACGAGAAACTGGCGCTCTGCATCATCAGTCAAGAACAACTTCCCTTACTTGTAAACTTACGAAAAGGCCATGGCCGGTCGTAGTCGACCCAACTTCTTGGACCATGAACGACATCACCAGATGGAGTGGAAGCCATGCGTCGTGCCTTTTTAGAACAGGACTTGAATAGAGCACAGATATTTTCAGGAAAAACTGAGTCTATCAGGCAGCCACGAAGGCTGATCTTTGTCTCAAAACCCCCGGTAGACTGTGCATCGATGCTAGTCTGTATCTGTTGTTATAAGCGACTTGCAAGATGATCAAAGCTCACATGCATTACCGCCATAGCCATGCCCTTCAACGCCCTCACATTCAAGCTGAAATGTATACCCGTTTCCAGGGATAAAACCAGACCACGAGAAAGACTACGGACTGTCATATCAGAATGCAAGCCCATAGAGAGATATCATTGACGCCATTGAGAGTGAGAATAATTGAAAAACGACAAGGCTGTGCCACAAAACCTTAGACTCGAACGGAGAGGGATCTTAAGATTACTCAAGAAACTAACCACATTCTCAATCCGTTCTCTTCTGATCATGATGTTCAATTGAACTTATGTATATCTTCCACTTCCGCGTCCAAGATCTCATGTATACGAACCCAAGGCCGATAGACCGGTACAATAGGGTCCTGGACTTTACCTTTCCCACAAACCCTCCATATACCGAGTGTACGCCTGCCGTCCTGCGTAAGGTCCCAGCAAGTCGTGCGATCCTCGTGGCTAGTTCTGTAGAATTCAGTACACCCTGTGTAAGGAGTTTCTCGACGAGAACATTGTCGAAGCTGCTCAATTCACCCAATCCTTACAAAGCAAAACGTTGCGTTGGTAGCAGCACGCCTTTCGTACCACGCTTCGTTTTTGTGGCAATGTTACAGGGCCCACCCCGAAACGGCTTGCTACAATTGCAAGCCTGCTGAGCATTAGGTTAAGGTCAAATCTTTTACCTGATATTCACTCATCTCAAGTAAGAGGATGCCTTTCAAAGCCTCTTTCTGGAAGCCAAAATTCATTCAGATTACTGTAGAATCATCAGGTAGTCCCTTTAGAAAATGAGTCGTTGGCTTCATCGCATATACTCATCGCCCACTCCAAACCTTCTTCTCTCTCTCTATCTGCTTTCACTAATACTCCCTTCCCTTGCTAATACAGTCGACCAGCCAATGATTCAACTATAACGCAAGAGTAGTTAGAAACTATGAGAATGGCGATATAAGAATATCAAGCCCACTAATGTATAGTCACGCTTCTGTACTCCGCAAAGCTGGTACAGCGACGATTTGACACAAACATGTCCAATTACAGCCAAAACAAGAGAGAAAAGGATTTGAATTCACCAGTTGCTCATACATTAATAATCCCTGATGGGCATTCATCACAGCCAACTGCTCGAGCGTGAGAATTTGGGCTGCCCGGAGCGGCAAATTTGCTCATAGCCTTGCCATTTTGTATGTGCAGTAAATATCGCGAATGTGCGTTTGTACTTGTGGAGAACGCTGAAGACTGGTACAGGGAGGTGTCATACGTAGAGATATTGCGGCAATTTTCGACCCAGCAGCATGGGCTAATCTTGTCGAGCAGCCTTGAGCAATCTGTGGGTACTGGCTGAATTTCATATGGTAACTGGGCAACGTTTACATAGGAATGTTTTCATTTGATCATGGGTTGCACTTGACACCTTGAGCCAACGCAAGCAGATCACCTCGGTGCCACAAGGGTATTCAACCTTCTTCCCAAGAGTCTTGACGTAGCAAGATGATCGACGATAGAAAACCTACATTATGTAAGGCGCAGTGTCTGCCTTCTGTGAAGCATATGACATAACCCATACCAATTGCTAAGACTCTCTTTTCGCTTTTCATACCTTACCCTTGATGCAGATACTCCAATTCTTCATCGTGGCCGCTGCGGCGAGCGCGTTTGAGGAAGACATGGTGGTCAACCCACAAGCTAAGACTACCACAACCTCCTCAACCCCGAAGACCACCACATCCTCAGCAGCCCCGAAGCCAACCATCGATTCCGACTCCAACGGATTTGTATACATCGCATGTTATTCAGACGATACGAGCAAAAGAACCCTTTCAGGAGCACACTTCACCAACAAAACGGGTATGACCGTCGACATGTGCACGGATTACTGCTCAGACTCGAGCTTCCCAAAGTATGCTGGCCTGGAAAATGGTCAGGAGTAAGTGAAATCACTTCCGTTCCGATGAGGAACCTGACCCAAGGCTGACGCCAAGCAGCTGTTGGTGCAATTATGATGATCCAGACAAGAGTCGCCGTCTGACTAGCGACGCCAAGTGTAATGTGGCGTGCGTAGGGGATAAGACTGCCCTTTGTGGGGGTTCGTTATCACTCCAGGTATATGAGAGCGGCTGAGAATGAATAATTCCTGCCCGCAACGATGACTATAGCTGCATTAGATGTTAGTCTGAATATTCAGTGCGTCGAAACGTTGACCTGCTGCTCTGTGGCCGCCATTGCTTCCTGGAAGCAATCTAGCAAAGCCTCAGTACTCCATAGACAGCGCGGGCCCGTTGTCATTCATTCATTGCATAGGCGATCAGGGTGTCTACGACGGCTACTCTACAGTTCACCCACCTCGTTGTCTTTGCACAGTGTTTGCTGTAGACATAGTCTAGATCAATTTGATCGTTCTCAATCGACATCAAGACCCTCTTCTCCTCAAACAGAGGCCCCGTCGGCTCTGGAATGGCATTTGCGGCTCAAGATCCATCACAACATGCGGAAATGAATATCATTGCAGGTCATTTGACTGGCTGCTTGCAAAGACATTGCACATTTGGACAGGACACCATCGACATCGCACTGACGAATCAAAACGCGGGATGGATGATGTTGCCAATTTTAGGCTTGGCGTGCCAAGAATCGTTGAACTCCTGAGGACACCAACAGACCTCGTAAAACGCCTTCATTGTCAACGATATCTAATCTTCTCTTTCATATTGGATCGCATACTCATCACCCCTTATTGTCAATCGTTTGTATCCCACGCTCATTTGGCTACACGATTGACATTTGACTATTTCCATCCTCTCATCAAACAAAGAGTCTCTGCTTAAGTGAGACATCTTTACCCACCCTCCTTCAAGACGACTACCCCACACTCGTTGGCCATTATTGACTTGGACGACGCTTGTGTCTATAAGATACTGCGATACTAGAACCCTAAAACAGAAGACGAGAAGTGCTGTGTTTCGGAGGAGATTGGAGTTGGCCGGTTCCAACCTATCCCTATACCTGGGTACGAAAGAGTTTTCGAAGACATTATACAACGAGGGCGACAGGTAGCTCAGTTTCGATCGACATTTCTCACGAAAGACGCACTGAGCCTGCTCTGCCTGGCCCAGTGACTCTAAGAACAAACGAAGCGACTCTGCTCAGATTTTCTACAACGCCAGAATATGATAATACCAACGATCATGCGATCTACGCCCACGTTTGCGGTAATCTTCTTTGTGTCATCTACAGTCCTCAGTCAATATTCAAACCATGTGGCTCGTCCTGTGACCCGATCTCTCGACGCTATCCTTGTTGACCCACAAGAGGCGGAAGCACAATCTCCTGCACACCCGTTCTCAAGATCTCTGAATCTTCGAAACGCCATTTCATCAATACCATACATCAAGCATCTGGACTTACGGCAGGTGGCGCCTGCTGCAAACGCTCAAGCTAATGCCAATGCCAACACTAACGCCAACGCTGCCGCACAGGCTCAACAGCCCGCGAACGCAGCAGCCGGCACTGTTCCACAGCAAGTAGCGCCCGTGCCGGCTGCGAATAATGCTCCCGTGGCGGGCGTCGGTGGGGGCGGAGCTCCGGCTCAAGCACAACCAGCGGCGAATGTGGGACAAGCCAACCCGGTCACGGTCATCACAGTTGCGACGGTCGTGGGTGGAGTAACGAAACAAGTACCGCAAACTTTCACACAAAGCGCAGGGGCTGGGGGATCAGCGCCACCCGTTCAGACGGGGACAATTGGAATGGGCACATTGACTGGAAAGGTTGGAGTTGTGAAGACAGATTCAGCAAAAAGTGATGGTGTTCCTCTGAGGGAGTACACGTCAAAGAGATGGACTGCATTTGGCATAATGGGAAGTTGGACCATGGCCATGTTGCTATGCGGTGCTATGTTAGGAGCAAGAATAATATAATGCGGTCGGGAGGCAGCATAACGAACGTGGCATTGCAAGTTTACAGCATATAATGCGGCGTTTTTGGGATAGATATGGTATGTATAAACATGACAGAGGGTGAAGTACAGGCAGTCATACCGCGACTATTGCTGAGCGAGATGCGTCTTGAAGCAGTCTGTATATGAGTATTTCAAGAATCTCTTTGCAGAACAATAATATACGTGTTAGCTCACAAAAATCAGATGACCAGTTGGGTAGCGTTGCAGGGTCACGTCATGGCACAACACCCCCGCGCTACCCAAGTGGTACAGCTACTACCAACTTTACCATTGATGCCTACATCACTTCCATCCTCGTCAATACCTGTGCTTTCTACTCTATTGTCTTCTTGAGCTGCTATCGTTGATTCTTTTCGAACGCTACAAGGTTCAAAATCTGACTCCTTTCCATCCCTAAACAAACATGGCAGAACAAGCAGATGAGCAAGCAAAAGACAACTCGAGTCAATCTTACCTCTCGACTGCAGCATCATATGTTCCAGGGCTAGGTGGTAGCAGCAGTGGTGGCGATTCATCATCAAAGTCAACAACTGAATCTATAACCGATGCAGCTAAGACCGGCGGCGGGGAAGCACAGAAGGGACTACATGCAACTGGGTTCGTCTCTCCTACCAGCCTGAACCAGCACGTCTTCTAATCAATACAACAGCACTACAGTCAGAGACAACACCTCCGCCCTCCCCATCGTCGGTGGCATCACAGAAGGCGTCGGCAACGCTCCGATAGCCCAGACAATCGGCGGTGCCGAAGAAGAAAAAGGCTATCTATCGCAAGCATACGATTACGCAAGTGAGAAGACGCGGACAGTCTATGATGCAGCTGGAAACGCGGTTTGTCTTCTTCTCATCTCTTGCCTTCCTACCAATCCACCCCTTGCCTACGTTTCCCCTCCGTCACAGCACATCCCACACCAAGCTAACCCTTCCACTTAGATCGGTACCGTAAAAGATAAAGCCGGCTCCTACGTATCCTCCGGCACCAAAGACCCTTCCGATCCGGCCGCTTCAGAACAACCCGCCTCAGACGACAACTCACAAAAAGTCCTCCAAGAAGCCGAAGGCGCCGCAAAATCCGCGGACTCCAAGGCCGGCGCGCCCAGCGAGACCATCTCCTCTGGCGCCTCCAAGGCCTCCGACACAGCCACCTCAGGCGCCTCCGCAGCCACCGATTCTGCAAAAGACGCCGGATCCTCCCTCACAGGCGCCGTCTCCGGCCTAAGCCTCTCAGACTCCAAAGCCCCCCCGACCTCGAGTCCTCCTCCTCCGAACCCTCTGAAGCCAAAGCCTCCGCCGAAGAGAAAACAGAAGAAACGAAGCAGGACGGGCAAGAAAAAGCCTCAGACACCGCATCCCAAGCGCAGAAATCCTACACCGAGACCACCGAGGCGGCGAAATCCGCTCACAGGGATGTAGAGGATAAAGCGCAGTCTGGGATCAAGGACACGGTGGGTTCAGCGCAGGAGGCTACGGGGACGAAAGACGCGACTGGGGACGCGACGGAGGGGGTTGATAAGACTGCCGATGCGGCGAAGGGCGCTGCGAGGGGGGTGGAGGATCAGGCGACGAAGACGGTGGGGGAGACCGGGGAGGGTGTTGGGAAAGTTGGGCAAGGGGAGGTGACCGAGGGGGTTAAGGATGTTGGGGGCGCCGTAGGGAGTGGGGTCCAGGGTGCTGTTGGTGGAGCTGGAGAGGGCGTTAAGGGGGTTGGGGAGGGCGCTGTGAATACGGGGGGAGGTGTGGCGAAGGGGGTGGGGAGTGGATTGAGTAGTGCGGCTGGGGGATTGGGGTTGGGCGGTGGAAGTGGTGGTGGAGAGGAAGAGAAGCCTATCATGGAACGGGGGAGGGGAGAGCTGTAGGAAGTTCGGCGGGAGGGAGGGGTTTGATATCCAGCTGGCTACCAGATTGCGTGTGAGCGTACGTGTTTTTGTTCTTTCGCTCTGACTTGCTGGAGACGAATTGCGGATCGATACCTCGCTGCCCCTGAACGCTTTCATTGATTGAGAAGACATCTACAGATGTAGGTTTAGATACCATTTAAGAGTTGCGTAAATATTCCATCTCGACAAATGTCCATATGCTCAACTACTCATTCCTTCATTCCTTCATGCCTCACGACCTCGGCCACCCCATTCATTACTTCATCAAAGCTGCGAATTCCTGGTCTGGACATGCGTTAGCGTTATCCACGTCTAATGACACTCCACCATCTCCTTCCCTCCCCTTTCCCCACCAGTGCCCCCTTCATCTTACCTTTCCTCCTTATCCGTCTCACCTCTTCTTGTCCTGTCCCCTCCTCCCAACCCCATCAACCCTCACCCCTCCCCCAAAAATCAAAGAAGAGCATGGTACTCACAATCAATCTCCCCATTCCCATCGCGATCCGCCTCCCTGACCATCTCCTCAATCTCCGTATCATTCAGATCTTCCCCAATACTCTTCATGAGCTGCCTTAGCTCCTCGGTGCTGATGGTGCCGTTGCCGTCTTTGTCGAACACGTCGAACGCTGCCCTCAGCTCGGTCTCGGCGTCGACGGGCGAGAGTTTGTGGGCCATTATTGTTGTGAATTCTAAGTGGGGGTTGGAAGTCAGCTGGGGGCGGGGGGTGTGAGAGGTGGAAAGGAAGGTGCAGGATGAGGAGGAGGAGGAGGAGGAGGAGGAGAGGAGAGGGGGGAGGGGGCGGGGGGATGGATGCTGAATAGTAGAAGAAGGAATGGAGATGGCGATACCAACGTGTAGCAGAGAAGAGGAAGGGAGGAGGGGAAAAGGGTAGTGGCAGTGTTAGTGGAGACCTTACCCTCAAAACTTATCGTACCACTCCTATCAGTATCGATCTCGTTCATGAGGTCCTCGAGCTCGGTGTCGGAGGGTTTGAGGCCTAGTTGGCGCATTACGGCGCCGAGCTCGTGGACTGTGATCTCGCCTGTGATGAGGAGGGGAAGTTAGTAGGGGTTTCCCTCAGTAAAAGCATTGGGTTTATCTAGACGAGGCCGTGAGGATGTATTTGTTGTTGATTGGACTGATTGGGAGCTGATCTGGAGTGATATGTATAGATGGGTGGGATAGCTGGACGCGCGGAGCGGGGCAGCGGGGAACTGACCATCGCCATTGTCGTCCTAATGTCATGGTCAGTACAAGGACAAGATGGCTGTTTCTTGGATGAGAGTTGGAAAACACTAGAAGGGATAGGAGGGATGGCAAGGGTGGGTATGAGGGATATGAAAGACGTACGAATAATTGAAAAGCTGCTTTCAGCCCCTCCATCTGCTCCTCTGGAAGCGGGGATGACTGCTTGGTCTATCATCGCATCAGCATACTTTGGAGAAAGACATGGTCTAGCGATAGAGCCGCGAAGTCAAGCCTTACCGCCATGTCTTAAGTGGTAGGATGAGTTTGGCTTAAGAAATTGCTAGGTCTTGCGGTCGTTTATGAAGGTTACGTTTACATCTAGGCTTTTCCAATAAATCCAAAGAAGAGTTTGGTTTTCGAGATTCAGCAGCTGAAATATATCAAAGCTCGAGGTCAACAGGCGGTGAGATGCTTGTCAGATGGGAATGCAACGTTGTTTGTTGTTGATGGAATGACTCCCCCGCTTGTGTCTTCACCTGTGATGTCAAGCTTCAGCCTTGTTCCCCCACCCACACAAACCAAGGAAGTGGGATGGGCTAGCCCTATCACCGTTGCATAAAACGCTCTAGACTTTTGCCTGATTTCCTGACTTCGAAAGGCCAAAAACGATTGCCTGATTTCGACGGGACTCGAACCCGCAATCTCTCGATTCGTAGTCGAGCACGTTGCCATTGCGCCACGAAACCTTCGTTTTCGATCAATTTCGAATTTATCTAAAATTATATAGCTTTATGTTAAGGTAATGCTGTAAATGTAGTTTGCAACGAAGCATGTCAAGAATAGATGGTCCTGGGAGTAACGACTTTTAATGACTAGTATTGTTGAGGCTTGTTCTAGAAGGAGTTGAGGCTCAGGAACCGGAGCAATCAGACCCGCGGGAGCTCACCTCACCTGGGAAATCCCTTTTCATATCATATATTCATCTTCCTAGACATTGCCTGGACTGAAGGGTTTTCATGCCTATAGAACCCACATTAGGTAACCAGACAGATATGATAAGCGTAAGCACGGGTGCTTGGCAGCATGATCACATTAAGGTAGGGACATCAGGGGATGCCTGAAATATCTTACTGCAAGTGCTATCCAGTTGAAGGAGAGTGATGCCTGGGAAGGATCATGACGAATCATCAGTGCAGAATCGTCCGGCGAATATCATCATTATTTCGATACTCGATTGCTCAACATCTGATCTATCTCGTCACATATATCGTACATTACACAAAATTGCAATCCAGCCGCCGACGAAAAGGTGACCCACCCGCTCGTGTGTTTTCATGCGACTCAAAAATCCAAGCGAATCTCTGCACGCTCTGCAAAGATAAAAATCGAAAGATACACTGCAAATATGCAATGTGGGGGGGGATCATCATCATCCGAAAAGTCGAAGATCTGCCGAGAATGGGTATTAGAGTTGGGAGATGGTATATGCATCATTGGTCCACGTCAATCTAGTGCTAGCTGATGAATCATTGTATGAAATCCGTGGCGGTCGTATCGATGGAGAAGGCCGTTGCTGAAAAGGTCGCATGGGAAGTGGCGGAGCGTTCTGCTCTACGCTTGGACTGGCTGAAATGAGCTAGCCATGTCCAAGTCGACCTCTTGCGAAGACATCGTAGGGGTCGTGCCATCGGAGCCGGAGGCTACAGCGTCATCGTAGCCAGACAGCGTTTGCGCATGAAGCTTGAAGGCCTCGCCCATGAGCTTTGTAATCCTGAAGGCTGCTTAGTAGAGCAATTGACACGACTTGTAGGATGGCTTACCCCCAGACCACGACTTCATCCAGCATTTCACCCCATAATTTGGCAACGACAGAGCCGAGTCTGCCTTCCACATCGTAGCCTTCATCTTCGAACAGAGTGCGGACCTTGTTATACATGGATATTTCTTGCTCCGACGCATGCTCTTCGTCGTGTTCAAGTCGATACAGCCAGAGACTGAGGATGAGGATGAGATCGAAGTTGCAAAGTGGATGCTCGATACTCCAATTCGTGGCGCAGGTCCTTCCCACCCACCGAATGCCTTGCTGTGCGACGATCTCGATGGAGTTGAAACACTCCTCAATGACTTTGATCATCTCTTGCGACCGTTTTACTTTGTCCCTTGCAGCCGTCATTGCGCCATTAACCTCATACGCGTTATGGTATCTGATCGCTTCCTGAACGGCCTTGAGGTCAACTTCCAACCGAGCACGGGTATTCCTGTACACAGCCATAGAATTGAAGATGAGCGGATGACCCTTGTCAGGCGCATTGAGTTGTACAATCATGGTCTCTGGCTCGCACAACTCGAGTGATCCTTCCCATGTTTCTAACCCCAGACGAAGCTTGTATTCCGTGACAACGTCTTGCAGGGCATCGAAATTGCCTTTCTGAGACCAAACTTCCAAAGACAAAGCATTGATCATGACCCGGGTCGCGAAAGCGCTGTATTTGACTTTTTCCCCTTGGAAGAGGCTGTCATACGCCGCGCGGACCGTAACGTTAGTCGTCTGAGCCAGACTCTCTTGCCAGACCTCTTCATCAACTACGTCTAGATTCCAAAGTGACTCAGTCGCAGGTAATATGAGCGATTCAAATTCATTAAAGTTGATGGCAGGTGTGTGATTATAGGTCAATGTCAGCATGCCGAAGAAAATGTAGACAGCGTAATACGTTCTCCGACAGCCTTCATCTTCAACCCATTCGCTGTGTGAAGGTGGTCTTCCTTCCCGCGCTTCAGTCCGTAGATTCAGTTCGTACCGATTGCCAGATACCATCTGTGTCAAGGTTAGCTTCATGAACCTCATGAAATTCAGAACACTTACTCCTGCCACGAGACTTTTAATTGAGCAAGTCCATTCCAGCCCTTTCGCATCCCCACTCCAGCTGGCAAAGATCATGTTGAGGAGAGTACTTTGCATCACCCATAATGGGCAGTTCCTTGAGCTAAAATCCTCGCTGTTTTGTACGTATTGATTGTTCAACACTTTTGATCCCACATGGAACATGAATGCCTTTTCTGGATTAAAAGAGTATAGTGAACCAATAGACAGGACCGAGAGCAAGAGAGGAGGCGAGATTCGACGAGCGTTGAAGGAATCTGGATGTAGGAATGGAAGATGGTGATGAAAGAGTTTGAAATATGATTCGAGGTAGGAATTGAGGTCTGCCCGGCTTTGCTGTTGAAATGTTGGATAGGTCTGCTCCTCCGTGTCATAATTTCTCATATTCTCTTGCATTGCGCGATGATCTTCCTCCGATTGGATTTGTGGTATCCTTGGCGTGGTGATGGGTTGACTTGGTCCTGGCGAGCGTCGATAGTCTACCGGAGAGACTGGGCCGGTCATGAAAGGAAATGGCGAGAGACCGTTTGGCGTACCGGGCCCCGAGATGGGTATGTTACCGTTGAGATTCTGAAGTGAGGGGGCAAGGGCGTCGTTGTTGGAGGGAAAGCGCTCCATCATTGGAGGCAATTGGGCGTGATTTGCGTGCGGTTGTAAGGTACTGGCGCTATTAAAGGAAAGCTGTGACAATTGAGTATCTTGCGAGCCAGAAAGACTCGCGGAAGAGATGGAAGAGGCTTTAGGTTGATTTACCGAGTTTGGCATGAAATTCTCCCATGGCATCTGGGGCATTGGCACAGCAGTCGTCATGAACGGATTGTGGCCAGCATCAAACATGACGGTATGATCGGGCGAATAGGGCGTGGTATGATCGTCGAGGTGTTCCTCTTGCGAGGCCATCTGGGCCGTAGCTTTGTGGTGAAGGTCGGTCATCAACATTGCGGCAGTCTCAAGGTCAACCATACCATCACTGCTAGCCTCTATCTGTTCCAGCGCTGCCGTGTCCAGCCCCATAGCCGGCTTCGTCGGCGTTGTCTTCGGTGCCGCCTTGGTTGTAGTCCGCCTCTTGACTTCGCTGGAGAGAGGAATGCCTCCATCTTTGGCATGGACGGTTCGATCGTGACGGAGGAGCAGGTCTCGCCGGACGAAAGTACTTCGACATTTGGCGCATTTGAAGGGGCGCTCTTTCGTGTGGGATCGCTCATGTCGGGAACGATGTTCTGAGCGAGAGAAGGCACGATTGCAATAGGAGCATTTGTACTTTCGATCCGGTGTCGAGGTGGGTTTCTTAGGAGAAGCATCGGGAGGCGATGCGCCTGCGACTGCGGGCATCGTCCCTTCAGCAAGATGTCGAGGGCCAGCGACTTTGCGATAAGAAATTCAAGCCAGCTGACGCGAGAATTGAAGGGTGTTTGCCCATCAATTGTTGTGGTAGAGAAGGTGCGATTGCGTGGAGGAGCGAGAGGGCGGGGGAGCGAGGTTGAGTTTAGCGGGACTTGGCTTCGGGATTAACGTTGATAACAGGTTTGGTGCATGTGGTTGGAGGTGTATTAGCTTCGCGGTGAAGGGTCGATATCGCGAGAATTATGCGCATTTGGTTCTATGGTTGAGTATGGCTTCGTGATTGAAAACTTTGCAGACTTGGGATTTTCTTGGAGGGGGAGGAGGAAAGTGGGGCGGTTTGCTTGATTTGGGACAAAAAGGGGGCCAGAGAGGGAGGGGGATGCAAAACGGGCTAATTTTGCATACAAGATTACGATGGAACAGTGATGAAATAATCCCATATCACTGAAATCACAGACGCTCCCCTCCCTTCCAGACCGTCCACGACCAGTCACTCCCAGCTACTTGCTGACTACTTGAACACTATGTCTCGCGGTGTAGTGAACAAGAACAGTCGGTCAGAATGGCGCCACGCTTCATTACTGCCTAGAGTCGTGTGCTTCGCTGGCTGGCAACATAAGCACGCGTTCCTGCCAACCAATTACAATTTATTCCTCACGAGTCCGGCGCGTCGATTCGTAGTTGATATCTGATATCATGAGTTCGTTCTGGACACTGCAGTGTCGATGCGCCAGTGACTATGGTCTGATGTTGTGAATACGGCAGCAACAACAGTTCTCTCATTCACTACTAGCTATACCGCAACGTGAAGGATGGTAACCAGGCGGGCCGGCGAACATGTTCGATGTTCCGTGGCGAAAAAGACGGTACACGGTACACCTTGGCGGAGGCTTTGACCTTCACGCGTGCCATTTATGGCAGGTTTCTCGGACCAAAGTGACTTCATCCAATCTTGATGTGGCTGATCTGGCCTCAATGCAAAGAGAGTTTGGGGATGTCTTCCGGGTGCCGGGGAGACTGCCAGATTTCCGCTAGATGCACATCCTTGTCACCTCGTGGCATTACCATATATTGACGCCTGCATATCCACCTTAAATGTGAACATCGGTGGTCGGTATTACGGATGTTGACTCGTCGGTGCCCATTCTTGTACAAGTAGGCTGTCGTCGTGCTTCACCATTGACAAAGGCTTGTTCTGAGGACATTCAGATCCTTGATGCTGACTTAGAGATATTATTCTACCGGCCCGGCAGCCGCAGTCAATTTGCCCCTCTAATTGACTGTAAGCCACTGAAGACCTTGAGGCCCCCGCCGCTTCTGTTACTCTAGAAGTTGACTGAGTTGAGCAAGTTGTAGAGCCTATGATTCATCCAGTCAGGATCCGCACGAACTACTATACTTTTCATATCCCTACAGTTGCGGTTTTCACCATTGTTACTGTCAGCTGTCCCTTTAAGCGCAAAAAGTTCAGACGATAGCCCCGCATCCGCCCAGCTGGCCGGATGATGATCGACATAAAATAGAAGATCCAAACTTCGAGAAGCTTCCGGGGTCGCACGTGGCTTTCAACCAGAGTTTAGATGTGTGCTGATCACAAGGGACAAATGTTGGAGCGCGTTCGTTATTCTATGACATTATTCTGATTTGGGTGTCGGATGAGGCCCAGTTTTCATATCTCTACGTAAGGTGCCTCCCGACTTTTGAGGGATAATTCTCGAGCGTGACATGGTCAAAAGAGATATCAGGGGAGAACGCTGGCATTTAGTACTACGTTCTATCTTTCCGGACTAGGGAAAGTCCGCAGTGAAATCATAAGTCTGCTTGGTCTCAAATCCAAAAGGCCTCATGGAGATAGATAGCGGTCCATATCAATTTGTAGTATCTTTGACTCCCTTTCTGCGAAGCATCAAATCTTGGCGGCCTTCGCTCACTCGCATATCCCACATTGCCCCGTTCGCTCCCCACCTAATGGTCAAGCGTAAATCTCTAGCCTTGAAGAAGCATATCATAGCCCTACAAAAACGCCAATTGCATGCATTCTCGTGCCTTGAGGCCGTGATGTTGGTTCTGAGGCGCTGGGGAAATCAGCCAATCAATCCCGAGATCGACTCTCCTCCCCCGAGCGCTTACTTCGACTAGACCGGTGTGGCCTTCGAGCTGATCAAGAGTTGCGCTCATTCCATCGATACTCTCCTGAACAGCTGCTGGGGATTTAGAGAGGCATTCGACGCCAGCTGCCGCCGAACTGAAGCCATGTGAAGCACACCAATGCACGGTCTGGCTCAGAAGCCAGTAAAAGCCTCAATATGAACGGTATTCCCAACGGCATCCATGGGACGAATTACCATTACTCGGAGCGGCCTTCATCACGGCAGGCTTTGAGCAATGGCCAGTATACTTCGCAACAGCAAGCCACCGGTGGCTCCACCGCCAGGGCGCGAGGCCAGTCGATTGGTGTTAATGGCCACACAACAGACCCACCTCCCGCGACTGCGTTGTACGTTCGAGCACTTTACGACTATCATGCCGATGATAGAACAAGTCTCAGTTTTCGCCAAGGAGAAACAATTCAAGTCCTCACACAACTAGCAAGTGGTTGGTGGGACGGGGTGATCAATGGCGTTCGCGGCTGGTTCCCTAGCAATTACTGCGTTGTTGTTCCAGGTCCAGGCGAGTCCTCGTTAAGTAATAGCCAGCAGCTCAATGGCGGTGATATATCGGCTGAGTCGGGTACGGAGGATGAATATGAAGAATATGAAGACGTGCAACATAATAGCCATTCCCACAACCGAGAGGAACCCACCTTGTCGGCAGAGGAGGCCGAGTCGAAAGAGCAAGAAGAGGCTGCATTTTGGATACCTCAAGCAACACCGGATGGAAGATTATTCTACTTCAACACTCTCACTGGAGTGTCGAGGGTGGAACTTCCTCTCGAAGCTCCCACCTCGGCCAATGAAATGGGCCCCCGCGATCGCATGAATATCCATGTGCCCGACCAGACAAGACCGCCACCAGAGATGATGGCTGGAGGCTTCGTGCGGGACGAAGATGAATATGATGAGGGTGAATCGGCATCTGAGGTAGAGGAGTCTTTCATGCTGCAAGGGTCACGTCCAAGGAGGCGGAACTCGTACCTATCTGAGGGCATTTCACCTGCGGCCTCACAAGAATCCTTTAATTCACCTTACCCGTCAAATAGAGATTTTGACTACCAAGCCACCAGTATGGATGCGGTCGCACAAGGGCAACTCGGCATTGCAGGTACTACACCATTCACGAGTAATGCGCTCAGCCAAATGTCTGGCACGAGTGTGCCGCAATCTTTTGTCGACGAGGGCGGTATGATCCCAGTCACCTGGAATAGGCTCATCGACAACATCAGTCGCGCGATTGAATCCTACAAGCAAGTCATCAACAATGCCGACCGGTCCGAATTCGTTCGCAAAGCTGAGGACATATCGGATCACTCACGCATGCTCTTAGCCGCTGGTTCAGGTACAACTGACAACCACTCTGGCAACCCCTCTATCATATCGATCAATAAGGCTCTCTACCCTCATTACCGAGACATGATGTCGCGATTCTCGAAATTGGTCCTCTTCTCCCATAGCGCTGCTGCTGACTACCCAGCAGCAGATGCCTACTCCAAGTGCTTACAAGAAGCCGAAGGCGTTCTGCATGGCATGTACGGATATGTTGAGGTCGCGCGGACGCAAAGAGGAGAAGAGCTCCCAAGACTCGTACCAGGATTTGTCCTCGGTAGCAATAACGGAGGGAGTTGGCAGAGCAATGGCTTGTCTAGCAAAGAGGCGGTAATGGTGACATCTTTCATGGACCAAGATGACTACGATTCTTACAATGAGCCAAATGTACCACTGGAGGGCCAGCTCCTAACCCGAATGGACGAGCTGAAGAGAATGATTGTATTGAACATACGCAGGCTGGAAGAGCATTTAGTTGCGCGGGAGAAACTTGTCACGCACATTCGACACGAACAGATTGGCAACAACGTCTGTCAAGCGGCTCAAGGCGTTCTTGGTGTCTTCAGGCCCTGGGTTTCTACCGTTGAGTCTATCGACCTCTCACCACTTGCCCCCTCCCTGAGCAGCACTCATCTAACAGACTTTGTTCTGCAGAAGCAAAGTCTGTACGACCTCGCAGCAAAGCTTGTTATTGCTTGTCAGACTGTTGCAGCACCTTTGGGCGATGAGTGGTCTGAGAACAGAGGCGAGCCCTTGGAAGATCGCTTGAGTGAAGTGCGATCACTCGTGCGTTCCTTGGAGAATTGCATATCACAAGTAGGGTTTTCAATGCAGCTCCTTCTTGACATGATGCCACGAGCAGAGTTGGACGGGCGTGATGCTCCGGAGCATCATGAAATAAAGAAGCACCGGACAGACCCTACCTCTTATGAGTCGTCGACCATGCCTCCTCCTTCAAAGATCGTCAGACCAAGTCTTGGTGATATGAGCTTTCCCAATTCATACTCGGAAGGTATGGAGCCACCTCCTGAACAGTTCCGCCCTCGGCAGCAGGATAATTCCAAGGTCAAGAAATTCTTTGGTGAGGTGCCACGAGATATCGAAGAAGAGCCTTCATTCCTGCGGCTGGAGCATGAGGGGGAAATTTCCTATGATAACAAGACGGATACCCCAATATTACGTGGAGGCACTTTAACGGCGTTAGTTGAGCAATTGACGCGACATGACAGGCTGGATTCGCCCTTCAACAACACGTTCCTACTTACCTATAAATCGTTCACCACGGCGAGCGAGCTCTTTGAAATGCTAGTCAAACGTTTCAATATACAGCCTCCCCGAGGTATCTCCGAGACAGACTACAAGACGTGGGTAGATAAGAAGCAGAAACCGATACGGTTCAGAGTTGTCAACATCCTTAAAAGCTGGTTCGACAACTACTGGATGGAGGATACAAGTGAGGAGAGCAATGAGCTTCTGAGGAGAGTACACTCTTTCGCAAAGGATACAGTTGCTACCACCGCAACCCCTGGATCGGCCCCGTTGATGTCTTCGATTGAGCGACGTATGAAGGGTCAGGATCCTAATGCTAAAGGTCTAGTACCGACCCAGGCCACGTCAATACCAGCTCCCATCATGCCAAAGAACATGAAGAAGCTCAAATTCCTTGACATCGATGCTACCGAATTTGCTCGACAACTCACCATCATCGAGTCAAGGCTGTACGGAAGGATAAAGCCTACAGAATGTCTGAATAAGCAGTGGCAAAAGAAAGTAGGGCCAACTGAGAAAGAGCCTGCGCCAAATGTCAAAGCATTGATCCTGCACTCGAACCAGCTCACCAATTGGGTGGCTGAGATGATCTTGAATCAGCCCGATGTCAAGAAGCGGGTCGTCGTCATCAAACATTTTGTTCAGGTCGCAGATGTAAGGCAAAGTCCATTGATTGCTATAACGCGCTAACCAAGGTGACAGAAATGTCGCTCGATGAACAATTTCTCGACATTGACATCCATCATATCAGCCCTTGGCACTGCCCCAATACATCGGCTACAACGAACTTGGCAGCAAGTCAATGCGCGAACACAGAACGTACTAGAGAGTATGCGCAAATTGATGAGTAGCAGCAAGAATTTTGCCGAATACAGGGAGACCCTACATTCCGCCAACCCTCCGTGCATTCCTTTCTTTGGTTCGTGTCTATGCAAGCCGTCTTTCGTCCGCTAACCTATCCAGGCATCTACCTCACCGACCTTACCTTTATTGAAGACGGTATACCGTCCATCATCAAGCGCACCACCCTTATCAACTTTGCGAAACGGGCAAAAACTGCCGAAGTAATCCGCGATATCCAACAGTACCAAACCGTCCCATATCCCCTCAAGGCTGTTGGCGATCTGCAGGATTATATCCTCAGTAACATGCAAGCTGCTGGAGATGTGCATGAGATGTATGACAAGAGCTTGCAAGTGGAGCCGCGAGAGCGAGAGGACGAAAAGATTACAAGGTTGGTGGACATGGGTCTTCTATCATGACAGAATCCACCCCTGCACCCAAAAGCGTAAGCATCACGCTTCACACGTTTTACTAGGCTGTCAGACCGCGTCGTTCTTGAATCATATTCTCAGGAAGCCGAATGCAGCTGACGATGATTGCTCTAGGCTTCTATCAGAATCCGGCTTCTTATGAAGGGGCAGCCCCTTCCTTCCATGTCGCATCGAAGTGACTCCTCTCATGCTATATATGATATGTCATCGCAAAATGTATAGCTACTCTACTACTTAGCGAGAACTCGCACGACCAACATATTTCACTTCTACGACGTAATGATTTAGAGCGACACCATCTAGGCGCGATATTAGGTACAGATTTCTCATCTATGGGTCGATACGGCGGATGTGTGCGACGATCTTTGAATTGATGGCAAAGCTATCATTTGACGTAACTGAGGCCTTTATTGTACCTCGAGCTACTTACAATCCCATGTACATATGTCATTCAATGTTGTGATTCTACCTACCAACTTCAAACGTAGGTTTATGTGGAGGTGACGTCTTGAGCTCCATCATCTAGTAATTGTGCCCCAAAAATGATGGAAAGAATATATTTCGCTGCATCAAGTAATTTTTAACTTCTATCGCCAATAGTTGCCTTCAAGCCCCATATGGTAGCAAATGACACTGAAGTCGCCCAGCAGCTTAGCGTTAGGACCGGGAGTCCTACGTGTGGCACTGGGGAAGCACAGGGTGACCTGTACGCCGATAACGTGGGGTTCACCTGGACCAAACGCCTCCAGGTTATGAGACAGGGAGGTGGGGTGTGTATCTTTCATTAGAGCCTACTTAGGGTAGGACTAAAGCTCTGGCAAACCTATGACAGCCGAGTACTCAACCCCTAATCAGACTAAATCGTACAAGTTGGTCTTCGATACCAAAATACAACCCGCAATTCATCTAGACCGAAGTGCCCAGCGTGCGAAGAGTTGCATCAGCTCATCTTCATGGAAAGATGATCAGGCCTCACTGCATTTTATGTATATTGCATAGTCAACCGCCAGACATTATTGACTTCGCAAGACTCTTCGAGTGCTCTTCGGTATCGCCTAGAGACCCGTATCGACAAATGACTTGCAGTATCACTCCGACGTCATTGGACGCAACCGCCTCGTGGCCCATCAGGTAGACATAGCTTGCCCGGCTGGCATAGTTCCTGGGCACCCTTACATCGGCCTCCATGTCTGCCAGCGGGTCGAGTGCTACCTGGCTGTCAGTTCTCGAAGAAAAAGTGCAGAATGTGAATGAATGTTTTGGACAAGGCTATGCCACTACAGGAGCCGTTAGCACTAGCCGCTCTTTTCGTTCCACACTCGAGTCATTTTGCAAGAGGAAGGGGGTGGACAGGGTGTCGCGAGTATGTGCCAGAATACTACCATCGTACACTCCCATTGTCGACTTAGCAAAAGCTGCCGGCGAATCTGCGGCGGACCTGCAGGGTTTGGCGTCCAATCACACACTCGAGAGTCTGGTCTGGTGGACCTCGTTTGCCCTCATAGAGGTAAACGGCCTTGCATAACGAGTCTACAATGTTGACCACATGATAGCATGGGTGGACAGCTGGGGCAGAGCTTGATTCCCTCATTCTGCTAGTGGCTGAGCTCAATAACAAAGTGCCGTCGTTCTCATCGCGATCCCAATTTCCACACGAGAAACGAGTGCAGAAACCTCTGCAAGAAGTGTACAGCCTCTTCATCGATGCGCATATCCACATTGCATCTTATCTGTTGCAGCATGACGCACGTAAGCAACATCTCCCCAGTGTTATCCTACACAGGCTAAGACATTTACTACAGCTCAGGATGTTGATCCCGCAAGGAACAGGGAGCTGGGAACGTATATCAGAGAAACCGGTGCACGACTCGAAGAAATGAGAGGTAAACACAAAATCATGATCGATCAAGCAAAACTTGACGAAGAAAGAGAGAGATACAGCAGAGAGCAACCTACTCTCAATGGGCAACGCAGTTCAATAGTCCACGTTTTCTTTCAGTCGCAAAGAAATCTGGGGCATGGATCATACGGTGCAGTTGACGAAGTACGCGAAAAGTCGACCGGCGACGCCTACGCCCGGAAACATATCTCTCTAAGGGCTGACGACGATAAATCTCCAGATGTAATCGAAAGAGAAGTAAAGAACGAGGTTGCCATCATGCAAAAGCTAAGCCACCTTCACATTGCAAGGGTACTTTTCTACCTGAAAGAAGGAACCGACGCCTACAGTATTTTCATGCTCCCAGTCGCAGACTGCGATCTTCGAGAATATTTGAACAAGTGTACCAAAAGAGCATATCCTCCCAAAATGACCAAGAACATTTTCCCTTGGTTCGGCTGTATACTTGATGCGCTCGCTTACGCTCACAAATTGGACATCAGGCATCAAGACATCAAACCATCGAACATACTGATCAAGAACGAGCAGCCTTATCTTTCAGACTTCGGACTCGCAAAGGATTTCGCAGAATTGAACACAAGCAAATCGAAAGGAGACAAGGTGCAAGGGACTCCGGTCTACCGGGCGCCAGAAGTTATCCCCAAGAAAAGCCGCGGCCGTAAAGCTGACGTTTTCGCCTTGGGGTGCGTCTATTCAGAAATGCTTACTGTTTCTCAAGGAATCTCTTTGGAGCAGTATCGCGATTATAGGCAAGAAGCAGGCTCGACTGCGTTCCGTGATTGCTTGCCAAAGGTGGAAAGGTGGCTTAAGGGGTTTGAGAGGAAGCCACTCGTTGACATATTAGTGGATCAAATTCTAGACATGATTGAGGAAGATCCTGATAAGAGGCAGAGTGCGGAAGAAGCCGTGAAGTTCCTGAAGCGAGAGCGTTCATTATTTTGTGTAGAGTGAGTCTTCACGCTTGAGGACATTTTGAGGTTTCAGCGAGGCGTTGGCAGGCTTATCTGGGCTACGATCTATGTGTTATGTTGGGAACGCAGCATGTTGGAAGGGCAAAGCTCTTGGGATGTGACAGAACCTCATACTGCATTTATCACTTCACCGATTGCTGTTGGTTCTCTATCATACCAAGACTTATCAACTTCATCAGCCCAACATATTGGCTCAAGACACCCTACATGCTCTATGATCCGTGCGGCTGCTTTGTTCCCATTGCTGATTGCGGCCTTGATATCCCATTTGCCTCCTTCCGGCAAGTCGAGCTTCTGTGCCATGTATGAAGCAGTATAGCCGCCGACAAAACTATCACTGTGACGAATGCGTTAGTGCATACACTGCTGGAGGGAGGCGGTCATGACGAAAGACTTCGTCAGCAAATGTGAAATAGGAAATACGTACCCTGCGCCTGCCGTATCGAGAATTCTCAAGTCTTTCTCGGCCTCTACATACCCAGATTCCCACTCATTGAGAAAGTAAGCACCCTTCTCACCCAAGGTGATCACAATGTTTTTCACCCCAAGTTTCTGGAAGTATTCTGTCACGGACGTCCATCCGGTCTGATTGACGATATCATCTGGTTTGATCAAAGACAACAACACCGCCTCAGTCTCATTCATTACCAAATGGGTAATCATCGGGTAGATATCCGGCAGAAGATAAAACGCAGGCGACGGATTCAGCAAGACCTCAATATGATTCAGATATGCCGTCTCAATCGCCTGCTCAACCGTCTCTCGGTGCAGCTCTAGCTGAGCGATGACCAAATCAGGCTTGACGCCCCCTCCCAGACTTTCCAGCGTCAAGAACTCCTCGGCTTTCCGTTTGTACGCTGCTCCAGGAAACTGCATGATGCGATTGGCGCCTGTCTTCTCCTCCACAAGCGTGACAGCAATCCCATTTCTGCCCGGAACAAGACTGACACCGTCGGCATTCACACCGCAGTTATACAAACATTGTTTGAGCGCTGGACCGAATTCATCGTCGCCCACTGCACCAACCATGCGGACTTGAATGTCCTCGCCGGAAGTTTTGGGACGGCCTTCTACATGATTCTTTGGATTTGGGCGGGTGAGACGATGGACGGCGACGGCTGAATTTGCGCCCTTACCGCCTGGGGACATGGTGAAGGAGGACGAGGTTACGGTCTCCCCATTATCGGGCAGGCGTTCCGTAATGGTCACCATATCCTGCGTGATCCCGCCCAGGACGGAAACTATACGACCCATCTTGCTGGAGGATAAGTGTCACTTCATAGCAAAATTTACAGCCTACGTCAAAATCAAAGGACGTTGGATGATAAGTTGCAGGATGATACAGCAACAACAATAGATCAAGAGGCGTGGAAAACATCGCCCCCACTGGAACTACCCCACTATATGATCTAGAATCACAGGCAACCTTTTAGGGTCTGTCAGTAAGGCTGACAGGCTGCGCCGTTGGAACCAACCCCCTGCAGATGACGTCTACATGGCCTAGAATAGGGGCCGAGGGGGCATCCTCGACTTGTTGATGGTGGAGATTGCGCTTTATATATATTTCCATTCCACGACTCTACTAGCTCCCTCTCCTCAAGAGGAACCTTCAAATACGATATCAAGCATCACATAGTTGCTTCAGAGCCTCGAATGGAATATGAGCTGCCTATTCAGGATGTGACTGGCCTACACGCTTCCGTATATCACAGCCAGCGATCCTATAGATCTTCCGATTGTTATCGTCCCGAATCTGTCGTCGCCAGCACGCGGTTAGGGAATTTGATCCAGCGAATTCAGACAACCGGAGAATGTCACCTGATATCGCGGGCTCTCTTCGCTGCTCCCGTCCTGGTCCCTTATCTCTCCCTTTCTCCATTCGCCTGCAACACGCGATATGAGTTATAGAAGGCGAAGCATAGGATGTCACGTGGCTCTCTCACCATAACGGAGGAAGTAGACTCGGTCCTTGATGACGTAGTCTCTTGACTCGATGCTATCATTTGGCGGTTCTGGGGGCTGTGACGGCGGCATGGCTCAGAAGGTGGATATACTTAAGTCGATGCGCGCACTGTCAAAGTCGCAAATCTCGGTAGGACGGTCGAAGTTTGTCTATATCTGATCTTCTCTTGATATCAATGTTTACCATGGGAAGCGGCGTGGAGCACTTGGAAAGTGATTTATGATCCGAGTCGTCATCGACTTCCAAAGGAAGTTCAGAGTCGTTTTGCGGCTCTGCTGCGATTACTACAGCTGATCTTCTTGGCCTGCAGGACACAGCTTCGATAGCAGCGAGTCAAGTGACGAGCACTTTACTAGGGTCACCAAAAATGGGCGCTGCCCCCACAAGTCAAAATCTGGACTTATGCAGCGCTAGGCACAGTCCGCCGCAGCTTGTTCAATCGGCCCTGGTGGGGCACATCAGGCGTTTGCAAATGCCGACACCGGGCTTGTCGTTCTATTGAGAATCCCGTGATGAGGTATTTGAGAGTCTGATGAGGAGGCAAGCCTTAGAAAGCATAGCCCGATACCTGCATGGAGCCTGAGAGTACCAATGTCAAGACTGACTGCGGTGTCGAAGTTGTATAATGCAAAATCATCGTCCTCCCGCCTCCCAGCGTTGAAGTGAAACAACATACTCAATGGGCGAGCCTCTCTCAGCTTTGGCTAGTGTTCTAGCAATTGCTGCATTTGCAGCACACTCTTGTGAATGTCTCCATAAAACGTTACGGTTGGTCTCTGAAGCGCCGAAGGAAATACAGCATCATATCACAGCAGTCCGAGCTTTGCAGTCAACACTCGCTGGGATAGCTAGACTCGATGATGATGTCAAGGATCCTGCACTCATCACGGAGGAGTTTAAGGCCCGGTTGCAAGAATGTATGCTTGATCTCCGGGGGATGGAGAGGCTGACAAGTCCACTTCATGCACAACTTGAAGAAGGTAAAGCACGGAGAGCTTGGGCGAAGTTGAGGTGGTTCTCTCCCGATCATAGGCAGAGATTGAGGGCTTCTTTGGCCCGGATTGAATCTTATCATACCACACTTTCTCTGGACTTGTTACTACTCAATATGTGAGTTAGTACTGTGGCAGCCAGATTTCACTCCATCCTCAGTTCATGTCTTATACTCTGCTAGTCGTCTAAGCCTGCGGCCTGTGAAAACCAGCACCACTAAAAGAAGAACCTTTTACCAGCCTCAGCATACCGCGACTCAGGGTAGAGATCGCCTCGTCAATGATTACCAGCCGTTTCAGAAAGATTTAGGACACAAACATATTCAATCATATCTTCAAAGCCGCGTTCTGAAAACCCAGAATTATCGCCTCTGGCATTTCCTCTTGTGGCTAGGACCCGTCTACACAAACGAATATCACACAGGTAACGACGCCTCCACCGAAATTTCAAGGAAATCAGAGGGCTATGGAATTGCTCTTGCTACGGCATTGTATGGGATCTGCCCATATAAATTCGAGTTGGCGATTTTTCTTCGGAGGACGTGGGACGGTTCTGTTCTCAGTCTCTCCTTGCAGTCGCAACTGTGTTTTCCGAGTATAGTACCGTGGGAAGCCGGGGCCTTTGATATTGTTGCCTCCGGGGATGTCGACGCTCTGGATACTTTGCTCGCTACAAAGCAAGCAACCATCTTTGACGTGCAACCAGATGGATCTACACTTCTGCATGTACATACCTCGCCCCACCGTTAGATAGAAATCTAACTGACGATTATCAAGGTTGCTGCGTCGCTCAGTGACTTCTCTATGATCAAATACCTTCTCGAAAAGGGGGCCAGAGTAAATGCAATGGACGATCAAGGCGGGTAAGCATGCCCTGCTTGCGGTATGGAATTGTGGGATGGCTAAATGTACATCTTAGAACGCCTTTGCACAACGCTACCGAAATTTCAACGGACTATGAGGCATCTCGGCTCCTCATTGATTGTGGGGCAGATCTTTTAAATCAAGACATCGATGGCAAAACGCCCTTGCACACGTTCTACAGCCTGGCTGTCGAGAAGATATGGCACTACTATGGAGGCTTCATTGACGAATGTGCATGCGATCGTCGTGGTCTGACTTTACTCCATTACCTTGCCTGGTCGAGCAACACTCCTTTGGAAACATTCAATAGAGTATACAAGCATAACGTTTCCAATTTGAATGTGGTAGACGTGACAGGTAGATCGATCTTGCACCTTGCTTGCCAACGAGGCAATGTGGCTCTAGTCAATTACATCTTAGACGCTGCCGAGCATCCTGTGTTGGACGCGAGAGACTCTGAAGGGAGGCCAGCCTTACATTATGCTGTTGAAAACAAACGAGCGCCGGAGACGGTCGAATCTCTCGTTGAACATGGAAGCGATCTTCGGGCGAGAGATAGTCTTAACCGTTCGGCACTGCACCATGCAGCGATATGGGACCGTTTACCCGTAGTCAAAACTTTGCTATCTTTTGACGAGATGAAGGACGAGCTACACAGACCTGACTGCTATGGTATGACTCCATTGGATATTGCGGTTCGGTACAAGTCCGACACCGTCCTAGCATTACTGGTAGAAAGCGCTGGATATGAGACTCCCATCAAAAATTTGGAAGATAGAATGATGATACAGACAAGACATTTATTAGACGGCGCTGTCACCAAATCTTCAGTAGATCAAGCAAAGCTAGTACCTGCGCAAAAACCAAACCTTGAAGGATCAGGGTCAACATGGAAGTACCAAAGCTGGCCAACCCAGTTGAAAGAACATTTACGTGCGTCTTTCCATTGTATGGACACGGGCGGCTTCTATCGAATGTTTCGTATCAGCGCTATGGTTTTCACTGCCTGGAAGATCATTATGTTCCTATGGAGTAAGCAGTATAGCTGAGCGATTTTGATGGACCGTTGTGGTTGACGGTGAAGAGATTGAGCGAAGGGATTCCTTTCTAATTCAATAGAGGCAAGATCTTGAGAATCTATATATCTAAAAATTGCAGCAGCATCCATGTCGCTGCATTCGAAATCACGCAGCCTTTCGTAGCTCTTCCTACTCGACCATGTATCATGCTTCGAGACTCTTGATCGGACAGAGTAGCTCAGATCATAGCAGACAGACTCGCAACAAGTAGATCTTTTAAATGCTACTTTACTCCTGAATAAGCCCCTTTGCCCCCTTATCCCTTGAAAGGTTTTAGCGTAAAGTTGATGCACGCAACCACAAATTGACATCGACCTCCTCTCTTTCCGACACACACTTCCTGAAAACCATACTTCTCGATCCCGGGACCCATCTTCCCCCCCCGGTCCGATGACGTCATAATCGTAATAGCCTTTAATGTATCAAGCGAGTGATCATGTCCACAAAAGACCAACCCCCGCCAAACCAACACCCGCGCCCGCCCACAGAACCATCGACCATCCCCTTCTCCTCCCTCCCCCTCGACCCCACAGGCCCGCCAGGAAACGCATGGGGCCGTTTCGGGCCCCATGACCAACTTGGCACGCTGAATCTCATCACACCGTCTGTTGTCGCGGCCGCTGCGGGGGAGGTTAGGAGTGGGGTTAGGGTGTCGCTTGATTGGTGTGTATTCCCCCTCATAGGATAGTAGTTGTGTTTGAGGCTCTGAGACTTTGTTTGTTTTTGTGGTTGTTGGTATTGGTGTGGGATATTGGGGGCGTGAGTAGCGAGGGGGAGAGGGGGGGGGGGGGGGAGCAGGCTAGATGGGATTCAGTAATAGTGACGCTGACGTTTTCTTTCGGTGGGGGAAAAGGCCGCTCAACAAACCGACTTTTCCACCTCATGGTAGGGAAGGTTTGAGGCATGAGATTAGAACGAAAGGGCATAAGGGCCGCGTCGTTAATGATGATGTTGTGAGTTTTGATACGCAGAGTGGGAGTCAGTGGGATGGGTTGAGACATTATGGTTTGTTATCTTCTTTTTTACTTGAGGTTTCATTGCAGGCTGTGTATGGTGTTTGTTTGAATAGAGGAATCACAATGTGTCTTCTTGTCTCATTGTCTCGCTTTCTGGGGGAAAGGGGGAAAGAAGAGAGCGGGAATCCTGAGCACATACTGATCTCACAACAGGCTATTTGGAGGAGCGGAAATACTACAACGATACCTCACCATCTCAAATCAAGGATAGCACTACCCTGGGAATAGACGGTAATCTTCCTCTATCTTACCCCTAACACCTTAAACTTCCCTGCCCAGCCCTCTCATCCTCCTGCCCTCCTCCACGCCAGCCTAATTCCCGCTGCAACCATAGCAATCGCCCAAGCAGGTGGCATAACAACCCGCGGCGTCCTCCTCGACTACGTTGCCTTCGCCGGCCGCCACTCCATCCCCCTCTCCCCTTTCACCTCCACCCCAATCCCGCTCTCCCATCTCCACCAACTCGTTACCGAATACGCCATCACATTTCGCCCGGGCGATGTCCTCTTCATTCGCTCAGGCTTCACACAAGCCTACAACACCCTCTGTCCCGATGACCAGAGAATTCTGGTAGAAACAGGCTTAGATGGAGGGGATGCAGGCGATTTCGCAGGCGTAGAAGCAACGCAAGACGTGTGTGAGTGGATCTGGGAACACGAAATTGCTGCCGTGGCGGGGGATGCGCCGGCGTGGGAGGTGGCGCCCCTTGGGGGTAGGGATAGGAAAGGGTTCCGATTGCATGAGTGGTTTCTGGCAGGGTGGGGGATGCCGGTTGGGGAGATGTTTGATCTGGAGGAGTTAGCCGGGGTGTGTGAGCAGGAGGGGAGGTGGAGCTTCTTTGTGTGTAGTATGCCGCTGAAGGTAAGCATCACCTTTTCCCCCTAAACTTGAAGCCGTGGATGTCTCTCTTCATGATATGAGGTCATTCATGGCGGGATTGAAGTTGACGAGCGAAAGGTCCCTGGTGGCGTGGCTAGTCCACCGAATGCTGTTGCTACCTTTTGATCATGGGTCACTGAAGTTGGTAAGAGACTGTGTGGAATTCGACCTACCCAGCCCATGACAATGGAAGTCCTTCCATAGGCCCCGATGGCTTGTAGCGAAGTACAATCACCTCTGGATTGCGGAAAGCACAGACACGCAGTGACGTCCGTTCCGTACAGCATCCAGACCGCCTTTTCGCCTAAACTCTCGCTGTCTCCACCTACCTTTAGATCATCATGTCTTCTAAGTTCTAACAACTCATCTCCAGCCCTAAGCTCCCCAGTTCTCGCACCAAGTCAGTCTTGGCTAGACTCGCCACTACTGCTCGCTTCTCGAATCCAGAGCCCTATCATAGCAAGTGTGGCTTCTCGGTAAGGCTGCGCTAAGAATCACCTGATCCGATTTCCATGCGATCTTGCCTCGAAGCAGCCAGGACACCATCACACCACTTTTCAATCCCCTCAATGAAGTCCTCAATGGATATGTTGCTATCCCTCTTTGGTCATCGGAACCTCAAATAGTCGTGTCAACGGCCTTACACGTGGTTCTAGATCTACAAGCTTAGCCTTTTACGGTCTGCCCAACCTCATTCTCGGGACTCGATCATCGAGATGATCGAGCTTTTCAAGCCCTATCTAGTTTAGTAAAAGCTTGAGCCTCCATCACAGCAATGTTTTATACTCTTTCCAATCCGCCATGGTCCTAAGCTGCATTCCTGTTGCTCGGGTCTACCTTACGCCCATCTTGTGAAATCATCTTTGTACAGCTTCTTGTCCCCTGATAGACCCCTTCACTCAAAATGCTCAAAGCACTATCCCTCCCGCTGCTGCTCCTTGGCCTCCTCCTTCCATTCACGATCAATGCAGCACCAGAGATCGAAAAGCGCTGGGGCTGCCTCAACGATGGCGAAGCCAGCAAGTTCCTCCAGATCTACATTTCCTTCTTTGAGAAGCTCGACCCCAAAACAGCTAAAAAGTATCTCACGCCCGACTTCTTCGAAGTGTCAGCAAGTCTGAACTTCCTGCTTGGAAAGCTGGTAGGCTCCGCATCCCCCTTTACTTTGCCCTTTCCCTTTCCCAGAATACTGCTTTTCCCCTCCCAAACAAATCCACGCCTTCACTTAGCTAGAGCACCCGCCCATCTTCATCACCATCCTCGCCACGCCTCCCCCTTCTCCTCACCACCCACACACAAACGCACAAAGTATTCACACTAACACCCTCCCCCCTCACAGCCCGACGCACAAACCTACACCTCCCGCTCCGACTTCATCACCGCCCAAACTACGCAACAGAGCTCCGGGGCCCCCGCAGAAAAGTTCACAGTCCTCGACACCATCCACGGCTGCGACACGATCTGGTTCCGCTGGGTCGACAACAGCAAGCCTGTGCCGCTGTATGGATTTGATGAGTTTTATCTGGCAAGGAGTGGTGGGCATGGGCCTCATGGTGGTGGAGACTGGCAGATCAACAAGGCATACTCCGAGTTTAATAATGCGGCTGTGTTGTATAATGCCGGGTTGTTTCCTTGTCCGGGCACCTCGCCCGGAGGGAGCAATGGGACCAAGGCTACGCGCTAGGTATGTTGGCCCGAGGAGTCTAGGCTGTAGATGCTGTGGAAGGGGGAAAGGGAGAAAAGCTGTCGCTTGTATCTATCCGTTGATGCATGGGAAGCCAGAAAATGGTACTGTGGCGACTAGTTTTTAGGTCTCAATAAATAGCAGCAAATGTGCAACCCTATTCAACTGTTTTGCCAGAATCAGAGTGGCAGAAGATACTACCGTCTCCTGTGTTGATCGGTCTTCATTGCAGCGGGTCACTCTTCTTTTCGTACGCCGCTCGCCAGTCTGCTTCGATTTATTGTTCTCTTCGATTTGAGCAATACTTTGTCTTCATCCTCCTTCGACTGCAAGTAGGTTAAGTTTATCTGGCCGTCTCGAAATCTTGTGCGAGCCGTTGTCCTGCAGCAGCTTTCCAGCCCTTGGCGCGGGGTTTTCGTTTCGGCCTCGATTGGTTAGGTGTGATGAATATTACGGCAGAACTCTTCCTACGCTGTAGCTTTCAAACCGGCCCTCTGAAATTCATTGCCTTCCTCCGCTGACCTACATCTATTTCTATGTTACTGATGTACCACTGAATTTACATATGCAATGAGTACAAGCTTTACACAAACTGATACGGCCCTCTATACCGTCAAGGGTAGTGCGTATGAAGTCATCACTAATCTATTTGCTTCATTGCAAGTGCCAATTCTGACAATTCATCGGCGATTACGCTCATCTACTCGTAACCCATTGTGCAACACCCCACGTCAAGCGGTGTTCCAGAGCTTTCACACTGCTCGGCTACTGCGGCTAGAACTCAATTGGATCATATGACAGTGGGCGTGATGGGGATAATCTCCACCGATGGGGGCCCAATTCGCACTTCGATGGACTAAAGCCAGATTAGGCCGGTTCGGAGGCGGATCTAACCCTTTTCACATGAGTCTAATGAATCGACAGCACCAGCCAAGGACTTGGCCAAGGACGTACGTGATGTTCATTCGCTGGAAAGAGGCCGGTCACATAAGGCCAAGGGCGGTAACGTCAAGCCACCAGACCCATCTGGGCTCGAATGAGGCTCTGCGACAAAGGAACGGATTGCAAGGCTGGCTTTCCCCCACGATATGTAGCACCTAGCACATACATAAAAGCCCGACTCCTTGAAAGGAACTCAAAGTTTCCTGCATGCTACCGGGTGTCAGGTGACCTAGGATACTGCAAATAGAATGTCTCAACATGGCAAGCTGCGCTTCAGCATCGTTGACCTTTGGAACAATGTGACGAATATCACCAACCAGAATATTCCTCACGATAGCAGATTAACAATTGCCTCCTCAGGCTATGCTTCCTTGACGAAAGATACATGCGAAGCCCTTGCAGGCTCTGGCATGAGCAGATATGAAGGATCAGCTATTTGGACACGTGCGACCACATGGAAATTTCCCCTATTTCAAGTCTTTGCATTGTTTCCTCGGCCACCTTTGAATCTAAAGACAGAGATATTTGTGATTGTCCATCTCTTAGGCGACCCAATTGATTCAGTGCAGAATCTGCTGCTGAAAATCTCAAGATGCCAATCTAAAGTTAGAGACTGGAAAACCGAGCTTGAACGCCTCAATGTTGATGTCGATCCTCATCGCGGGCATGGCATAGACGAACTGGCGCAGAGAAGGGAAGAGGAGCAGATCAGGCAATGTCGATGGAAAAGTTTAGCTCTTGTGACTGACGCATACGATGAATGGGGAGAGGCTGACCATCAAATCGTGGTCATGAAGTGAGTACAACATTCATACTCTGATGATCATCTGATTAATTTTAGGTCGCTGCTTGATTCCTCTACCGATAAAGCATCATTGCTGGATACTGTTCGACACACGTCAGATGCACTCGCTGCTGATCGGGCAACGAAATATCTTCCAGCCATCATTGCATTAGCATCCTTTGTCGCCATTATTGGAGTCGCAATGGCACGGACCGCAGCTGCTATTGGCGGTCCAAGTTTCAACACCTCCCTTTTCATCAGCGTCGAAATGCATAGCATCACGTTCTCGTCGCTATACTTCTGGATCCTGCCAGCTCTATTGTTTAGCTCTTTCATCGGAGTCTCCCAAACCGAAGCCAGGATACCACGCATCTTAGATCGATTCCATGACGATCTTCAGAAGCACTTTTCCCAACCCACACCGCATGCCAATCTGCCGGATATCACTAGGCGAGTGAATGAGCTGAGAGTATTCACAGAACCAAGTACTGACCATAGGATGTTCCACGGCGGTATATATTCTTGGCAGCCGTCAATTGAGCAATACTGCACTTTGCAATCATCCAATACTGCGCAACGCCCTCAGGATACTGATACATCACGACCAACTGACCCTCTCCTGAATGACACGCCCAATGTTCCATCGCGTGGCAGGCAGGGGAATTCGCAGAATGGCAATCCCCACCAGTCAAGAAATGTGGTCACTCATACCGCTTCATCTAACAGAGACACCTCGCATCAGACAGCTCAAAACAATAGCTCGGCACAAGAGCCCACTCATATCGTTACAACGAAAGTGACGAGCAGGATCTGGAATTGGCTCAAATGTCGCTTCCTCCCTGTACTCATCGTTCTGATCCCCACAATCAGCGGTGCCGTGGTATCCAGCCGTGTGCCACCTGACGGTTGGAACTGTCGCGTAAGTGGCGAAGTCGCAATCTTCTTCGCCTGGTTCATAAGTGCCGAACTCAATCTTCTCATCCAATACTGCATTCCCTTGAGGAACACCACCCAGAAGAAACTCTTCCGGGTCACATTCTCCAAAGATATTTTCTTTACTCTGGGGACCATTGCCTGGGTCTTCGCCACTCTCGTTGGTGCCATGAATCGCTGCGACTGCTGGATCGACCATGACGGCAGTTTGATATTACCACAACGAAAAGACATCGACAGAATCCTACAGCGCCGACTCAATAGAGACTATCCAGCTTGGATCTTTTCTGGTGTGGCTGTGGAGCTGATCGTCATACCGTTATGGGTCAAATTCAGTCATGGAGACGCGCTAAAAGTATTTGTGCAACGGGACGATGGTAGGTCGAATGTTGAGTGGTTCTGGGACATGCGGGATTGGATCAGACGACATTTTATGAGGACGAGGATAAGGACGGATAGCTGGTTCCACTTGATGAGAACTACGCCACGCGAAACGTAACCGTTAGACAATATCTTCTAGTACATGAAAACTTTGAAAGTCCGAAAGCCAACAGTGGATATAGCCAAATGGGCAGTTCTAACCTCGTCCAGGCACCAGATCATGTAATACAAATCGGAGGGCAGATCCGGCTTTTCGACAAGGAATTCCTTAGAAGGCGTCCCCTTTGCGATATTTGAGGAATTACAGAGACTTGTCACTCACGGGGAGTCAGCTATTTAGCTTGACCCATCTATCTCAATATTCATCGGTTCTCTACTGCCTTGTCTCCTGAGTCACATATCCTTAGCCGATTTCGGTCGCATCCACAAGTGACACCAGTCGACGCCAGGTTTCTCGGGTGTAATCACATCACCAATTTTGTCTCAAGCTCTGGCAACCCACTTTCTGAGTGCGTTTTTTAAAAAAAAGTGTCGGACGAACAATTGTCCGATGTATATGCACGGTGCCCCGTACTCTGTAGATTTCGCCGCAAGTGCCAAGTTCGGAAATCAATGCATGCCCAGAATCTGGGCATCGGATCAACTCTGGCGACGCGTAATACTCTGTGGTGCAATGACAAATCTGCTCACCAACATGAAGTCTTGGCGCTTACACCGTCTCTGGGTCAAGGACATGAATACAACAAACGGCAACGTATGAAATTTAGAACTACTGACAAGTTCAGGAGCCTCTTCATATATCATGTCTGGTGACTCGGGGTCAAAATGTGACGCTTAAGGAGGTATAAACCGGCGGCCACTCCAGCGTCTATATTTCTCAAAAAAGTAACCGCTCGTCGATCAGGGCCAATAGATATGGTACTCACATGTTGTTTGTCCCGGCCTCAGCAAAGCTACTGGGGCGAATTCGATCTTGATGGGATCAACATCAGTGTCAGAACGCTCAAAGAAGGTGTTTCTCCTGGCAGTACGGCTGGAATTCCCTCTTATTTCTGGGGGAGAGATGTCAGAACCCGTTTTGGGAAGCCATTCAACAATCTGTCACGACCAAACAAATTTACCGTTCATGGCGGATATTCAGAGGCGAGAAGTCTGATCGGTAATGGCGCTGTAGCCGACTTACAAAGGCTATCCATTCAGGCTCGAGAGTGCATCGCCACATTATTCAGAGACATCAACGACGGATCAGAAAGGTCGTCCCTGAGCGAAATCAAGATCTCGTCTTTCCCGGAATCAAAGCCCACATTGGTTCGACTGCAACTAGCCCCTGAACTACAGCGCTGGAAAGACGCTCAACACTCAATCGGCAACATCCTTCTACCGAAAGGTGCCGGATTGAGTCAAGCCTCAGACAAAGTCCTCAAAATTCTCGGGGCGGAGAGCTGGCCTGAAGCCTTGAAGACAAACAATGCACTCTTTGGCTGCGGAATTGCCAGCTTACTTATGGGCGCCGCTGATGTGCCAACCATGTTCTCCAATTACGTGACTGACATGGTGTTCTACTACGAGCACGGCTACAGCCACATTTTCCCGTCCTTGGAACCGCTTCTGCAGAGGGCACTGGCCGACCCGCACGCGTTGCGGACTCTGGGGGGCCGCGAACGGCGACTCGGTGTTCGCATTGGCAAGCAGTACATCCAAGGCAAGATCGCGCTAGAGAAGCAGCACAAATCGCAGTTGACAAATCGGTCAGCGCGATTGAGCCGGCGAACTGCACAGATCGTTTCTCTGTCGGAGAGTAGTCTGTTGGGTATGGCGGCCGAGGCGATGGCACGGGGCTTCGATCCTGGTGCCGTCATGAGCGACTTGGTTTTCAGCTCGCCGGGGACTGATGTCGTAGACGTGGGATCTGATCTGATGAATTCGGAGGTCATGAACTCGTTCCTGAATGTGGCGGATATCACAGACACGGGCGTCGTGAGTGAAGACGTGTTACGTAGGGTCTATGATGCCTATGCGGCGACGGGGGCTAGGATGCTGACGCAGAGATGGCATGAGCCGCTGGCTAGGATGTGCGCCGCGCTGTATACGTGGCACATCCAGAATGATCGGCATATGTTCCTCAGGCGTGCGATCTTGGGCTGGCCGAAAGCCCGGAAGATGCCGGCGAGACCTCAGTGCGAAGCAGATTTCGACGAGGTTTTTGATAAGGAATATCGTACAACAGGGTTTTCTAGGCCTCTTGATCCAAAATATGTGTGCAATGGCGAAGAAACATGTAATTATGTTCGCCAATTTCTCGATCGTAACCAGGAGGAGCCATTACTCCGGGACCTATGGCTGGTCCTTGTCATAGGTCCTCTGGAGTATGTCAGGGGAGGCAAGGTCGATGAAAGGCGGGAACGAGATCTTGTCGAAGCCTCGCGGCTTAAGATGGCTGAGCTTTTCTCCCGGGGTCTGGTGCTTGAAATGGTCTGGCTGATTGCTCATGCGAATCACCATGCTTGGCAAGTTAATTATCTTTTCGAGGCTGCTATGTTTGGCAGCATTCTCGATGGAGGCACTCTGGCTGGTAAGCTCGATAGGCAGGAGGAGAGCTGACTAACGGACTTGATCTTGATGGTGGACCTATTTGAAACCATTTTTTGCAGATGAAATAGCTATGTAGGTGGCTTTTGACCACAGTGGGAAAATTCATCAAGAACGAGTGTGCAACAACATATTCAAAACCAAAACAATTTAACTCTCCCACTTTTAGCACCCTTGATACTGTTGAACATCGTCACATACCCTCAAGACTTCTAAGTCCCCGTCTCCGCAGGAAGCATCTATTGGGTCACCGGCGGAAGGTACTGCATATTCCAGACGGGCTGATTTTTAGTTGAATCATAAACATTGCCACTCTACCTCAAATCATCAGCCCTTCATCCCCCAAAATTCATGGTCAACTCAAGGAAAAACTCACCCAAGGATACCCGCAAATATGCAAATAAGCGAAAGGCGTCCCATCAAACATCACCCACGCACCGGCATCCCTGACATTCTTCGGCAAGCCCGTATGCGCCGTGGTAATCGGGCTCTGCACGGGATAAATGATCATCATATGCGGCCCGATCGGAATCCCCGGACTCGTGGTATCCTTCGGATTGGTATTACTATGCTGCACGGCGCCATTCAGCATGTAAACCAGCCCCGGGACGACATTTGTGGGTTTGTCGAGCCCGCGAGCGATGGAGGTGCCCCATTGCATGCCGGCGACGTCGGCGCACATGCCGTTGTTGCCGATGATGTTTTCGTTGCCTGGCATGCAGGTCCAGGTGCTGCCGTTTTGCGGCAGCCGCAGGATGCTGATTGTCATGTCCGGGTTCATGTCGACGATGGCGGCGTCGGCGGTGATTTGAGGGGGACCGGAACGCATGGCGCGTGCGATTTTGAGCGCTTGGGTGGTGGAGTCGTCTTTGCTGGGGGTGATGGGGGAGGTGGGGTAGTCTTTGATCCAGTCGGGGAGGCTCATGGTGATGATGGTTGAGAAGAATTACTTGGTTTTATTTGTTTGTTGGATGTGAATTCCCTCAGTCTGTTGGAGATGATGTTCTTCTGTGTGTTGGGTGATGAACTTGGAAAGCTGTGGTCTTCTTACAGAAAACTCGAGGCATCTTTATAGTCTTCACAATGTCGCCCTGTATAGGACAACAATCTTGAGAACCTCGGCAAAAACAGAGAGAGATTTACTCGCAAACATCATGTTACAACCATATGTTGCATGCGATAGTGAACTAGGAGACCGGCGAGCAAAATCCCAAGCCATGACGCTACAGCGTACAGATTCTTGTCAAGTCTTGCCTGGGAGACGGCGAGGATATTCATCCATCAATTCATCCGTCTTGGCAGTCTAGTCCGAATCAGGCAATGGGCGAGGCCTTTTGGTGCTCGGAAGATTCGCGACTTCAGAACGTGGCTACAATACCGTCATCAGTACGTGGCTAAGGTGATGAGCCGAGGAACATTGGAGGAGTTCGGGTAAGGTTCGGGTTTGGTTCTTCCTGATACCCTGACAAGTTCTCTTCGTTCTTTCAACCTGTTGAAAGAAAAGCGAGCTAGGAAAGAAGTATGAGGGCCGACGTAATAGCAAAGGCAATGCCCTAATAATACAATGGTTATGGGTCAGGATGACCCTTTCATTCAAAGTCTTGCAAAGTTTTGGACAAATCCTGTCAGAGGTTGTCAATGTCTCCGATCCCTAGATCTTACCCGGCTACGGAGGTAGGGCAGATAAGATCGATCATGATCCTTGCCACGTGCATCCACTAGCATTCAGCCACGATTTTACCCAAAATGGATTTGGACCCACCCAGACCTTACTAGCGCCATCAGGGGCCGGATACTTTGGGACCGTCTTCCCCTTTTCGCTACACATCTGTTCTAGCATCCTCTCACCGCCAATGATAACTGTGTATTCGCAAGGTCACCTTAACAACCCCTAGTAATGCCTAGCTTACGGTTGCTTCGGAGAAAGCTTGTGATTCATGCTTGACCTGTTTAGAGCTCTAGGGAGATTCCCATGCCCTTGATTTGGTTACCTTACCCATGTGCACAGAGTGGCCTGACCTTTTAGTGTACAAGCTCCGTCGGGCGTCGACGAGATGTCTCCGCTTTCTCATATTCAACAAAACGGCCTTTTCCCCCCTCTGCCTCGCATTTAGACAATTGATCCTTCGTGTTCATCATGTTTGAGCGAGTCTTTCATCAGCTGTTCTTCTTGCTCCTTTCTACTGCGCACGTGTTCTCCTTAAGCCTACCCGCGAGTCCTCCACTGCAAGAAAGAGACGTCGCGAACGAGGCCTTCAAAGTTCTCCAAAACCTTTCTTCAGGCAAACCCTTCTGCTCTTCTCTGATCTATCCTCATGGCCCAGCCACAAAAACCGAGACTGTCACCGTCTCAAAGACAGCAAAACATTGTGCCACTGAGACCCAAAAGCAAGTCGAGCAGGGTGGAACCTTGACGTAAGGGCATCATCCCTCACGCACCCATATCACATCTTCCCATGCTACCACCCGTGAAAGACTTAACTAAAACATCACATCTAGAATAACCAAAAGCACCACCCTCCCAAGCATAACAGTAACGTCCTACTCATCCACGTCCCTCATCCCCAGCGGCGCCACCCCCATCATCAACAAACGCGCGGCCACCACCACGCTCCCCGCCCCACTAACCCCCTTCGCGCCCTCCGCCTTATCAGCAGGCTGCTCCCTCCTCCTCCCCCACCAGCCCTGCCCATCCACCAAGACAACCATCACCACCACCGCCAAAATCCCCTGCACCACAACCCTCACATCCACAAAGACGAAATACGCCGCCACGACCACGACGACGGAAAGCGCCTACCCTCCCCCTACACCGTTACCGCAACAGGCGTGCTGACCACCACTGTACCTGCCGTGTGCGCTGGGCCCTCTTACGCTGCGGGCGGAGGGTTGCCGGATGGGACAGAGATCCATGTTGCAAGTTACCCTGATTTTCCGCAGACGCTGGTCGAGTGTTGCGTTCTCTGCGCTAACACGAGGAATTGTGTTGCGGCTGCGTACATTGAGGAGGCGGCGGAGTGCGATCTTTTGGTTGAGACGAAGGGGCAAGGAGGTGGGAGTGGAGGGAAGCAAGGGAGGTGTCCGCTGGGTATTGTGGACTTTGCGTTTGGGGCGCCGGTGGATGGGGGGAATATCTTGCCTGGGCCGTGTGGGAAGTGAGGGGGGTTTGTTGATTGCGCTTTGAGGAGGTAGCGAATGGAATTTTGGGAGGAAGCCCTGCCTTGCTCTACCTGTAAGATAAGTGGATAGGTGATTGGGTATCCCTAGCTTGCTCACTTCGCTACCACCTTCCCTCTCCAGCCATAGTGCTAGATCCAGACCACCGAGCATCTCCAGCGCCACAGTATCATCGGTTCGCTTTGCGATGCGCTCCTTGCCTATCATTGAGGCTTAGTTGAAGCTTGATCCTTAAGCTTTGCTGTCACCGTTGCCATGAACCAAGATCGACCTCGTCACTGTCCATGGATCTTCTTCGCTGGTCCTCGAATTGCGCATGTAGATCTATTGCGATCTACGTTGCCATCTCAAGAAGTTTGGACTTAAAGCCATCTTGAGTCTTCGCTCTGTGGTCGTTACCAAGGATCTTCTTGGGCTGGTTACTCAGGCGCATATATACCATTCAACAGACACTCATCTCAAGGCCAGCCCCCTGCTCTTGAATTTGAAAACCTGCTCTCCTCTCCAACCCAATCCCCTTTCACATCTTCGTTCCACCCATTACCCCCCTCCCATCCCCACCATGTCCCCCTACCCCACCCCCTACCAAATCGAAGAAATGTTCTGCAACAGAAACGAAGAAGAGATATTCCACACCTATCTGGCCGACCGCATCGACGTTTCCGTCTCGGGCACCGATTTCCATGTTAGCGGCACATATAAGACCGTCGATGCTTTCCACGATAACATCAAGGTTCGCATTGAGGCGGCTATCAAATTGGAGACGAGACGGTGTGAGGTTAGGAAGGTCATTGGAGGTGGGGAGAGTGCAGTGAGTATGCTTGCTTGATGATGTGGAGGGGCGGGGGCGGGGGCGGGGAAAGAGCGGTGCTGGTACGCTCTTTTGTAGGGAAAGGTGGAGGGGATGGGGGAATTCTGGTTGTAGCTTTGCTAATGCGAGGGTGTGTGTAGTGGGCTGCAGTCGAGTCGTACTATGAGTTCGAGTCCAAGGAAGGTGTGTCTCCCTTCTTCTTCCCCCATTTCTCACTGAGCAGAGCTGTGACTCGATGTGAACGACTCTCTGATTGGCCTTGCAGGGCGAGAATACAAGCTAGAGATGGTGGATCTTGTCCGCTTCGACTCGAATGGGAAGATTGCGCAGATGAAGGAGTTCATGGATAGTGTTGCTATTCACAATCTCGTTGATGAGCATGAGAAGAAAATGAAGGAGGACAAGACTGGTGAGCCTCAGGATAGAGAGCCGCCGGTTGTGGCTGAGAAGGTGGTCGAGAGCTAGTCGATGAGGGATGAAATCGATTGATTTGTATGGATCCTTGAATTTGTCTCGCATTCAGTTCGCTTAGTGTTACCTGAGTTTTTAAACTGCATCATAGCTGTCTGGAAAGGTCTTGGTCTGGTAACAAAATGGCGCGCTTGGTTTTGCATCGTATATTTGCGTCCTATTCCGTGAGGCGTTTGAGTCGTCAGATATATCCTTCTTCTCTTAAGGCCCAGGATATGTCATAGTCGATATGGTCCTTTGCTTTTCCAGGTTTAAAGAGCTCCCATGGGATGAGCCATTGATGTCCATTAGCCTTTTGGTATGAGTCACTGGGTGTCATCTTGTTGAGCATGGCACGCATGCCCGCATAATGCCAGAGACGTGACTTGTTTTTAATCTTACGATGCTCTTGGCCTGCATACTCCAAAAGAAGCGCAACTATGCCTGCAGCTATTGCGGTCGCCATTGATGTTCCTGATCGTCTTTCTAAGGTGTCGCTACTGTTCTTTCCCTTCGACGCTGGTCCCACGGATTCCCCAATGATCATGAAATTATCATCGTTCGAAGTTGGAAGCGGAGTAAAGGTCGAAGGTATTCCATGGCCATCGCATGAGCAGATCTTGAAAACTTGACCTTTGATATTAGCTGGAAATATCGAGTGCCGTCCTTCCATTGGACTGTGATTAGATGCAGCTGCGAACATGAGAATACCAACAGCGTATGCCCGGCCGATCGCGGCGGAAATTTGATCATCGCGCTCAAGAAGGCCAAATGACATGGAAATGATGTTCACCTCCCACTTCTCTCGACAATAATCGATAGCCTAAGCATACAGTGAGTACGGCATACTCTGACCAAAGAGACTAAAACCCTTACTGCAGCCACCCTTTCAGCTGTTCTCTCATCTCCTTTCGCCTTCTGAAAAACCTTTCCCACATATATTTCTATATTAGGAGCGACTCGAATGATCAATTTTGCGATATGTGTTCCGTGACCATGTGTATCGTGAGCACCATCAGGTGACCCTGTCCAGTCACGCATCTTGTCTTTCATGTTAAGGGAATTTGCGTAGATAGCATCGATTCCACTATCTAAGATGGCGAGTTTCACTTTGACATCATCTTCTCGTCTTCCGTTAGACACTGGTACCTGGACCCTTTCATTCAGTAATTCGAACCAGTCATTAGCGGATTCAGCCCTAGAAATAGGTTATTCATGAGACAGCATATTCTACAGCTCGACGAAGGGCTTGGCATACGCTCCTAGCTGTTCGTGATAAGCTTTTAGGCGCTCTGTATCGAACAGGACTGGGTCAAGATCTTTGACGATGTCAGGGAGCTGATGTTTGACTGCTTGGCTCGTGCTTTCTTTTGTGAGACCTTGAAAACTGTGTTTAGCGTTGTGATGTGTTATAGCTGGCCTTTCCACATGATGGACTAACTTTCGGCATTTGCGTTGTCATTGCGGGGAGGCAGAATCTCGGACGGTCTAATTACAGTCAGTCTTGCTCGAAATCAAGAATAGATGACTGCACCCTTGCAAAAGACTTTCTGAACATTGATATTTGGCAATGTTAATATCTTCCTTTAAAAGATAGTCCTGAGTTACTTTCTGTATGTGATCTGCCATTTTGTAATCGCCATGCAGGATATCAGTCGGACCAAAGTCTGTGTTGAAACGGAAGTATTCGAGATCAAGTATTTTTGCCACTCTACTCAATTGTATGTGACTCTGCTCAGCCTGCTGTAGTAGCTGACTAGAAGCGGCCGAAAAGGAGAGGAAGAAACTGATATCTATCCATGGCATCAAACCAGAGAAAGGGTTGGAGGAAATTTCAGGAGCGGCCTCGAAGGGAAGGTTCTTGGCTTTCCCAGCTCCAATACTGACCAGAGATTTAATGGCCCTTCGTTGCCAGATCCTGGTGGCTTCATCCAAAGCCTCGAATGCCGGGTTTGCCAAACCTAAAGCAGAAGCCACGTAGTCAATGTCTGAGTCCTTTGGTCTGATGGACGAGAATTCGGTCGGGTATGCAGCGGTTGCTTGTGCAGCCTCCACAATGGTGCAGTCTTGAATTTGTGCGTCTGACCTCGAGGTGTAGGATCGAAATCTTGTGGGTGTGGTCGGACTATGGGAGGGAAGTGCGATGACAAAGGTTTTACAGCCAATATCAAGATCTGAAGCTCTGAGCAAAGCGTTCGAGCTACGTGTTGAGAGTCTACAGAGCTTCTTCAGAGCTTCTCCTAGTATGTATGTCCTCTCTTCTCGTAAAGACGCATTCGACTTCCAAGAACAATACCAATCGCTAGGTTTGTACAGCTGTTTTATAATGTCCGAAAGCCAGTCTTTGCAATGACCAATGCTCTACGAGATAACTCAGCACCAGAATCTGGCCATGCAATACTTCACTTGATGATGCCAAAACGGCATTGAAAATAGCAAAGTGACAATGCTTAGAGTGTACAGAAGGACGAAGTTCTTCGAAGGCGAGGAAGGGTCTCAGGAAGCCAACCATTCGTTTGAGCGGGTCTTGACGGTAGACTTACCATATGCAGTCTGCCCAAAAGAAGGGCTAGAATACCACCAAAACCGGAGCCGCATATGAGATCGAAGTATTCATATGGCTCCGGGACTCTGGCAAGATGCAGCCTCTCTTTGACTTCGATCATGAGCTGGTGAAGAATCTCAAGGGCCGAGAGGCATCGAATTCCACCCTCATCAAAACACAAAATACGAGCGCCACCAGACATAATCGCTACGTCTGCTGTAAAGGATCCACTGTGTGGGGACTGATGGGAGAAGTAAGACCGCTCAGCCTTTTGATTATTTTTGCACATATCATCACGCAGGTGTGTTTTGCAGACCACCAATTAGTGACCACATATGGTGGGGCAGAGGCAGGTTCTTCCCAATATTTCCTTCAATCCCTTCCTTCAATCCCTTCCTTCACTATTAAATCCCGCACCAGCGGTACATAGATCGCTTTACGGCAGAAACTCCACTTAGCTCACTCTACCTATTTATTCTACAGGTACGTGAGGCATACAAGCTTCAGACGGTCGAGCCCCGTCGGATGGTACGGGACAGTGGAGAGCGAACCTAAAATCTAAGAGCTGGGACGGAACGAGGGAGAGCATTTGGTCGACAGAGTCATTAGCGGAAGAGGAGCATACAAGCGACTTTTGAGGACAGAGCGCCCCGCCATTCTCGGAGTTCACACCACGGAGCGCGATCCCAGCTGCTAGAGAAGGCGCATCAAAGTCCTCGGATCCTCGTACATCTCCAATGTCTTCTCGACAGGAACATTTAGGCCCTCATCCAAGCAGATGACACGATCTACAATCACAGATTGACTCACCAAATCTAGAGAGTCCCCAGGCCTCAGCTGATAGAAGCACTGCGAGTACTGCGACTGGCACAGCCGCTGTGGCACTTGCAGCGGTATTCGTCACTTTAAGAGTTGTTGGGACGGTATTGTCGCAGTCGGGCAGACGTTAACGTCATGAGATCTTGTGGATTGCTGTAATGGTCTTACCCTTCAACTAGTAGAAATGGTGGGGAAAGCGCCGTGCAAGATCGTAATAGATATATTCAATATGCAGGTCGTGGAAGCATGCTAGAGAGGCTGTAAGCTTGATGTATATCACGAAATTACATATATATAATGGAAGGTGTGCTACTCGAGCCATTTTGGTTGTCTTCACGCATGATATTAATCAGAGTGTAAGGCTATATTTAAGGGCGTTCGCTAGTAGAACTACTAGACGTGATCAATATATTTAACATCGTCCTCCCGATCCGATTTCTTGACCTTTGAGACAAGCTTGGAATTACAATCCATCTCTGGATGAGCTTAATATCGAAGGCAAATTAATTCCAAGCCATCAGTATTATGCCGGATGTCGTTGTTCGTATTTGTAGCGATTGCGCCTCTGCAGCTAGATCTGGCAAACGATATGAACTTTGCGAAACTTGTACTGAAAAATTAAGCGAAGCTGCAGAGGATTACCAGGGAACAGCAAAATACCTCGCCAACGTCATTGGGATTTTTGGTCTCGGCGGGATGTTTTCCACATTGATGACACAAAAAGTGATAGCTGCATGGCTTGCTCAGGCACATGGGCGCTAACGACGACTTCGACGGCCATTGCTCTAAAACCATGGGATCTTCTCGGTGAGTGGAGCTTATGCACAGCAATGGAAAATGTAATGATTGTTCAACCTGATCCTTAGTGTAATGGACCACTCATTAGGTCACGTCCTTATCTATCAAAATGACTCAATAAAAGTTCGGAATCAGCACAGTACACTCCTCGCCACTTGTCTCGTCAACCAAGACTTCTTTCTCAAGGGTAGAGCCTCCAAGCGCGGTATCCTGGCTCGCCAATCCCAGAACTTTGATGGTATCAAGCTGTTCCTCTATCTCCGCCGGCTCTCCCATCTCGTCCTCCAATCCAGATAAGGCCGCACCTTTACTGTGGGGCTTATGTCTCAGCTCCAACGGATCGGCCTTTTCATAATATACTTTACTCATTCGATACGCAAATACAAAATCTGACGAATCGTCGAACGATGACGTTGTGTGGTTGTTGGAATAAAGACCGAGATCAGCCCCAGCAGACACTGGTATACCTGCGGGTGCGCCATCGCCTTGCGCGGACATACTCAGCTCGGTCCTCTTTGACTCTTCATGGCTGCCGCTTGCTGCACGAGATATCTTCACACCCGTGACCATGTATACATTCTTCCGGTAATCGTTCTTGATAATGAAGTTCTGTACCGCTTCTTCAGCGACGGCGGCCTCAAGGAAAGTCGTGTCGTCTGGCCTTGGATTAAAGAACCACGTATCCTCTCTCCTTGTTTGAAGAGTAGTGTTCTCCGTCCGCTCTATCCCTATGAATACTTCCAAGAACTTTGCCCAAAGCCCCAATGTTCCACCTCGGCCAGGGTGTGTCTCATGCTTCTGACCTTCTTTCCAGCCCTTTTGTATTTCCTCTGGTGGGACCTCAGGGATGCTCGAGGCAAGAGGAGTGAGGTTCGTTCGGGGGTCGTCCGGAGAGGTCCATATGCGGCCGAGATCGATGGATCCGCCTGGTGGATAGCTCCAATTCGGAGAGTAATAATACGTCTTTCCCATGGAAATATATGGAACGTCACAGAGCTATGACAGTCATCTGTTGTGTACATGTCCGACAACTCGTGGCTCTTTGTTCACGCAACTTTCACACAAGGCTGATAAGGCTGAGTCTAGACCAAGCTGAAGAATGCTTCCTGAACTAATTCTTAGCTACATGAGACGGCGTCGAAACCGGTGCCTGAAGCTACTGCAGCCACGCGTCGAGACCACTCCACCAGAACATGGCCACGCCAAATCTTTATGAGGGCAGTAAGGGGCTGTTGCAACCCCCATGGACTACCTTCAAACGCGTGAGTCGGGCTATGGCTCTATATGATAGACGCTAAGCACTAGAATTGTTCCTTTTGGCGCTGCGAAACCCGGTTCCAGATTCTCGGTCTCGGTTCGTATTGTTCAAAGAACACTTCGGGTACGCGAATAATGATAACGAAGGGGAATTATACCTTCAAGATTCAAGTGGTGGGTCTGTTTCCAAGACGGCAGACCTCTCCAGAAAGACACACTGTATCCTCTCGCTTCGTAAATCAAAGACATACATTTTTAATCCTGAGAAATTTGCAAGCTTTATAAGATGTCTTATGAGCGAAACCTGCGGCCAAATACGACATATAGAGGTGATTCAAGAGGCTTGCAACTTTGTGTATTTGAAATCTGCATCTCATCCCCTAAGCGAATATACCTCCCCTCGCCAACAAAACAGGTGGAGTCTTATCCATATCCCAGACTTCGCATTTCACATTCAAATTCCAGAAGTACTCCATCGCCCCAACCCAGAGCAATCACGTACCGTAAAATTCACTCCGATCAAAATCTCTCACTTAGCTTTACCACTGAAATTAGGCACCTAGCACATGAAGGGAATGAACCCATCTAAATATCGGCATTGCCGGATTGCTGAGACTTGGTGTGAAGCCAGAATTTCCAGGTCTTGCTCAAAATTGCTCTTTTCTTTCATGATATCTGTCAGCGAGATATACCCATAAATGAAAAGTGACAAATACCGGCCAATAGGGGTAAGCGGATTGAGGATAGCCGGATTATCTATGATCCGGCCTCAACATTCTATCGGGCAGTAAGTGTGCAAATTTAAATGCAGCTGAGGTCCAATGAAGGATTGGTATCAAGATGGACCAACAAATATGCTTGCAAATACTTGATAATAACTTCAGATTACTATCACCGTCCATTGCACATGGATTCTCCCACTATTACAGCCCCCAGCTCCCCACAAACTTCCCCTAAACCGTCGGCAACTACTTAGCTCTCAACCTAGATGATACCACTACACGCCCGCCATGCAACGCACTCTCTCCTTTCTCAAATCCTTCAAAGCAGCTCAATACCTCCCCCATCATATCTCAAGAATGGCAAAACCCCCACCTCCCCCTTCCACTTCACAGCCGACCCCTCAACCTCCCCCTTCGCCGTTCCCCAGCAAACATACCTCTCCCACCACCCCGATGATAGATACCAATACATAGCCACCGGCTCCCTTGTCTTCACCAACAATCCTGACGACAACTCTCCACTCCGTATCTTGCTCATCCAACGCTCCGCAAACGACAGCATGCCCCACCGCTGGGAAGTACCCGGCGGCGGATGCGACGACGAGGACGAAAGCATCTTGTATTCTGCCGCCCGCGAATTGTGGGAGGAAACGGGACTCAAAGCCTCTCATATTGTGCTAGCGAAGGGGGATCCGCATTTCTTTGCGAGTCGGTCGGGGAAGCGGATTTGTAAGGTTTTGTTTGTGGTGGATGTGGAGAAGGGGGTTGGGGAGGGCGATGGGGATGGGAAAGGTGGGGAAGGTGTAGAAGTGGAGGGAGTGGAGGTGAGACTGGATCCGAGCGAGCATCAGAGGTATGTCTGGGCGAGCGAGACGGAGGTCAGGGAGGGCAAGGTGGGGGATGTGGAGGTGGAGTTTACGACGAGGGAGTTGAGGGAGGCCGTGCTGGAGGCTTTTGGGGAGTTTAAAGGAAGTGGACTGGGGTGACGTGAGCTTTGGGTTTCAATTGCTGCCTCCGTCCATCTATTGCATTTACTAAAAGTGACGAAAGTATTACGACTATATATTACGAAGGCCAGACAGAATCTTCATCAAACAATATCAAACGCCTCTTCGATCAGCTCCTGACGACTCATCATATCCATTGCTTCCCCATTCATCAGTCCATGCACATAGCACTCGCCAACCAGCAGGTATTGATCTCCCAGAGGGCGGAGGCAGAAAGGCAGCTTTCCTCCAAAAAGAACGCACACGATATCGCCTGGCTCTGCGACCTTTGGGCCCAACACGTAGAAGCCTTTCTGAGTCTTCGCAAAAACACGATTTTTTGACGCGCCATTAGCCGAGCGACTCCACTGCTCATCCATGTGTACGCTTCTTGCCATTTCTGCCATTCGATGCAGTTCTGGTGCTATTTTGTCCGATTGACCCAACGCCTTTGCGAGGTACAAAGCCTCTTGCTCGAGCCAATAAGATTTGGGGATCGAATGGTATTGCATTTTCTCCCGGGTGGCGATCTGGACGCAGCCATTACTCAATGTTTGCATGCAGGCAAACAGGCAGGACTCATCGCTGCTGAGATACTGGCCAGTCAGATTGAATTCGTTTTTGCCACACATGTGGCGCCATATGTACTCGATGGTCGACTCAGTCGCCTCAGAAGAATCTGTTAAATGGAATTCTTTGATTGCTAAGGGTCGAGAGCAGAGCTCAATTTCATCTATGCGTATTCCACTGATACGAAGGAGTCTGTCATTATGTTCAAAGGCTAGGATCGGCGTTGTCGAGCCATGAGCACGGTGTGGGTTGATTGGCTCTGAAAGTATAAAGCTTTGATATGTCCTCCAGTCTGGAACCCAGGATGGCAACGAGTCCTTATCAGTAAGCCGGTCTCGAAGTCGAGCCTCCATAGGTATCTCACTAGGTCTCAAATGCATATGTTGCACAGCTGCGAGTACAATCAAGCCAGATCCGTCGTTAATGTTCTCTTTCAACGCCGCCTTGAGCGCCAATTTAGCCACGTCAATGTAGACTTCAGCCAAAGTCTTTTCGTAGTCGGCCGTTAGTAATTCTGCAAAGCTTTTGAAGGTCCAAGGCTTCGAATAGTGGCCGAGCCAGGCGTACACGCGGTCGCGATGATCGGTGAACTTCAGGCCGCGTGCTCTTTGCAGCTCGTATATAAAGTTCACACGGTTTGCGTGATGGCTTGTCATGTCTGGTTCGACAAAGCGTCTGAACACGTACTTGATCTCCGAAGTTCGGATATTTAGTCGGGTACGGAGGTGGTGGTAAGCTGTGAGTGTCTCGCACACTGTATGAAGGACCGTCCAGTCAATTTCCTCATCACCCCAGAACAAGGTCGCGGAAGCTCTCGTTCCGATCTCTTGGACTATCCAGCCTCGTGTAAACTACAAGAGCCCGAACAAGATCAGCTAGCTGTTTCATTTCAATGCTATTTGGCGGTGGTGCTCCAACTCACCCATGGGCAATCTGCTAAGTGATCCAAGGCCTTCCACTTATCCCTTGACTGTTCCCCTAGCCTATTTGTGTGCTCAGTGTAGAATTCTCCTCTCTGTAGTTCATTTTGGAATAATTGATTGAGATCACGAATTAGCTCAAAGGCCGGTTTTGCTAGGCTAGTACCATCTGCACCAAGCCAAACCAGAACGTGACTCGCATTCTCGTATATTCGCTTCATGAATTGAACTTGTTGGCTGCGCTCAGCAACGTCAGATTGATTGATGCAGATCTGATCCGCCCAAAGTCGACGCTCCTGGTCTGGAAGGCGAAACCGTACGAGCGCTTCTTTCAGGCTAGCAGTCAACCGTAATGGGCCATCATCACTCCCATGCCGAGTGTAGATTTTGTCTACGAGCTTAGAGGTGCCCCAAACGTAAGAGACCGGTTCATAGCTCCCAGCCGAGTTGATGTCCACAATTTCAAGTCTTCCTCTCAAGGGATCAATTGGACTTCCAGGCTCAAGTACAAGCATACGAATGGAGTGTGAGTCCGGCAGGGCTGTGTATGACTTCAATTCCGGGTGAGTCGCATGGCTTGGCCCAACAACATCAATGATTGAGGATGTTGGTGACGGAGCCAGATCACCCATTTTTGCTGAAACAAACTCAAATGGCAGAAAACTAAGACTGACGAAAGGCGAAAATTGCAGAGCTGAAAAGCTGGTAATAATGAGCGGCATCGCTTACTTTGGGGGGTTTTTGAGTCCTCATTCCGTTCAGCCTGATCCTCCCACCCTCCATCATGCATGCACACGCGGCCTAAAAAAAGCGTTATGAGGCGGTTCATTAATAATTAGGGCTGTCCGGGGCCAAAAAGGTACGCCGTGGATGCTTACATTCTATTCGCAGAATGCTCTACCTCTCGATCCGACTGAATCGAAAGGCCATAGCTCGACCACACCCATAAGCAAGCGGCAAAGGCTGTGAATTTATTGGTGGTGTCACATCTTATGTAATCTATTTGAGCCTGCAGGAGGTTACTTATCTTGCATATGCAGCCTTACGGAATAAGGTGTGCCGAGTTCACCTTGCGGCCAAGAGCAAACGCCCTCCTGATTTATCAACCCCACAGAATCACCATCTGAGATTCGTTTACAACCTGTGCGAGTCATTGTTATCCAAAGCAACGGAGTGGACTGACTTTCTATTGCTAACACAGGATGATCGCACCAAAAACCACACAAATGATCCGAACATAGAGACAAGGGCGACTGAATGGAAATCCATTGTGTCTCCCGTGGCAGTTTCAATTGTTCAGAGTTTGTGCCTCTGATTTCCCGTATCGTCGAGAGAAAGTGGCATTGAGCGATTTAGCCTATGCTACGACGTGGAGATAGTCCTGGGTGATCTGACGAAATCACACAAGGCTGGACACAATGTTTCCGATCCGAGTTCGACCAATCCATGATCGGCGCCAGCCTCAATTCGAAGAGTGGATGCTTGTTAAGACTTTTGGTTTGAAGCACCCTGGAAACTTTCAAGAACAACAATGTTGACTGCAATGCAGCGACTTTCGAACTAGGTAAGGCTACCGATACCTCGTTGAAAGTACTTGCCGGCAATGAAGCGTTGCAGCCTCGCAAGTCAGTCGACTTTGGTAAGTTCTGATTTGATATGAGGGAGAAGAAATCTCAAGTTCTTAAGAATAAGAGAGCTCTCTATGACAACATGCTTTTGTTATGACCACTTCAGCTAGAGCTAACGAGGTGCTTGATATATCAACATACCCCTGAAAAGGGCCAGAAGCAGCCTATTTACCCCGCGAGGGGTGACATCAGGTGAAACCTGCTTGAAGGCGATGACGTTGTGGTACAATAAAAGGGTTTCCTGCCCCAGATACAGCCCATATCCGTCACAGTAGACCTGCCTAAGCCAATATAGTACACCCAATCTGCAAACCAGTGTCTCCGATCTGCCAATATGCCCAACGAAGCAAAGGAAGACGTTAAGGCACAGTATGCTCCTCCTCCGCCGTTCTTCCACTACAGTAATTGACGACTATAGGTATGAATCCAGCGCCAAAGATGCAAAGCCAGAGAGCTCGGAGTATGGAGTTGGTGGAACAGCGTGAGCCCCCTTCTGACTCGTTCCCACTGCCTTACGGTGCTTTTCTGCCTGCCCCGCCGCCTTTGACCTCTATTGTCACGTGTCTGGACGATACGCTGACCCGTGGAATGATAGTAAGGATGGCGACGTGAGTACCGCAGATACAGTCGCTGATGGGGGTGTCGATGAGGTTCAGCCTGAGGACGAGGATGGAGACTTCAAGCCTTGATTGAGGATGATAGGTCTCAGAGATTTGCAGGAGGTTTTCTGCTTCAGTTGAGAATCATTTGTGTCCATGTACGTTGTATTGAAATGTGACTCGAGCAGGGCTTGATAGATTGATCTCACTCATTTGACACTAGAATCCATTTGTGCTCCTTGGCTATTCAGCTTGAAGGTCTCTCCCTCCATTTCCTTCCCACTAACCTTGTTGTCTCTGCTCCTGCCTATTCGTATTTCCGCCCTGCGTTCCACGCCACTTTATACCTGGTAAATCTGACCAGGTTGCAGATCGGGAGACATGTTCTAGCCTTCGCCGTTGATTTGTTAACATGAAAGCAGTGTTTGCTAAATACGAGCGGTCTTAAAAAGGTCCATTCTAATGCAGGATACCTGGTGTTCAGAAGCAGTAGGCTAAGGATATCACGAACAGTCAAAGCTGACGAGTTGCTCGGTTGTTCGTAAAGTAGGAAGGAGCAGCCATAGTCATTGCCAAACTGTATGATGATCTCCCAATCCTTGGGCATAAAAACAAGAGTCGATGTTCGAGTTAGACGTTGATATCAAGATCCTATATAGTCCGCAATTGTGCCATCTCCAATACCATCAGTGTGATACTATTGTCAGCAGTCAGTCAGTCGTATATCAGTTGAAAATATTGAGGTGAAAGAACCTTCGCGCCTCAAGCCATATCCGCTACCCTTCGTTCTTGCCATTTTCAGATGTCTCCTAGTCGACCGTCTGCATCGTTTAGCTACGCCCTTTTTTGAGTTCTCTTTTGTTTACTCACTCTTCCTTTCCTACATCAAGCTCTTTCGTCCACCAATATCTCCATCTTGCCTTCAAATTATTTCACCACCCGCGAAGGCAATATCAAATTCCTTCCATGCAACTACCAGTTGCAACATAAAGTCCACTGTTCGCAGTAGTTATTGGGCTCTACTCAACATGCTCGATCCCCCATTGTGTAAGCTTCCCGTATTTCTGTGCCTATCCACCATCCACATTTGCCGAAGCTGACTTACGACTGCGTGCCAGCAGACAAACTCCCTCTTCCAAACACAGACTCAGAGTCAGCCAGATCCCTCGATATCATGTGCTGCTTGATTTCCGAAGATGTGGCTGCATGTCTGAGATACCGGAATTGGCCTTCATCATCATCGTCCTCCCTCCTCCTTTTTCCAAAACAGACCCAATTGTGCCAGCTTCTCTGCAACGCATCGATTTGAAAACTACAGCAGTGTAATCACAGCGTTCTGCATGAAGCCTTCGGGTCCTGCAGATAGGTTTCCCCTCCATGCGTACGGGCTTTCGACGTCAGCTAGAAGCTGTTCTTCCCCACAAGTGCCATACGAACGGGCTCGCCCATTCGAATATCATCCGAAAAAGAACATCGATCTGGAGGTCATGCACTGGTATACTGGATGGAGGCCATGGGTGATGGTCGCTCCCCGGTCTTCTAAGAGATAAGTGACCCTATGTCTTTGTTCTCTTCCGTGGCAATGATGATACATTATAACACACACTTTCATGTCTTACTAGATCATTGCTTGATCAGTGGTTCCACAGCCACGCGATCGTCTTTGTACTAGAATGATGTTGCACATAATTGTCTGAGCCGTGTACTTGCCTTGCTTATGCTGTTGTCCATGTACCACTGGAAAATGGCTGATACATGTCAGGGTTTCGAGACCTGCAGACCCTCCCTCTAGGTACCAATCCTACCGCAGCTTCTAAGCAGCTGCCATGGGATCGTCCACTGCAGACCGACTCGAGTCAGACACCTCCCAGTCGACAAGGACTGAGACAAAATGCTTGACTCAAGACGACGACAAAAGTTGTTTGGTATTCGATCCTTTTGCAAGGCAAGTAAACACTTTCATCTCTTCTTTTCACGATACCCCCAGTAATGATGATTTGATTCTAATCTGAGGAGCTTTGTTGAAGCAGTGGCCTCAGCCACGTGTTCCATCACTGTGACAATGATGAAACTAGATTTGTACTCATTCCAAACTGAGCCTCTGTTTCCTGCATTTTCAATTGAAAGGTTTCCTCTCGGCCGGGCTAACGGAAGATATCTCTCCCTCGCTTTGTAGGCTCGCCCTCTGTTTATGGGTCCGACGGTGATTACCAATCGACAACCGTGGCATCAACCACAAGCCTGTCATTGGAGGGTGAAAAATCACCTGGATAACCTTTTTCGCCGCGGATCGTACAGCATTAGCAGATAAACACCGGAACGAAGTCAGACCAATTCGAAGCTTGACAGCCTCAGACCTGACCTCTGTGCATTAATCCCTCTCGACTAAGATCGCGGCCTCGGCCACGCAATGAGTCCGTGTTTCACGATATCTGAACGTTCACTTGAGCTTTCTGTTTCCAGAAAAGGCATTGTTTCGCCACGTTGAGGCTCGCCTCAATTCCCCACTCGACATTCAGAGCACATACGAATGCAGAAGACGCTGTGGTCTCGACCACGTCTTGGTCGCTGTGGCGCCGAACAAGAATTTACGTCTTCCATGTCATGCTAATCTTGTAAGATAGTTTCCCTCAGTATCGACCAGCGCTAACAATTTTCCAGGTCTCGACCTGGCTGTGAGCCACACTTTCATGGTTTGTATATGTCAGTGATTGACGATACACACGATGCCATCGGTCGCCCTCAGTCCCTCAATGCTCGCTTGCACGCCTTGTTATCGTGCACTCAGCTCGAAGGACAGCTGAGTTCGGAAGACGTCGTGGTCTCGACCACGATTTGATCGTTGTTGAGCCCGACCAAGAATGTACGTCTCCAATACAATACTCATCTTATATGATGGTTTCCTCGGCACCCGACCGTGCTGATATTGTACCAGGTCTCAACCTAGTGGCTGAGCCGACTTCCCGTCCCCGAATATGTCACTCTTTGGACAGCGCACACAACACCCTCGATTTGCCCTCAGCTCCCATGTATCTCCAGAACAATGACAGTCATAGCAAGATGTTTGAGCCCCAACACAATTTGACTCATGACCAGCAATAACATCACCGTAGTGATCATGCGGCCATGGAGAAAGTTTGCGTTACATCTTGAGCTGAACAGGATGTCGATCCGGAATCAGCATTTTGCCCTCGTTGGATGGATATGTCGATATGATATGAAGTCTCGACCTCATGTTGAACCCTTGTGGTAACGCGCCTGCTATCAACATACCCTCTTTCATCCAACACCAAAGATCGCTTGTCAATGAATGCAATACGATACAGATTTGTTCTCTCAGAGCAGCATCACGTTGAGAGCCTAGGCCGCGTGTGAGGATCAATGAAGAGCACACATTCTTTTAGGGATGGGAAGTTGTTCTTATGTGCGCGCAGCCGGTGGAAAAGCCACGAACTTTGTCTGACGTTTCTTGGCATTTGGGGCTGATGTCGATGTGGGAACTTGATGGCCGCATCAATGAGTTCATAAACAGCTACTCGTGAGAGACGTCGGTGGAAGCAGGTCCATGTCGCTAGAGAGTACAATCCTATGGCTCCCAGTGGACGTAATAGAGCGTATTGAATCACAGCAGTCTTAGCCGCGCCGGCCTTCGTCTGGGAATCTGGTTAGCAAAGTTTGGAAAAACTCGCTAGAAGTCTGGAGGTAGCAAAAAGGGTAGGTGATGACAGAGAGTGTGTATGGATCTATTTCGTGAACATTGGTAGATGCCTCATTTTGAAAAATATGACTGGAGGCAAGGCGGTCAGCACATACAAATGAAACCAATTCAATAGTCTCATCGTCTGAAGCTTTAATTTGGTTTGACTTACGATCTCTTGTGCCCAGCGCTCCGTGCACAAGCTCCACTTGCTGTGTGGCCCCTTCATCCATCTTCATTTTCCCAATGTCCCAAACAACCGATCCCCTACATCTCCCAGCCCTGGTTTGATCATCCCACGATCATTCAAGCCCTCGTCTACGGCTCCAACCCATATCTCCACCTCCTTGTCCGCACCGCCCGCTCCCTCACCCTCATTGTACATCTCCGCCTCCCCAGCAGCCCTCCTCACCCCATCCTCGTTACCCACCACGGCAACCAGCACAACTTTCATGACTCCCCACTCTAATAGTGTCTGTATGGCCGCGCTCGCTGTTCCGCCTGTCGCTATGACCGGGTCCAGAAGGATGGCTATTTCTGGAACGCTGCTTCCATTGCTGTCAGTTTGGGAAGCGGGTTGGGAAGAGGGTTTGTGGTAAGGTAGATTGTTGTAGTATTCGACTGGCTGGAGGGTGCTGGGTTCACGGTAGAGACCGAGGTGGTGGATTGAGATTGCGGGGGAGGTAGCGGGAAGGAGGAGTTGGAAGGCTTCGAGCATTGCGAGGCCGGAGCGGAGGATCGGGACGAGACATACTGAGGGTGTTGTGTGCGTGGTCGTGTAGGTGTGGGAGAGGGGGGTTGTGTCCTGTGGTGCGACGAGGTCAGCGGTCGTGGATGAGAGATGGTTGAGGCTTGTGGGGGGTGGATGTGGGGAGGGGCCTACTATACCACCTTGTTGTGTGCTTAATGTTGTTGAGAGAGCTTCACACGCGAGGATCAGGCTGATTTCGTGAACGAGGGTTTTGGTGTCCCGGCTGGAGGTGCTAGCTGAGCGGAGCTGGGAGACTTTGGCTAGGAGGCAGGGATGTTGGGATATGTGTACGTTTGAGGGAAGTGATGATGAGTCCATGTTGTTTGGTTGATGAGGAGAATTTTACATTTGGGGATTTGAAGGAAAGACTTGGGGACGGGGAGAGTGATTGGGGCGTGTCGGCGTTCATGATTGCTTTAGATGAGCTAAGTATCTGTTTGCAATGTACGAAATGAGTTGCAGTCTTAGGTTGAGGAATGCGAATCATGGTTTAAGAATTAGGTGTAGATCGCATGACTTTCGTACATACATCCTGTCGAGTTGCTAATATACATGTTTAATCTCCCCCGCAAAAGATTGTAGTACTAGAAGCGCCAATCTTCCCATGTGATTCAGCTAGGGTATTCCGCATCTTAATGCCAGCTCACTGTACAATCAGCGCGTGACATTCCCCTTCACAACCATTACGCCGTTAGTAATTCGTGAATGCTGCTCGAGTAGCCCTCGTTCTGTCTCCATTCCAACCCCCCAGACCATGCCCTTTCTTCAGAAACCTACCGCAGCACTGTCCCGATCGACCTTCTTCTCATTGACAGGCTCATCGAGATATTTCTTGTCGCCGGATGCTGCCATCTTCTCATGTAAGGCTTGTCGTCTGTCCCTTTCCCTAGCCTCGTTCTTCTTGTTGGCCATCTTCCAGAATGCTAGATAGCCGAAAGTGAGGATGACGAATATTGCGATGAAGGCGAACATCACTCCAACCTCTTGTCCTGTGCCAGGTCCAGCATGGAAGTCAATCTTGGGAGCGTTTGGGTTTTGAGGCATGGCGAAATGTAAAGGAACGCTTGTATAGCTTGTGGTGAAAGTTGATTGAACTCTGCCAGGAGCGCAAATGTTCGAGTTGAGAATCTGGGTTGTTATCTTGCAAGTACGCGATCAGGTTGCACTGCTGTCGAGTTGAGGTGCGAGGTCGAGAAGGATGACAACTGGCTACCTATGTCTCAGGCGGGGAAGGAGCTGACAAGAGTGAGCACAGCGGTCTTGGCGAGCTGTGGCGTAGGGCTGAGACAGAGAGCTCTGATTGGCTCCTGCCCTCTCACCTCTAGCGCCATCTGCAAGTAATTGATAATGCCTGGGGAAGCACATTTTGATAACGAATCCTCGCCAGTCCTTGCTGGGTCTTTCAAACACCACCAGCAAGGATGATGAAATCATCCGTACCCTAGCAACAACAACTTGCGGCGCTGCGGTCGCGACTCAAGCATCGATCCGGGATGCCCGCAGCGCCGACTACCTATGGCTGCTGAACGACAATGGGTATCTTCGACCCCTCATTCCTTTTGGGGCTTGTCATCCTTCTCTACCTCGCGTCCTTCGTCGTTTTCGCCCTTTTGCGCATAGCTACCGGTATCTCCATACAGCGTATTGGATATTTCTCCCTCAGACGAATCGCATACACTCCACGCGAAGGCATAAAGATTACTATACGCGGGCTGGGACTTCACCTTCATCGCCCATCATTCGCTCAGCCAACATGGATCAGTCTTCGGCTGGACGAGTTGAAAGTCACTGTGGATATACAAGCTTTGGCAGCATCGTCTTCCAAGAGTCAAGGAACATCACCAAATGCAGCCGAAAAGACGGAGAGAGGATCCTCATCCACTACATCACCGAAACCGATCCTTCGTCGCAGTTTTCACGAGTCATCGAGAAGTCGAACCTGGAAGAGACTGACTGGAATCAAGGAAAGTTTGAAGAAACTCCATGAAAAAATACAATGGTTTCGTCTGGTGGACGTCTTCGCAAGAAATTCGAGCTTTGTTGTCAGCAATCTTGGCACGTTCGAGCTCGGGACGGTCATCATGATGGTAGATACAAGAAGGAAAACCGTGGATAGAGGTCGGCTTTTCCAGCATAAAAAGATTCCAGCTGGGGACCAGAGGCCTGCCGAATGGATGTTTACCGTTCGAGGTGTTCTGTTCACGCCGGAAGGAAGAGCCTCACTAGAAATACTGGACATAGCTACCCTCAACATCCATGGTCTTCTTTACAAAGAATTACCTGGCCTTCGAGACACATCAATATCACTCAAGCTTGGTCGAGTGCACATACCCTACGATGACTTCGTCAGCTTTTATTTGGAAACTCGGAAATTACATCATGAAGGCAGTCAAGATTCCGGCGAAGCCAATGTGGAGGATGGGACTTTCGCGGATGTGATTGAAGAGCTTGACCGCCCGGGAAGTAAGCAAGCTGATATAATGCAAACCGTTTCCGACTCCAAAGAGTTCATTAGCTCTATTCTTCGTGGCATACAGGAAATCCAATTGGCGATCAGCTCGGTGGGTATGACTAAGGCTATTGCTTCAACTCGGTCTGCCAGCGATCTTTATCTTAACTTCTCTATGAACGAATTTGGGGTCGATTTGCACCGTCTTGATTCGAAGAGCCCTGCGCATCGAATGTACTTCTCCCCAAGAGACATTGCGCATCAAGCTTTACTAGCCGCCATTTCGCTCAGTGTTAGTCTCGACGATGGAACTCAGAAACCGGAGAGGCTTATGTACGTTCCGATGGCGACAACAACTATGAAGACAACCTTACCGTCCAAAACAGTCGCATTCTCCGAGGATGGCAATACAGCGGAGAGGAACGCAAATATTTTGTACGCTAATTTGGTTGTTACCTCGCCGTCAATCGATGTGGATCCCAAGCACATGCCAACAGCACTAGCACTGATACGCAGACGACAAGATCGACAAGACGAAAAGCCAACTAGTAATGTCAGCTCACATCATATCTTATCGAGGTTATTACCTAAGGCAAGCATCAAGTTTTCTGTTCATGAGCCCGTTATTCGGGTGAAGCTTCCACCGGCAGATTCCAAATTGAAGGCCTCCGGTGACTACGACCTCCTAATAAGCCTCGTCTCATCCATATCTCTCGACATAGAATCTTCCCATTCTGCGGCTGGCGATTTACATTACAGCCTCACATCAACTCTGAGGCTCTCTTCGCACCAATTCTACTATCAGACTGCGCTCGGAGAGAGGCACGACCTTCTCTTAGCTGACTCTTTAGAGCTAAAGGCTCAAGTAACCGCTGATCCTACAATTTGTGTCATGATTCTTGGCAACGTGCAAAAATTCTCTGTGCACATGATCAAACCTGAGATCAGTGCCGGTGTACGCCAAATAGCTCAGCACACACGCTCTCGGCACTCTGCCAATCCCACCAAGCTGCCACCTTCTTCGCCGGTCGATCCCGATTTCCTGCGACCACTGCCCCTTTGGCTAGCCCAAATTTCTTTGCAGGGTTCAAATTTCAGCATTGATGTTGCTGGTGTGGACACTGACGTATCACGAGATATAAGGGGAGTGGCTTTGCAATTAGAATCTTGGAGCGCCGAGTATAAACAAAAGCGATCTGAGTCCCATGAGAGACCGCCATCTCGACGGCACCAGGCGAAGGCGTCTACAGCTACCAATGAGCCCACCATCACAATCACAGCTCCTGACGGCTCCCACGCCAACCCTCCTCCAGACAGTACTGATGGCAGACGACTTGCTGTTCACGTCCATGGTTTAGAGGGCTTTGCGATCGACGACATGGACGTCATAGACAGTGCATCTTTCCTTTCTCTTCCACGCTTTGAAGTAGCATTTTCAACCTCTAGTGATCACGAGGGTCCTATCTTCCATCTGAATGCCTATATGAGGTCGCTCTATATTCACTATTCCCTCTACCGTTATTACGCGATTGGTATTGCTTCTACTGTTGTCCGCGACGCGTTCGCCTTAGATAGGCGGGCCGTAGAAAAAGAAGGCAGAACCGAAGACGAAAATACCGCAAACACTTTCACTTTACCAGACCACAAGCCCAGCCAGCCTCACAAACGCGAGCTTGTTACGGTTGACATTCGCTCCGAGTACATTCAAGTCAAAGCCAACATGCCTGCGGATCCCCCAATGATGCTCCAAATATTTGGCATTGAATGTGGTCAACATCGCTGGGCAAAGCCTTTCCTACGATCTCGGCTCCTTCGATTGTATGCTGAGGCTCCTCAATTACGCGCCTTTTGGGCTAGAATTCTAGTGATAAAAGCCTTGCGCTTTGACTTGCGCGAAGTCAAAAAGAAACGGGGTCCATCTACAATTCTTGAACAGTCATTTGATATTGGTAGCGACTTTATTCGAATTGGCGTTCCACACCAGCTGGTAATGCATAAGATTATGGACAATTGTGTGAATGTCATGAAAGCTACACAACAGCTGCAACACCGCTTTTTGACTGGAACCAACGAATACATCCTCAAGAAGCGGCCAGAAGGACCCAAAGAGCTGCCAAGAATATCAATCAGAAGCAAAGCCATGTTATTTGAGATAGAAGATGGGCCTTTTGACTGGAAACTTAGCATGATCTATCGTATTGGGCTTATCGAGCAAAAGCAACGGCTGGCTCGCGAAGAAGCATTTCGAGCAAAAGTAAGGCATATCGAAAAGTGTCTGCGGCAAGGTACTTCACGCCAGCGTAACGCGTCCAACCAGAAAGAAGTCAATGGCGAGAGATCTCAGTCCGAAGATCAAAGGGGGAGAAAGAAAAATAATTCGGAATCAACCATCAAACACTTTTCTCAATCACCTCCACGAGGCCGCCGAAATCGTATGCGGTATGACCCTGAAGGTAAATGCTCTCTCTCTGAAGACGCCAAGATATCAATAGATGAGGCGGAGAGAAGACTCAGAAAACACAATTCAGAGAGTTGGAAGAAGCGTATTGACGGCGCATACCAAATTGCCAGCCGGGCAATGCGCGATATCCGTGGTATATTTTGGGGAAGCGATGAGCTTCCCGTGGATGACAACAATGAGAGGATTTTAGCGATGCCTGAAAGACCTGGGCTTATGGCCTGCTTGATCAGTGACCTCCATGTCGTTCTGGACAAACCTTCATTCCCCATTCGTGAATGTCCAGAGTATCTTCATAAGGTTGGAAAGGGTATGCCTCGCGACATGCAATACGCCCTATTGATCCCAATGAGTGTGCAAATAGATATGGGAGAGGCACGGATCACTTTGCGAGACTATCCCCTACCTCTCTTACACGTACCGGCCATTCGTGCCGGCCAGTCGCCACGGCTTCCAAGCTGGTCATTGAAAACTGACTTTGTGATTGCTGAAGAATACCGAGGCGATGCTTGCTCGAAACAAATTCCTGTTCAGATTATTCCGCCAGAAAAGTTTTTGAATACCCGGCGCGAGAAGGGATTTGCTGTGGCTGTCCGACGTACTGTAACTCCGGTCAAGACATATTCAGATGTCAATGTCTCAATCAACACAAGTGCCCCAACGAGCATTACCTGGGGAACGTCGCTGCAACCAGCGATTCAAGAAATGATGATGGTAGTGGAAGGCTTCACGAAGCCGCAGGTAGATCCCTCAGATCGTGTTGGCTTCTGGGATAAGATACGGCTGAATGTCCACTCCAGGGTCAGGGTGGCCTGGACTAGTGGTGGAGACGTTCATCTTAATCTTAAAGGTACGATATCGTCGCTTACATGCTTTTGATTGGCTAATGGGCTTGCCATAGGTTCTCGCGACCCCTATGTCGTCACCGGACATGGAGCAGGCTTTGTCATGGTTTGGCGTCAGAATGTACGCTGGAACTTACATAGCAACGATGACCCGAAACAATTCATGACCGTTGACTCTGGAGAATACGTTCTGGCTATCCCGGACTTTAGCCGCCAGGCACGGGAAAACGTAGTTTCGGCAAGCGTTGAAACTGACAGCATCTCGAGCACTGGTAGCTTCAAGAACAAAGCTCATTTCAAGAAGACTATCATGAAGCTAGGTGGGGAGGTAAGATGGCTCGCCGGACTAGTATTTGAAAGAGGTCTAGATGATGGCTGCCGTTCTTTTGAATTCAAACCACACTACGACGTGATTTTGAAGCCTTCCGAGGGAGTGGACTTGAGAAAGGAGCCCGTAAGCTTCCAAATTCCCCTTTGACAACCTGGATGCTTACATGTACAGGATTACGACGCATTTAAGGGTTTTCGTAGTAATCACATACATCTTTCAATCGCTGTGGTTGCCCCTTTGAACAGAGACTGGAGGACTACGAATATTCAACCTTCGGACTACTACAATTCGACGCACTTGACCCCGAAATTCTTCACCCACTTCTTTGATTGGTGGTCTCTGTTTTCTGGGGCGATGTCCCTTCCAATAAGGCAAGGAAAGCTATTTCCTGGTCTTGAGAAAACCAGTAAGAAGTTCGGGCGACATTTGGCAACTATCAAATACAACCTACTACTCTCCCCGCTTTTCATCACCCACATGTACAAGCACAAGGACGTTGAAGAGTATTCGGAAGATACTGTAAAAGCTACTGGCTTGAAGCTTCGTCTCGACAGCTTCATGCTAGACCTTCATCAGAGGCGCGAGGAATTCATAACACAAGGCAAAGGACGGGCTCGCCAAATCAAATCGAGCGCAATGAGAATCCACGAGGCTCAGCTTGACTTCATGTCAGCAGATCTGCGCGCCATCTCGGCCAAAATTCAGGGTACTTCGTCCGAGTACATCACTCGCGCCACCGACGATGAACTTGCGGAGCTTCGTGAGCCAGCGATAGAGGCGGACCTGAACAAGTTTAGCATCCCCGATCAGAATTTTGACTGGGTAGACATGGATGATTTCAACGAGCTTGATTGGATACTTCCTGCAGAGAACCATCCCGAGACACAAATATTGCCCTTGGCATTTGCACCACGCTTTACCTATGTCCGACAAACAGATCATCCGGGTTCGCTAGACGCTGAAGAAGGCCGGTCAAGTAAATTTGGCAACGAACCTACACATGATTGCGTGATGTCCCATGAGAACGATCCGCGCAAAGTTCAATGTTACCTTGTGAAAGGACGATTGCAAGTGCTAGATGAACAGATACAGTCCCATGATAGAAAGGCTGGCGAGCAAGAGCTGAAGGTCATCCGTGAGACCGAAAATCAGAGTGCCCATCGTCGTATATATGATGAGCTACGTGAGGAAGGGCAGAGGTTAGAAGAGAAGAGACGTTTCCTCCAGCAGATGCTGAATCGGCTTGGGCATGCTATCGAGAGCCATACTCCATGGGCGGAAGCTTCAGAAGATCCTGATGATCGTCACCCAGGAGGAACTGAATGGCCAGGCCCAACGGCAGGAGAAATCATCGACACTGAGCTCAACGAATCAAGCGTTAGCGACTTCAATAACCGATTCATCATACATAATGTACAGCTCAAGTGGAACAATTCTTTACGGAATATCATTCTACGATATGTGCACCAAGTTAGTCAAAGACGAGGATTCGTATATTACATGACACGCCGGGCGGTCAAATTCATCATTGATATCGTGGAAGAGCAGAATAAAACCAAGCACAGGCGGCATGGAAAGGCAGGCTCTTCGGCCGCTGGATCTTCTACGCCCGCCTCCAGTGTCCCCCCTTCAGACAAAGAGGGTGAGTCTTGCGTCGACGATCGCACCGAGGAACTCATACAGGACCTTCTCAACGACCCCAAGCGCTTCGTTGATGCTGAGGACACAAATTTCAAGGCCGATGAGCATCACGTTCCTGAGTCCGGTCAGCCCGAAGAAGACATCTCCGAGGATTTCATGGCGCTCAAAGGTTACCATGTCCGTCTTATTGCACCCCAGATCCAGCTTCAGAGTGAAAAGAATGCCAAGTCGGTGCTTTTAGTCACAGGAAAGAGCATACAACTACAAGTTATTCAGATCATGGACAAGGACCGCATGGCCGACGATGTCAGCGGTTTGGTGCAGCGCCGTTTTTCAGTCGAAATGGATGGCGCCCAATTCTTTGTTACCAGCGTTGGTATGCTCAAAGATCATCATGAGATCTACCTTGGAAACAGGTATGGGGCGCCGAAAAGTGATACGTCATGGCCACCTTGGGTCCCTTTCGAGGCTAATCTCGACTTTCATCATACTCCGTTTGGCTGGGCTCGTGTGGTATCAAAAACCTCCGCCACGCTTCGCTACGACAAATACAACACTCTTCGCTTGAAGTATAACGACGAAGTCTCAGGTGAAAAGGGTGGCCACTCAAACGGACCTGATAACCCCGAGAGCCGCATCGATCATCTCTGGGTTGAGTTCCCTCACATTAGAGCCATATGCGATTCCACGCAGTATTTCACAATGTATGTGATCGTCTTAGACTTGTTACTGTACAATGAACCACTCGAAAAGGTACGCAGCGAGCGGCTCGAGAAGATAATGCTCGCATCCGATTTTAGTGATTTGAGGGGCTCGCCAGAAATGGTGACTAATTTACAAGGACGTATTCGACAGCTTGAAGAAATTAAAACACACTTTCAAATACACAAGAAGTACCTAGATCGGCAGGGTTGGCTAGACAATCAATCCATCGAGCAGGATCTTGCAGGCTGTGAGGATGAGCTGTTCTTTATGATGAAAGCTATCACCACCTCTCAGCGGAAAATTGATGATCGCGCTGAGACTTCCCAGAGTAGCCCTTACCTTCAGTGGTATCTATCTGCATCAGAGATTGTTTGGCACCTTATGCGTCAAAAGGAGGAACCGTTAATGGAGATCCAATTCAATAATGCTCTATACGATCGCACTGACAATAGCGATGGATCGAACCACAATTCTATGGAAATCGAGCGCATGCATGGTTTGAATCTTCTTCCTGACGCTATATATCCTGAAATGCTAGGTCCCTATCTAGAGAGCGGCAAGAAAGCTATGGACGGTAAAGATCCGAAGATGTTAAAAGTCAGTTGGCATAGTCTTGAGGCTATTGCCGGTATCCCAGTCCTGGACCAATTTGAGGTTGATCTCTTTCCTCTGAAGGTTCAACTGGAAAGGGATATCGGCCAAAAGCTTTTTGAATACATTTTTCCTGGAGTGGGTAAAAAAGACGGGAGTGACGGCGGGTTCTCGCCATTCATGCTCAAACAGACTATGACAAGCAATTCAGACGAAGAAAAGGATAGGGCAAACGCAGCTTCGGAACGATGTCAAGTCCCGAATGTGACTTTAAATGGCATCAACGGTGATTCACAGCCTCGTACCTCGCCCTCGTTTGCTATGCGACTTCGACCGACAACGCAGTACCCTGACAAGGAGGGCTGGACGAGCTCGGTAGCAAATGCTAAGAAACACAGCACCGAGCATGAGAAGGAGCATCATTTCAGACTGTTCCAGAACTCGAATCATGCTGGTCTATCCTCAAAGCTACAAAAACATCCTGTTAAGCATCAACCCCAGCAGTCCAAGGACTCGCTGACCATTCCCCATCGCTCTCGGGAAGGATCAACAACAAGCCTTTCTACCATGGGTGGCAGCAATTTAGACAAGCATAATCGGTTTGGGCTGAAAAGAACAGATAGCGAGAAGCCTAATAAAAAGGACCAGCCTTCGGATGATCTTAGTCTCATGCTATCCCGGGCGTCAAATTACATGACTCTCGCCTACGTGAAGATACCTAGTGTTGTCCTTTGTCTTAGTTACAAGGGCAAAGGCGAGCGGAGTATTCAAGACGTTCACAACTTCGTCTTCCGCATGCCGGTCCTGGAGTACAGAAACAAGACATGGTCAAATCTAGACCTCGCCCTCCGCCTCAAGAAAGACGTAATCCGCGCTCTTATTTCGCACACAGGTGCCATCATCGGTAATAAATTCGCCCATCCTCGACCAAGTAAGACCCAACGAAATAGACTACACGACTTTGCATTTACGCCTTCGCTACTCTCGAGCAGCCAATCTATCAACACTGGTGGACCAGGCAGTGAAACAAGCAGTCTCTACGGTCGAAGCACAATCACTGATCCCAGATCATCTCTGCAATCCTACCCTCGCAGTGAACTCAGCAGGACAAGTTCTTTCGCGTCTAGCCTACGAGAGCAGTCTTTACAACGTCCACTAGATAGACCGAGTTCTTTTCACGAGCTTCCACCTGAGGAGGACTCCAATCCGTTGAAAAATCTGCGAAAGAGTATGACCAGACGGTTTACAGCGGAAACAGCGAAAGGAAAGGATATAAGTGGTGGAGAGGAGGACAGTGAAGAGAGGTAAGTCAACCCTTTTCAACAATTGGCAAACGAGCTCCATGCTAATGATATGGTAGCAACCGCAAGAAAAGCGTCCTTTTACTCGGGAAGAAAATTCTAGGAGGACTTAACCAGCCCTAAGCAGCAACTCATACTGGCAGTAACTCGATTTAATTCTGATCGGCTCTATCTCGACAACCAATTCTAATCATTACGACCCTTTGCACGGCGTCATTTCTCATATTATGATATCCTGCGTGCCTGCAGCATTTCCAGGCGTTCACCCTAAGGTGAACGAAGTATTCGTTTGCGTTGTCGCTTCCTTACATGGGCGTGGATTGGGGGTTCTATTCTTGTACATAAGAAAACGATTAATGTTGTAAATATTAACACTAGGGTAAGATGGGTAGATTTCGAGAAATGTGAGACTTGACTGTTTCCTTTTAATGTCCATGAATGAAGATTAGGCTTGCTTCCACGCTCGTTGGTCACCTAATTGGTATTGAAAAATAAGGTACCACCTTAGCCTACCAACTCTCGCCAGCCGGTTCGGAGAATTACATTGCTAGCCGTAAATTACGTATCTCAAATGCGTATAAATAACGCGCGATATGTGCAGCAGTAGAACATCCGCACTATAGTCTTGTGAACAACCAACCCTCCCACCACCTTTCCGACCATATATTAGAATCTAACACGATGCTGATCCGTGAATATCACGAAGATGTCCCCACTAGTGGCGGGGGCTCTATGCGTGAGTATCCGATATCTGTTGCGGTGCATTTTTGAGCCAAAGGATTGGAGGAAGCGGGGAGGGAGGGGAAGGCGAGAAGGGGGGAGGGGAGAATTGAGTCCCTGTGATATTTTGGCTGATATATGAGGGTCCATAGGGGTGTTTATCTTTCATCCTACGATTCCGGGGTATCCGCTCGCGAAGTTTCCCGGTGTTGTTGTTTTCTCGGAGATATATCAAGGTATGGAATTCTCAATGACTTATGTCTTTCATCGTCAATATCACTTGATTGATTATTCTTTCTTTCCTTGACCATATATAACCCCATTCCTGCCTTCAACGAAACCCGCAAGTTGACATTTGCATAGTAACCGGTCCCGTCACCCGCTTCGCTCGCCAAATCGCCGGCCATGGCTACATCGTCGCTGCGCCCTCTACATATCACGAATTCACGTCCCCCGCGCCCCTCGCGTATGATGGCCCAGGCACCGACGCTGGTAATGCGTGGAAAGCAGAGAAAGCCCTTTCCGCTTATGACGAAGATGCTACGCTCACCGTTGATCTGCTGCTCAGCCTGCCTACTTGTACGGGCGCCATTGGCGCTACGGGGATGTGTTTGGGTGGGCATCTTGCATTTAGGTGCGCTTTTGATAGGAGGGTTAGGGCGGGAGTGTGTTATTTTGCTACTGATATTCATACCTCGACATTGGGGAAGAGGACTGGGGAGGGCGGGGAGGGAAAGGGTGATGATAGTTTGGAGCGTGCGGGGAAAGGGGAGGTGATGGGGGAGTTGGTTATGATTTTTGGGAAGGAGGACGGGCATGTGAGTCCTGAGGGACGGGATCTGATTAGGAGGACGTTGCATGAGGCTGTTGTTCATGATGATGATGGTGGGAAAGGAAGGGGAGTCGACTTCAGTTGGTATGAGATTGCGGGGGCGCAGCATGCGTTCATTAGGGATGAGTTAAGTAAGGGACGGTATGATCCGGGAGTTAGTGGCGTTTGTTGGGGGATGTTGATGGAATTGTTTGATAGGAAGTTGAAGACGGAATTGGGACCGAGAGAGGGGGGAGGGAAGAGGTGGAAAATGTGTGTTGAAAGAAGGCTGAGGTTGAATTGTGATCGTGTTGTATCGAAGTCATTATTGGTTTTCGTATATATATTTGGCATCTGGTGTCCTGCATTCAATTGCTCGTGCCGACAAAGACCACTAACACCGCTGCATACGTGGCTGTTGCAACTAGGGTCTCCGAGTTACTCGCTCTGATGCCCACTGACATCATTGAAGCAAAGAGTGTGACTGCGATAGAGACGGTTACGAGGCTCTTTGTTTTCTGTACGGATGGAAGACTCATTATCAGCATAGGTACGACCAGTGCAGCCCCTCCAGTGATTGCGATGATAAAGGGAGCCATCTTATCCACTGATGGCGAGACTGCTTACGGAGGGGCGCCTTGCAAGTACTCGTCTGTCCTACTGTGAATCTCCGCCTTAGTATATGTGAGACGGCGTGGTAGGAAACGTTTGAGGTGATCTCTTATGGGGTCAGATTGGATTGTGGTGTTCGAATCGAGGCTACAGTAGCGTGAGTTGTAAGGATCTCCGTCCATTTCTGCAATCTCCGGAAAGGCTTGTGACAGGTCGCGTCGAAGTTTGGACGATTGCTGGCTTTCGATACTTTTCATAGATCGGACAAAGGTGTAGTCTTGGATTGCAGTGGCTGACGAGGGTCGTTAAGCTTGCTCAATTTCGATTGTTTAAAGAAGTCTGGAAATTGAAGGATGTTGATAAACGGTATGTCTTCCAGCAAATGTTGGCAGTGCAGTCATAAGTACGTTATACTTCTTGTGCTTTTGCCATGGATGATGAGGGGCCAGGAGTATTTGAGTATGAGGTAATGAGATGGAAGAGCTTACTGTAATCACGCAACGCGGCTCTCAAATCCGCTGAGTCTATATCAGACAGTGCTGATGCTGTCCAAGAGCTTCCTTTCAACTTTGCCAAACGATTTTGCAAGTTGAAGATGTTCATTCGGTGAAGCATCCGATATTCAAGGAAGTGTACATGGTCGTAACCACTCGCAAAACTGTAGTGAAAGAGCCTTTCGCTATAGTTCATGTCATCCTCGATATGACCTGGCTCTAAAGCGTGCTCTTTGGCTGGTGGATGCCAGGCAGGCCAAGATTCCTCCCTTTGCATGTCTGATGAGCGTCGAGCTGTGTTTCTGCTCGGCTGATTTTCAATCTTTGCTTAGCATAACATCCATGCACTTTCGATATGTATCTAGCAGTTTCCGAAGTTCTACTGTATGAATTGGTATGAGAGGCTGCTTAGTAAGGCGTTGGTGGTGGGGTGCGTCGTTTAGCTGCATGCTCAGCCACCACACCGTCAGCCTGATCTCACTGACAATCTGCAAAAGGCAGCAGCTTCAATTCGAATTTCACTTTCCGAGACTCCGATCCGAATGAATTAGCTAAGATTCGAATTTATGAGCTAGATATGTCTAATGTAAAGCCTTTAACGTTGCCCGAGAGCTCTAGGGCAGTCAAGGATGCCATTGAAAGAGCACGTCGTATACGCCGCGCAATGGCTCGAAACAAGTCTCCTAAGAGATTCTATCGACGGAAGAAACACGTACCCCAAGAAAATTCTGAGCGCTTTGACGGGCTGCTGATTTCTAACAATAACAAAATTGACTCTCAATGCCAGCCTACGTCGAGAGAGGGTCTTCGTGGCGGTTGGGACAAGGCCCCAGAAGGGAATACTCAGTAATCTCTTGGAAATAGAGAAGCATCATCCGTCAACGAAGGTAATATCATTTTCTTCACCCAAGCAAGTTGAGGAATGTAACAGTCTACAGCGAACTTCAAGAGAGCGGTTCTCCGCATTGAGAAAAATGTCGACAGAAACATTGTCGAGCCTTTGAAACAAGCAATGATCCTCAAAGAGCAGCCAGATTTCAGCGCTTTAATTTCATACTCAACGAAAATCGAGAAAGAATACATGGAGGCTCACACAGCATGGCTTCATAGCGTTGAAACAAAGTGCCCTACAATGGAAGGTCGGTTTGCGATACCTCACTGATCGTAATACAATGCATTGATGCACGAAGTAGAGAACAAAGATTGTGTGAAGGCACCCGGAGCCAACAACAAGACTTAGTGGTCTCTCGAGCTTATGAGCAATGACGTAATGAGTAATAATCTTGTTTTGGCCGTGCAGGCCTAGGGCAAAACCTCGCTGTCTCGAGTATCCACGCCAGCCAAAGACTGACTCTACCTCGCTGGCAACGCCATGCAGCAGCCCCAGGCCCGCTAAACCCCCTACTGTCGTAGCTTTGGAGTCTATATATGATATATGTACAGGGATGGTGGGTGGGTGTTCAAAAACCACCCTTTGACAGATATGAATGTAGGAATGATGGAGAAGGGGCTGCCAAAATTCTATGTAAAAGCCTAAGGAATTAGGCGAAATGAGCTCTTGGCCCACTAACCCCTAGTCTAGCTAGTTCCTTGAAAGTGCCAAGATGCTCCGAGCGACAAGGACCGATTCGGAATCTGACGAGGAGGTTGAACTTTTCTTATGAGGCGACTTGGGTATTCATTGATGATTTAGAGGCCGCGTTAAGACCTGAGTAAAAGAAAAGGCAGTCGCCCGAATGTATAGGGTTTGTCAAATAGAATTCTTCATTCAATTTCAATGGGCAGAGCATTGAAACTTCATTTGCAGTCTCGACGCAACTTTGAGTCTTTCAATAACATAATGCCAGGCCTAGCTTGCTGGCACCACTCTATATTGCCTGATCAATGACTGACTCGCATTCTTCAGGGAGATGGGACGCCTTTGCGGATGCGACGTCCTCTCCGAATTATGGGTCGTGCAACAGGCGTTGAACTATGAACATACCCAACTCTGATGGAGATAGTGTATAGGTTTGAATATTCCAAAGACATACCTATCTACGGAGAGTAATCGTAAATGTATTGAAGACTTAGCACAACGCTCAGGGATCGAAAGAAGTTTTTCTTAGTAGGTATCGTACTCAGCCTCTTTCCACCTTTGCAATGATACAACAAATCGGGCTAATATACACATATCCTAAGCAACTCCATCAATGAACTTGACATTCTATTTCGCATATTGAAGTTTTCATGACCGTCATTGTCGCTCGTCGAAGCTTTGCCGATAAGTCAGAATTGCCAATCTGGAAGCCATCGATGCCATGGGTGAAAATGTCCGAGTAGAAGGAACAGTGCTCGTTTTCAGTAGACTTGGACGAAAGCCAACTAATGATGATACATCTCAGAGAACGCCTCTGAACGTTACGGATTGCCATTTAGCACTGAGCAAGATTATACAAACAGCATGTCTAGTCAACCGCGAAGTTGCGCGACAGCGCCTTCCATTTCTCACGGCGATGAAAGTCCGATTTACGAAACGTTTCGTCCTTAAAGGTAAACCTGAGGAGTTCGACTGGCTCCTGACGTCAATCGATCGTCAAATGGGCGGATTGATTTCTGTACCTGCCGATGAATTGGTATACGACGAAGACCCTAGGTGGCGTCTGATAAAGAAGTTTTTATACCCAAATAGAGAGTTCGAAGCGTCTTTAAGTAAGTTTTCCATTGCCAAAGACTCTGGTATACTGATACTTTTCAGCGAGGCTGAAACGATCATTCCTTCGCATTGAGAAAAATTTCGAGCAAGATATTGTACAGCCTCTCAAGCAGGCAATGATTAACAGAATGGATGCAGACCTCTTCACACTGATCTCACAAGCAAAAAGAACCGAGACCAAGATACTAGAAGCCTGCGAAGAATGGCAAATGGTGATCCCACAATTGTGCTGTAAAATCGCAGGTGAGCAAAAGAACAACGCTGGCTATTCATCAGCGCTAAATTGGAGAGCAGCAACAAGTGATTTTCAGGACGCGTCCGAACTCGACAAGCAAATATATAGATTAGAGTGGCGAGCAAGAGACGCCGGATGGAATGCGGATCTCGACGAGGTATTCCAGAATCTGAACCGTGACCCCTTTGAACGGACTGACGGCCCGACTTTACTCGTCAAACATCTCGAGGACATACTGAGCAGGCAAGGTGATGACTCTGTCTAGGCTGCAGGTATTCAAGTTGGGGACTTGAATCGACATATCCCCAGTCCGACTTAGCCGAATCGTGTCAATGCCAATTGCCAATCGCATTGGTTTCCCTAGAGTCTTCCTGTCATGAAGGCTAATCGAGGCTTTCTCGGCCTATACATGAGGAGACTACGTTGGTAGATGTTGACGACGGAAGTAGTGCAAATTTGCTGAAGTCCTTGGGACGGGCTCTTTCAGATGCAACGTCTTCTCCGAGAGTAGGTCGCCAAGAAAGAGCTTTTTCGCAATTGAATTGAGACACAACAACATTACTGTAAGGACTAGGTTAGATGTATTTGCGGCCTAGTCGATGAAGATGGTATATCCGAACTCAGCATAGGTTCACCAAGGAAACCGGTGTCATTTTCTGCAACAGATATCAATTCCATTCAGCATTGCGCAGCCCCTTTGGCGGCAGGATGGTCCTCCTGCTTTGGCCTTCTACCCCGTAGTCCCCAAGTATCGTGATGTCTATTTCTTTCTATCGCTGCTCTCGCTTCCTTTCTCGCCATTTCCTCCCGCATCTTCGTCATTCTTGTATGCTCAGGATCTGTCGGCATGATCATGTGCTCAGGCAGAACCTTCCCATCTTGCAATCTGATAAGCTCCTTAGTCCTCTTGTGCTTAGCTTGGTTTTTGCTTATGATATACCAGGACACAGCTCCGACCAGCAGAATCCCGATGATAGGTCCCGACGACCCTCCCATAATTTTGTTGACGTAAGATCGTGTGTAGTTCAGTGTATCACCCTTCCCATCGTCTATGTTCATGCCGAAGTATGACGTAAAGAACGAGAGCGGAAGGAAGATGACTGTCACCATGGTGAAAATGAAAAGAATCTGCGACTGAGCTTCCGTCGCGTCCGCTTGGACTTGTGCTGAAAGCGCTTGCTTTGCTGCGAAAAGTGCCTGCTGATTCAGCTTTTGCGACTCATTGATGTTCTCTTCCTTTTGCTGAAGATCTAGCAAAGCTAGCACACCATTTTGTAGCCTCTCAGAAGTTTTTGTCATCCCCTCTATCTGGGACAAAGAGTGACGGATGAGGTTTTCCAAAATATAGTTCATCTCATTCCGAAGTGATTCTAGACATCTGACATTCTTAATATCGTTGGTCGCTTTTTCTAAAACGTCTTTTTGGGTATCAAAAAGCCGCACTAACATATGAAGTTCGTCGATTATATCGGCTATCTCGATACCTAGTCGGACCAGCTTTCTCCTCTGCTCCAGATCTATCCGTTCTGCACCCTCAGCCATAGAATCATCGAATTTGCGGAAGAGATCATCATAGTTCTTCGCCACAGCGCCTAATGCTTCTTGGAAGAGCTCTAAAAAGTCCAGCGACGAATGGTTGTGTGTTGTCAACGTTTCGGATAGCGCTGTCGACAGGATCGCAGCAGCGATTTCAGCCCCATGGGAAGATTCCTTGTCCTCTAACTTTTCCAAGACACTTTGCCGGACGTCCGCAATGTGGTATAGGTCTGGAGAGTCTTGGTTCGACCTTGAGTACGAAGTCCAAGGGAAAGAGGTAAGGATGGATGAACCAACATAAGTCCAGTCTTCGGGCTTAGAAGTGGACCCAGAAGCCACGATCCTTTTCCTTTCGACGATCCAAAGGCAGAGCCAAAGCTGGTCTACCATGATCATCTTTGGGTCTGTCTCCATTCTAGTCTGGCGAGAGACAACTTGATCTGAATCTCTTTTGCTGGTATCTCTGATTCGGGAGTAATAAAATTGGTCTAAAGATCGACGTGGGTGGTAGGCCTCAAAATTCTGGTTTTGGCTCAAAAAATTTGCAAGAGTCGGGATCTCCATGTCCTCAATTACACCATTAGGCGACTCATATACATTGCAAACATCATTGTTGTATGCTTTGGCGCCATTGACTGTGTCCCAGTGAATGTATGGAAGCTACGAATAGATACTGGTAAGTTCATTTCTGACAAGTTGGGTATAGATGGGGACCTACAAATATTCGAACGTAATTTACACGAGTGTGATATCCTTCAGTCTCCGGTCTCGAGGGGATTGGCCCGGCAATTGGTTGGAAGAAGTCATGTCTTGGGAGAACGGATCGAGAATGAGGAAAGTTAGATTTTGCCTGAAGTATAGTTCCTAGCGATTCAGAGATATCGTGGTGAGAGAGGCATGGGGGGGATATTGTTCGCATTGCTCTCTTGAGACTCCAATCAGCCAAGTCAGCAGACTAAGCAAGCTATACTTACAGTCATCGAGACAGCGTTATTGAATGGAAAATGTACCCAATTATCCATCGAGCCTGATTCCGGTTGAGACAATGGAAGGAATCGCGGATCAGGATCTCCCACAAAAGCATCTCTCGGAGCAGTGAGAAATCGTTCGAATGGCCTTTTACGTCGAAGCGTAAACAGTGTCACGTCCCAATTTATGTCGCGGAGGACCAAGTCCCCAAGAATATCAGTCAAACATTCGCATATTCTCTGAAATCGGGGTTCGTCGTAGTCCTCGAACTTTGATAATGCAAAATACGTTACAGCTCCATCGATAATCTTCTCAGCACCATCTGGTAAACCACCCAGCTGCATTTCGTTCCTTTGCAGTATTTGAGACGGGGATGTCTCAAGTACGGAAACGATCTTGAGATTGTTTGACTTGATGAGACCTTCAAAATCACTATTGATGGAGTCTACGATTCGGTTCCATTTGTCGCGACGAAACTTTGCAAATTGAAACCTAATTTTTTCTGGGAAGAAAGATCTGTAGTGATCAGGGGTCTGAGCAAAATGATGAGGTGTAGCTACTCTAATTTCAGCACTATCATTCGCAGACTGACGGGTGCCAGACCAACACACCGAGAAAAACAACACCCTTCAGCTGGTCAAGCTGCGGCGTGCAGCTTTGCAGAATCCCTTTGGAGCCCCAGAGATGTTGCGTCAGCTGGGAGAGTATTAGCTTTCTATTTTAGGCATGATGAGCCCTCACTTGTTTCAATTTGACTCCTCCAAATCCATGAGCGACAAATACAACTGGAGCCCGTTCGTCGAATGGAGTCGACTTGAAATGTCTTTCGATTACGTGCCATATAAGTTCTGTATCCCGGTAGCTGTCCTCGTACCAATTGTCTACGTGGCCGATGCTATATATTGCACAGTGTGGGAATTTCCTGGGAAGAAAGTCTCGGAGCCAAAAGATAGACCGATTATTAGGAGCAGAAGCAGTATCACAACACCAGGTCGTTCTCCACGAGCCACCAGGCCCATGGATCGCAAAGATGCTGAACCTACGTCAATCAACGCAGAAACGATCCAGACGGCTTACCGGCCTCTCGACCTCCCCAACGGTTTGTAGATGGGTACAACACCAAAGTGTTCATCTGGATAGCGACTGAGGTCGCACAGCATGCCATCTTGCGTTCTCTCTAGCGGGTATGGATTTGCCATTACAGCATGGGAGAGTCGACAGTCGTAGCGGAAATCCTCAAACGTCCGCTGAAGTGTCACCTTGAGGTCCGGAAAAGTCGATCACAGGCAACAATGAAGCGCCATACACCCTCATTTCCAGAGCGCATCGCGCAAGCCAATGAAAGCCGGGAACGGTAACAGGCATGGAAGCTCGAGCCAGTGACATTGTTCTGCTTGGGTTTGGCACTTTGAGTACATGCATAAGCCTGGGCCTAGTGCAAGCCACGCATCATCCCACCTTTCAGCCTGACAAATCTGCTGTGTGACACCCAAGCATGAGTGTACTGCGCTCTATACTGATAGTTATAGCGGCCCACAAGATTCGGCCAAGACAGGCTTTGGCAGCTTGAGTTGAGGAGCTATGGCGCTATTACTCGTGTGGTCATGTTTTCTTCACCTCTTTGCACTTCATTCGTCTTTCATTGCTTACCACTTGTAGAGTCAAGTCAAGCATGGGGGTACTTTAGAACCGAAAGGGTCCTGGAAAGAAACTAAACATTATAGATGTTACTGTCAAATTGCGTGAATATGGAGCCATTGGACAAAGCACTCCTTTTCTCTTGAAGTTAGCTTTTGGAGCCTACAGCGACATCAGAGGATCCTGGTCTTACTCCCTAGAGTTTTGATAGCACTAAGGCTATGGTACAAGTCAGGATTTATTATATTGTTGTCGTACATGCAGAGATTCCTCTCCCGCTCACTCACAATGACAGCAGACGACGGTAGATGGGCTGTACATAGAACAGTAGCTAATAATCGGACACCGAAATCTCTCAGGCAACATACAGTATTCCCGCAATATTCATCAGGCCTGTTGGGCAATGACGGGTGGTCCAGCGCTAGTTCAAGACGCGTAGACAGCTTGCTGCTGACTCCGAAGCGGAGCCAAGCTCGAAACCTGCGAAGCTTGACCTTCAGAGGTGGTCGCGGCTGACGACGTTTGAGCAATAGGTAAAGATCTGAACTCGCCATTGTCGAACTGCTTGTACTTCGTCTGACACTCATCCTCCGGGTAGATATGGCTAATCCATCCGATGTGTTGAGAATTGTGAATCTTGGTGGACAATTTCGATTTGGAGAAGTTGATCGCTGTGGCGATGCGATGTTCGGCCGAAGTTTTGGACTTCGTTGCGCTGAAGCAAAGAAAACCGCCGCCACTGTCGAGCTTTTTCTGATGTCCGCAAACTCGCTCTATTCGAAGTTGGCATCACCTTCCAGGATGTTGTGGAGGTCTTTGGCGACGACGAATGCGACTGGCTAGGTAGGCAGCTGAGATATCTCCGCCATATCGAGAGTTGCTTGAATGCAGTATGGTATACTTCGCTTTCTCTCGGACCTCCCCCGAAATTTGGACACGTTGCAAAGGTCATTCACTAGGCGAAACTCTGCATTAACAATTATTTGGCGCTTCATTTGTTGTGCGTCGACAGTGTCGTTGCCTGTGTAATTGAAGTTTCCTTTCTCTGGCTTAGATATGATAGCTTGCTATTCATTTTTGGACATTTCCATTTGGAGAACCTCTACTTCTTGGTTGGGCATTAGATCACAATGCGGATACAGGGGACTATATTGCGATGCGGCTCACGCCGTTTCCAAACAAACCAATAGACTGGTCGTAGATCTGCTTGATGAAGGGTTTATCATTCACTGGTAGGCCAGATGCACCAGTGACTTTGGGGACAACACTATCCGGAGCTGTGGTGTTGTCTATCATGATATCGAAATATTACAATTGGATAAATGTAGCCAGTATGCTCAGCAAGAAATCGAACTTGATCAAAAGTAAGTCTTTTTCCGTTCGGAGAGCAACAGGCCACATTTAAATCGATTTTATGATACATCTGGAGAGCTGTCCAGCAATTGAAAAGCCCCTGATTAACTGCCACGATTGTAGACTTGAATTTGTGGCCAGCATTTTGACTAGTTCAACTATAGTTCCAGCTAAAAGAGCCATTTCCTACGTTGCTTTAATTGGGTCGAAGCCTTTTCGACCCATGAAGCCCCATGTGCTCGGCCCAAATGTAGATTTATTCAGCTGGTTTGTGGCCGCCACCAATCTAATCAAAGCCAAGTCGGTGTTCTCGACCGTTGTCGACCACGGTCAAACCCATCTCAGGATGGTTATTGGACAGGGATGGGCTTGCCGATGAACGGGTGGTGGACCCACCTTCTCCGGATTGAGAGAAAGCTGACGAAGAGACAGACTGAACTGTCGCACGAATGTATTTCAAGCTGAAGTTTTGGTATCGGCTAGCTCAATGAAATCAGGTGCAGTCGGGGCAGTAGCCTAGTGTTTCCCATTACGGCAACCATGGCGCCACCTCGGAGATTGCACTTGCCTGATTTGGTGATGAGGCTGAATCGCACACGGGAGGGAGGGACGGGGCTCCTGCGGATGTAGCCAGACGTTTACGTGAAATCTCCGATCTGCATATTCCCTTTGCCCACGTCCGGAGATCTTTTGCAGATTTTTGGCGTGGGAAGAATCAGATGAGTGCGCCACCAGCTTGCCGATTGGCCGATGACCTGGAGTTCGCAATTTCAGAACCTTTTGTACAGGATCTTTACGATCTCTCCGCCGTCTAGATCTTCCAGAAATAGAATCCATGTGACCATCAATCATTGCCTACGCTGCTTGAGGGATCAAAACGAGGATGTAATCTCGCTGTCTCAGGAGAGGCGAAGCCATTGGCTTCTTTCGTCGACGACATCCCTGTTCCTCTGGCTCATGGGGTGAAAGAAGTCCACAGTCTAGATCAAAGCAGTATGTCGGCCTCGGTATAAGCCATACCCCGCTTGGTGATTCTCTTATCCTTGACGATAACGTTACATTTTGCGACCATTCTGGTCAAGTCTTTCCATGTCCTCCCGCAAGTGGCGCTTGTCTTTGTGGCCTCATCGAGCAAAAAGTCTAGATTGTATGTAGTCTAGACCAAGGCGGTGTTCTTTGAGGTGATGATTAATTTCCCGATGATGAACGAATCTGCCTTTAAGGACGAGTGTTCTATTCTGGACCACTTGGTCGTATCTTGTCCCATATTCAGTATATATGGCCTTCCCGTTCCCTTAAGAAACTTAGCAAACTCAGACCGATCTATACTTATCAATCCCGTTCTTCCGTCTCTTAGGCTGCAGGCATAGTATCTAGTCCAGATCAAATCAGGACCCAACAACAAACCAATTCTGGAGCCTAATTCCCTTTATGGTCTTGGCCACGATGAATTCAGCACCATCCTCCATGTTGCCTGGTTTCAATCTACCTTTCGGCAGTATATTCCCTCCCAGCGTGGTAGACTGGACTAGCTCCCCGGGATCAAATTCATCGAATGGAAACGAGGACTTGATAATGGTATGTTTCTCTCAGCGTTCGAGTGCGCAACAAGCTCTGACAATGGCAGCAACTAAAGCAGCAATTTGGTGCTCGGGTTGCCGAAATGCAGACGATGGTTGAAAAGGCCAACGAGGTGTGTAGGTTACATTAACCGCATGTCCGATCTCTGACCGTCGCATAGTCTGTGAAAAGTGCCGTGGGCGAGCGAGATGCTGCTACTGCAAGAGCAGATAAAGCTGAGCTCGATGGAAAGGCACAGCAAGCCGAGCTAGCAAGTCTGAAGTTGGAGCTTGAAGCTTGCAAACAATCCGTCCAGCAATATTGGGTGGCGGTGACCGCGGCAGCAACTAAATTGGAGCAAGTCAGTAACGAGGCTGCTTCCACCAAGGCCGAATTGACACGCTATCTCATGGAGATGGAAGCCTCTCGACGAGATCTTGAGCTACAAAAGGCAACCAACCAGACCCTGACCGCGCAACTTGATAGCTCAGCGAAAGAGCTCGCTTCTGTCAAGGTGGAGTTCAGTAGCTTCAAAGTCCAGGCCGACATCCAGGCCGAGACGAATGGCAAGGCCCAAGAGCTCGCAAAGCAGACGATTGCGAACCTTACGGAGGAGGTCAGCCGCAGCACTACCAGCTTGCACCAGGCGCGCAGTGCCAGTGAAGCCAGCCGGCTCGAGCTTGAAAGAGCTAATGGTCAGTTGACCCAGCTGAAGCGAGAGTGTGAATCCTGGAAGGTATCAGCTTCCCAAGAAGCAGAGAAGAATGTCAGAACGACGCAATCCATGCAGGAAGAGATAAGACGGGGTGAGTCTGAGCGGCGAAGTCTTCAAGATGGCCTGAACCGGAGCCAGAACGAACTCGAGATGGCAAGACGGGTACTGGCCGACGTTGAAAGGCGCTTCCGGGACATGAGTAGCCCAGGAAACATTTTCAAAAGTCTCTTTTAGTCCGTTCATATTACCTTGAGCGACATGGTGTTAACTTAGACTGGCTTGCCACCATTCAGGCTCTAGAAAGTCATTGACTGCCCGGGATTCATTCTCTCGTCTGACTGCCGTAAATCATTCTTAAGTCTTCAATGGCCTTGACCCGTAGATCCGGCCCGACAAATTCCGCCCAACATGGCACGGGCTTCACGACCCCAAGCGATGCTGCTCCCTCTTGTTGAAGTATTTCGAGCAGACGTCTTGAAGGATTAGAATCGATGATGGGAATGGCGTTCAGCAAAGATTTGGTTGTGATTGAACCAAAATTGTAGAAGCGCTTCTGGCTCGTAGTCGCATCTATGCCACAACGTAATAGCATTTGGACTTTATCCATGCTGTCGCTTTCTGTGGCGGCGTACAAGCAAGCACCCAGATATTCCGCAAGATTGTCTTCGAAAGGTAATTTACCTAGGGATGCTTTCAGCTGGTTGCAAGAACCAAAGCGTGCGGTATGGATAAGTCGAGCTGCTTTTATTTTTGGCGCTGCATTATGCTTGCTGGTCTTTGCTAGAAGCGTCGTCAACGCCACGTCACCATTTTCGATGGCTAAGTCCAATGGCGAAGTCTCGCTTATGCAGACGTCAGGATCTGCTCCATATTGAAGCATCACGTCAACTAATTTACGCCTACGGTCTGCCCCGGGTCGAAGCTGTGAAGTCCTTACTCCTACACCCCGAAATTCGGATATGTAGAATAGTAAGCGACTCTCTTCAGCGGATGGCTTTCCACAATGTGATAAAAGCAATTCAAAGATGTCAAGTCGTTCATTGGTCAAGGCATGCTTGATAGTACACCATTCCACTGGACTGCCTTTCTCGAGCAAGAGCTTTACACAGTCATAGCCGCCACGCAAACATGCCAAATGAGTCATCGAACGCGTGTTTTCCCACAATATATCTTCTATGCCCTCGGTATGATATGAGGTCTTCCAAGGCAAATATCTCAGCTGCAAAATCTCAGTGTCCAGTTCCAAACGAGCCTCGATGAAATGGGTGAGATTCAGAAAGCATTGGATGTAAATGGGATCCGCTGCCTGGATATATCTTCTCAAGTCAGTGGGAGTGTAGAAATTGACAACATTCCAAGGTGTGACAAAAAGCCAATCAGCGTGCCGCCAGCTACTTTCATCATAGTAAAGTAAGGCAATGTTCGAAACCATAAGCCAGCTAGTATATGCTGAGTCATCTGAGGCTTGATCGAGGAAGAATTGGACGGACAGGGTTCTCAGGGGCTCTACAAGCCAGCGACTAGGGCACGCCATGAGGTGGATTGGCCAGAAACTTATAGCATACCTGGAAAGTTCACGAGCCTCTATCCAAGAGAAGTGGTCAGTCGGTGTTTCCCAATCTAGCTTGCCGCGGAGTATTTCATGAGAGATTTGGCCTGTAGAGAATATTGAATGCTCATTCCAGGCATGCTCCCTTATGTCTAGCATTTCTTGTGACATAAGAAACCTCAGGCACACGACTATCACACACTCATCACAAAATTCATAAAGAAAGTCATCCCTATCTTCGAAGAACTCTTGAACGGATAAATGTGCGAATCTGAAGGCATCAGCTTGGTCATCGTAGATGACAAAGTTCATGCAGAGTTCGAGCAACTCTTCTATGGTGTAAATGATCTGCCGATTCAAAGCGAGGCTGATCGCTTTCAAGAAATCTTGTGCACACAACTGCCTATCAAGGCCTAGTAGTAAGCGTATCGTGTTTTCGAATACCGTTACTTCCTCGGGATGTCGCAGCCCGAGAAGCTGCTGGTAGCCCTGCTCGTACAATTCCTCCAGGCTTTCTGGGATTCTGCCAAGTAGCTCCTTGGTGAAGTCGATGAGCGTAAGCTTGTTCAGTGCCTCGATGGAGAATTCTGCCCATCTGAACCTGTTACCAATGGAGATATTAGTCAGACGTAATGCTTACGTGAAGCTCAAAAGGTCATGTTGAACCTGAATGAACAAGGCAAACGGCACGCAATGACAGCTCTTGAAATGATCCGTACTCACATGCCGCCTGACTTTTCAATAAGACTATCCTTGACCGTGAGAAGTAGCTGGTCACTCAAAGGCTTCCCATATCTTTGTTGCTTTTCGACCATGTTTCCTACCTTTACGTCAATATATCGCGCAATGTCAGAATAGTTGTTTTCCCAATGTATCAGAATGTTGGGGACGCTCTTGAGGTGGTACGCGATTGTTTGATCGAGCCTACTCGATATCAGAATTTTGATCGTCGAGCTCGAGCTTTGCACCAATTTGTCTAGGTGCTGAAGCAGAACCTCCCGAGATATTGAGTCGCATTCGTCTAGAGCGTCAATGATAATGGTAATTGTGGGCCAATAATATGCAAGTTGAATGATCAGCTCCACGTATTCTTGTAAACCAAGGTCTCCAGCGGCAAACCCATCGTCCCTTTGCTTCTCATACAACTTGAGTAGAGGAGGTAGAACAGACCTTGATATGCTAGAACGACTCATTTGGCGTGCTATACTTCGGAGCACATGGGCAGCTTGCGAGCGTCCGGCTTCGTTGCGACTTCGAGCACAGTAAAAGAAGTAAGGGCAAGGCGTCTGACTCTGCTTTGATTCTTCGGCGAGCCTATCGATTAAGATTGACCTTTGCATCTCCTGTTAGCTATATTCATGATGCTAGGGCAGATGAGATACATGAGCTTTGTCTTGCCAAATCCAGGATCGCCACGTAACCACAACACACACGAGTCATTCGAGTCATGCCATTGGCGAAGTCTGGAGTCTTCCAGAAACCAAGTTCCCGTACCTTGCAATACCTGGCGAAAATGCTGGTTTTGATGTTGCTGATAGGGTACCGTAGACAGCCAGCGTAGAATCTCTAGTTGCCGATCGCTGTCAAGCCTTACATAAATCAATGCTACCTGACTTTCTGTATTGCGAATTGGTGAGCTGATGTCTTCAAGTATACCCTCTACTTTTTGTTGCGAACAGCGTTCCTCGAGTGTTAGGTCACGCAAGCGTTCGCGTAGATCGTTATTGTGCTCGGCTTGAGTGAGGTTTCGCCATCGTTGCACTTCGGCTTCGCATGCCATAATTTTCCGATCAAGCTCGCCAAAATTGTCTAGAATGATGGTGATGCTACGAAAGACTCGATCTAATGCAAGAATATAGAATTAGCCATGTCTAGCACTTAGCAACACCAACCACAATTTAGCAACATACTCGCTGTAGACCTCCGGAACTATTGATATGTCTTGAGCAGATAGCAGAGCATGACGGAATATAGATCAATGAGTGCCCTCCTTTGCGAAGTTTCCGATTCGAATCCGTTTCCGATCATCAGTCGTTCAATCACTCTGCATTGGATTAAAAGGCTGCACATTCGCTGCACATCCTCCATCGCAGCGGCGTACTTCTCGACATAGGATACGCTAGCCTGGACCGCATCAGAAGGGAAAGGCACATTGCGCAGCGATTCTTACCTGCAAGGCAAACCTCACAGCAGCCCACGGTAGGGCTGCATGTATAGGGTCATACTGCACAGCAATATCGCCGACTGCCACAAACTATTGCACCCAGCTTGTAATATTCGCAAAGATGTCGCGCAGCACAATAGCTTCTTTCCCATCCCTCCCTTTGGACTCCCATTGTCTTCGTTTGACCTTTTCCTGTTCTTCCTCCACCGCACTAATCACGGATTGTGGCCCGATAGCTTTGGCGAAGGGTCGCAAGTCTCCTAGAAGCGTCGGATATTGGGGCTTCAGCTGCGAGACAGCGCTCATCCATAGGTCAGGGGAAGGTGAAGAGCTGAGTCCAGTGAGCTTTCCAGTAATAAATGTGTAGATGCAATCTTACCTAGCCATAGATTAGCCAAGGGAGTCAGACAGAACGACTGCTCATGGCATACAAAAGCGCAAGCCAAAGCCTCAGCAATCATCGCCGATCTCTCGTGTAAGTCAGCGAAAGGCTAGGGTGGAGGCTGAAGCATTGGAGGAGACCAATTGATTTTGCATTTGAGCGAGCACCTAATAACAGTAGGTTCAAAACATGTTTCTGTTGAATTCAGGATGATTGTCATTCATAGCACAACAGCTATGGCCAGACAACTTGACCGTCCATGCCGTGCCTCCATGGAAATACGGAATGCGCGAGTGCTGGATCTTTCGTTAAAGTTGATGTCCTGTCCGTAATACGCATTAAGGTTGACATATCATTAAGGTTGGTGATAGACGTCCGGGGTCTTCAACCTTGTACGCGCAAATATCTGGGAGACGCATAGTCCAGACCCTTCAGAACCAGCGTATAATGCATAATAACAAAGTACAAGCTCGTTAATCCTTAAGGTTCGACGAGAGGAGGGTGCACAACGGCTGGTATGATCCGCCAAGTGCCTCATGCACGCTCGACGGGTACTATTTTCTACTATTCACATTCCATCGACACATGCCACAGCGCTATGGGATCCTTCGCCTATCTTGCTTGGCCAATACCTTGTTGATTTCTACCAGACCACCTCCTAGGACAAGCTTTAACCGCTGAAAACTGGAGACACCCCAATTAGGATATTTAGGGGCGGGACGCTGAGGATCTAGTGGGATTGACATGCCTAGCCTTCAACGGCTACGACCAACGGTGGCTTAAGGCTTTGGCAGTCACTGGCCTGGGCCTTGTGCCTGAAAGCCAATGCTTCCGTTTTGGATGAACCACTAAACTTGAACGATACTAGCGAATGTGATCAGCAGTATTTCAGCTCCCCTGCTGAACGCCACGGACTTGACAATGGCCAGACTTCGGCCAAGGTACATGAAAGCAAGGAGTCATAAAGTCATAAAGCGCGCGTCGACCGTTTTATCGACTCTTTTGATCAGAACTCTCCGACGCACAGAACAATGACTTTCAGGCTCTTTAATTCAGTCTCAAAGAGACGCCTCGTTAGCGGAGGGACAGCATTAGGGCTAGCTGCCTTCACAGTAGACTCCCTTTTTCGACGGACGTCTCTGCGACTAGACAACGGCATTGCCTCGCCCGCTGATGAGCAATTTCACATATCCTCGGCTTTTCCTGTCCCAGCTGGCTATGGCGGTAAGACATTTCAGATCAAAAACAACTATCCACAAGTCGCTCCAACCAGTATTGTTGAATCAAAGAAGCCCTCTTGGCCAACGCTGCCCGCACCTGGAGAGCGTTCACCCTTACACGACAATTATCCTTGGCTTCGGAAGGATTTCACAAACCCTGACCAAGCCTATGAGTATTGTGAGCTGGTCAAGGCTTATTGCTGGGAGGGCAACGTGAACAAGGGATTTCGAATTTGCGAGAATACTGTTCGCTCCCCCTTTCGGCATGATCGATATTGTATGGCGACTGATGCTTTGTAGGTCCGGGAATGGTTTCATGCACCTTGGATGCATTATGGTCCGACTGGAAGAGAGCCCATCAATGGCTTGACCTATGAGCGTGCAATACCGGCGCTCGAATTCTCCAGAACCCAGACCGGCTATCTTCAGAATTGGGCTTGTGGGTTTTACAACGCGGCAGGCATGATCCCTCCATTTCCAAGGCCTACAGGGTATTGACACTCGAAAGGGGCTTCGGTTTTTGGTCAGGTGTGGAAGACCCCAAGTAATCCACAGTGGACCAAAGACGTCAAATTCCCCGAGGGTACATGCGTATTCAAGGTACTACTCTGAGGCATAATGTTGTCGTTTAACAACGTTGTGACAACCAAGCAGATACTTCTCACGGATGCGACGGACGAGGCGGTCCCTTCCCTCAAGGGATCACCCTCACTGCCTGCAGTAGGCCTACCCGCAGCGGACCCAAGTGATAATTCGCGCTGAAGTGGCGTAACAGGTGATCGCACCACATACCGGAGACCCAGATAAACCTCCGTTTCAGGCTCCAGTCAGAAACAACTTTGTCTCGGACCTGAGATTGATCCAGGTAGACTTTGCTGTACGTGATGAGAGAGCCCCAATCGGATGGGTATTTGGCACCTTCATGTACGATTCCGAATCCAAAGAGAAGAATGTAAGTATATCTGCGAAAGGATTCACCTACCTCCAGAATTTAATCTTGCTTTATTATAGGATTGGGACCGTATAATCCCGGTCGGGTTAATGTGGGGAAACGATCCCAATCTGAATCAGGCAATGCATGATGCTGGAAATACGCCTAAAGAGTCCTGGATCAATCCAAGAGCTGAACAGATCCGCAAAGACCTGGGTGGACGCAGACCAAGTTGGGGCTGGAATGGACGAATGAACGGCCCAGGTAATCAATCTCTCCTGTTTCCGAGATTGGCCTAAGTTTTCTTCTTTTCAACAGCCGACAATTTTATCTCGTCTTGCGCTTCATGCCATTCCACTTCAGAATGGCCATCGAAAACCGGAATGATTCAGCCAATGCCTAAGCATGTGGGGGGCAAATGGATCCCGCAGAACGATATCAAGACTATGAGATGGTATGTACGAGGAAATCACCTCTTCCTTGTCTGTCTGTTTCATACAGCAATATCAATCCAGTGAGAGTTCTTTGAAGCGCTCAGCTGACATACCTGGGATCGATTTAGGTTCCGTAACATTCCAGCAGGGGGGCCATTTGACCCTGACTCCGTCTCAGGCGACTACTCGTTGCAGCTTATGATAGGCATGGGGAATTACCTCAAATGGTCCCGGAGCCAAAAGCCACTTCTTAGCCGAATCATGTCGGGTGCGACGAAGTACACGGTCAGCGATGATAGCTTGCGCGCCGGACCTCATATTGATTACAAGAATGTTCCGCCTTGTGACTCTGGTGATGGAGAGAGCGCGAGGAAATGATTTGCTAAGCACAGGTGTCTTGTGCCAACGCTTGAATGATCCTATATCTGCACCCGAATCTTGAAGCACCGCTTAAGTCGATGATGATGACAAATGAGTCGACAGCAGCTACTGTTGGCTTTTGGCCTTGATATGACTAATATATGGTTGCTGATTTATCCGACCTATCGTATCAGCGTGAAACTTCTTCGGACACGACGTCCTCTCCAGAAGAGGTCTTATCGGGCTTTCAGCTGTTATCTACTTAAGGTTGGTGACAGACGTCTTCAACCTTGAATGCGCCGTCACTAAGCGGTTGAATTATCGAGAACGTCTCAGGGGTGCATTCATTCCCTTTAGGATCAACGCATCGTGCGTAGAATGCAATTGCAATCGTTGATGAAAATTCCCAGCATTTTTCGACGAGAGGAGAGTGCTGTCTACCTGGGCCATCTCAAGGCCGGGTAGGATCCCCCAGGTGCCTTCTAGTGCGAGTTAGACGGACCTCCTCTTCCTTACCATTTGCAATCTCCACCGACAAATAATATGGCGTGACAGGTGACTTCGCCTATTCTTACTCGGCTAATAACTCATTTGAAGGCCTTGGCGTGACCTAGTTGGGTATTTCCTGCCCCCTGGTGCCCCCTGCCCGAACCTAGACCACAGATCTCACAAGGTTGCGGCAGCCACCAATTTCTCTATATCCCCAAAATGGCCATTGTGGCTTTTTTAGGGGTCCAATACTTGAACACACAACTGGAGCCGTCTTCAACCTCGTGCCATGACAATTGACCTACTTTGTAGCCTTTCGGGTCATCGTCGTTGCTTTTTTCAACATGCGTTGCCTTTCTCTCCTCCGAAGCACTCATTGCGCTTTTACGTATGAGCTATGGAAGAATATTGGCAGCGACTCAAGCCAAGCCACAACGTCCAGATCAGTACGCTAAAGACCTCCAATCCAACCTCAGTCTACCCTGCTCTACTGATGACAATGCAGGCGAGCTTGTCGTCGAGCGCAAGCCCAAGAGGCGCTACAAACATTTTGTTCATCGAAGTCTTTCCTTATTCGCCCTGTTGGTAGTTGCACTTGCTCTCATCGGACTCATCGAATTTGCGTTGCGCGTTCTACCTCGCCTCGATGTACCTTCACGCGACCATTCCGTTGGCACTTCGAAGCGCTCACTTGGTCTAGCAAATGGGCTCTTGAGACGCCAGGACTTTGGCGATGAGGGCAATGATGATTCTACCTTTGATCCAGACGTGGGAACAAATCCTTATGCTCCTGCGCCAGCACAGGAGTCTTCTACTGACGATAGCTTCCAAGTGGATGGCATTGATGTATCGTCTGACGGTGGTCGCACTACTAGCGCTCTTGATGTCGGACCGGCGTCATACCTGCAAAAAGAGCGTCAACACGTTTCACATTCCAGACCCGTCTACTGCATCGCTCACGCCGCCTACACAGGCACCGAAATCAACACCAGCGCCGACTCCATCCTCAATTCCTGAGAATGTGAATCCCTCAACAACTGAGGCAGGACCTTCACCGAGCACAGCTGTCTCACCTTCGCCAACAGCTCCAAATCCAATGACTCCGAGTCTTGAACCTCAGCAGCAAGAGCTTGTCCAACCTACAGCTGTCCAATCTTCACATGAGGCTGCAAGCCGGAATGGTGGCCTTACAGAAGATTCGCAGCCAGCTGCATCCGCTTACGAGCCTTCTGCTTCCGTTCCAACAGTCGTTTCTCGTGGCCAGTCGTCATCAGGTGGATATTCAGGAGCTCAGCCGTCTGCCACTGGGTCGAAGACAACGGGAAACGGGGTAGCGAAGATTGTGTACACAACCATCACCTCAACGTCTGGATCATCTGCGATGATTGTAGTGACTACAATGAGCCAGCGGAGGGCTTCAATTACCAGGGATGGTTCCAGCAAAACTCCATCACAGTCAGATACCGCTCCTGCAGCTCAACATACGGGCAATACCACCCTTATGGAATCTGACATACCGTTAACGTTTGTTGAACGCCCCGAAAACTACTTCTCTGCGGTCTATTTACCAGTCCTGCTAGCCGTCGGCTTTCGTGTGCTGATTGGGTACCTGTACACCGTCACGAAAATGATGGAGCCATTTTCCTTCCTCAGCAAGCCTGGTGGCGCTTTGGCGAAAGACTTCCTCTGGATCAATTATCTTTCAGCCAACGACAATCTAGCCCCAATCTACGCCATGTTTTCTGGTCACTGGCTAATGTTGTGGACTGCAATTCTGTATTTGGTGGTTGGGCTTCTGTCTCCTCTTGGAGCCGAAATGTTTGGCATTTACCCCAGCTTTCACAAGATCGCCGTTGACACCGCTGTTGGTGGCCCAGGTACGTTGCTACCGTTTTCTTGACATCTTGCTGTCGCTGCTGACAGCATATTCTCGATAGCTATATGGATCCATACCAAGATTGCAAGGCTCATGCAGGGGTTGCTGTCATTTGTCTGCGTAATGTTGATCAGTATCTGGTTTCTCCTACGCGAAAACCAAAGTCACATCTACGCCAACCCGTCAAGCATCGCGAGCATTGCCAGCCTCATCCACCACTCTGAGACGGTCCTGGACTTCGCGCATCATGACCAGACTATCCCGAAGCGTGAAATGCTGCGCCATCTCGAAGGCAAACGATACCATCTAGGCTCGTACCTAACCCCCGATGGCTACGAACGCTACGGCATCATCCCAACTAGCGGCATGAATTATTCCAACGATATCTCTCAAGCTTCGTCAACACATACCGTCCCACCAAAACGCACCAAGTCCCTCACGCAAATCCTCCTCCTTGCTCTCCTTTTCTTCACCACTACCGGCCTCCTAACCCTAATAGCAGTCTACTACACCAACCACACCGACAACGCCTTCGAGCACTTCATGGACACCCAAGGATTCGGCCCCCGCTTCCTCCTCACCTGCGCCGGCCTCGTCATAAAATCCCAATGGACGCGCCTTGAGCGCCAACGCGCAGTCCTCGAGCCTTTCCGACGCCTAGACTTCACCACGACCACCCCAGCGACTACCAACAACACCACCACCACGACGCCCACATCTGCCATCTGCGACTCACGAACCCTCATCCCCCTCTCCACCCTCACCGCCGCCCTCCGCCGCCGCAACCCCTTCCTAGCCCTGATAGCCCTCACAGCCATCTTAGCTGAAGTCCTCATCATAGTCCTCCCCGGCATCCCGTTTGACGCGGGGCAGATCTGGCTCGCGAGTCGGATCTCGCGGTTCATGTGTTTTTCCATCTTGGGGTTCATGATACTTTTGCTGGTAATGGTGGTGGCGGTGTGGTGGACGGAGGAGATTCCTTTGCCGAGGGAACCGAATACGCTGGGCGCCATGGCGATGTGTGTTGCGGGCACGAGGATGGGGGAGCAGATTGCGGGGTTGGGGGTTGCTAGTGGGAGGGAGATGAGGAGGGAGGTTGAGAGTTGGGGGAGTGAGAGGGTGGGGTTGAGGAGGGTTAGGAGAGGTGGTGGTGGAGGAAGGGTGGTTGTTGATTTTGATGATGGGCAAGGAGAGGGGGTGTTTGATTATGCATGACCGGTTTATGATACCCCTTTTTGTTCAACACGCTTTTATGATACCCTTTTGAAGCTAATGAGGACTCAAATGTTGACATGTAGCTTTTGTACTTATATACATATATACATAATCATAATATCATAATCACAATCACCCCAGACTCACACCCCTTTCCAAATCTCTACTACCCCCACTCCTCCACTCAGCTTCCTCCTTCTCCCTCCACGCCCCCAACCGTCCATTCTCCACCCGCTGCCCCATCGACGATCTCGGCACCCTCCTCTGAAACCCGTGATTCTCACTATCATCACTCTCATACCCGCTCTTCCTCCTCCCCCTCTATACGTATCCCCACTCCGTCTCCCCACCAAAGCGCCCTCACTCCCCTTCAACTTCCCGTCACCAACTCCATAAACACCCTCTCCCTCCTCCCTCTCCTTCCTCTTCCCCTTCCTCCTCCACGTCCCCGCCAAACCCCTCAAACCGCCATTCACCCACACCCCCAAATTATCCACCGCGAACGCCACCGCAATCAGCGGTATCGAAATCGCCAACCCCACCCCGAAAACGAATTTGCTCACATACCCGAGCTCCAACTGATTCACCCCTCCCTCCCCAACCCCAACCCCATTTCCAGCACTCCCACCTTCTCGATTGACACCCCCAGCCCCCGCAAAATGCGCAATCGGGATCGCAAAAAACGTAGCAATAAAGCTCATCGGCAAAAACACCACCGTGACGATCGTGAACACCATAATAGTCTGGCCCTGGCGTCCCGTGAAAGCGGCCTGATCCCTCGCAAAGCGTGCTTCGAAGGCATTCGCATGTTTCTGCTTTAGATCCAGCAGATGCGTCAGGCTCGTATAGATAGATTCAGCCTGGCGATCCATACGATCTACGTCTTTGAGGTGGACCTCCACGACCTTTTTTAAGTCGCCAAACCGCTTCTTGATCTCGGATTCTTTGCGGCGGTGCGGGTCGTTGGACTTAGTGGAGTCGATGAGGTTGTCTTTCATTTCGTCGAGGATGGTGGATTGGTGTTTCAGTACCATGGAGATCATGTTAAGTTCGTCGCGGATGTCTTTTGCTTCCGCGAGGAGGGAGGTTTCTTTGCCGATGTCGAGGAGGGTGTCGACGAAGGTTGTGTTGGGGTTGTGGAGGGGGTCGGCAGTGTCGGTTAAGGGCGAGGGCAGCTCGGGCTGGGAGCGGTGGTTGTGGCGGCGCTTCAGCCATTCGGTTGCGGAGAGAGATGCTTCGTTGAATTTCTTGAAGAGTTCGGTCTCTTTGTTTGTCTGCGGTCGGGTTTAGCAGGCGTCATTTTGGAAGGGGGAAGGGGAGTAGGGCGTTAGTAGGTTAGGAAGGACGTACGACTTCGCCTATAGAGCTCTCGAACATGTCGAGAAATTGGTAGTCCTCGTCGCCTACACGATGTCGGTCAAACACGCCGGAGCATCTTCCTGTAATTAGGGTCGCTAGATCATAAATGGATCTTAATGGCGGCCTCGTCTTCGAGCTCATGTCCTCAATAATGCCATCAAGGACGTTCAAAGGATCGTTTTTAGGCTGCTTCCACCTCTGGGGAAAACTCGTGACTATTAGATCATTTCCCAGTATCCACATCCATAGTTGATCCACCATAAAAACCTTCACTTCCTTCTCCTTTTTCTTGGTGTACCTGTAGACGACTTGATCTTCATCACGATCATCCGTTGAGATGGCATGGTAGTAGAATTGATCCAGTGTTCGCCGTATTTGGAGGTTGTGAGTGCTGTGTAGATAGGCTTGAATCAACATTTCATCACTTGTCCGGCCTACGCCTGACTGGTCTGAGTCGCAGGTTGTTCTCTTAATGACACTGCTCATTTCCATTCGCCGTGAATGAGTCTCGTAATGAAGGTAAGGCATGAAAAGGACGATATTCCCGTTTCGCTCCTTAGTCCTCGGTGCCTTGCCCACGAGTGTTTTGTTGCGATCCCCTTGCTTGTGACCGCCCCTTTTCGAAGGCGTCACATCGCCAGGATTGTGCTTACCGACCTTTTTGGACGGTGTGCCATTCTTCGTGTTTTCGGACGCCTTCTCGCCCTTCTCACCCTTCTTCGTGGACCTCTTGGACATCTTTTCCGGCCCCGCCTTGTCACTGGCTGGGCTCTTCGCCGGTGTCTCTATTGTGCTTGTCGCCTCCATCCCTGGCGTCACAATCTTGGGTATCTGATTTTCTTGCTTCTCAGCATTACTGTCACTGACCTCAGCACTCGGCGGATTCCTCTCCGTCGGCGGCATCCTCTGACACAACGGCCTCATGAAATGCGAATGCACCGTGGGCCCCCTATGCAACTGGCCAAAACTCTTTTCCAGCACCTTGAACCCCTCCACGTCTCTCGCACTGTTCTCCACAAAATGCTTGGTCATCAGTGCTTCCACCCAAGTCATATTATTCGTCGGCAGATGAATCCACCTGAACGTCGGTTTCGCCGGTATATTCCTCGTCAGCGTGGTCACCAGCGGTTTCTCTCTCTTCTCATCCCATCCATAGAGCACATCAAACACCGAGTGCTTCGTGTGATTCATAGGCCGATGCTCCATCCCAAAATCCACCACCGTTGCTTGAAACCCCTTGCACGCCCCCTGCGCGCTCTCCGAGAGCAAATGCCCATCATCCGCCGGACTCAATTTCTCCACGATCTCAATATGCCCGTTCTGCGCAGCGCCCAGCATCGGGGTACTATCGAAAGAATCCTTCGCGTTCCGCTTGATCCCCTTCTGCTGCAGCAAGAACTCCACCACGCGGAGATGCCCGTTCCTCGCACACCAATGTAGTGCCGTCATCCCACTCGACGTTGTGGCATTGATATCAGCCCCCCACTCCACCAGCAGCGCCGCAATGTCCTCATGTCCTTTGTCCGCCGCATTATGCAATGCCGTCCACCCGCCATCGCTCCTCACATTTGGCTCGGCCCCATGCTCCAGCAGCAGTCCAACCATCCCAACTCTATGGTTTTCCGCTGCGAGATGCAGCGCCGTCTTGCCTCTATAATTCGTAGCCCTGATCTCCGCATTCGTCCTACCATCCGTCCGCCCAGTCAAAAACAATTGTGCCAATTCCTCCTTCCCCAGGGCCGCAGCCCATAGTAGCGCAGTCCTCCCATCCCGATCCCTTGCTTCAAGATCCAATGCCGTACTTAACAGCACTTTCACCACCTCCGTCACTCCGCCTACCCCCTTTCCCCCTCCCTTCCCCCCAGCAGTCTTCTCCGCCTTCTCACTAGCCAGCACAATCAGCACATTCTGCCCTCCCGCATCCCTCGCACCGATCTCTGCTCTCTTCTCAACCAGCGCCTTCAAGACGCCCACATGCCCCTTCAGCACCGCGGGGAAGATAGCCGTGCGCCCGCTCCTGGGTTCCTTCCCCTCTGTATCAGCGCCATGCCCCAAAAGGAGCTTCACGACCCCCACATTCTCCTTCCCGGCCGCCTCAGCAGCTTTATACAAAGCCGGCGCTTCGCCCCCAGAAGACGTAGAAGAATTATTAGGAGAAGCGCCCTGCTCGAGCAAGAAAAGCGTCAGCCGCTCATGGCCGCGTCCCGCGACTTTCTGCAGCGCCAACCTCAGCGTATTCTGCTTGAACTTGTTCGCGCGGTGGGCTTCGTCGATTGCGCTCGGTATGTCGGTGGCTAGGGCAGTAGGGGAAATCGTGGTGGGGCTGGTGGAGGCATTATTGGTGGTGGAGGTCTGAGGCGGAGAGGGGAACGGCGCATCGTGTAGGAAGGCGCGGACGCGAGGTTCGTCGCCGCGGACGCAGCTTTGGAGGAGGGAGGCTTGCCAGGAGGTCCAGGTGGGATTTTGCGGGGCTGAGGAGATGGAGGACATGTATTATTGGTGATTGGTGATTGGTTGGGCAGGGGCGGGCGTTATTGGGACTTTGGGGAGGGGTCGCGGTGGTGTCTAATTGGTCGGACTGGGGGAGTTGGTGTGCCTGAGGATGATTCGCGATGAGGGAGAGAAGTGAGATGCATCATTGAAGATATAGAATATGTTAAGAAGTGCGAGAGTGGTGTGATTCTGGGGCAAACATGGTGGGATATGCAATTGAAATAAATTTTCCGCGTTTTTGAGTCAGAAAAGTCACTTCTCCTGCAAGCTATGCTAAAGCTCTGTGAATCAGCTCTATAACGATGTCCGAGAAACTCTGAAGCCGCTGCCAATATGTACAAGCTAAGTAGCGCATAGTGATCGTACATCTCAATCCCCCATGATCTCATCCTCAATATCGTCCTCCACGTGCCCCCCCACAACGACGTTCTCCTCCTCATCGTCCAGGTCGACAATCCTATCCTCTTCTAATTCACGAGCTCTTATGTCTTCATCACCGCCCTCTTCGTGCTCAACCTCTTCATCGCTATCCTCGTCATCATCAGAGATTCTAGCTTTACTCTTTGCTTTTCCATTCTGCTTGGGTGGCGCAGAAGCTTTCCTTGGAGGCCTCGCACTTCTCTGCTTCGGTCGAGGCTCGTCGACGTAGGCGATGATTTCTTTGAAATTGTTGCCGAGCTTCAGACGATTAAGGGATATCCTTTCCCTGATCCTGCCCTTTCGCTCGCCCTGATGATCTAGCACGCGCGCGACTACAGCAAGTACGACTTTGCCTGTAAGTTCGCAGAGCCGCTTCTCTGCAAGGAGGACTTCTTGCTGCCTGCGTGTATCTTGCATCATCTCCTCATCGTCATCGTCATCGTCTTCTTCATCGTCTTCTGGCTCGTCATCCAGTGCTTCGTCATCAGCAATTTCTAGCCTGCGATGAGATTTCTGCCCGTAAGATTTCTCGAGGGCAGTGAAGGTGCTAAGAATAAGAGGCTCGGCGTGAGTGTTGATAGGTTGGACCAGCATAGGCAATGGAGCATTACTATTTCGAAAAGTGGCAAACAAGGAGTGTAGATCGAGGAGTGCGCCGATGGCTGCGAGACGGACTGGTGAGGTAGCATGACGGCGCTCAATGACCGTGAGCAGTGCTGAGGCGAAAGGCGAGTAGTCTGGTGGCTCGAAGTCTGACTGTGCATTGATACGTGCGCTTTGTATTGATTTGACCGTCCACATATAGTACAGAAGTAATACTTTCGTGGTTTCTGTCACTGTCTCATCGGCTTCTTGTCCTGCTTCTGAATCAAGAGCTGGTTCGCGGAGAATGTCCATCAGAAGGTCAACAGCGCTCTTTGCCTTGGTAGGTGGAGTTTTCTTCTTTGGCTTTGAGGTTAGTCGCGACGAGGCCTGGAGAACATCCCTACAGTCCATGATACCTGACAAATGCGCTATGCGCCGGACCGTGTCACAGATCTCGGAAATGTTATCGACCCATTGCTCTTCAGACATGCGTGTTCGAAGGGCATTGATTGTATCTTCCCAAAGTTCTTGTACCTTGCCCTGCGTTATCTCCTCAAGCTCCTCAAAGCTACGGGCGTGAAGCAATGCAGTACTGGCCTCGGCAAGTAAGCTAGAATCGGAGTGCGTCAAGAATTGCTTGTTAATGTCGTCTAGTAGTGCCGCATATGTAGTTGAGTCCTGCCGCAGCTCCTGGAAGATTTCAAGATCTAGCTCACGGCCTAAGCGAAGGACTGCCGATGCGGTTGCTGCATTCGATCCAAATTTTTTCAGAAGATCGAGGATGACCTTCGCTAGATGTAGCGCGGTGGCCTCTCTAACGGAATGAGCCTCCGTCTTATTTGACCGATTCCTCTTAGTCTTTCCATCCTTCTGAGCTTCGTCGGCGGTCTTAATACGCTTGTTGACTGACACATTAAGGATCTCGAGCAGTAAAATTTCTTCCTTTTCACTCAGTTGACATCGCTCCTCAAGAGTGTTAGTGGTGGCGGATAAATCGTATAACAAGTAGCCGGATATGGTCTCCCAATCCTGTGCCGCAGAGATCCCATCACATATTGTCTGCGCTGCGAGCGCGTAGCGCGATTGAGTTTCAGAAGGCAATAAGCCAGCACGAAGCTGTTGGGTGTCCGATGATTCGTCATCCTCAGCGTCGTACGATTGTAGGGCTTCGACGACACTCTTGAGCTTCAGCCAGCTCTTCTGTGGTACGTCGTGGTCGCCATCAGGCCCGTCTCCTAGTATGTCAGCCAAGGCCTCCTCGCCTCCTAGTTCCTCTATGCTGTTTTCATATATGTCGTTGATATTCTCTGCGAAGAAACCCGAGACTGCCTTACGTACTCTGGGCTCATTGTCAAAAATCAAGCGGCCGACATTGTCGATGTCATCTGGCTCCAGCAGCGCCGTCTCCCTGATCAGACCAAGCAGCTCGACCGCCGACGCTCGTATGCCGACTTCAGAATCCCGTAGCCCCATCTCCACTAGTCGAGAGCGGTAGCGCTCAGTGAAGGTCCGAAGTCTGGCAACATTCTCTTTATTTTTGTACATTTTTGTAAGCTGCTTGATGACTTCAGCTCTTGTAGCCGCGACTGTGTCGAAAAGGATCCAGCCAAAATATCGTAAGTATACTGCTTCGAAGAAGACATCAGGAAGGGTCGTAACCCACGTTCCCAGGGCCGACACGCATTCAGCGCGAATTTTTGGGTCAATATCCCTATAGCGGTGGACGAACACGGCGTCAACGACTGTCCTAATATACTCTTGAGTTGATGTGGTCTTGCGCTCCAAATCTTGCAATTTGTCGTTGAATTCTTTGATCCGTTGCTTATTCACTCCTTTCTTCTTCTTCTCTTCGCCCTCCTTTTGTCGCTGCAGCTTTGCTGCTTGCTCTGAGAGATCTGCTGCGACTCGACATAGTTGAGTGCCAACGGCGAGAGAGATAACAGTTGCTGTGTGTCTGAAAGGCCGAAGTCCCGCCGATGACATCGATGAGATCCAAACCTCAATGTTTTCGATAATGGCAGGGTCAGTGTATAATAAACCTGAGGCATGGCAAGACTGTATCAAGTCTTCGACAAACCTGACCACGGTCGGGCGAAATGAAGAGAGAGACTTCAGTCGCGAAATTAGGGGATAGTCAGATGGCCCTTGCGCAGTGTACTCATCTTGTAGATCTGTTAGCTTGCTGACGGCATTGTCTGGATCCTCTATATCATGCACTGTGACAGTAAGCCTGCAGCCAGTGCACCTGATGACGAAATTGACAAGGTCAGTCATCGCTTGCGTGTTGTCCTGGTCCCATCGATGGATCCAATCGGCCGCTACGCCATCAGACGTATGACCTCGTGAGAAGACTTCCGCTACACGGTGATGTCAGCGAACTCTACGTGAAGAAAGGATCAGTATCTTGCGCACCGAAAAGGCCAATTTCATCTTCGACATTGATACCAGTCGTCGGTGGCCTGGCGCTCTTCGCTCTGGAAGGAGCTCTGGCAGCTTTCTTCACTTCATTGACAGCTGGGCGCATCGCCAAGGTAGTCGTCTTTGGTTTCTTTGACGGTGCTTTCTTTGCACTACTTCTAGCCTTCCTGCGCGCCTCTTTGAGTTCTTCTTCGTCAGGATCGCTTTCGGAACCAGGGCTGCTCTCTCCATCCGTATCATCGTCGGTCAGGCTACCATTCGCATCATTCCCGCGCTTCCTTTTGACTCCGTTACTTGCTTCTGACCGACGGCTATTGTCGGGATGAAATTCAGGTTTCGCTCGCACGCGGCGGGATACTCGTCGCTTCGAGGCCGTGTCATCGTGGAGTTCGAGAGACGTATCAGGAGTGCCAACGGGCGAGGAACTAGACATGCTTGAGGATCGCGCCGTCAGCATTTGTGTGGTTGGGTGTTGGCCTTCTCAGGAGTATAGTCGCTGAATTGGCGAATGGTAGTGGGGCGCGTCCTGATCAACAAAAAGTTCAGGACGCGTACAAGATTGGCAGGGTCGCCTCGCACTAGGACCGATAAGGTCGACTTTGACTAGCCCTGCCGCTAGCCTCATGCAGAGCCCCACCAAATGTTTAATAGCATTTGAATCTTGGATGATTTACTGAATTCTGAAGAGGATTGAAGTGTAGTCAGAACCAAATGCTAGACAACTGCAAGACGGTGATTTCATGGGACTATCTTGGACAGGTATGAGGACGACAAGCCGTAATCTGCGCATGTCTATCAGCCACGAGTTATGCCTCCGTCAGGTTGTCATGAGACAAGAGTGAATAGCTATTTGCCTCTTCAATATCTGATACAGTCTCCTGAATCCCCCAACACCTCGCTACGTGAATAAGCCTCCATTCCTTCTGGTCATCATCCCAACAAAGTCTCCCAATCCAATCCCCCCACCATTCCCCCTTCCACTGGCCCTACAGCCCACGCCTCTGTCCCAACCCTGACAACCTCCTCCCATCCATCCTGATTCTCCATCTTCGTATTGACCGCACTGTAATCATGCAACAGCACCTCCTGCGCAAACCCCGCCGTCTGCATCTTCGCGATCTCCAAATCCAAGCCTCCCCACTCCGCTCTTATCTTCCCGGATTCGTAGAAGGTCAGTGTACCGGGACATCCTGATTCGGGGGTGAAGTTGGTGACATTGTAAGCATTGGAGATTTCAGTGGTCTTTGAAGGCTGGTCGAGCTTGCCGAAAGGAGTGCCGGGGTCGGGTTTGATGGTTGGGTCTGAGGTGGATGATTTCGATTTCGATTTTTGGGGTTCGGTTTTCACTTGGGGGGCTGGTTTGGTGGCATTACGGAGACTGGGGAGTATGGGTGGGAGCTGGACGAGGTAGACTTTGCCTTCGCGAGTGTGGTCGCCTTTCAGACCGGAGAGATCAGGGCGCTTTTCAGTGTGTGCGGTGGAATTAGTGCTTTCTGCGTCCATCATATCTGGGTCGCTGCATATATCTTTCCAGATCCTGATCATCTCGGCGAAATCGGCATCATCCTCCATGGCTGCTGTATTGTGGATCGACTTGGGATCCCGGTATCCGCATATCTTTCGTCTTCGGGTGATAGGCTGAGCTGAGAACTCGAGCTCGTCTGGTCGCGTGGTTGCACTATCGCCTTTCACGCCTTTTGCTGATGGCCGCTGGGCTCCATGTGTAGCTCGCAGCTGGTCGACCTCTAGTGTATCGGGAGCATCGTCTACAAGCATAAGATCCTCTTCATCAGCTTGCTCTGTCTTCACCCTGACCTCATCCATGTCGTCTTCGTCTTCATAAACACCTTTCCATTTCCTCTCTTTGCGAACAAATTCGACATCTTTCGGCTTCCTCTTGGTCTTGGCTTGTTCGGAACCAGCCTCGGGATCGAGAAATAGACTGCCCGCTGCGTCTTCTCGCTCTTTTGCCCGCTTCCGCAACTGGGCCGAAGTAAGCGAGCTAGCTTCTGTATTGATACCGATCTGCCGCCCAACATGTTCTTGCCTCTCAAGCCTAACAGGACGCAATTGCCAACTGTGACCCCCTGGCGTAGTTTCTTTTTGCTTGCCTTTTGCGAACTCTGGTTGCGTATGGCCATCATCTTCATATTCATCGTCACTAATTAGGCTGATGTGCGCAATATCATATTTCGGGCCAATGTCTTCGTCCCAATGCGTATCATCTGCGGCGTCATCCAGCCCCTGGTCTTCCTGCTTGACTTTGGTCTTGGTGGCAGCCGCCTTACGTTTTCTCTTTGATGAGTCCACCACAGTATCTTCGTCAACTTCTTTCTCAGCATTAATCTTTGTAACATCCTCTTTTTTTACCCCTGCACGGGTGGGCTTCTTGGGGTTGGTATCCTCCTTGTTATTCGCAGTCTCGTCGACAGCTTGATCCTCTCGATCTGCTGCAGTTATCTTCTGACCGCTTTCCCTTGGTTTCTTGGACGCATTCGTTGCCGTCTCTTTCACATAATCTCCTCCAAGAACACCGCTTGCCTCATAGTCTGTGATAGGTCTTCCCCGGCTACCAAGCGCTCCGCCTCTGCCTCTAACCGACGCTGAAGGTCGTAACGAGCCAATTGATCGACCTTCATTTTCTTGTAGTGAGGCTAAACGTTGAGCTTCAATCCTTTCTAGAGCTTCGCGTTCGATTTGAGAACGCCGCTGTGAGTTCTTGGGCAAGTATTTGAGAGACCTGGGCTTTGCCGAATTTGTTTGAATATTTGTATCTGGGAGTGGGATTGTGGTGCCCAGATTGTCATGCGCAGCACTGCTCCGTGGTAATCCCAAAGTATCTGCATTCTGAGCTGCCGCATCGGATGCAGTGTTTCCCTCTGCTGTTTCAGTCGTTTGGTCAGACGCGGAAACAGATTCAGTTTGTGCGCTTCTTCGAGGTTGTCTACGGCTAGCGATAGATTTGGGAGCCATACTAGAGTGCCAAAGGTGGGGTTTCAGTTGCTTAGAGCGTCCACCTTCTCAAAATTTGCTCTGGCAAGGCAATTTTATTTGAGAGACGTGGCATGGCTCAGCAAAAGAGCACTGTTCTGTAGAGTACTGTATTTATGACTGACATGGTCATCGCTGTAGATTATCATGCGATCTGGAGGTAATATGGCGTGTGGGGGAGAAGGTGTAAGTGTATGAGAGATATAATTTCCTAAATTGGAAGCTGTATAAAAGTATAAAAATTTACCGGAAATCGCTGAGTTCAAGCGCTAAGAAGCGGCCGCTTATCTAGATTTGACCACTCTTGGCAACTCTAAATCCACGCCCGCCAAGGCTCTTTGTCCGGACGGCTAGGTATGCGCTGAGGGGTTGTTAGTCGAACAGGCCTAATTACAATGGCAGAGAACACGCGGCTGTAAAGGCTGCCTTGATGGTCCATGTATTTAGTTTTGCCCGGTTTGCCCCGGAGCTCGAATGATAGCGTCCTGCATGTGGTCAATCGAACCTTGGCCATGTAGCAGAAATGATTTGATTGCATTGAATCGCATTGTGTGCTACCTCACTGAAACCATGTACACCCAGCACTTAGTTAAAAGCAGGCAGAAATATCTGTGCGCAGACCACAAACAAGGAACCATCCGCAAGCTCTGCAGTGTTGCTTGCTCCCTTTATGAACGCCATTGAAACATCGCGCCATCCTCACAAACCAGTCAAAGATTGCATGTTTGCTTTTAGAATCGCCAGGAAACACTTATACGGAAAAGGTTAGTATATGCCCTTCTCAGCCCCAGCCAGATGGTGTATCTGAGGCCATATCCAAGATCCAAGAAGGCTCCCAGGAGAAAATGTCATTGAAGAAATGGGTTGATCAACTCGAGCGTATCAACCGATGCATGCCGAGGGTGAACGTGGGAATTTCAATCACGAGCGTTCGCCTTTGCAAAACCCTAATTGTATGGTGATTTGGTTGATGCGATCATTTTGTAGTGTGGCTCCCTGGACTAACGCCTGAATTGATCCTTCCACACGAAGAACATAAGTCAACATATGGCGCCATGCCGAAGATCAAGTCGTAGTCATGATGCCTTTCCAGCCACATCTTGGGTAGCTTTTATAGGTCCGCTCGAGGCACCAGCAGCTACCGCTTGCGTTTTTTACTGTTGTCATCGCCGTCAATTGCTAGAGAAAGATCGTCGTTTTCGAATTCAGATGCTGCTTGAACATCACTTTGGACGTTTACCCCCATGTGCCGTCCGAACCTTCCCTTGCGACCATTGCCTTCGTCTTCGCTGACGCATCCTTCAATCCCAATGCCAGCGTCTTTACAGCGTTGGCAGGGACGTTGACGATCACATCCTTTTTTACTCTTTCGGCATCGTTGGCAACGAGGCTTAGTCGAGAGATCTAACTCATCAGGGAAGGGCAATTGGGGAGGGCCCATGATGGACGCTGTGGATCCTTTGCGAGACTGTGGAGGCAGAGAGGCAGGCGAGATTGGGACTTTAGGTGTATTGGAGCCCAGTGAATGCTTTAATTTCTTGATCTGTCCGTGGAGGCGAGGTTTGGCAATTTTAGAGCTTGAGCTTTTCTTCGAGCCACTGTTTGTGCGTGGTTTGCTAGAAGGTGTTTTTGCGACGGACACCTTCTGACGCTTGCTTGCCGGACCATCATCTTGGTATTCTTCGTCTCCACTAAAGTCTGAAATAGCCATGCCTGCACTACGTTGATGCGCGTTATGGCCGGCTTCATTTGGCGAACCAGTCTGCATAGTTGGCTGGTCGACGTCAAGCTCTCCTTCTTCGTCACTCGTACCAGAGGAGGCAATGTCAGCACGACCGCTCAATGCATCGTCCATGGTAGAAGCGGAAGTGCGACCATGCGATATATTTGAGGGATCTCCAAGACGCATAAGCTGTAGCGCAACATCCTCGTCGGATATAGTACTGGCTATAGTGGGATCTGGAGTAGGGAGAATGCCGTAGCCTATCCCTTTAGAGGCCATGCCACCACGCATATATGTAGGCATTGTTGGTGCGTTCACTCTATCCCGAAGACGATGTCCGTGGGGGGGCTCAGGTGCGCGAGCAGGATTCGTATTTAGACCCGAGCTACCAAAGGCAGAATTTTGCGGCGATGGCATAGGATGATACCAACTGGCTGGGCGCTGCAAAGGATGTGCAAAAGGAGAAGCATTTTCATTCCCATTTGATCGTCTTTGAGGAGATATGGAGGATATGGAGTTGGCAACAGGGACTTGAGGGGGGACAAATAAGGGCAATTCCTACGAATGGGGTCAGTAAGAACGTAAAATTTGAGTTCATGAAGCTTACTGAGCTCTCAAACTTAGCCTTTTGGCGTCGACCTCCCTCAACAATATTGACTTGGCTGATCTCAGCACTGGCAAGGCCTTCATTACGAGCGCGGAAAGAACTCGTGACCGAAGCAGCATCACCATCGCTACTGTTGCAAGCTTTCACAGCATCGCTATTGAGTTCCTCAAGACGTGCTTGAAAGCTGCCCTCTCTGCTATCACGTTTGAGTGTAGGGCGAGGCCGGGACTTCTGCGTTGAGCTGTGATGCTGGAGTGCAGCGATCTTCGGAGAACTGCTCTGTCTTCGAGCAAGCCGAGAGGCTGGTCGAGAGGCTGGTTGCGGATGATGATATGTCGCATTCAGATGAGGGGGTGGCATTTGGAAGCCTTCGTCTAGATGAGGAGTCCTCTCGATTTTCAAAGGCGCTTGCTGTCTCTCGCTAGTGGCTTCGTGATCCGTGCGATATTCTGGAAGCTTAGGTATGACTCTGACAAAGACAGTCATGCCATTAGCAAAGTTCTCATGGCTAGCTATGAGAGTATTGCCGTTGGAGTCTTCAAAGCTGACGCCTGCAAGCGCCTCATCGTATAAGCCGAAAAAGTTTTTGACGGTGCTGACGATACCATCGGTATTGTCATGAGGAAAGATCTGGACTTTCATTGGCAGACGTCCTCTATACCGAGCGTCGCTGTTGAAAAGCAATTCAAATGTAATATTTTTTGGGTCCATTTTCGTTGGGGAACCGTTGTAGCCGTCGAACTGGTTGATTGGCTGCATGGCGTAAGTCGGACTTCCTTCGGGAGTTGCGTATTGCTGAAAGTTTTGAGCATTGTTACTGTAGACGGCAGAGTGGCGTGTTGGGTACTGATGGGCTCTGTGCGCCTCTTGAGAAACGTCACCGCGGACGAGGTCCAAGCGTTGGTGAGGATTCAGGTCATGCGATAAGAGATTTTGTACGTTCATGGTTGGACGATGTCACAAGTATTTGTAGATGGACTCTGTCTCTTAAGCAGGTAGCAGTTGTGGCTTGAATTGATGTTGGCACAAGTTAGGAATGTGACAGGCGGTTCTGCGACTGAGCCGGTGCGAAAGAAGCCAATGCGAGCGCTAGGGTATGAATCATCAGCGCTATGGTTCATCATCGGTCATCAGATTATAGAGATGCAAATGTGACCGTAGAAATGTTCTAGGAAGCATGCAGTGCTTTTCCAACAGCCCCCGATGATGGAGACCCAAAGGCAGCAAACACCATCAGGAAGAGGACGTCGGTAAGGGGCGGTGAAGATTTAGATCTCCATAGACATGCTACATACCTTGAACAAGATGATGATGCCGAAGCAAGCCTCGCTGGAAGCCTGGTGTTTGGGCCTGAATCGGAGTGTTTGCGATGTATACGCAACCCGAGCCAGTCTGCGCAGGGAGGAACAGCAGCGAGGAGTAACGAATGTAGGCCGCAAAGGCAGCGATCGCAGATAAAGAAAAGCAGGTCAGAGGTCGATCCAGTATCAAATCGATACCATCAACGGATTATTTGACGTTGGGCGACGATGGTCGATGGCTGATGGGGGAGATGGGGAGAGAGAAGTTGGAGGAAGACGGCTTTGAAGCGAAACGCTTCACCCACCGCAGGCCTACCCTAATGCCAGATGCACCGGTTTTGTGCCGATTGCACAATTCTACGCAAGGCAAACAAGAATGCAAATTTACAATTACAAAAACTACACGTCTAGAGCGCACAAAGGATATGCTGCCTCCTGAGCGCCAATATCTGCTCCTTCGCACTCTGCTGATCAACCGCAACGGTACCGCATGGCGACGGCATATTTCCTACATTCCAGTCGTACAGAGGCCGCGATAGACTAGCAATTGGCCGGCCGAGTGTATCCATTCGACTAAACAATCTCGCTGCGACTGAGTTCACTAGACAGAGACAGTCAGTCTCGTCAGCAGTGTCAGAACTGCGGGAGTGGAAGGGGCGGAGTTCCATTCGCCAATCTTGTTGCTGAGGGGAACTGCATCGCTGGCAAGGAGCCGCTCGAACAACTCAGAAGCTGATGGACGGTCTCCCTATCATGCACTGGGGGCTGGAACCTGGAGTGCGAAAGCAAAGGTGAGGAAGAGGAAGAGAGTACCCTTGCGTGAGAGATATTTGGTTCTGTGTCTCTGTGTACGCTTTTGGGCTCGGCGCTTCGTCTTCATTGGCATGCATGGCATCATTTATTTAGGACAAGCGCCAACCCCATCCTGTTTGCACTCCCTCCAATATTATTCTGTCTTGCTGGGCCCAACTTTAGCCTGTGAGGTTTGCGCCGCAAAGAAAGCCGCCTTTATGCATGCGATGAGTGGCCGCGGTCTGGTGATTCCTCTTAGCTGAGAGCCACAGTCTTGGTGCTGTCGCAAGACGAGACCAGGCCCACCCCAGCCCTTTGGCGGAATTCATGCGATAGGCTACGTCTGAAGTTGCTTCGCTTGCCTGTCGATTGATCGACATCACTCTCCTAAATCTATAAGCATGCCAAACATCGTCTTCGGTAACATGGATAGTCTGCATGGTCTCCGCTACGTAGTAGCCCGTAAGAAACTTGCTATCATAGTGTTCCTGACGTCTAGAATTCCGATCTCCGCTTTCGCTCTGACCCCTTGTAAAAGATAAGAATCGTAACCCTCCGCACCTTTTTGATAGCTGCGCCCCAACCCGTATAATCAGTTGCTCCTAACCTCAAGCCTAAAAGCGACCAGGCGCCAGCAGGTACCGGTCAGCGGGCATAATGAAAATGCTCTACATCGTGACTAAAGTCAGCAACCACGACGAATATGCCAAAAGTGCAGTGACTAAATGCGCTGTTGTCACAGAATCGGGCTTGCGTATGCCCTCAGTCTGAGGAAACAGGCGACTTCCCCGAACAGGCCATCTGACTTCGTTGCGACCCCCAATACTGCCTCACCACCCTTGCAATTTATCATCGAAGATGTACAGAGCGATTATCATATGTGCGCTCAAGTTGCGAATGCGAGACGATGATTCAGGCCTCCTGTTCGATGAAACGCTGACAACGTTATTCGAAAGAGCGCGTCACGTGACTGGGCGTCTTTGCGCGTTGCGGAACACCGCCGGCAGAGCTCGGCCACATTGCTCGTGATAGCAAAGCCACGCCTGACTGTTAGGACCTCAAACTCGAGAGACTACTGGCCCAGTAGCTGTTCTACTCACCTACAGTCACCGTTTATCATAAGAATATATGTTCACGGAATGCGACACTGCTGTTGATATTCTGAGGTTGCGCGGATGACGCGACGTCTATTTGTGCCGCGGCTATTGCGGAAGCTAGTCCTTTAGCGCAATTACCCGTTGTCAGGGAAAACTTGATTGTCAACAAACCGGTTTAGGTTAATGGTATCACGCGAATACAGCACAATTAGACAACAACATCTTATGATGATACCTATGTCGAAGTGATAGCTTTGCTTGCTCACAGATGTCAGCAAACTTTGCCTTGAAAACAATATCATCCTCTCGTCCCTACAGACTCGGGCAGCCAAATAGGAGACACGAGTCATTAAGGCCTCCTCTCATCAATTGAGGCATCAGTGACTCGTCGTGTACGCGTTTGCCCGCAATGGATGCCAAAGTGAGTGCAATTGTCTTACTTTCATAACTATATCGGTGCACACCTAGGGACTACAGCTATTGGTCCCTACTCTGTTAATTGTCAGGAGTATATGAATGATCCTATTGCTACATCTCCGTGTGGAGGTCTCACTATGGCGCAGTGCACAAAGCTTCATCAGTCAATGTTTACAATACTGACTTTGATTCTTCCATAGCCTCAGAGACCTGTGCGAACCCTGAGAATATACGATGAAAACGCTTTGCCCGTAGGAGGAGCGCAGAAGACAATTCACCAGCGCAACAAGTCGAGTCCTGCATTATCGTCCTTATCACAAGCGGGTGCACTCAAAGCTGCGGCCAAACGGACTGCATTCGGCGACCTGAGCAATACAGCGAACTTTTTGCGTCCAAGCAAAGATGACTCGGTCATTGGCGCCAAGGCCGGTCACAAGCTTAAAGAAAACCTTCAACCGATACCAGAAAAACAGACAACATTTCAAAAACCGGCACAGCGCCCAGCAACCATCGGTAGCCTGAAGAGTCTCCTCAATAATGTGACGACTTCGTCGAGCCAGGTTGCGGTCAAGCTACCAGTGGCAGCAACGCAGCATCCAATAGCAGAGCAGCTGATGGGACGCAAAATCGTCAATAGAAAAAGTGTTGCTGTGCTTACAGAACATTCGGCTTCGGGTCTTGTTCCGCGGGAAAAGCTTGCTATTGAGCCTAAGAAGTCTCTCCCCTCATTGGGGCCCATTCCTCCTGTTCATCGCGAGCTTCCTCGAGTGCAAAACATACACAGAGAAGGTCAAGAGGCAGGCTCTCAGGCGAATCTTCGAAGGACGAGAAGCAAGTACTTAGACGCCCCAGAAAGCCAAGAGCCAGCGGTAGATCCAGAACCTCTCACTACACAGCCGGACAATGTGGCCCCACCACCGCCAGACGGTGTCAGTGCTGATCAAGCTAAGGAGCCATCAGCCATCAGTAACACACATGATGATCTTGAGTCAATAATAAAAGAAGCATCGATCTTAGAAAAGGCTTTAGCTGAAAATCATCACATCACCAGAGTACCACTTTCAGATCACATCGCTACTGTTGAGCAAAACACCGTTTACCCAGAGCTCGCAAGAAGACATAATCTTCCCCCTGTCTCAGAGCCAGAAGAGTATTGGGAAGAAGAGGAAATACCGGAGACATATGAGGAAGACGGATATGTCACAGCGAGATCATTTAAATCAAGGGGTGATAACACCACAGGTGGTGCTACAACAATACTCTTCCCAAAGATGTCCCAACGAACGAGGAAAGAGATTGCTCTCGCCAAAGAGATGATAGAAGGTGCGAAGACGGTAGAAGAGCTAGAAGATGAAGCTTGGGATACAACAATGGTTGCTGAATACGGTGATGAGATCTTCGAGTACATGAGGAATCTCGAGGTATGTATAGTCTCTCTATACTCATAACACAACTAAGTTTTCTCAGGTCAAGATGCTGCCCAATGCCCATTACATGGACAATCAAGCAGAGATTCAGTGGTCAATGCGAGCTGTCCTGATGGACTGGATAGTCCAAGTCCATCACCGCTTCAATCTTCTGCCGGAGACTTTGTTCCTATGTGTCAATTATATCGACCGCTTCCTCTCTTGCAAGGTCGTCTCGCTTGGCAAGCTTCAATTAGTAGGAGCAACGGCCATCTTCATCGCAGCCAAATATGAAGAAATCGACTGCCCATCGGTTCAAGAAATAGTCTACATGGTTGACAATGGCTACTCGATTGATGAGATTCTCAAAGCAGAACGCTTCATGCTGACGATGCTACAATTCGAGCTGGGATGGCCTGGGCCGATGAGCTTTTTAAGAAGAATCAGTAAGGCTGACGACTACGATCTGGAGACCCGGACGCTAGCAAAGTACTTTCTCGAGCTCACCATCGTGGACGAAAGATTCGTCGGCAGCCCACCATCCTTTCTCGCCGCCGGTGCTCACTGCTTGGCTCGAATGATGTTGAGGAAAGGAGAATGGGTTTGTCTGCCTTCATGCTCCAAGAAGGAAAGGATGCTGACTCTGATTAGTCTCCTGCCCACGTCTACTACTCCAACTACACGTATTCACAGCTCTATAGCATAGTCCTGCTCATGGTAGAGTGCTGCGAAGACCCTCAGAAACATCACGCTGCCATATATGAGAAATACATGGACAGGAGATACAAGCGTGCCTCGACGTTTGCCGAAAGCGAGATGCGACGAGGCTTCCAGCTCCTTCCTGTCTCCAACAGCATCACCAAGACCCACCAAGCCGCTTTCCTTAACACCTACGACGCCCAAATCCCAGAGATCTTCTCCATCCCAAAATCTTTCTCCTGATCTCCACCTACCTCCAAAAGACCTCGGTATCTTTGGTTAACATAGACATCCGGTGCATACTGGCGTCACGAGCTTCTCTTTTGGAGGACTCTCACATCACCTTCTAGCATAGCGTCAGCCACCTCTCTCACACGGCTTCACGACCGAAACGCGCTTTACGAACCATTTCAGCATTAGCAGCACATAACCTTTGAGGCCAAATAATCATAGCGACGCACTGATGGCGTTCAATCATTGTCTCAAGGCAGTCTAGGCCACCCCAACGCCACGAAAAGTCTTTTCTAGGCAAAAGACAAAAGGCAAAAGGAGCAGACTGCGCCATGAAAATTGCGTCGAAGTCCTTATGGACGGAGTTGGTGGCGTATAAGTATAACACTGGGACGAAAACACGGGATCTCCATCCCTTGAATGTACATAGGCGTTCGTTCTGTCTTGCATCCTGATCCTCCAGACAGGCAGGCAATAATGAGAAAACTTGCGATGAGCACCTCAGATCTCCATTCATGATGGATCTTCAAGCGAGGGTTCAAGTACGATCTTGTTTCCGGGAATTTCCCGTAGTAAATGCAATGCATTGAGGGTGAGGCCCATACGCACATGCATAAGAAGACATACGTCTCTTGTTCGCAAGCCAAGGCGCATTCAGAGCCAATGCGATTGGCAATCATGTATAATGTTTCCTCTTCACCACTCTATCTATCTCACCACCACCAACCTTCCTTCCTCGTCAAACAGTCATTCACGAATATTTCCCACCACCACCACCACTACCACCGTGTTCCTTACTACCTCCTCCTCCCATCCACTCTAGCTTCCACACTCATCCCCATCCCCCTCCAACCCCCCTCTCCCTCTCGGCAATTCAACCACTAAGACTCCCAGTACCAGACCTGCGATTTTACCCCCCGCCTCAACCGAGTCTACAGGTCGGCAGACCAACGCTAAAGCTTGGCTGACCAACCCCGCCCTAAAATTTTTAGCGGATTTAGCTTATTTAGTAATATTTAACGGATATTCAATTGGTCCGCCGAGGTTAAAATTATTAAAATTAATTAATAATCGATTAAAACTAAACTTTAAAATAATAAAATAAAATATTTTAAATATTTTAAAATTAATTATTAATCAATTTCTAATTATTTCTCTAAGAATTTTCTTAGCAAATTCTTAAGAAATTCTTTAGAGAAACAATTCTTAATTAATTAAGAATTAATTAAGAATAAATAAATTATTTCTCTTAAGAATTTTATAGTAAATTCTTAATAATATTTCTAGAGAAATAATTTATAATCGATTCTTAATCAATTTTTAATTAAATTTTTTTCAATTTAAATAAAAAAAGATTTTAATTAATTTAAAATCGATTAAGAATTGTTTCTCTAAAGAATTTCTTAAGAATTTGCTAAGAAAATCCTTAGAGAAACAATTATTAATCGATTTCAAATCGATTTTAATACTTTAAAAAATATTTTAATTAATGAAATCAAATAAGCTCACCGGACCATAGACTTAATTAGTATGAGGGATTTATTTATACGCTAAATTTTTAGATTAGCGTTGGTCAGCCGAGCTTTAGCGTTGGTCTGCCGACATGTAGACTCGCCTCAACCGCGCTGAAAATCTCCACACGCCCACGTTCCCGAGAACGAGGGTGCAGAGCTTCATTCATGGGCGAGGGGGTCATTCTGAGATTATGGGATGAGGCGAGCCTTTCATCCCATCGCATTTCCTTTGGGCGCTCAACTCTCCCTTTCGTCGCCCTTCTCTGGGTTTTCCGTTTTTTGGTGTTTGTCTTTGCGCTCATGCACCCGTTCCCCCTCTTAGTGCATGGAACCCCCCACTCGATGGTCTGCAAGTTCGGATCTGATTCGGGCCCGACACGGGCGGCGAGTTTGAGTGAGAGGATTTGTGTTACTTGATAGATGGTCGGACTGTGCCGATTGGCAGGCTCAAATTGGTTATTTGGGCAGATGAGGGGTGGTGGTAGGGGTTGGAGTTTAGGGAGGAGGGGAGGGGACAGTGAAGGTAGTAGGGGAGGAGGGCGGTGGTGTTGCGTAGATTGATGGTTGTTGGGTTGAGTATTAGGTACCAAGTAATCACATGATATGCTGTTGGTTACGTGGCTCTGCTTTGGCCTTTTATGAAATACATCCCGCCATGTTGTTGAAGTCTGAGACCGTGTTAGGGTCGTAGATATCGTTAACGAAAAGTTCCCAGTCGCGCCACCAATTTGCGTCTTGGTCTTCCACTGGTGCTGGATTCCCGGCGAACCCAGCGTTCTGATTTTGAGTGTTGCTTGATGTGCTAGTATTGAATGGGCTACTGCCTGATGAATCAGACCATTCATTTGAGTACAACGGTCCCCATCCCGGCATGACATTGCCAATCAAAACACTGTCAGGGTTACCTTTCCGTAGACTTAGGTCTTCAAACCTCGATGGCTGGGACATGTAAGATTTTTGCATTGGCATAGGCGGTGTTACCATGCTACTCTCTCTCGCAGCCTTAGCCTTTCGCATTAGCTTCTCAATTGGCTTCCAAAGTAAACCTGTTGCACCGTCCGCCACTTGCTGCGAATACACGTCAAAGGCTTCTTGCGTGATCGGCCATGCACGATCTGCCTTCGAGCCCTGGGGCTGATGACATAGCTCTGCAAGTAGCACAGCTAAGGCGTACCATTTCGTCCATTGGTTCCAACTCCATGGTGAAAATCGGCCGCCTATTTGCTTGAAGAGCGAGCGTTCCAAAACCTCGGTAGCTCCAGTCATGACATCAAAACGGTCCTCTGGGGGTGGACGAGTTTGTGACTTACCCTGGAGAGGGCGACGTAGCAGTAGTTGCATAGAAAGCGAAATACCTTGCGCGCACAAGACCGTGAATTCTTTGAGTAGTGAAGGCGGATCCGTGCACGATTGAGACAATCGCGCCATATAGTCTTCGAACTCGGTCAGAATGTAAATCTTCTTGGCCCATGCACTCCGTCCCTGCGCCAAGTCCTTGCCTTTAGTCAGGGATGAGTCGACTTCGGTAAGTTTGAGCTGGCATGTCATGGCATGGTATGTCATTAGGCTGAACGTCATGTCCGTGAAGCGGGTGTTTGCAGGATCGATGTTGCTCGTAAAGGGGGTATTGGCAGATAAATCGATGTCGTCGATGTTCAGAGGCATCGATGATAGTTCGTCAGCTGATAAAAGAGGCTTAGTGCCTCGATCGAATGACGTTTGTAGGTCAATTATGGCGATGCACCACAACAGCCTACGACGAAGTTCAATGTCAAGAACTGTATCTGAGGCTTTAGGTTCTGCGTTCAAGCCTTGAGCATTTGCAATCCGAACAGCTGTGGCTATGAGCGTCCACGTTTCGGCGGTGCTTTGGCACGAGCGAAGTGCGACCTGGACAATAGTCGTCAGCATGACAAGAAACTGCACTGACAAATTGGTGCCATTGATACAGGCTGTGTCACTCGCTGCTGGCCGCATCGAATGATGAATATGGTGGAGGGTGGTGTCACTTACGAGGTAAAGGACGAAGGCTTGCAAGACTACAATATTCAGGCTGCTCATGAGGCCTGCTTGCGAGAGAGATAATTCAGTGGCTTGACGGTATCTCACGAGGAGACTTCTTCGGTCCTTGATTTCATCATCCCTCAATGAGCACATAGCTGCAAATAGAACGGCAAATTCGAGTGACTGATCCGCGGGAGACAACGTAGGACTACCGTCAGTGCTTGTTGTAGGTATGGAAAATGACTTCAGAGCTGTAGGCCAATGCAAGATCTTGAGAATTGCGTCGACTCGGGTCTGGTATATCCCATAGAGTGCCTCTCTGTTGCTTTTTGGTGGGCGCTTCAAGGCAGTAGCATCATTTGAACGAACAGCAGAGCCAAAAAGAAGGGCATTCTGGTTGTAAGCGGCCTCAGAGCAGGTTGAAGTCATGGAGCCAGTATCGTCTTCATTGTTCGTTTCTAGAACGTCTCGCAAACCGGAGACCGTATCTAAGAGCTCCGTCCAAAAGTCGGGGGCAATGAGCCGGCTACTTGAACCGTTAGGAAGTAATGATAGGCTAGTGCTGGACGTTTGAAGACCATTGGTGTGCGGACGGCACTGTTGCAGTTCATTGTTCGTTGCATTCAGCGCGCCTGGGCCTATATCCGGTGTGGTAGCAGATGTGGCAGTGGTATCCGTATCCTGCAATTGCGAGACCAAACCTTCTAATCTTGTGATCCTGGCTTTAAGTGCACTAGTCTGTCCTCTCGCATTCCCAGTCTTGCCTCGAGGCAATCGTTGGCGCTGCACAGTAGTGCATTTGAACCCTGCTTTCTGGCAGGCGCCACACGGTTCCTGTTTGTCACACTTGGTTTTGCGATGCTGACATGCCTCACAGCTGAGTTTTGCATTTGGAAGGGACATAGTAGTGCTTTGATGCCAATGAAAGAAAATCTCGAGGGATGCTGACAGTGTTGACAGCCTTCTGGGCTGCTTACATCATCACCCACCAGATCGATCCTGCCGTACTCGTATCTGTAGGCTACCAGGAGAAAAGGGTTGGGACGATTTTTGAAAAGCAAAGAGAGTAAGTCACCGATATAAGAACATGTAGATGTAGGTAAGATGCACTTTCCATACGAGAATTGGGACTTCACATGGTGTGGCTATATCACGGTGTAATATTTCGTGCGACATGTTCAAAGGCGACAAACGGCTAAGGGTGATGCACGAGTTCCCATTGTTGTCCCTCGGATCGTTCTGAGGCATTGACAAGAGCAAATGAGGTAAATGCATACTACATATCCACTCAATCTTATAGGGAAATCGAGCGAGCAAGAAGGAGTAGTGAACCACGAATCTCGGCGTTCGGTAAGGAGACCAATGAAAAGCTATCCTATTCCAAGAATCTTGACAAAGTCAATTCCACTACAGGCAGATCTTCACGACAATGACATAACATTTTGGTAGAGATGTGGCTTGGCTACGGCCTCCAATCGCATCTACTTCTCCTTTGCTGACCAGGGCATGCCATCCCCTTTCCCCGCGTCTACCTCCAAAGCTGGCCATGGCATCGTTCACCTGACGCTTATCGGCTCGACGCCCACCTTCACCACCTTGACCTACTCGTACCCGCTCAAGCTACTTCCCTCGGTATCTCATAAGCTTCCTTCGAAATTAAAGGATGCCTCTACCTCTGAGCTTAATGGATCATCCCAACCAGCAGCCCTGCCCTCAACATGTCCCCTCCTCTTCCTCCTCAACTACGGCGGCGGTCTCCTCGCAGGTGATACCATCTCAATCACCCTTACTCTCGACCCTGGCACTCGAATATGCTGCACAACACAGGGAATGACACGTGTCTACGCTCCTGCAGCCTCCTCCATATTGTCTCATCCGCCTTCTTCGCAGATACTCCACGCTACAGTCGGCGCTGGTGCTGCACTCTGGCTTGCTCCTGATCCTGTCCAGCCGTTTGCAGGTAGCTACTACGCACAATTTCAAACCTTTGAAGTTGCGGATGGAGGAAGTGTGGGCTTTGTGGATTGGTTCACCGAGGGCAGGACAGCTAGAGGGGAGAAATGGGACCTAGCGTCATGGAGGGGCAGAAACGATGTTTTCGCTGTCTCTTCGACGGACAGTGCGAATGCGGAAAGGAAGAGGCTACTAGTGAGGGATGCTATTATGCTTGAGCAGCCGGGCTTGAGAGCACGAATGGACAACATGGGCATTATGGGAACGCTCGTGTTGAGAGGACCGCTGTTTGAGAGCCTAGGCAAATTCTTCGTTGACGAATTCGCTTTGATGCCACGCATTGGAGGGCGAAATTGGGAGACATCTGAGGCTAGCGGTGATTTGAAGAAGCTGAATACACGCGACGATTGGAGGCAACAGAGACAAGAGGCTGAGAAGAACGGGCAGGTGCTGTGGAGCGCTTGTCATGTACGAGGGTGCACAATAGTGAAGTTTATGGCTCCTGCACTACAGCCTGCAAAAGACTGGTTGGTCAATATGCTGAGAGAAGAAAGAACGGTCACGAAGGAATTTGGTCCCTGCGGGGGATGGTTCGAACGTTGACGAGCTCGGGTCGGACATCTGATGGCCCACGGCCAAGAAGAAAATATTCTCGTTGATAGCGTGTTCGAATGATCATCATGCAAATGCACGCGGCTGGACTCACCCCGTCCTCATGCGTCAGGGATGCGGCTACCGTTGTCGATTGATGCAGGTCTCACAAGATTGTTCAACAGTTTTGTATGTACTTATGCATACCGACAGGGAATTTTGAGAAAAGGCAACAAGCCTTCTACATAGAACGTCAAGTGACAGTCAAGCGTACTTGATCTATCGAATTTGGGTATCAATTGAGACCTCCAATCCGAGACTGACAACTCTAGTCGTCGATTTCATTCCTACCGTCCGGCATAAATCGCCTTTTACTACAACGGGGTTCTTGAAACTGCAATACGAGTTTGGAGACGGCGTCATTCAAGACCAAATTGGCGAAGCTGACAACAAGGTCTTTAAGATGCATATCACGCCAGACCTACATTTTGAGCAGGAATACAAAACATGACAGCTTCAGACAAGCTCCCTTACTTACCCTGTTCAGAGACATTGGTGATGTCTCCCATCCAGGCTATTGTGGAAATTTCACTTGTAGGATCAACCTTCTCGGCTACATCTTGCTCGTACCAGGCAATTGCGAGCTTCCACACCGAGTAGAATGTATACGACTGAGTATTCAAAGTCGTGAATTAGGGTACAGGAATTCAGCAAGAGGCTCACGGTCAAGACTTGGTCTATCTCATTGGGCAGGCGGGTGAGACCTCCAGAGCCTGACCAAAGCAGTCCCACTTTAAAACCACTGTCACATTCACCTGCTGTGCGATGGTACAGCCTTGGTGTTACGCTCGTACCAATATGTCTCCTCCAGGTCGCTAATATTTCGGAAATCCTTTCATGTGACATTACCCGCTTCCGGCTATTCTTTTTTCAACTTCCGTTTCATATGGGAGGACGGCTTGTCTATCATCCCATACAAATGCGGCTTGAACAGAAGGTCGCCATCAACTTCTCCCCTCAGCCTCGACTTTCCTGCCACCTCCCCAAAGGCCAGTTCATCTTGGCCTTGAACCCAGACTTCTTTCCCTTGTCTTTATTCCCAAATACGTCCTTAATTATCAAATTCGTCTTCGCCGCAAAGATCGTCCAATGTCTCTATGCTACCCGACCTGTCATTGATCGAGACCGTAAGCGCTGGTACGTTGTCGGACCATCCTTTCAAACATCTGCTGTTTCTCCAGAGGTCTTGATCAAAGCTATAATCTAGCACCATGACTTCAGTTCTTCTCAATTTTCTTAGGCTTTTGAGATCAATACGATATTCTGCATGAGAGCAAAATATCGTGTTCCAGAGGCAAGTGCAGAAGCATGCTATATGCAAACCTCTTGCCCAGAGCATAGTCCAGGGAGTCCTCGCTGTACATGCGATGCCCCTATGTCAGGCACTCGCATTGAGAAATCTCTTTCACGATGGCTTTTAACAAATACGTTACACCGAGCGCCATCCTTTTTTGTAATTGTATGATTCCCCATTGCCCCGGTGCCAGTAACAAAACGCTTCGAGATGGGTGTCGTGCATTGTGATGCCTAACAGGGAAACCTCAATTTCAAGTGAAAAATTCTCAAAGAGCGCTTCCGCCTTATTCACAGGCGCGGGAAGCCTCAACTACGAAAGCGCGAGCCAGAGATCGTTTCTGCTGTTTACTTCTCCATATGTAGAGGACCTGTAACAAGTGACATAACGGCTAGCGTAAGGTTCATAAAAAGCTCAAACGCCAAAATTGGGTGCCCCATTCTGAAATGAGTGAGCTAGAAATGCACCACTTGCACATCGGTAGCCCCCCCAACACCTCAGAATGCGCTTCACCCAAGACTCCGTAAATGACGGTCTGATGTACAGGTCAAAGTGCGCAAGGTCGACATCGGCGCCCGAAGCCAGTTTCAGGTCTGCCTCCAGCGTTTCGTGGAGGCATGGTCGAAAGAACGAAGTCGGCGACATCATGTCGCACGACCTGAGAGAGCCACACCAGCCTGGTTACGGCGTGGAATGCTGGTAAAATAGAAATTTTCTGAGCTCCCGCGGGTAGGCTTTGCCGTTCGCGATGTGAATTCGAGCTAGGTTGCGGAACAAGTTGCGGCTTTGATGGCGTCCCCTACATGTTTCCGGTAAGCAGTCTTTGAGGCCGAGGTGTTATGCGATATAATTACAAGAACAAAGGAAGAGGCTGATACTTCAGCTGAGGCAATGACTGAAGTCAGGGATACCTTGGCAAGCCGTATCATGGATTTTTGAAGCTCAGAAGATGCATATTTGTCATACCTGCGCGGAGAGGATGGCGAGAACTAAGCAGTAGAAATGCCATTTGAACTGCCATTTTCCTGCAGAGAATGAGCTGACTCAGTCAGAAGAGGAGCAATAATTGATAAGGGAGGAAATTATGATACTGCGTGGCAACATATGATTTAGAGCACGTGAGATTGATTCATTTGTGACTTTGGGGTAGACAGATTCACGCACACAGGCCGCTCATAGCACAGCACCCCTTATGGCAGGCACCGCTAATTCCAAGAAACTCCTCTTCGACGGGCTTTGTCCGTTCGTATCATTAGTCTTCTGCTGCTGGGTTTGCAGCTGCCCTACTTTACACCAGTTTTTAATATCCTGCGTCAAAGTTAGTTTCTTCCCCTATCTTGTTTTGTGTATCATTGAACTCACTATGCAGCTCAAGTAATGGCACCATGAACACTTCGTCGGATTCGTTTTGTAGAAATTACTCAAGAGCGCAATAAACCCAGCCAGTACACCGACAAGGGCGGCAGCCCGCACGAGCCACCATGCCCACCAGAGCGGCTTCCTGCCCTTGAAGAAGCCGGTTGGCTCTTTGATGAAGCCTTTGACGGCCGTAAAATCTGCAACTGGTCGGGATTGCTGAACAGTGGCGTACGGTGGTAAATCGGCGCCGACTTTCCGGCGTAATGGTTCAGGAGAATGTAGTAAGCAGACACCCAGTACGAGGCCCATGAGGAAGCCACCAATGTGGGAGAAGTTGTCAAGACCCGGTAAGAGGCCTAAGGCGAAGGATATAACGATATCAACGCCAATCCACATCAGGTCAACCCAAGGGCTCTTACGCTCCCCCAATGGTAGAGAAGGTCTAGGAGGAGGAGGGCTATGATGCCGAAGAGCGAGCCGGATGCGCCTGTTGAGGCGATACCTTCTGGTGCGAAGTTCCCGCCTAACACGAAGCCAAAGATGCCACTGCTGAGGTACACGATTGTGAATCGGATCGAGCCGATCTCTCGCTCCATGTCACCGCCCAGTAAGATTTGAAGGAGCATGTTGAAGGCTATGTGGATGAAGCCGGCGTGGAGAAACATGGGAAGGATGAAGCGGTACCATTGATGAGGGAGTGATTTGTCTGTGTAGGCGGCGGCGCCGAAGCCGCAGAGGTTGTTGAGGTGGCAGGAGTTGGTTTTGTCTGTAATGTCGGTAGAGGTGGAGTTGGGGCATGGCCAGGTTATGTCTTGGAGGGTCAAATCAGTCTTTCGCATGCATGGTACGTAACGAGCGCCCATGTTGATGAGGACGTATGGAGAGGGGCCGATCATAGGGTTAAATTGGGGGTGGATCTCAATCGGAGATTTTGTAAGGGCGCCTGGTAGAGCATTAGTGTTTCTTGCCATAACAACCACAGAGCAGTCCAGCTTACCGTTCTTAGCTAGCTCAGCAATAAAAACTACGCATTGAATCAACGTAAGGGTATACACGACCCATGGTATTCGTCCTGAGAAGAGACCCTTTTTTCTCTGTTGGCGCGGGGGTGGCCGATCTGTAATAGCTGAATCGTCATAGTCGTGTTGTACAACAGTATCTGATTTTTGTGGATGTGGTCGCAAGGGAACATCGTCTGCGTACGGATTTGTATCATGCCCGTAGGGATTTGGGTCATGGGCTTTTTCCTCCCGAAGCAACATATGGAGATGGCTCGCTGTAGTTGCTTTGTGTGTAAGGATGGTAACTCGTATCGGATACTGGTGATCCTGGGTATGCTGTGGGTGAGTGGACCGGGCGATTGTTGTATGAGGGTTCGTGAGGTAGAGAGGCATAAGAATCTTGAGGTAGATGTGAGCTTGGTGAGGGGAGTCTATGTGGCTGCTCATGATGGCTCGGGCTGAACGATTGATAGTAATCATTTGCCGCCATGATTTTTGATCGTGCTTTTAGCTTGAGAATGAGAGTGTTGTAGTAGGAAAGCTCCAAGAGCTGAAGCGAGCGTATATGGTTAGGAGAGCATGGTGACAATGAAGAATGTAGGTTCGTTGTGTCAATGTTCGAACAATTGCGCTGACGATTGAGGGTTATGTTCGAGAGGCTGTGACATCTTCCTTCACCAAAAATAGCGTAGCTGCCTCATAGGAAGTGGATTTCAGATATTGGTTCGCAATCAGCGGTAGAAGGCTTCAACAGGGCGGTGTTTCTCGTGTTCCAGCCTTTCCGACGCCAAGCCTCAGGCAGGAACTGACGCGGCTTCCAAAATTGGAAAGGGGCGGAAAGATCCGAGCCAGGAACATTATCATATCAGATCGTCAGACTGTCAGACGGGATCAACCAAGTTCGAGGCCTTCCTCGCAGAGAAGATCATTATTGCCACGAGCAGCATTCTAGGAGACGAGACAGCTACACCTTCCCAGGCTGGCTTGATGCCTTCGTTTATTCATAGTCGACCCCAATTTCTATGAATCGTGATGCTTCCGCTACAGACGAAAAGGTGACCACGGCGCGTCCCTTCGCCTCGAGCGACATGACTCGCTCACCTTCCTCCTCGCCCTCTTCGAGACCGATGAAGCGAAAGAGCTGCGCCAGAAAATGTGAGAGAGCGTGCTGTGCCGTTGCGACATACTTCCCTTTGGCCTTCGTCTACGGTTTGACGACATGGGCAATTTGGGTTGAATCTGGTCTCAGCCTGATTGGCCACTCGAACAAATGGGCCAACCCATTCACGTCTCTGCTCGGTATCATCCTCTACATCCTCCTGAATTGGAGTTACACCACCGCCGTCTTCCACCCCCTGGCTCTCCCATAGACCAAGGCGGGTCAGCGGGCTACTCCTCACTTCCTACACACGAGCCCCGCCACAACGAGAGCCAGTCGTTGACCGTGAAATCCACGGGTGAGTTGCGATATTGTAAGAAGTGCCAGTCAAGAAAACCGGACCGAGCGCACCACTGCTCAACCTGCAAGCGATGTGTGCTGAAGATGGACCACCACTGCCCGTGGTTGGCTACTTGTGTAGGGCTTCGAAATTACAAAGCCTTTCTTCTATTTCTGATCTACACTTGCATCTTTTGTTGGGTTTGCTTCGGCGTAACAGGTATATGGGTTTGGAATGAGGCGCTCAATGATAGCCGATACGGAGAAGATTTGACGCCCATCAATTATATTCTACTCTGTGTGATATCTGGAATTATCGGCCTGGTCCTGACCGGCTTTACTGCGTGGCATATCAGCTTGGCATACAGGGGCATGACTACTATTGAATGCTTGGAACAGACTAGATACTTGAGCCCATTGCGGAAGACGATGCGGAACCAGCGATTTGGTCACGAGAACGGAATGGGTGGACAAAATTACGGGCAACAATTGGCGGAGATCCATGCGAATGCAGTGCCAGGGGTCACACGAGCGGAGGAAGGAGAGGTGATGCTACCTAACGGACACTCAGAAGGTATAAACGGGTCGGGCGCGTACAACTCGCTGCGAAAGCATTATGCTCAAATGGAACAGTCAAGAGAAAGAGTTCGGTACGAAGACTATCTTGATGAGAAAGAGTCGGAAAACCTCCCAAGTGCCTTCAATCTTGGCTGGAGAAGAAACATGAAACATCTATTTGGTGAAAGGCCATTGTTATGGGCCTTGCCTATCTGCAACACTACAGGAGACGGATGGAATTGGGAGCCTAGCCACAAGTGGCTCGAAGCCAGAGAAGCCGCCAAGAAGGAGAGAGAAGCTCAGCCCCGAGATGATCAGGCGTCCGATGCTGATCAGGAGGAGCTGGCTAGCCGAGGCAGGTGGCATGATCGAGTCACCTCTCAGCGACACTATTTCAGCCCAGATGGTAGCCCGTCGAGTCGTATGTCAATGCAGACGCTGAGAAGGAAAAGCAGCTTTGAGGATCAGCCGCTGTATGATGATGACAATGATGATGATAACAAGAGCTCGAGCGACCATCCCATCAGGTCGCATTCGCCAGCGAAGAATGTTCGGAAGCAGGATTGAAATTTGACATCGGCAAATTTATGATACGAGCAAAACAATTAAGAGACTCAGGCCATCGCGATGATTGTTTACAGGGAACGCCGTTGGCGGCCACTCGTTCCCACTTGCCTCCACCAATCAACGACCGCAACTATAGACGTCATGCTCACAGTTGAAGTATCTGGGCTCTTGCAGAATGGCAGAAGCTGCAGTGGGCGTGAATGAATGCTGGAAAACTTCAGTCTCGACCCTCCATCAATGACTTGTAAGTCGCCACCGTGATCCAGAGACAAGCAATTCTGATCTCCATGAAGTCTGTAGCTACTTGTGAATACGGCGGCAAACAAACTCGAAAGTCATAGCATCGCCATTTGAATTTTTGATTGCATAGAATTCTACAAAAGCGAGCAGGAAGTAGGCAGAGACTGACATAATCTATCTGGCAAGGTAAAGAGCGCCGTCTATGTACCATACCAGCCTACTTGACGCGACCTAAGTTGCAAGAAAGCACAAAGTGTCTCTAAGCCTCATCAAATTATTCTAATCATTCCCTCCCTTCACTGCTCCTATCAATCCACCTGCAAATGCCCAGTGAAAGGACCGCCCTGAGTATCATAGGCGCTCAGTGGTGTAGGACATCGAGGCTCTGCCTTTCTGAACAGCTCGCGAATACTCTTGTGCCTGGTCTACGTTCGCCATAACAAAGTCTTGGTAAAAGTCTTCGTGCCATTGGGAAATTCAGGGCTCGAAGCGAGAATGTAATGTTGATCTTTGCCCAAAGTCGCTCTGTCCTCTGTCGTTGCAGACGCCAGGGAAAGAGCACGCTCATCATGAAGAAAGTGGAGAGAAAATCGAAAAAGAAATGAGGATTTGAGGATTATCATATTAGAAATTATTCCCCTATCTAAGATACCTGATCATTAAAATAGATATTGTAATTTCCATGCGAGAAAAAGACTGTAATTCTTCGTTCCTCGGTGCTGAAGATGTCGAGATGCCAATTGAAAATATTCTTGAGAGAGGTTCAGGTGCTGCAGACAAGAATTAATCGAAATTTCCGTAATTGAGGTACCAGCTGCCCGCACGCAAGTATCAAGAAAGTCATAGTCCTCGTCATAATCGTGATCACAAATTCAAAAGTATTGCATGAGCGGCATCAGAGCCTATCGCCTCCCTTGTCATCGCATTCTCTCATCTGACACCCCCTGAGACCCTTGATTGATGGTGAGAAGAAAGTTACATGACGACACAGCCGTAGCCGGGTTGGCCTAGAAAATTAGACGATTAGCAATCGTTTCGATGGAGTGCTTTGATGGCGAGGCAAGGAGGAAAGAGGGTAACTCACCACGACCAGCGTCGAACACGATGGGACCGGGAACGTTGTGAGTGCTTGTGCCTGAGACGGAGGCGGTTGAGGTTGAGGTTGCTGCAGTTTCGGGAGACATTGTGATTGTGATTGTTTGGTAGGAGGAATTAATTTTGGGTTGGATTTGTAATAGGGTGAGTAAGCTGTGGGATTTTGATTAGTTGTGGTTTCTGAAAGCTGTGGTGAGTTGTGGCTGAAATGAGAGGTAGGTAGTTTGATAGATGGTGATGGAAGTGATAAGGAGGGACTTACCGAGTTTGAATGCTTGCAGATTGAATTGGTGTGAATTGAAGTCAGTACAGAAATTGGTTTGAAGGGAAGTTAATTTTGAGATAAGGATTGAATGAAGAGAAAGGTGATGGAGTAGAGATCTTTATGAGTTCGAGATGAAAATGAGATCAGGAAGTTGTAGATGAGGATGGATCAAGGCCTTTGAGACGAGGACAATGTTTCGTGTTGGTCTCACAATGAAGAACACTGGTTATTTTGGTAGTGGTCTCGATGTGAGAGAGTGTCGTGGTTAGTCAAGGGTTTGTGGTTGATCCTTTGAGGGAGCTTGATATTGTAGTTTGTCTTGCCACTGAGATTGTCGACGCTTTTGGCTTGTCGGGCAGCGAACTCGAAACTAGTCGGAAACAATCAATGATCAATACTATCTTGCGTTGTCTCGTAGTAAGCGTGGTTGTGTCGTCAATGGTGAGTGAATAATCACTGGAGTCACGCGATGGCCAACGGACATCAAGTGAATTGAAAGTTTCGGATTCTCATAAGACTTGAGCACTATTGCGCGACATTCTCCAGCAACGCTAGAATGATCACTTGGAGAGGCTGCTCATACCATGGATATTTCTGTCATCAACCTCGAATCGTTGCAAAAGCAATATCAGCGGTTTGATTGCTTTGCGCCGACACCTCATGTGTAGACCTCCTCAGTAAAAGCATTCAGCGCCGCTCCCTCTTTCGCGATATCCTCCTTGATCAAAAAGAGCAATGGCATCTCAACAAGCGTGCCTCGAATCTTACTTAGCTCCTCCTTCACCTGTCTTGCGCCCTCTTCCCCAGGCGCAAACTCATCCGCTACCACGTGACCCCACATATATTTGCTTGGTTTCTTCGCTGCACCTTTCTCCGCCTCCTTCTCTGCCCCCTTGAAGAAATGTTCGTAGAAATCGTCATAATCTTGCCACGTCCGCACGCAATCATGTGGTACAGGATGGAACACGCGACCGAAAACGTCGGTGTTGATTTTTGCGCGAGAATTCCAAAAGTTTAGGAAATCGTCGGACAAGGGATCAACTACCCATTGGTCTTCGGGAGAGCCGTAGTCATACTTGTTAGGCGCAAAGCCAATCGGTGAGAAATTTTGATCAGGTCGATCCATGTCCTGCGCTGGAATCAGACCGAGATGCTTCCGAAAGAGCTGGCGGCGAAGCGTTGCTGCGAAGCGAGCTGCCCGATGGGGACGACCGTTCATCATGGAATCGATACTGTTTGGATCCTCGATGATGATTGCGATTTCGGAGTCATGCTCGCCTAATTGTGATCGGTCGTTCAGGTTGGCAGACCCGCAGATGACAATGCGGTCGTCGGCGATGAGCACTTTGGAGTGTACATAGAGCTCTTCGCTGACAAAAGCGTCGATCTCTTGATAATTGCCATTTGTCCATGGGACTGAACGAATGTCTTGACCGTTCAACATGTAACACTCACTAACCGAGTCCCATCTGCCAGAATCTGGACCAGACTGCGGGTAAAGGTTGCTCGAGGCTTGCTGATATGCCTGATATTTCGAGCGCCCTTGGTACTGGTCGCTGGGAATTTGCGCAGGTAACTCGGCAGCTTGATCATATGCAGCCGCAGCTGCACCATAATCGACACCGCTTCTCTGCTCCACATCGCGCATTGTGGAGCCGACGTTGATCCGATCATAGTTCCTCAGATTGTAGAAGCGAATATATTGAGTTGGGTCAAAGCCTTCGTTCGCAATCGACTCCATGATGCTGTAGCCACCGCGATTGATTGAGAAATACTGAAACTCCATAATTGCACGAGTCCCAAGACTAGCATCGTCCTTTAAGTCACCTGCAAATGCAGGTACTGCCGGTATCAAAATAATCATCTTGTACTTTTCACCAGCTCGTGCCGCACGCAGGATACGATCGACCATAGCTCGGCCAATCTTGTTCTGTACGGGCTTCTGTTTGTCAGATGTTGCAGTGATGAAAAATTGATTCTCGATGTAGATGAAGTGTTGGCTGTTCGCTATGATGTCAATGTACGCATTAGCAATAGAGTGCTCTGTTGGTATGCCATGGCTCCATTTTGTACAGCTCCTAACTATCTGGCAGGGAATACCTGCTTCTTGTGGCGTGCCGTGAAGATGCGAATGGTGTTGATGCCCACCCATATACTGTTGGTAAACATTATGGCCTTCTTGGCCAACTCGTCCACGGATGTTCTCGCCGAGGCTTCGCACCTCTTCGCCAAAGCCAGGATGATCTTCACTCAAGCCTCGAGAAGAGTCGTCATCCAGCTCACGGCGAGATGGATAATAGGATCCTTGAGGTCCCGGAGGCGACACTATTCCGGCAGGGTTCTGATTGAACGTGAGCTTGGAATAGCGGACATCTTTCCTGACGTTGTATTTTTCGTCGTAGATGAAATTCCATCTTTCGACAAAATGGGCACGTAAGTCTTCAACGACAGGTCCTTTAAGGCTGATCGATATATCAGACCATCCCTAAAGATGTATCAGCTCTTAGGACTGTCAACTCAACAAGGGTTTCTGCACCATTCGAGAGCTGTCCTTCCGGTCGAGTTTGTTGTTCTGCCAATGACTCACGTCTTGGAAATCCATGATGCTAGTACAAAGCCTCAGCAAAGCCCTCAATACTGCAAAGACATAGCACACTCACCGAGCATTATTGAAATCTTGACCTGGAAACACGATATTTTCAAGATTTGATGGATGGCAGTCAGCAATGGGATGTTGATTGGTGTCCCATCTTCCGTAGCATAAATCGAGACCACCCATAAATGCAATTTGTCCATCAATCAGGCAAAGCTTTTCGTGATGCGCCCTGAGAGATATCTTCAGCTTGTCACACTGAAGAAAAGTCGCAAATGCCACGTACCAATACAGAATCACGTCCTCATTCATACCATAAATGCCCTTCAGTGCGTCAATTGGCAAGGATGCCGCTGATTTCGCCGTCAGAGACATATTCTGTAGCGAAGAGATGAAAGAGGACGACAGCGTTTGTGCATCGGGTAAATGATCTGGATGTCTGAATACGGCAATATTAGGGTGAAGATTCTCCAGACAATGCTTAGTATGGGAAGACGAAACTGTCACAGGCGCCTCGATCAGCGGAAACTCTTTCTCTACTTGCTCGAGAGATAGGAAGGTAGCCGCAAGCCCTACGCTTGTGACGGCTTTCGAGAAGCGATCGGTATGGCGAGGTAGTAGAGAGTGCAGGTATTTGGGCACGGTTGGGGTTAGATACTTACGCGTGAGGGCTTGCGTGACTTCCTTATAGACGATGATGTTCACTTTGACACCCCGTTGGGCTGCGGCTTGGAGCATACGGTCGACACGGTATTGCTCGTTCTTTGCTGGGGGACGCCGCAGGTAGAGCTCTGGAGAAAGCCACCCTGTAATGATTAGCATGTAGCAGACTGGCGAGATGGTTGAATTCGTACAGTCCAGAATCCATATTGACTGGGTCGCTCTCTCCAGAGCCTCAGAGACGGCCCACATATATCCACAACCATCGACATACCACTTCACATCGTTGCCAGTCCGTTGCGGTGCGAAGCTATGATACCGATGCTGGGTATTGTCATGCATCCCGTCCCCGCATTGCGCTCCATGGTGAGTGTGACTATGGATGGCACCCTGGCCCGTAACGACTTTTTTTACTTCAGTACCAAGCCCATGAACAACACCATGCAATTTATCGAAGACGAAAGAACCAGCTCCAGCTACTCCCTGGCCCTGCGACTGCGATGGAGCATTACTTTGCGATGAACCTTCGTATGATTGGGGCTGATGTCTGCCTCGGAGCTTTCGGAAAGTGTCCCCAATGAGACCTCTGTCGCCTTCCTCGCCTTCCTCGTCTACATCTTCACCTGGTGCTCGCGATGCCGACTGGTCGTCGCCATAGGCCAAGCCGTCATCGTCCTTCCTGGAATCGTGGGTCGGCCTGCCTTCCATAGTCGCTGAAGGGCTACCCCTTTGCAGATGCAGGATTAGTTGAACGGCCTACGGATTTTCGCTTGTGAGGGGTGACAAGATAATAGGTATTGATAGTATCTCATATCATGGCAGTAGGAAGGAATGGCAGCATCCCAGCCGTCCAATCAGACGCGCCCAATGCGGGACGATCACGACAAACCTCAAGAGTTCTCCTTCAACTCACAGGCTCTACGGAGCTGCTTAATGTCGGTCAAGCAACAAGTATTTCTGTAGCCTGTGGCTGGAGCAGAGATGCCAGCTCATTGGCCGCTGCACGAACCATCCCACCAAAGCGATGACGTAGATCAACAACAAGCTGCCTTTCAACCGACGAGATTGCCTCCTTCCGCTCATCACTACTCCGAGGACATAGAGCACTCCTCCCCCCTCAATCATCCACATATATAGACCATGGCCACTATCCTTCGCCCTCTCTCTCGCACCCTCCCAAGAACAATCCTCAACCCAACCTCCCTCCGCCCAGTCACCCAAACACAACTCAGAATGGCCACCACCCGCATCGCAACCATTGACGTACTGCTCCTCTCCCCTCTCCTACCCTCTCAACCTTTCTCATCCATCCTCACTAACACCAATCAGTCCTCCCTCCGCGACCGCCTCCCCCTCCAATCACCAACCCTCTTCAGCGCTAAAGCGGCCAAAAACCTCACCTTCGCAGACATCGCCTCCTCCATCGGGCGCAACGAAGTCGCCGTAGCCGCAATCTTCTACGGCCAAGCGCAAACCACGCCGGAAGACGTAACGGCGCTCTCCAAATGCCTCTCCATCGACGAAGGGGAATTGAAGGAACAATTGGCGGGTTATCCATTTAGGGGCCATGTGATGGACATGCCGCCCAGAGAGCCGTTGATCTATAGGCTGTATGAGATTGTGCAGAATTATGGGTATGCGTATAAAGCGATTCTGAATGAGAAGTTTGGGGATGGGATCATGAGTGCGATTAGTTTTAGTACGAAGGTGGAGAAGGAGGTGGATGAGAAGGGGGAGTGGGCTGTGATTACACTTAGGGGGAAGTGGTGAGTCTTTGCCTGCTTTTGTATTTTGTTCGTTGTGTTTGCTATAGGGCCCGCCCGTCGGGGCGAGATTTGCTACGCTGGCTGACTGAGATATTGACAGGCTGCCGTTTTCCAGATTTTGAAGCTGTGGGGCGTGGATTTCAAAAAGGGGTGCTTAGATGATATATAGGTCACATATGCCAGTCAGATATGAATGGGGATTTGCATTGTCTTCAACCCCTCTGCCTTCGCTGAACCTACTGGGATGGATGTTTTCAGAAGTCACCGTATTTTCCATCTCGCTACTCGTGATGTTCGGATGCTGATTGCACGGGCGACCTCCAGAATTGTGGAAACATGCACGGATATCGGTACCAAGCTTGAAAAGAAGAGATCGCCTGAATGCGAGCGTACATAGGTGATACGCAGCAAGCGTTTGAGGAACGAGAATGAGCCTGTGCTTGGCTTTCTGGAGGTGATCCCCTTCCAATCGAGATTTACTGAAGCGGACGAGTCTTCAATAGTCTTTGCCGTTATTTGGCTTTGGAGCTGGATCATAGACTGCTTATCGTTGTTTCACTTCCCCTGAAAAGACTGCAGGCACGTTCTTCGATTCTGAGCGGACCTAGTCTGGTGGCTCTATCAGATATTTACATTTCTAGCCCTGGCTCCTGCCAGTTTCCTGAACCGTGGATACTAAGACTCTCTTGTGTTTTGTCATTTGCCTTCACCTTGTCCTCGCCTGTCTCGCTCTCCAGCTTTGAATAGGCAATCACCTTCCCAGTACTGCTACCCTTCTCAACCCTAGAGAAAGCAGCGAAGAGCTACCCGATTACTCCGTCTTCCAATTATAAGCCCCCGGCGGGACCCAAGGCTCAAGCACATAGAATAGCTCTCCCTCCAACCCAGCTTTGACACGCCGAATCGCCTCCCATGAATCAGTGTACGCAACATTCCAGCCATGTTTCTCCGCCGCAAACAAATGGGAATCAGCCCATACTTCAGCATTGACAACCGGGCGCGACGGACACAGCTCGGGTTCAAATGGGGGATAATATCTCGAATTGGCGCCCGCAGCAAGGTGCTCCCTCTTTTCGAGGGCGACGATGAATTGGATAGCTGTGCATAAGGGGACTCTGATTACGCCGGCGTCATTTTCTTTGATATCGGATCGGTCGAGAAAGAGGGATTGAGGTATGAGACTTTGGAAGGATATGGGTGCACTCAATCCTGTCTCGACTCCTGTGAGTAGGAGTAGCACGTTCTGGTACCTGCTGACCCTGCGGACACTGGGGCAGTCGTCTGACTTATCTCTGCCATTGTTGTACCAGCCATCAAGGTTGTCGATCACCATGACGATGGCACGGAAGAGGGGAAGCAGGAAGTAGTTTTTTGCTATGTCTGGTTTTGTCCCTTGCGAATTCGGGGTTTGGGCATCATCTTTGGCCTTTCGCAATTCATTGTCGATGTGTCTGCAGACTTCGGCATGGGCGTCAATGACTCCACGCAGGGTAGACGGACCAGTCTCAGAGACCTTGATTGGAGCTGCAAAACAATGGCCATACTCAATATTTGGCTTGCAGTCATAGCACCGGAGCCACTCGTCAAGTAGAGCCTGGAAGATGATTGAGTGTGTGACCCAGCTTGTACCGTGAAAACTGAGATGCTGCGCTGACAGCAACCAGTAAAAAGCAGTGGGTTTATTGCAGAGGGCATGTAAATCCTCCGTTTCAATGGTACCCTCTGGAACTGTCAATGTCGTCCGATACTCTTCATAATGCCAAGCGGGTCGTATGTTGTCGCGATATTTCGAGTCCCTGTAGTGGTGCCACTTCTCCAGAAGATCATCTTTAACCAGTGTCTTGATATCGTCAGAGACTGGTCTGTCTATAACGACTTCCCTCCACTTATTCCCGATTCTAATTTCCTCTTCGATTTGAGACTCAGTAAGAGTCCTTGCGAAAGCTGCCGCCATCGTGCCTCGTCAATCAACGGCCCACGATTCGATTTTCAATGTGGCGATGGCTTGATGGATGAGGAAATTTGTTCCTGAGTAACGAAGTGACTGCTAGGCAGATTACGAAGCCATCTGTCTTCACTCGATCAAAGCCCACAACCCATTTACCCGTGCGCGGAAAGTAGCGAACGTGCAAGCCGTACAATTTGAAGCCTAGACCAAAATAGTCATGCCAGAAATATCTATGAATAATTCAACACTTGCTTTGAAGGCCAGACCGGACTGACTATTTGAAATCAGTAATCGGTTTGCTGCAATAGCTAGCGGTCCAGCAAACTATTGATCACACTGCAAAAGTGGGTCAATTTTAGCTTTGATAATGCTCATCAGCTTTAAACAAGGCTGCCTGTACGATACATATCAGTTGTATTAGGAATTTCGGAGGGTTTACGACTACTCTTTGTGTCATAATTTCGTACAGCCAAGTACGCCACCAAAGTCAGTTCTAAGAAAGGTGATTCAAGAAAAGAAATCAAGCATAACAGATTACTTCAGTTGACAGTAATAGTTTTTTCAGGGGCGTCAAGGACGTCCATCGCGTATACATAAGGGATCAGTGCACGATTTAGTCTGCTAGTATTGGCTTTATAATTTGTTGTGGTGCCTATGATGCTAACAGAAGCGGTGTTGTTGCTCTTTTACTGGCTGCTATTGTGTTTATGATTGCATCAGCCCACCACTAGGATTTTTGTAATCTATCATCAGGGCTTCAGAGGAAGAAAGCTTAATTATTGAAGGCAGGTCAGTTTACTTCTTTCCTTCAAAAGACTCTTCTAATTTGTCTCTATCTTTCATAGAGTCTTTCTCAATTCATTCCATTCGTAATTAAACTTAATAATTGATGAATTTAATTCTTTTCATTATAAATTTTTTTCGATGGGAATTTGCCTCCCTTTTAATTTTCTTCTTGATTTACTGAGGACTTCGAATAGAATTGAAATCTTTCTCCTAAAAATAGGGCAATTCACATTTTTCCTTAATAAAGCCCCTTTTGCTGATACGTATAGTGTTGCCCCTTTTTCGAATATCCTTAAAGTTTTCAATATTGACATAAGAAGACAGAAACTTATCTGCAAATGGCAGAATCATTGATATCTTTTCTTGGTAAAGGCTGGTCTGCCAATGTTTATAGCTTAGCACGCCTTTTCAATGTCTTTTCTTTCTTTGATCTGGTGCGCTGAAACGTGATGGCGCTTCAAAAGCGCCAGTAGCAAATTCTAAATTTCCTACTCGTGCCCCCTAACGACCACCAAGGATCCTTTTATGAACGGGTAGATGGGTGGAAAACTAAGAATGCGGGTCACAGCATACTCACTTCTTCTTGGTGCTTGGGATGGGGGACGGACCCCATCATGAGCGCCGGTGGGCATCCTATGACTAGAACAATCTAAGATGACGGGGTGCAAAAACTCACGGGCTGAAGGAAGTCCCATAGTGGATGTCCGGAGGCCCAATAATACTGCCTGGGGAGGTTGACGTGAAGCCTCGCACGACCCGAAGGATCGTTCTCCGAGTCATAGGGGTAGTTGTCATACTACCACCCACCTCCGCGAGGAGGTCAAAGTTCCGACCCTGCACCTTCACGTGGTGGCCTCCGAATCACACCTTCTTGACAAAGAGGTGTGATCCAAGCAGGGCGGTCGATCGGCAGTGTTCACCAAAAGCTTATTGAATCAACAGAGCCATTTATACTTACCGAGCCGAAGGTCGATCGCTACATATTAAGTTGACGATTATGACTCAACTTATCTCCTCATTCAAGTCGACTGCTCACTCAAGTCGACTACTCAAGTTGATAACGGAAAGTTGACAATCATGCTATTTGAAGCGACAATTACCACTTTAATTGCATCAACAGCTAGCGTTGCCAACTATTCAAAAGGCCTAATTCAAAACCCAAACCGAACCGATTACTCAGGTTCTAAACTATGTGAACCGCTAGCAGTCCACCAGACTATTAGCAATATCTCAAACTGTTTTCTACGCAGTTCATCCAAAGCTCACGAAACCGCCCATCGTCGGTCTAAATCCCAAAATGAACCAACGATGGTCTGCTCAAACCGCTAGCAGTCCGCCAAACAGTTACCAGCGCTGTCGACGAATACGATTCAAGTCAACAACTACCTCACAATTAGCTATACCAGCGGGAATCACATTCAATTCAAGCCGCCAAGATTAGACACATAGGCAGCTTAAGCACAATCCATCTCAAAACTCCAGATTACCGTCGTATGGGTGTCAAGGTCGTCTCTTGCCCTCACTCTCCTGTGTCTTTTCAACAATAGTACAAAATCAAACACTGCTTTGCAACCGCCCTAAAAGAGCGACGGCTATGGCATAATGTATTTACCCTGATGATCCTGACGTCGAGGACTTATCCATTAGTACAACTCAAGCCCTAAAATTTCAGCAACTTCTTCAGATTGCCCTCGCCTGTGTTTGAAAACTCATGGGCCTCTGAGAGGTTTGGATACCGGTGCTCAAAGTCCGTGTCAAAGGCCGGGAAAGCGTATCATATATGCACAGCTGGCAAGTGCGAGTGTTAGATTTCCAGGACCGCCAGTAGCGCAAGGGGGGGGGAGGAAAATGGGGAAGGAGTCCTCATGGCAATACTTAAAAATTTGCCGCTTTGATATCCGTCTGCCAATCTTTGAGAGAAACCAGATCGGGATCCAGAGAATGAAAGAGTATCTTATTTGCAGCCGCAAGTCAGTCTGAGGTCGTCAGCCTATCCGTGATTTCAAAAGCAGTCATTGGCCATCAAGGCAGAACAAACCTGCCACTCCAAGCACAACCGTCACGGACTTGGGGTGACTGAGCTGCGTTGCCAACCATTTAAATCTTTTGATTTGAAGCTCAAAGCAGACCGTCGGCGGCAAGTCTCACAGTCTGCTAGTGGGTTTGGGGCTCAAATTGGATTGCTAGCGGTTAAGCTAGTTCAATTGACAATTTGCAACTATTCGAGTGAATATGAACAAAACAACGTGAAAATGACTTTGAATAGCTTCAAAATTTTCAGTCTTGATTAGATTTCATCACCGAAAGTCATCTCTTGGTGGTCAGACCACTCGGTCCAAAGCTCATACCAAACAGTCCGCACTCGGTCTACTCTCCAAATTGGACCGACATTTAGCGAATCGGTTAATCTGTCTGCTCAAATCGCTAGCGGTCCACGAAACCGTTGGCAACGCTGGTCATGCCACTTGGAGTGATACCACAAAGCTCAAGTCACAAATTTTTCCATAAAAGAGACGGAGGATTACGCCTCACTCGGACTCGATGGATGTCCAGCGACTACCTATACTCTTCGACAAAAGCCCGTCTAGCGATGAGAATGGGGTAAATTTATTGAAACCCACACATCGCAAACGGTCCTCTTCTTTCGACTATGGCGGTCAATGTCACATCATCGCTTTCTTCTGAACGATCATGAAAGGCTCGGTTGTTTTTAAGGTCAATACTCAGAATGAAAGGCTTGAATGGTCCTTCAAAGCAGGTCATCGATCGATTGCAGGGTCTATGCTCCAATGAAAATTGACCAAAACTTACGCAAAAGCACGTCTAGAGTCTATAATCAGTAGAGCCAAAGACAAGCTGATATACGAGCCAAGAACATTACCATCACTGACGTCCAATTTCGAACCCATAGAGAGCTAGAAATAAAGATGTCCTCAATCACTAAAATGCCGGACATTACATACCAATACGCAGAATAGATATCCATACCCATCGCACAAACCAACTTCGACCCAACGACATGAATATCACCACCCCCCACCCTCAGCCAGCCCCTCAAACCTCCCCAACTCCTTCCCCGCATCCTCCACATCCTTCTTCGCCTTCATCCGCATATAAAAAATCGGACAATCCTTACTACTACAAATAACCTCATTATGCAAACTGCCCTGACACCGTTGACACTGCGTCCAGAGTCTCCCAAATCTGACTTCCAACTCACTAACCTTGGTCAAAGTCTTCGTATACAGTTCCCCCGTCCGCGGCGCACAATTCGCACACACAGCCCCACTCTTCTCCGCCGCCGTGACCAGCGGTTTCTTACACCCCATACACGTCTGGGTCCTCTTCGTGAACTTCATCAGTCCGCCCCCCATCGCTGGCGTAGCCACAGCAATGGACCGAGTATGCTCCCCCGTGAGCAGCTGTGCGGCCTTCCGTTCCCCTAAGATAGGATCGAAGATTCTGGCAAGCGGTTTCGCGAGCTGGTTGTCCAGGTAGTATTTCGTGTCGATAGGGATGTTGTTTTCAAGGACGAAGAGCGGGTCTTCGCTCTTCTCGTAGTTTTTGGAGCCGCCGGCGCCTTTGATGATGACGTAGGCGACGCGGTCGCCGAGGGTGGGAGCCGAGCCCGCGTCGCGCTTTCTCATACGTTCGGCGAGCTCGACGTGCGCTTGTCTTGCGTCGTATTTCTCTTTTGTGAGGGCCTTTGTGATGACGAGCTTGGACATGTCGACTTTGTTTTGAAGGAGGGAGGAGATGATATCTTTGACGTAGCTGTGATATCGTTAGTGCGTGATGTGGTGGGGAAAGGAAAGGAGGAGTGTACTCTTGAGCACCTTGAACGTCTCGATCGATCAAGATTTTACGGAGACTTGTCTCAATGACGTTCTGGACGAGACGGCAATTGTCTCTTCGTACCGTCTCGATTCCTTTACTGTCCATCTTATCGTGCTTGTCTGGATTAGTCCAATACAGACCGGCGTATCTCTTCTTGTTGATGAGCAAATATGGAAAGTAGACCTTCTCGAATTCGAGTTTGATTGGGTTGATGAACTTGGCAGAGACAAATTTTGCCGCTTCTTCTCCTAGCTCCATGGCTTTCTTCAACTCGGCCGGTCCGAACTTGACCATCACCGAGTCGGTGTCTCCGTAGATGACTGATGCGTCATGAGAGTATCCATTTGCGATCGTGTACTTCTTCTCCACTTCCTCCTTGGTCCTTTCGATCATTTGCCGCCCGTAGCTGGTGGTACTACTTGCAATTGGAAGACATGGTAGCTTGCCCACTGTAGCGCCAGTGAGACCGTACACACTGTTTGCGCTAATCTTCAAAGCTAGCTGTCGTCCGTTCAACACTGCTTTCTTGAAAGAATCCGTTGCGACGGCTAATTCTTTCTTGGCGCGTTTTCTCGCACCTAATAATTCTTCTAAAATTTGGGTCAAAAGCCCTTTCCGTATTTTCGAGGTGCAAAATGCGTCGCCGTTTGGAGTAATGATGTAGTCCTCATCCTTCACAAGCTTAAAAGCTTCGATGGCTTCTTTTTTCAGCAATGTGGTATAGCACAGATTATGTGCTTGAATAATGCTTGGATACAGAGATGCAAAATCGAGGGTTGCCACAGGTACGTCGTAATATCCTCTCGTTGGTTCAATGACCGTTGCACCTTCGTACTGTTCATCGCTGCCCTCACTTTTCTTCTGATTTGGGATGACCAGAGACTGCTCTAAGGCCTTTCGAAACAATTGACTGATGAATTTAACTTGCTGTCCCTTTGCCAGAAGATAATTGAATGGTACACCAGTGACTCTTGCCATTTCTGTATAGTTGACAAGACACATTAATTTGTCCATGAGCCGCTGCGGTAAGAAGGCATCTTTTAGACAATAGACTGCAAGTCTACGCCTTGATTCAGGAGTACCGTTGAAAAGCTCGGTGATCATGGTGTGATGGACGTCTTCTTTCTGTTCGCCCAAAAAGTGAGCACAAACGGCGTTGAGAGTGTAGCTTCGCAGTTGATGGTCTCTTTGAACAAGCTGTAATAAGTCCAGTTGCAACCTGCCATTCGTGTTGGTGGCTTTGGTATCTCGATTGCCCATTTGTTTGCTTGAGAAATTTGTATCCTTGGCATGTGTTTGAACACTTTTCAATCGTGTGAAGTAGGGAAACTTGCTGAGTTTGAGATGCTTTGCTCGGTCAAGAAGGTAAGGGAAGTCGAAGTTAGCGATGTTGTACCCTATGATCAGATCGGGGTCCGACTTCTCCAGAAATTCCCTCCATTTGGTAAGCATATCCTCCTCCGTACGGTGCTCAAAGATTTGTGTATTGACGATAAGACTACATGTGTCTAGACAAAATACGTTGCGTATGAATGGTTTGGAATCACCAAACCTCGTTACTACATTAGCGATTTGGATGACTGGGTCTTGATGTGGTTCTGGAAAAATGCCTTTGCGGCCAGCGCATTCTATGTCGAAAGAAAGGATTCGTAAAGGGGCCATCTTGGCCCATTCGCCGTCATTTGGATGTGCAATTAAATCGTGAAAATGAACGTATGCTTCGATTTGACAGTTCGAGTGCCGATCTTTGTGAGGGATCATGTTGTATTTGCCAGCCTTCGCTTCTACCCATGACATGCCAGTAACCTGCAGTGATTAGTTATGAGACCGGATCGGTGCTTCCAGACTTACTCCTCTATCAATCATAAATCGTAAGACATATTGAATGCTGTCAAATGTCAGATGTCCTGCATCAAGTCCTCTCCACATGCCCTTGTAATTGATGGCTCCGCCCTCGAGCGTCGTCCGTAATTTGTTGATATACTTGGGATCGGTGACGGTGATCTTGAGATAGGGATTATTCTGATTCCCTTGAAAGCCATACAAATTTTGTCTCATTACTATTTGGACGGTGTGTATAGCCGGCTGGTGCTGCGCTAGCTGAGTCTCGAGGAAAGCCTTGAAGCCAGCACAATCTTGCTTGCCAAAAGAAATCGGAGCCTTGATGTAGAGGTAATGTAGGAAGTCAGTGACATGTAAGAGAACGGAGTGGCCTCTCTAGGTTGAATCATCAGTACCGGTCATAGGGAGCATGGACAATGCCAACCTCTGTGACTCCGAATAACTTGACAACAGTCCTTCCTCCATGCAGCGTTCCCTCTTCTGCCTCAATTTGTTGAAAGCAAAGGTTGTGCTTGTGAGGATCGAAGTCTCCTACAGGCGGTCTATCCCAGCTTTGGTCTTTCTCGAAATTGTTCTCTTTCAAGCCAGTGAGATCTTGAGTCAATTTTTCGAGCACCTCCTCCTCGAATTGCGACTTTGGTTGCGATGAGCCTGTTTTGACGCCATTTTGGCTGAGCTTAAGCTTAGAAGGAGATATTGGGTCGAGTTTTCGCCGTTTAGCGGTGTTTGGAGAGCGTGGAGGGAGGTTGGCGTTGCGGTGAATCTTCGTAGAATCGCCTAGCGGCCGCTTAGGCGGAGGTAGAGTTGCTACAGGCATAGTTGAGAGTCTTTTGTGGTTCAAATGATTGCCATCCCTCCTCTCCGTAAATGTGCGTGTGGAGAGAGGTCTGGGTTGCGGAGCTTGCGGAGGCATCGGAGTCGCGTCTCATCGCGTCACTACGCAATTTCTTATCGATATCGTCAAAACTAGTCTACTTCCGGCTAGACGAAATTACCGCCTGACGGTGAAAGGAGCCAGTAAAGGAGCAAGAAGGCAAAGCTGCAGGCTTGATTGAGCCTTGAAGTTGTCTTGTATCAAAAAGTGATGCTCCTTCTAGTATGCTAAGCCATGGATGGGGAATTGAATGCATGGGGAATTGAATGCATGGGGAATTGAATGCATGGGGAATTGAATGCATGGGGAATTGAATGCATGTAAATAAATATACAGATTATCAGCAGGGGCTGACAATGAAGGCAGGCCTTCGACTTTAGTAGGTCACTCCAGTTTTCCAGTCAGCTTCCCCTGAGCTTCAGCTTCCTCCAATGCTCCAGGTTCATCAATATTTATGCCCGCTCTCTCGGCTTCAATTTGCCTGATAGGTCCAGTGAACCATCGTCTTGCCCACAAGAACCAGCTACCAAATGCCCAGAGCGCAACGATACCCACTGCGACCGGAGTGTAGTTGAGGGTCTGACTGTCGACGGGATTCTGCTCTGGCAGACAAAACACAATGACTAGAAAGGCGACGTAGCCCACAGCAATGAGTGCCACCGGTCGCGATGCGATCCTCAGGTTGAAAGGGCCTTTCTTAAAATTGTCGTGATAGATAAGACCGACCAAAATAGGCAGTGCATATGATACGTAGAGGCCAATAGTAGCAATTGATGTGGCTGCTGAGAAGGCTACTGTAGAGCCGAGGGATGGAATAGCCAGTAGAAAGGACAGTGTGGCTCCGAGCCAGATGGTACGGATAGGCGACTGGAAGCGCTGGTCCACATGAGCGAAGAAGTGTGGCAGACCCCTATCTCGTGCGAAGCCGAACATCATCCGAGAATTTGAAGTTAGGGAGAAGAGGCCAGCATGCCAAACGCACAGAATGACGAGAGTCATCAAGACGATAGCCCCATTTGGGCCGAAAATGTCGATCAATATCTGGATCACGGGTTGCCCGACGTCACTGTCTACCGTCTTATCGAAGTCTTGGATCGAGAAAAGGAGGGATATCATCAGGAAGAAGCCAAAGAGAGAAGAGCAGCCGACGGACATCAGAACACCGATTGGGGCATTCCAAGATGCATTGCTAGTCTCTTCTGACAGGTGCGCTGAAGCATCAAAGCCTATCCATGGCATTAGCGCTGGCATCGTGTATCACAAATGCCTTAAGAAATAAGAAGAAATTTTATTCATGACCCATCAACTTGAAATTGGAGCTATTACTGGCCTTGCAAGAATTCCTGCTTTACGTACCTGTGATGGTATATTGACTGATCAAAATTCCTACAACGCACACATACGCAGGTGACGCTCTCACACTCCAGCCAGGATCTCCTGTGCCATCGTTGAATTTTGCAAAGACGAATTGCGCGGATTGATGAGTTGGTGCCTTCGCCAAAACTGCAATAGCAAAGCTAGAGACGCCTAGAGAGTGAAGTACGACCGATGTGGTGTTCAGGTGTCTCAAGAGCTTCACACCAAAGGTGTTCAACGTTGCATGACTCCACAACAAAGCGGCGTAAATGCCAATGGTCTTGCCTGCAGTCGGCGAATAGGAGCCTTTTATCGTGGCGGTCGTTGAGATCAGCTGGGCGCACCCAAATGTAATTCCAGTGGTGACGGCGACTTGACCGAGCAAGTTGAACCATCCAGTGATCCAAGAAGCAAAAGCAGACGATCTGGGAGGAGCTAGGATAGCTGCCCAGAAATAAGGACCGCCTGCCGTTGGTATTGCAGATACAATCTCAGCCATGCCCAAGGCGACGAAAAAGGTGAAGAAGCTGACGCATATCCAGCCCACCGACATGACAGCAGGGCCGCCAGTCGAAAGGCCGTATTGAAATAGCGTCGTGATGCCAGTAATGACACTCTATGTAAGTCAGATTCGTAGTCTACATATATCGCACAGGAAGATATCAAGCCGAAGAAGGTCACAGATATGACGGGTATTTCCGCTTGGTGAAGAAGAGACGACACCTCAGGCGCTCGGTCACTTACAATGATAGAGAATGAGACGCCAAAGTTGTGTAGGAGAGACCAATTGCGCTTCAATTCCTGTTTGTATCCTATCTCAGCAAGAAGATTTTCATCTTGTTCCTGCCTCGTAGGCAAATCGGAGGGGTAGCCGGACTCCATCCCCGCGTATTTTTGAAAGATATTTTTGTCGCAGCGTTGACGACGCGACTTGTATGAAGGTCCGACGGCGACATCTTGCTTAGATACGGTCTTGTGCTCCGTATCTTCATGGCAATCTGGACCGCCCCGTTGATTGGGCTCTGACCTTTAGGGTGGCCTTGATACCGGTGGTACCCCACGCGATTGGCCGAATTTTCCCCTCCCCCTCGTCTATCTTCACCGGTAGATCCCTAGTTCGGGATGGTTGTCAGTGGCCGAAGCTTTAATCGCCTTAATCTCTGGGCGGACTCCACGCGGACTTTGGCTGCACAGTGGGGGCCTTAGTGCAGACTGCAGAGGGCGGACCCAAGAGACGGCAGGCGTTGCATGAAAGCTTCGGTATCATCGGCGCCATTATTATCCACATGTTGCGAAAAAGTCGACTCGGGAAGCAACTGTCAATCGCTATAAACAAAGGACATCACGACGACTTGCCACTAATTTTGAAGCCTCCTCAAGAGTATTTTGTCCGCAGTTGAGGATGGAGATGTACAAAAGATCGCGGTCGTCAAATCCGCTACTCGGGCCCTAGCGCGCGTCATCCTGCGGGGCAACGATGACCTCAAAGTCAAGCTCCTTTTCAACGCCTTTGGACAATGGCTGAGAACGACAATCCTTTGCTCAAGGCATTACCGCCCGAGACCGACTATCTTTCATATCTCACAATACTCGAATACAACCTGACCAAAGAACAGCTTCCAACCCTTCATGGCGTTCTTCAAGACACCACCTTGACAGCAAATATTGGGTGGGACCTTGTTCACCTACTTTTACCGCTCCTCCCTGAATCAGAAGCATGTTTGAAAGATGTTGCTTCCTTGGGCAACCCAAGAGAGGTGATCTTGAAGGTCACGGAATTGCTAGAAGAGATCGCTCACGAGGAGCGCGAGGATAACAGCCCTGGGGCGCAAGAGGCGGACATCTTGAATGAGAAACTTGAAGAAGGATCCACGCATGGAACTACAGCTGAAAGCCAAGAACCTCCTGAGGAGCAGCAGGAGCCTTTATCAGACCGCCCTGAGACCGTCGATCGCATCAGCATTCTGCTTTCAATGCTCGCCATCCTCCACCCACGAATCAAAACAAAATATCCAAGCCGATTCTTGTCAACGTCTCTACAATCAATTCTGCTCGCATGTTCCTCATTGGACGGATATTCTGCCGTTATCGAGTTGGTATTGAGCTTCTTGAAGCAGCTATCAGGAACAAAAAGGCCGGCCTTGCCACCAAGAAAGTCCAGTGCATCCCTTGCGACTCTGCAGGCTGCGCAAAGTCATTCTTCTGCTCCTGACCCAGAAGCAAACACAGATGGAATTGCAGACGGAGAATTAGAGATTCAACAGCGTCTGATGCAGTCGTTCCTTACATTCATTGCAGAGGTCTTCCTATCCTCGGCGACCCTACTAGAGCCAAACATAGGTCTGAGCTGGGCAGAAAGATTTCACGAGAAGGTGCAGCCGCAGAGAATTGTTCCAGGTCGAGAGACTATGTCTGAACTTTATGAGAAAGACGAAGATCTTCATCAGAGGGACTCGATCATGGGTCAACTATTGGTTAGTCACATCATCCTAAAATCAATTGAATTGTACTGACTTGTTAGGCTTTGTCACGCGATCTGGGTCTCAAGTCCGAAGACTTACTTACGACGATTCTCAAGCCTCCAGAAAAGTCTCAAGAGGATGAGACCGAGTCGAGCGACCCCCCGTCTTCTCCCTCAGATGTCCCACTCTCGACCAAAGGCTCACTCTACCTTCTATGCGCCATGCTCGCGTCTGAAACCCTCTTTCAGACTAAAATTTGCTCTTTCGCAGCGTTGCCCGACTACACCGATTTGCTACAGACCCTCCTCCCCGACCCTTCAACCTCTGACTTGAGCATTCAGCCTCCAGCCTACCTCGATGCAGTCCTCTTCCTCGGCTTCCATCTTCTCCACAATAATCCTTCCACCCCACTCCCCGACGAAGGATCCTTCAAGCACGCCCTCCAGCGCGTGTCTCTTCTCTCTGTCCAAACGCCCAATCCAACACAGCGATACCAAGCTCAGCAACTTTCCTCAAGCCTCGTCCACACTCGTGCCTCTGATGACACAAAATTATCCTGCATCAAGGATATTCTCGAACACTGCCCCTACGACAATCTCCGCGCAAGTGCTGTCAACTGGCTACAATGGGAAATACTGACCACAAATCCCTCCCCAGCACCAGCAGCTCCGCCAGAAAAACCCAAAAGCATCTTCTCCGACCCTGCCGTTCTCGAAGAACTACAGCAATGGCTCTGGGGGGATGACGTAGCCATTCTAGGCCATCCTCCCCTGAACGACCTATCGGAGTTGCAGGGCAAATCCGCCTACTGCCTCGCAGTACTGAAGCTCATCCAAGTCCTCTACTCAAATAGAAACGTAGTGAAGAATCTCGACGTGGAAAGGTTCAGGGAGCAGATCAAGAGCGAGATGCTGGATGGATTAGACATGGAGATTGATGATTGGAAACACAAGTTTGAGAGTGGAAGAATGGATGAGTATGGGGGTCCGGAGGTGGGAGAGATGGTGATTCAGGAATTGGAAGTGCTGGGCTATCGGGTTGAGATATCTCGGAGGGTGGTAGAGACGTTCGAAAACAAGGGGTAGAACGTGGGAATGGCATAGAAATAGACTCAATTCATGAGAATAGACGAATGAAATGGCATGCATTCACAACCGCTTTCTCCCCAGCATAGCTGACTTTTGCCTGCTCTGACGTTTGTTCAAAGGTCTCCGAGATTATCCACCTCCAAAAGTGCGATCGCCCCTCCGCCAATCTCTTTCTCAAGGATGCCACTGCCTACTGGACGCCCTTGCCCTCGACAGGCAAAAAGCGATGTCGACACCGGCAGGATTTGAACCTGCGCTCACGAATGAAACAGATATCGGATCATGAACAAATTCGAGTCTGTCGCCTTAACCACTCGGCCACAGTGTCTACATTAAAAATTGAAATTATAATATAATATATTTTAATACATCGACGAGGGTAAAGAGACGGATCATGACCTCATCCGTAAACAATCACACTAACTCTCATCCCATCATTCCATTACGATTTAATTATCCTCCACAACCAATGATACTTTGCCCGCACATACTACCGCGCCTTACACCTCGACCTCACCAAATCCCTTCACCAACTACGTCCTCCATCAGCGCCCACCCAATCTCTTCTCCCGTCCATCCACAGCCTCGAATCCAGACACCAGCAACAATGCCACGACAATAACCTTCCTCCGCATCGCCCAAGATGTCAACAACCACGACCTCTTCCTCACCCCCCTCCTCTTTTCCTTCCCCGACAGCTCCTCCCACAGCCACAACAGTCACAGCCACACCCTCTCAAAACCACTCACCAACTCCCTCCAAGCTCCTAACAACCTACATCCCCCTCTCCGGCCTCATCCTCGCCCCCACCCTCTTACTCCTCCCTCCCCGAAAGCTGGACCTCTATACTCTTCCGCTCCTCACAATCTTCGGGATCAGCGCCGAGGAATTGGGGTATGGGCACTTCTCCGGTGGAACGGGCTACTTCAGTCAGAAACGACCGCTGTCGAGTACAGTTGGAGAAATCACTACCTCCAATCAGAGCAAAGGAATTGCAAAGGAGATACCAGCGTCACTGGCCCAGGCACAAAAACACGAGGGGATAAGGACGGGCACAGCAGGCGAGGTGGGAAGCGTGAAAGCCGTCGGTGCCGTCACGGCCGCGATACAAGACACCTCCACCTTCCCCACCTCCACCTCTACCACACAACAAGGCAACGAACCAAGAGGCGGGGGCAAACAAGACGGCCCCGGCCCCCTCGGCGGTAGCGGCACCTGGCTCAGGAACTTAGTCGGCGCAGGCAAGAAAGAGCTCCTCGGCGGCGCGGGCGAGCCCGGCGTGAGGGATCTGGGACTCGGCCAGCGCCAACCCGACACCCCGACCACCCACCTCAACGATGCCGGCGAAAGGAACGGCATCATCATGGGATCGGCGAGGGAGATCGAGCTCGGTATCCGCGCTCAAACACTGGGGTGGAAAGACAGCTGGAAACACGGCGTGCTTGGCTGGGAAAGGTTAGGGGCCGATGGGCAGGTTTTGCTAGCATTCGAGTCTCCCCTTCCTTCAGGCAACAGCAAGAAGAAGGGGGAGGGCGCAGGAGTTCAAGGCATAGAAAGCAAGGCTGTAGAAGACGCAGAGGCAAAACATGGAGGAAAAGGACTAGGCAGAGGAGGGGGGTCGCGGGCATGGCAAAACGGCTCTGGTACGGTGACGAGGGCGAAGGGTGGAAGGAGAGACGGATACAGGAGGAGCGGAGACGGGTCGAGGAAGAGGGGCAGGGGGTGTGGGATCTGGTGGGGAACCATATCGGCGAGGCTTTTGGGAAGAGAGAGGATGATGAGGACGAAGGCTGAGGGGGTTCGAGGTGAGGACTTGGAAAAGGGAGAGAGGGCAGGTGATGTCGGAGGGGGTGGGTGTATATAGATGGGGAGGATGGAGGTGGTGATCATTTCTTGGACGATTACGTTTTGAGAGCGCGGCGTCAGGTCCACCGATCATCAATTCAGGGAGCATAGCAGTCCTTCACACCAAAGCAATGAGCATGAGAAGAAAAAAATGAAATAAGACCCCTCTATTGAAATGCTACAAAAAGAAGCTACTGATAAAGTGATGCCGTTGCAAACATATATGCACGAGTCCAAATGTCACTTTTCAGTGCTGCCATGCTAGACACTCGCCTCCGCATGACCAAGAGAGCTCCTAGCCACGATCATGCTCCATTTCTCTCGCTCGTGAATGATGCTCCAACCAATACCGTTCTCCCTCCCTCCCTCCCTCATCCGTCAAATCCACCCCTCCAATCTTCAATTCCCTACACCCATCATCGCGAGGTCCATTCAAGCCCCCATTACCACTGGTCCCCATACGCCGGGTGCTCCCACTCATCCCTCTGCCCCATCACATCAGCCGTCGGCTCATCAACCTGCACAAAATACGGTCGATTCTCCTCATCCCTAAGGATCCCCAAGAAGCCCCCCGTAAGTATATGCACAATATGTCCATATTTCTCGCTCTTTTTGATGCCACAGGAGTCTGACTTCTCCATGTGTGTGATCAGGCGCACAAGCGGTGGGTTTTTCTTGAATGCGGGCGAGATACCGTCATGGTAAAAGTCGCGGAGGGACATAACGACGCCGTCGATGATAGGCTGGTTTTTGTCGATGTCGAAGCGCTTGGAGCACGCGACGCAGGCGTAATCGGTGCCCCAGTGGTAACCGGAGACGAGATGATTGAGGAGGCCGATGCGGCGTTTGTAGGTGGCTTTGCTGTGGGTGTGATGGTCAATTAGTGGGTTGTGGAAGGATAGTATTGGCTAGAGGTAGGGGAGGCCATAGGGGGTATGATGAAGGGAGGGAGAAAGATACTTACGTGCAACCAGGAAAGGGACAGTGGTACTGTCCGATAAAGTTGTCCTTGAACTCCTCCAAGCGGTATCCATGCCAATCATCAATCATGTGCGAGCCAGTGGTGAAAGTTCTGGGATCATATCCACCAGGTCTAGGGTCTGCACGACGTCGGGGAAGCGTCCGCCCCTCTGCCGTCAAAGGAGGCTTAGAATCTTTGTCCAAGCGCTTTGCCCAGGATTGTTGGAACTCTTTATCCTCGTCACCATCCATTGTCAGCAGATCGAAGTCCTGGGAGGCGGCAACACTGTCACCATCCTCTTCGAGATCTAACAAGTCTTCTGGGCCGACAGTCCTATCCGATCGAATTGTTCCACTGTAACTAGAACTACCATCGTCTTCGTTGTCAAAATCACGGTCGAGGAGGGATTCATCCATCGATCCATTCACAGACCCAAGACGTACACCCCCAGCGACAGACTCGTCACCGTCTTCAGACGCATTGTAGCTCCAGGTCCCCTTCTTCGACTGATATTCATGCATAGCTGTTGCATAATTAAGGGCAGCCTCTCTACGATTCTTCCGCATCTCCGCCTCCGTAGCCAGTCCTCGCGGGTCTTTACACTCGTTACACATGATGTGCTTGACGTAAGCAGCGCCGGTGAAGAACATCATACCGCATCCAATGCAATGGGGTTCTGACGCAGTGCCATGATACTGTCAAAACTGTGAGTCAAGGGTGACACTAATCCTCCTAATCCGGAGAATCGACTTTACCTTATACTCATGTCCTTCCTTTGCCTTTTGACAATGATAGTCTTTTCCACAAAAAGTACAGCAGATATGTCTGACGCTGTCGATTTTGTGGGCCGTAAGAGCCACTTCGTCCTCACAGTCGATATCGCAGACTTGACAATATCCATCATGTTCATAATACTTGTGCTTATCAAGAGTACCCTTGTCAGCAAAGCCATCGGCGCAGTCGGCATACGAGCAGGGATATCTTGCGTCATGTTTGGCTGATTTGCGAGCGGTGCCAGAGTTCATCGGTATGCTGCTTGAAGTCGCAGGCTTGCGAGCTTGGATATTCTCTTGCGTTTTCTTCTGTGCTGCTGCTACAACTGCGAATCTGTCAGGGACATTGGCTGCGGGTTTTCCCTTTGTCTGTGGGGTGATTTTCTGTGATGGGTCTTTCCGCAATGCATTTGTGTCCGATGCTTTTTTTTCAGGAGTAGCAGACAGCCCCCTGAGGTGGGGTGGTACCTTTGGGCTCAAATTGACCTGGCCACCAAGCAATTGCGACGAATTGCTGGAAATAGCCTCTAGCCTCTTGATGCCAAAGTGTTGAGTTTCGAAGTAGGCATTTTCCAGAGCGTGCTGGCTTGGGCTCTGCGACTCATTGCGCTCGAGATTGGTGGTGCTTTCACTGGCCATAACGGACGAGACCCCGGTGGCATACCCCGTAGATGTTTCTTTGACAGCACGCTGTCGTTTGATGGGGCCACGCTTGTGAGGTGGAAGGTTGATAGTACGTTCAATATTACCCATGGCTGCAGTGTTAGCAGCGTTGTCCATGGCGCCACGGTCCGGATTGAACTGTTGCCAACCAGCCACAAGGGCCGCGTCGGAAGTGGACGTCATGGTCATTTTGTCCGCTGGAGTCGTGATGAAGTGTTAGTGATGAAGATTGTTACGTGGTATCATACAAGAACCATGGCTGTGTTTAAAGAGATGTTACCACGTCGAGATAGAAAGTGACGCGAGGTTCGACACTTGCTCGATTCACTTCGACAGGTCTTGGCAATGCTATTGATGTTTGCGGCAAAGTGCCGTTAGGCAGCGATAGCCACTGTCTTCACATGCAAAGATTTGGAAGGTGCAATGTGGCATGGACAATTGAGGGTTGAAAGAGATCGAAGTGAAAAACGGGACTTAGGGCTAGTAGCAAACAAGACATTAACACCTCGGAATGACAGTACAGAGGCGAGAGAAGCAAGTATCACACAGGAGCTTAAGTGTGTGAGACACCACTTCTTGGGCAACGCGACTGTCGATTTGCCACCGTGATAAGGTATACCTGCAGCATGTCAGCATTGGATTAACGATCTTGCCCTTTGAGCAGGGTTCGGGTTGCACCTTACTTGCTAATCGGACGGGTCGTATCTAGAATTGAATATGCAGACCGTTTCCTGGCAAGCTATCAAATTTCTTCTTCACTAATCGTGAAATAGCTCTCACCACGTCGAAAAGCGTGGATACCCATATAAATCGTCCGCAGTCATTTGTTCCCCAGAAGTCCTGATCAGCTCATTCGCTACTCGTCTTACGCCGCTTGCTCTCCTTTTCCCCTTCCTCAGCCCCTTCTACACTAGCCCCAACTTTGCCTTCTGCAAGGCTTTCCTGAAGATCTCCAACGATAGGCGATTCTCTGGCAGGAGCGGGTTTGTCGATAGTAGGCAGCTGTGTGTTTTCTGGCTCCTTAGTATTCTCAGCACTCGCTACTGGCTTCACATGCGCAGTAGCAGACGGAGGTTCAACATTCTCGGCCTCACTCTTCCGCTTCTTGCCTTTGCCTTTAGAATCAGAGGACTTAAGCTTTTTCTTCTTTGGCTTCTCGGGTTTTGTATCGTCACCAGCTTCTTCCGCTGGTAGCTCTTCTCCGATGGGCGCAACAACGTCTGTATCGCCAGATTTTCGCTTGCGCTTCTTTTCCTTAGTCTTTTCAGCGGCTGATTTTCGCTTCTTCTTTTCAGGTTTCTCATCCAACTTTACTTCATCGCCATCTGTCTTTTCAATATCGGCCAATGTAGCACTACTCTTGGCTGGTTCTGCATCGCCAGACTCACGCTTCCGCTTCTTGTTTTTTTCTCTCGTCTTTTTCTCGGCTTTCTCCTTGAGCTTTGTATCTACCTCCGCCGAGATGTCGTGTTCAGCCGCGTCTGCGAGTGTGTCTTCAGCAGTCTTGGTCTTGGCTTTCTTGTGTTTCTTGGTCTGAACGGAATCCGAAGGAGTGGAGCTGCGCTTTGGTGGTTTCATTCCAGGTATATCTACCTTCATAGGATTGCTGTCAATGATGAATAGCGGCATCCCATCCTCTCCTTTTTCTACGTCGTTGGCGTTATAGCTGGCGTCAGCTGATCCCTTGGTTCCGTTCGCAATGGGTATACTATTTGCAGTCGAAATGCCATTGATAGGCTTGGTAGCGGCATTGTTGGAACCTGAACCTGGTTTCGAAGCACTCCCAGCTTTTGCCTTCTCCTGGTCGCTAGCTGCGCGAATCTGAGCCAGAGTTCTTTTCTTGATTCCTCTGGATTGACCGACTTTATACACATCGTCAGAAACTGGAACATCGATCCCTTGCTTCTTCATTTCGGCTTGGGTTTGTCCATATTCTGCTGCGGCGTCACCCCAATTGTGGTCTGCTGGAGAGTAGCCGGGATACATTGACGCGGACGAACAATTCAAAGGGACTTGTTGACGCTGGCCCCTGGGTATGATCTGGCGCACATTAGCAATGATGTGACGTTGATACGGGGGGCAGTTCGCATACAAAATCCTTAGCAGTCCTCTTTGATTCAAATACCATTTGCTCTGTGTTTTCAATGATCTTGCAAATGAGATCCCAATTTCTAGTGTTTTCCTCTATATGCTTCTGTACCATTTGCATCATTCTTAAGTGGCCTTCGCAATTGGAGATATGATGTCGGAAGACCTGTATTCGACCTGTCAGCTTTGGCACATAACCTGGGATAAAAGATCCACCTCTGGCCATGGTATGTGTCGAGCAGGTGTTGGGCCTCTACCAGTCCATCTCTTCGGTGGGCCGTGATAATAACCGCCCTGCGTCTCCGGTCCAGGATCGCGTGTGTGCGTGCGTTCGTGAGGCACGCGGATTTTGTTGATGTAGCCCTCTGCGGTGTTTCTGATTTTCTTTTTCGCCATGTTGAGGTTTAGGCCTGCTTGGAGGGGGAAAGTGCTCTGAGGTTGAAATTAGTCTTTGTTTTTCGACGAGATCCCGCTAATGTTCCATTCGGACTAGTGAAATCGCTTAACACTAGCTTATCCGAAGTATCGCCAGCTCGAGGGCCCTGAAGGCCCCCATCTTGTCCCCTGAAGCACACGCATTGAGTAACACAAATGGCAGATTGCGACCAGACATCACACGCTGTTGCGAAACACAAACAAAATTCGAGACCACACTGTCCACTATGTGTTCCCAACCATACCTTGAATTTTTCTTCGCCGCCATCCAGCATTCTGTGCATTTACTTTGATTCAGCTTTACGTGGCACTGACATCTTCCTGAGCATTTGCTAGATAAGGCGCCAGTCTATTTCCGAGACTCTAATCGCAGACATATTGAAAGCCAGCGTCTTCTAACGGGGTATGATACAACCAATGACAACATAAATACAAATGCATACCTCCATGGGTATCTAGCTCTTCATTACCACCGAACCCGGCGTGCCACACGCTTTTTTCGCCGATTATCAGTGCATCGTAGCCCATTCACCATGCTCCAATTCCCCCAGCCCTTTGTCTCAATCACGGTATAGCTCCGTTGCAAAGCACAATCCTCCTACTCTGCTTTCACTATTTCTCCCCGAGTAACCCTCTCACCCTCTCCACTCGACCAACCCGCTTCCTCAGCTCCTCCAATCGCTCTGCCTTCTCCCTGTCACGCCTCTCCAACACCTCGACTCGATCCTCCAGCTTCTTTCTGGCCTTTCGCTCTTGTGCTACCATCTCGTTCGCTTCCGTAAACAGCTGGCTACTCAGCTCCTCCAGCTCGGACTGATTATGGTTGAGTTGTTGCTCTAGAGACGCTCGTATTTGCGACTCGTTATGCAGAAGCACGCGTAGGTTTTCTGGAGAGTCGGTCGGAGCGATGTTGGGTGTTGGTGGTATAGGAGGTGGATTGCGTGCAGAGGCTGGGAAAGTATTTTGTGTCGCTGGCGCGGAGGGAGGGCGGAGCAGGTTTTGAAGGCGGGAGGGGAGGCGGGATTTGTTGTTGTTGGATGTAGAGTCAGCGGAGGTGCCGTTCGTGGTGTGGAGAGGCTTCGAGGATGGTTCTGCGGAGGTGGAGCGTGAAAGAGGATGTGCTGGTGCAAGGTGGGGGGAGGAGCGTTCTTTTGCCCCACCAGCAGATGCGGTGGATTTGAGCTGGTGAAGTTGGTCTTCGTAGTCTGCTAGTTTATCGACTGTGAAGCCGTTAGCTACTCTCCAAACGAATATTGTGGGGTGCTGCTGTCACGAAAACGTCACAACGGATAGGTGGCTGGGGTTATCGGGTACCTGCTGCGGTGGCTTTCCCGGTCAAGATGCGGACTTGTGCCTCGAGCTCTGATATTCTCCTCTGGGCATCTTCAGCTGCTGCGCTGGCGGCGGCGTACGACACATCGGCGCCGCATTGTTGGCACGTAGATTGGAAGGGAATTGAGGGAGCCGTAGTGATGGGTCTGGACGCTGGTGGTGGTTGAAGGATGGTTACTGTGGACATGTCATCCTATAGATGAGGTCGCGGAAGCTGTAGGAGACTCTGGCTTCTCTCTGCTTGGTATGCAACAAGTAGGATCTCACTTGAGGAGGCAAGAAAGGGGAGAGGCGGCATGATGGTTGGTCTGACAGAGATGGAATTACGTCTTGGCATAACGGCTTGTTCTCAACTACGGCAGACTACATCAGCAACCGAGCATTAAATGCATTCTCTCGATCTCACTTTCTAAATTGGAAGTCTCGCAGCTCGAGTCTGCCAATCGTGGGAACATTCCTACCAAATATGAGTCACTTGCTGTACAGATTGGTCAACACTTTGCGCAGACTCAAAGACCGCTCAGCTCTAGAGCCACAAATAAAGATTAGGTAATCAGCACATAACCACGCAAGAGCTCTAAGGGGCAATGATGTTTGAGAGGGCATACTTTGAGGTCGAGCTCTCCAAGACTGCCCTTCCGAGGGAGGCAGTAGACCTTGGAATAGCTGTTTCCAGACCAACCAAGGTCCCTCTTTCCTGTGGCAGCAACTATCCATCAGGCGTTAGACTCCGTTATTTTCTCTCTTCACTCTACAAGTCATCTCTCAAGATCCTTAAAGGTAATATAAGTCATCAATTGAAGCAGTACTAGCTATAAAAATGTTCCCAATACCTCAGGTTGTATATCCAACGCCGACCCCATCGCCTCCCATTACATCGCGCACGCCACCCTTATCAGTATGGTCAACGTCAACCTCAGATCCGTCCGACCAACCGTCAACTTCATCGTCAGATTCTCTTTCTTCGGCGATCGTCTTCATTCTTGTACCTGGAGAATTTCAACCGCCGCACGTCTATGGGGAAGTTCAAACTCAGCTTGGGTGTTGTGGATATGAAGTCGAAACCTTGCCCCTGCCTTCCCAGGAAGTCGTTGAGGATAGAGATGCCCGTAGCAAGGATTTGATTCGCTCTTTCATTGAAGATGTGGAGTGTATTCGTCACCGCCTGGATTATCACATCGTCGAGCAGGAGAAAAAGGTCATTCTTGTCATGCATGGATACGCTGGCCTTCCTGGCACCCAGGCACCCCGTTATTACAGCAGAGCCGCACGTAAAAGGGACGAATGGAGAGGTGGTGTGATAGGAATGGTCTACATTCAGGCATGGACGCCTCAGAAGCTCGCTGGCTTGAGAGATGACATTGAATCGCACCCCGATGTCACAGCTCTGGTAAGTTTTCACCAAGTGTTATTTATTTCTGGCGCCGTGCGTCATATTGAAGACTTAACTGACCATCTTTACGTCCATTGCCAGAGAGAAGCTACCGGAATCGGTCCTGAAGTGCAGAATGATGAGCCTTATAACGTCACGGCAGAAGGATACATTGACCAGCGATCTCCATTCATTCATGGCCGCGCGGTACAGAAATTAATGGACCAGATAAACTTTGTCGCTTGGCGCAAGATACCTTCTACGTATCTCATGGGAGAAAAGATCCTCGGTGACTATATGATGAAGTATGAGCACGGATACGAACATGACCTGACCGAGACGCCAAGTTTTGAGCAGACCGTTTGGCGTGCTATCACAACTTTCCAAACTATCGAGGTGAACCACGAATCAATCTTTTCCGGCCATTGCCCAATGCTCCATCGATCGGACTGGATTCTTGGCGCGCTGAAACGGTCCGCTGGAGAGCACGTCCCTTTCGAGGCTGGAATTCAAGCGTGGTGCTCCATCAAAGCAAAGCATAGGGGTGCGGGGAGACCAAATACAATGGATGATGACCAAGAGATGACAGATGTCTAAAGACTGACACGGTATGACTGACGCAGAACTAAGCATCTAGAAAGATGTCTAACACTATCGACAAATTAATATCTATTTACATCCACTAACGGTCTCTATGTCCTTACGCTCTACCGCGCCTACTCTCCACGCCTTCCATCAGAACTACAACAATTGCCAACCCGATTTTACTCTACCCCTGGCAGCAAAATGCCTGTCTCATTCCTGCCTGGTGCTACTCTTCCCCTGTGAAACATGCGTCGTAGCTAACTCTACCAACCACTTCTCAATTCCCCGCGCGCATCCCTGGATCTAAATAACAGCCACGATCACCACCTCACTACCGACTTCCATCCACATTTACCAACTCATTACCGATTTCCGACTGCATTAACCACCCCACCATCAACTCCCAAACCACGCAAGTCCCTCAACCTCTACGCTTCTGCCTGCACCCCGCATCTGTGTAGATCTCTCCACCTTCTCTGACTTACCCTGCTCTTTCCATAACCTCTCCTCTCTTGCCCTTTTACTCTCATACATCCAATTCCCCACACGTCTACTTCTACTTTCTCCCCTTGATCTGATGAATAGGGCGTTGGGGAAGGCGGGTGTGAGGACGGAAGAGAACGGGGAGGGTCGTGTAGAGCGCTTCTCGAATGTGCAAGAGGCGCGCTTAAGGGAAGACAGAGAGTAGTGGGGCAGGGAAGGGAAGATTTGGGACATGTTTGTGGCATTGAATTCATTGGGTCTATCTTGCTAGGCTGATTCTTGTGCTAGTAGGGGAGATGGTGGGTATGGCATATGTGTTGGGTCTGATTCATGCCTTTTCCTTCTCTTCCTCTTCTTTGGAAGGGCCTGGTCCAGGTTTGTCTGTACTGGTGTTGTCGGCGGTAGCTGGGGTTTGACTATCTGCCTCAGGTGCTTCTGTGTCGGTGCCGTCTGTAGTGGGTGGGACTTGTCTATTCTCTCCAGCTTCTTTTGTGGCTCTGTTTGTGTCGGGTTTATCTGTAGCAGGCCCGCTTCGGACCTGACTATATTGATCAGGGCCTGTTACATTGCTCAGTGTCGTAGCAGGAGAAGCAAAAAGACCCCATTGAGCCTGACCAGGGGCTGCGGTCTGATTGACACCAGAATTCTGGAAAATTGGTGATCTCTCTGCACTTCGTGTACCTCCAGTAAATCGATAAGCCAGTCCTCCCGTTGCACTTTGGGGTGGTGGCAAGGGGGAAAAGAGGTTTCCTGCAGTTCCCGTGGACGTGAAAGCGCCAGTGGCCGCCGACGTATTGTGTATGATGTCGGGCTCGCCGGTTTGAAGCATATGTAAATGACCCCAGCCTCTCTCGTACAAACTCAGTTCAAAGTACCTGTTACAGCGCTGGCACTCAAAATGTCGAAAAATATTCACTTCCTTGAAGCTCGTCTTCATGAGATTGTCTCTTGAGATTTCCCTATAACAAGCCGCGGAGAAAGCGTTATTGGGAAAACCTTGAATGTCGAGATTATCAGGTACGAAGAAGCGATGTGATTTCTCGGGTCCATAGTTGACGAATCTCTTGACCGAGATAGCATAGTGTTCGGAAGAGAAGTTGAAAGGAGCGAGGGGAAGAAAAAGCGAAGATATTCTGACGTCAAAGGCGGTCTTGATGAAGTGTTCGAATCTCTGGTCCTGGTCGGAGCGTGTGTGCCCGGTGTGAGGTCTTGCTCTAACGCAGCAGAAGATGGGTACGGCCATGTTGGGTGCTGCTCGAATGCATTAGCATGGTTCAAGAAGTGGTGTTCCAGCACGAGAATAGATGCATACCTCACTTACGCTGCAGCAAAAGGGGAAGATTGGATGAAGAACTGAAGATCTACAGGTCGGGAGAGGAAACGAAGTCTGATGGAAATGCCAGCTAGAGAACTTACTGAAACCTACATGACCTGCCTACGAGCCACCGAATGTGACACAGCAACTGGCCGAAGCATCTGGCGAAATCCTCATAGGCGGTCAGGACATCCTGTCAACACGTGAGTATGCAAATCTCTAATTGGGCAAATCAAATTTACACCGCCATAATTCTCGGATGTCGTGTGTCTTACCGCCAACTCCTCACTGCTGCTATCCGTGAACTCGTCATCTCGTATGACGAACTTCAAGCTACACAGGGTAGATCATACTCAGAATATGCCGTCTAGCCACTTCACAAATCCAGGAAGTGCCTCTGCCAACACAACTTCGGAATTTGCCTGGCGATGTTGCGGCTACCAACATCCTCGCACCCTCGAGGTACGATTCTGCAGCTTTCCGAGAGAGCAAATATTCTCACCACAGCAGACGCTCAGACGGAAAATGGCTCCTGCTTTGGCCTTGATACGTCACAATTGCTTTTCAGAGAAGGATTTCGCGGCTTTCCGCAGACTCTCCAGGCTGTATTCCGTCTACGCATATGCCGTTGCTTGCGAGTTCCCCAACCTTGACCGGAGTAGAGGCAGTCTGATATGGAGTCTCGCAAGAACACAAACTCTGACAGCAAGGGCCTGCGAGAACGTTGCCGCTACATCAATGGGATGTATATCGTCCTTCCCTGTCTTCTCTTTGTTCACAAGAATCTTGAGTGGAGAGATTGTGTGCCCTGATCAACGGCAGGAATATCAGAGTTCCATATTACTCATTGTCGGAAACTTCTGTCTCCTAGATCTTTCCTTCATTCGAACAAACCTTCTTCATTTTCTGCGTCCAGATCCACGAACCAGCTTGCAAAGATGTCTTCCCTCTTCTGCTGCGACTCTCCTCAGCCATACCCTCGTGCATCTCGCACCGACCACGACTCCAAATTCAGCCCGTTCATGACAGCAGCTCTCGGAAACGCCCTCCTAACACCTGCCCCCAGAAGTCTGGCCCTGACTAGCCCCTCCAACGATTCGAACACTGATACCACCCCCGCAAATCTCGACGCTACAAACCCTAACCTCAACACCGACCCGGAAGGCAGAGTAACCCAATACCCCTACATCATCCAATTCGTCAAACAGATCAACCACGGTCCCATCGAAGCAAAACGATATTTCGCTCCGTCCCCCAACTCCTCAGACAGCAATATTACCACGGCAGCACCGCCTTACGTCGAGCTCGCGGAAGCAGATCTTATCAGTGCCAGCTTCGCCAAGGTGAATACGTACAAGAATTACCGCTGCTTGAAACACAATCGCTTTTTTGAGTTGAATCTCTATGAGAAGGATCCGAGCAATAAGCATCATTGGCGTGCTGATGTTGCGAGGCCTGCGGGGGATATCGATTTGTGAGTGATGGGTTGGTTGGGAATGGGAATTGAGAATATGCTTGAGGTGTTTAGGCTGGCTGACAGGATTGGTCAATGAGAGTAGAAGGGCAACGTCGGAGGCGAAGAATGTGTGGTGTCAGTTTCTGGGGTTATGTTGTTCATTCATGACATCTCTGGAAAAAAAGGGAGTTGTGTTACACGTTCGTAGACTCGTAGGTTTTTGTTTCAGATAGCCGACTCTTTATTCCAAAGTCTTCTTACATTGCGTCCAATTTCCATCTGCTTCACTTTCGACCAGCGAATTGCACCGCGTGTGTATCGTACTACCATCTAGAAACATTACTTCTGTTTTCGCACCAGTGTGGGCACTCGTGGGGTGATGGACAGGCCTAGACGACGGCTTCGTACATAGCCTCCACTCCACCACCAGAGATACGGGATAGAAAGCAGAGGTGGGTGATAAAAATCTTGCCCAGACGAGGGTGGGATAGTAGATACATTATCCATTTGCTTCTCACGCCATTTTCGGCCTAGAATCCCACCTCGAATGCATTTTGTAAGTTGGCTCTCTCGTATGGTGGGAACAGAAGAGGGTAATGATAGCAGCATTGAGAGACTAGTTGTAGCATAGACGGCGTACTAGATGCATCGTAGTGTAGGTCTGGTTTGTCACATGCTGGTATGATGCCGTTCCTTCCCCCAGAAATTTGATTTCGCTAGGGGAGTGAGTCTGTCTGCTACTGTACCTGATTTCTTTCTCTTTTGCTTCCAAGGTCCACTCTGCCTGGTCCTCGAAGCTGGGTGTGTCGATGCGAAAGGTTGAAACGGATAGCAAATGATACATGGACCGCCTCTGTGCCACTGAAACATTTGTTAACATCCTAGTCATTTGCTCATTCATCTTTGGGGGGGCTTATGAAGGAAGAGGGCCGGGTGAGAAGGGTAGGTACGCAATGTGTACGACCCTACAAGGGGCACATTCCAGGGAAGGCAAAGATCACCGAGGCAGAAATGCAAACTTGATAGTAAATATCTCTCCTTTTGAATCGTCTTTCCCTAAATTCACTGATCATAGTCACCCCTTTCGCTCGACTTCAGGAGGCTGCTGAAGGACAGGGGTTGATTAGGAAGGGTAGGAATGCATTGTGTATAAACCGTAAGGGGCACATTTAAAAGAAGGCAAAGGTTAGAGAGACAGAAATTAGAGAATTAGGGGCTTACATCTGTCTTTAGGAACTATTTAATGAAAGTTGCTATCCTAAACCTGTTAGGCTCAAGGAATACCATACCTGCTCCACGTAATGGAACACATTCGAGCAATTTGTAGATACATGACGTCAGGTGTGATAGCACCTCCTGTACGCCGCGGGCTCGGAGGCCCTTGCACCTTGTGTCCGGCTTGTCAGTGCCAGTGGCAGTCTTCAACATAGCCAGGTACATCTCGCAAGAGCCTTTAGTCGGGTTTCAGGAATAGTTGCTGTGCCTCTAGGGTCCGTGGTGTTTGTCGAGACCCCTGTGCAGGCCTGGGGAGGAGCATTGGGGGCCAAAACGTCACATTGGACCTCCCCCACATTTTTGCGGCGTCAAATTCAACTGCTCATCATTGCTCCAAGTGCCAATACAGCGAGCAAATCTGCCAATTGAGCAAAGAATTGCGTGCGAGAAGCTGCCGAATATGGCCTCCATACCATCCTCATGCTTCTCATTGCTTTGCATTTCGTGACTAGCTCCAATTGAACAATTGAACCATGAGCAACCGCAGCAACAGCACCGGCTCTTCGTCCAAGTAAGGGCCTACATCCTCACCGTGTGCGTCAATTGACCGACCTACTGACTTTCCATCTCCCCAATAGATCGATCTCCGGTCTCCCCTCTTCGCTTCCTCGGAGGACAGCTGCAATCCCAAATTTTGAGGGAGACAAAGCATTGTTTACTAACAGGTCGCAAACGGCTGTCGAACTCCCAATCTCAAAGGAAACCCGAGTCCTCAATCTGAAAACCGGTACATCGATCCTGTTCTCAAAGGATCCGTCCGATAGGGAGGTTAAATGGCTTGGAATAGAAGATGACGTGATATGGTTAAAGGACACCGCCTCCGGCGCAACGGAGGTTTGGGTTGGAGACGCGGCTGAAAGAGAAAAGAGGTATATCACACATCTTTGTTGATGTTGCGAGACACATCGGTTGAAACATATCCAGAAGCTACTGTGCCGGCAAGATCGCCTCATACGCCTTCCATCTCAAACTCAAAAGACTCTTCAACGAGCATGACGACATTGCTATAGCGGTAGCATGTCCAACCACTTCAACCGGCGGCATGTATACTCTGAAGCAAGGAGAAGACGTGGTAGCAGAAGATGAAGTCACAAATGCGATCTGGTATACGACGCTCCGCAAGAAACCCGTCACTGAAGATGGAACTGAGGCACGGTATATCATCTCGCCGACCAAATGGGCAAATGCTCTACGAGGTACAGGTCTCGAATCGCCAATGCCGTCTCCTCTCGGCTCGATGCATGATTTTGACATCTCCTCAAGCGGCATCGTCTTCTTGTCAAAAGACACAACAGGGGGATCTCCCAACTTTCCTAGCATAAACGTGTATTACATTCCCTTGAAGACGTTCACAGAAGTCTCACGCCCGAGGCCGCAGATCATCCGCGTCAAAGACTACGAAGGGCGCTCTTCTCATCCAGTCTTCTCACCAAATGGTGGTAGCGTTGCCTTCTTGAAGAAGCAGCATCCCATCGATCAGAACGACAGAAACCGTATCATTGTGATCAACCGGATAAGAGACTTTAGAGCATATGTGACTGTAGACGATATGCCGACCCAACAGAGTGAGAAAAGCTGGCATCTTTCTCCGTTCACATTCTCGTGGTCCGACAATGGAACGGAGCTCTATGTCGTAGCCGTCGACCACGGAATCAGAAGGCTCTTCAAGATTCCGGCCGCCCTTTCAAGCATCAAGAAAGAGCCCGAGCCGATAACCAGTGAGAGCAACACTCCTGCTGACGTGAGGCACTTGCGCATGGTTTTCTCTGCGCCAATGGAGGCAAGACCTTGATAATCTCTCGCCAATGGCCCCCAAAAAACTCGAAGGACACATGATCTGGCACCGAAAGTTACTCGTAGCTTTTGATGTGGTACGGTAAACCAATGACCCTGTCAGATGTACAACCGCTGCACTAAGGCGGTTGCACAAGGACCTGGTCGGAGGGCACCAAGTGGAGGGTCATTCTTCTGAAAGGCTGACCATGCTCGACTCTTTGGCTCTATGATGTCCGACAGGGTAATGACTATTATCCTTCAACCCCTTCAGCTGCATTGGTCTTTGTTCTCACCGAAATTCTCGCGTCTTGCTCGAGAAAATGCCTGAACCGTCAAGCGATTAAATGGAAGCTACCTCTTTCTGAGAACATGAACTGCCCAAAAGGTAAAGAGACCGGCTAGTACAATTGTCGACACCCTCTCCATTCCGTCGCTCTGTCATCAGGTCCTGAGACGATATGAGATTTGAACAGATCATTCGCAGCTCCAGATCACACTGTGATTAGTGTCATCACCTCTTCCTGCTTGCCGCTGAGAGCGAGAGAGCTAGCTCGAACCACGGATCTTCTGAGGGCGGCACGTCTGCCTTCTCTGTCATCTGGCACGAGGAGGTAGACTCTTGTCGATGGCAGACTTGAAAGCAGTCTGTAATCGTGCGCCGCAGAAGCAGGACAGGCTCTCTGCGAAGCTGGATTCTTTCAACGCGCCTGTTTGCAGCTATCGTCAAGGCATATCACCGTTTTCTTCAAAGTGTGAGAAGCACATCAGCACTTCCGTATCGGGAGCAGATTCTGTGTTGCGCGGCCATACGTGTTGACACAACACCAGGTGTTGAAGACGAAGCTAGTCTCGAATCCCGTATCAAATCATCTGTTTACGCCTCCTCTTTCCTTCAGTATTGTCACTTCGAGGTTTCCTTTCATTAAGTCTCTCTTCTTTCAAGACATTGCTTCCACCTCATTCCTCACCACCACAACAATCTACACCAACGCCCCCGACATAGACATGTCTCTACACCAATGCCCTCATCCCCTCTCAACTCAACACTCCGCCCAAGTCAGCAGCCCCCTCCTCAATCTTCCCACTCTAATCCATATCCAAATCTTTCACGAGGCCTTCGGAGCTGATCAAATCATCCCTCACGCAACCGCCAAATCACCTTCGGACGTATCTCCCTTACTCACGGCCCTGGCCCTCCTAGTAACCTGCAAATCCCTCAACTTCATCTGCCAATCAATCCTCTACTCGCACAGCTACTTTCACCTCCCTCAACACGCTACCATCTCGCTACAAAAATCGAACACTAGACACGCCCTTCCCGCTTCCTTCCGGATGAAGCGTCTAGGTCTTACCACACTCACGTCACCTGCTACAAACAAGATCAAAAAGATTTACTGGGAGCTAAGTCTCCACGACATCACACTCTCGTTCTTAGCCACCGCGACGAAAGAATTTGAAAGCAAATGGCAGCACAAGAAGGGAGACTGTGCGCCATACATCAGCCGCGCTCACTACCGGGACGTCCAGGGCCATTTCTACGCCGACATTGTAGCTGAGGGCCTGATGCAGATCTGGATCGCGAAATGGCAAAGCGTGATGCAGCTCCCTGCGTTGAAAGGAATGATTGTAAAGGGAGGGGCGTGGACACTTGTGTTGACAGAATGTCAGAAAGGGAACGGGGGAAATGAGCAGAGCAAGAAAATGAGGCACGTCCTTCCCTTCGAACAAGTAGGAAAAGGAACGACTTGGTGTCGCCTCTCCCACCCTCACGGCGCTGACAGCCAGGCTCTCTGGAGCTGTTGCATAAGCAAACTCGTCACCGCCTCCGTGAACGAGGTGCATGATCTGATCCGGGGCCAGGTTCTCCGCCGTGGCTTGTATGCAACGATTGCTGAATTGAAGGGGTTTTCTACACCCCCTTCCTCACCCCCACGCCGACTCCTACAACGCCATAGACAGGGACCAGTCGGAGGGCAGGAAAAGCCGAAGCAGTCGTGGCCAGCATGGCCCCGCCGCTCCAACCTCAGTGAAAGCAGTGACGTTCCTGGAAAAGCCCGCGATGCACCACAAGAATCGGAATGGCGCACCCTCGGCTACAAACTACCTGACCTGGCCACAGTCGCTGGTCTCGGCACTATGAAATTCTCTGACTGGGTTCACGTCCGGGAGACTGAGCACGCACGGCCGCTTGGGATGAAGGGAGAGGGGGTGGAGATGTTTCACGGAGGTGGGAATTGGGTTGGTGCGAAGCGCAAGAGGGTAGGCAGGGGAGATAGGAGGGTCGTGGTTGAGATGAAAGATGACGGGGGAGGAAGAGAGGGGGAGAGGAGAGGCTGGCAGGCACGAGTGAGGGTATGGGGTAAAGATGGAATGGAGGAGGACGATGGGATTAAGGAAGAGGAAGAACAGGAGGAGAATGACACGGACGACGACAGTGATATCACATCCCCTAGACGGGAGGAGTCTGAAGACAAGGAGGACGATGACGACGATGACGAACATAACATCGAGATCAAAACCGAACACCCACATCCCCACTCTTACCCACGCGCATCCTCCTCAACCCCCTCCCTCCCAGCGTCCTCGACCCCCAACCCCAACCCCAACCCCTCCCCCAACCACAGAACAACAGTCAAGATCGAAGCCCCTAGCTCCGCAAACCTCGCCCTCGAAGAAGAAATCGATACCGCGCCATCCTCCCCCCTCTCCGCCGCGCCCAGCACAGACATAGACGCGAGCTGGGGCCGCTGGGTAGATATCGAAGCGGGCCGCGGTAGCCCGTGGCGGGTGTGGACGGAAGAGGTGGGGAGGGATGGGGGGAGGGAGGGGAGTGTGCTTTGGCGGGGGAGGGAGGGGGAAGAGGGGTCAGAGGGGTGGTGAGGGGTGGTGAGGGGGGAGGGGGTTTAGCGTGAGATTGATTTGTTGAGGATTGGACAGATCACCACGTATTATTGGGAAGGATGAAGATCTATTCAGAGATGGGGACGATTGGTTGGGAAGAGGCTAGCACAGGCCAGCGGGGGAGAGGAAAGGTGGAAGCAAGGTTGTCTATCCTCCACGATACTTTTCGACGGCGAGAACTCGCTGACGCGACATCAAAAGCTTACGTTACACAACGCATCATTACCGACCTGTGAACAGTAGTCGAGCAAAGTCTGTGAATTTGGTGCCTGTCTAATCAAACAGTTCCTCCTTTTCCCTGGCATACCATACCGTACTGTCGAACATCCAATCCCCCCTTCCCCCCCCCTCCTTTGCCCTGCTTGAGCCCCTTCATCTGAGCTACCATACACAAGATACCAACATGAATGCGAAAAGCTAGAGCTAAGCAATCAAAAAGGGGACTACGAGATCAACTTCCCACGTATTCCAATTTCACACCTAGAAACACGTTGAGAGGAAGGGCAGTGCCAGCACCACTCCTATCCACATCCACACCCACACCCACAACCCCTGTTCAAACAACCTCGCCATTGTTGACGCAGCACTCTTCATCCCTCCCCCATTCGCGTTCCCGTTCCCACTCCCCGCCGATCCCAAGGTCGCTGGCTCCTCCCCCACCCCACCCCCTGCACTCTCCCCTCCAGCATCAATCTCACAAACATCCACCTTCTTCGCCGCACAGGCTTTCACAAACGCATCATTAACAGCCTGATCAGAACTATTGAAATACGCCCGCACCCACTTCACCACCATCCTCGCGTCCTGCGCCGGCGGGCCTTGAGACCAGTCTTTGTTCCCGTTGCTCCAGTGCGAGAATGTGAGATGGCCTGCTGCCTCCACCCCTGTTGGTACGCCTTCTGAGAATCTGGTTAATGTGTTGTCGCCGTTGGCGGTGGAGAAGGTTACGGAGGTGGTGTTGGTGGGGGAGAGGATGAGTTGTTGTTGGAGGAGGAGGAGGAGGGAGGGGAAGGGGAAGAAGGTTGTGAGGGGAGAGGGGGGAGCCAGTCTATGCGATAGGAGTGGGGGGAATCTGAGGGTGAGAAGGGCAGGGTGGGGATCTTGTGCGTGGCTGTTTCTTGGTAGGGTTTTAGTGTGTTGGGGTTAGGCGCAAGGGGGGATTGGAGGACGAGGTTTATGGGTCGGGCTGTTGTGTTGTTGTTGGGATTGGGGGGAGGTTGCGAGGAGAGGTATTCGATGTCGAACTCGGCGGTGTCGTTGTGGTACTGTAGTCCGCGGTATTAGCGACGGCGAGCTATTGCGGGAGGGGGTTGAGAAGGGGGGCATTGCTGTGAAAAGGGCGAGGCGTGTTGCTGTTGGGTTTGAACTGTCGTGACGGTGGAAGACGGACTCACCCAGAAGAAAGCCCCACACGTCCCCTCCACATCTGTGAACTGAATCCCGGCCCTGAAAGTCCCATACAAGATGTCCGTCCTCCGACTCACGACCTCCGTCATGCCAACGAGCATATTCCTACTCCCACTCCCACCTCCATTGCCACCCGTGTCAGTACCTCTGACGAAGAGCTGTAGACCATCCCTGCCAAGACTTGTCAGCTATACCCTACCCCAAACCCTGCTTCAATCGTAAACCCCCTCCCCTTAGAAAACAACAGAAACAGAAACACAAGAATGATGGCTTACCCCCCAAGCACAGCATTCGCCAAACTCGAGTTCTTCCCCCAAGGTCCATCGTCAGGCGGGACGGTGTAGTTCTGCGGTATCCAGTCCCCCCACCCCGACCCTGAGCGCAAAGTCCTCAAGCGCGTGAATGATGTTTCGATGCTGGATGTTAGGAGAATCTTGTCCGTGGTGTTGGGGACGGTGAGAGAGTAGCCGCATTCGCAGGATGCGGTTGTTGGGGGGACGTGGGTTGTGATGATGAGGGTGGTGAGGAGGGTGGGGATGAGGGTGGTGCTGGAGAGGACGTTGCGCAGAAGGGACGTGAGGGCGCTGGAGCGCGGGCGTGAGTGTGGGGAATGCATAGCATTGAGATAAGGTATGGTAGCGATAGTGGCGATGGTGGATAGCTGGAAAAGAACTGAATGGTGGGATGTCGATGTTTGTGTTGTAAAATTGTGTTGTCAGGTGGGTGTAGGAGTGATGCATGCACGACCGGGTGCGCGCAGCTCATTCCTAAAGCGTGATTGATGCCCTAGTTTCAGGGCTTGAATCGTTCTTTTTCGCAATTGTGCCTCAGGTTGTTGATATCTAGGCTCTGCTAATCATGCTACTACTTGCTATACCACCTTGGGAAAATACTGCCACCTTTTAGTGCTTTGCCTATCCACCACAAAAAGCCGCCGGATATAGCCCTACTCCTTTGCTACCCTGACGCTTGTATCATAGAAAAGAATTGAAGAAAGATCGTCAGACATGAAGTGAAGGCTGAAAGATGTCGTTAAGAGTGACGTGAGAGGTCACGAGTGTGCTGGGTTGACAGCGTGTATATGCCTCTTTAGGAAGCAGCACCGATGCGGGTGTTTCCCGATTTAGTCTTCCCAATTGGCCCCATCTCAATGTCATCCTTATTGGTGAGGCGCTCACGGAAGCCATCTTTTCCATCCTTGTCATCCGCAAGTTTGCCGTAGCTAGAATGCTTGCTTGATAGGCCGTTGTCCGGCTTAAGAAATTCTTGCCCTTTGCGTACCTTTTCGGCGTCTGGAGGCTCGCGACGGGATTTGGGAGTGCACCAACGCTTGATGACTCCAGGTAGATCCTCGATGGCAGCTTTGAGGGTGGGAATCGTGCAAGCGATGATCGCGGTGCACGGCTCGACCGAATTGTAGATCGAAGAAATTAGGCCGTCATAGGAATCTGCATGGTGTTTGAGCGTCGTGTAACGAAGAATGCTCACGATGCAGGTGCTAGTCATCCTTCAATTAGCCCAAGTTGTCAAGGTCAGCAAGGCTTTGCTTCTCACGTACACAAAGCCGGCTGCGAAGGCGACACTCATACCAGCCTTTTGGCGGGCCGATACAGCGGGAAGCTTCCAGATGTATGGGATCGGAATTAAAAAGATCAAGATGTCGGTGATGATGTTCTGAATGGCATTGACGCGAAAGAAGATGGTGAGGTCTAAGCACTTCCCGTGGATTGACTTGTCCCATGCGTAGCGCACCGGATTGCATTCAAAGATGGAGACAAGAATGCTCCCGACCATGTATAGAGAAACCCACGCGATCAGAATGTTGTCGATGATCTTGAAGGGACGACCCCAGAAGAAGTTGCGGTAGATTAGGAGGAATGAGAGCTTGACCAAGTTAATGGTCAGCTTGTAGAAGATCTGGCCGGCATAGCCAAGCTGAATTGTTAGTTCTGTTTTCCAGTACGAGGTAAAAGGGACATACCTGACTGCCAATCATCTTATCGTGTGCATTGACCTCCCAAGAATGCTTACCTCCGCCGTATTCAACACCTAAAGCTTGTTAGCATCATCAGTACGAATGTGATGTACGTTTTTGACGGACCAATGCACCCGACCAAGTTGAGGCCGATATTGAATAGCTGAAGGTCTCTAGTTAGCCAGCTTCAAGTAGCAGTCTCCTTGAAGACTCAGTTGGTGGCATTCTCTGCGTACGACAGCCAAAACCAAGGCATAATCTGCTGGCACCCAAGGTATTTTGACATTGTAGATCTGCTTGGAGACCATACGCCAGATGGTCAAAATGAAGCCAATAGGACAGAGCACAATTGCGGTGATGAAAAGGCTCATTCCATGACCGTACAAGAAGCTCTTGTGGCCTTCATAGTCCGCCATCTTGTGTGGTGTCGACATTGTGTTGATGGGCGCACGGTGGCAAGCAGGACGATGTCTTTGCGAAAGCTGTCAGCAAAATGGAACACTCGTGCCAACTGAACCAATTGCAGCCAATGGTACTTACAATCGCAAGCAGGTGTAGCTGTACAGGGTTCTGGGTCATACAAAGTGATGGCAGTGAAGAGGAAAAGTTGAAGTGTGGGGGGATGGAGGAGATGAGGCGGTCAAGCGGATATTGCATAAGTGCCATCATCACGACATGGCGACGAACGTGAATAACGACACCTCCCGAGATCACCCCGCACCGCACCTGGGATCAATGGTGGGCTTTATTCGGCCTACTGAAGCCATACATACATACAATGCAGATCATTGCATGCCACGTTGGGGAGCGCGAGAACGATGCAGCCACCAGCAGCTGCCCGCGAGAACACTGTCAACGTTCTCGTGACGGCAGGAACACAGGCGAGAATGCACCACCTACATGAACGACCGCATTCATCCGTCCGTCTTCTCATGCTCCCTCACATATTCCGCTGCCAGTCTCTTGACCTTCGCTTGGCTCTTCTCGTCTCCACTCCTCTCCTCAAACTCCAACCAACGCTTAAAGAAGAATTTGGCCTTCCGAGCCTTCAGCTTCATGCCCGACCCAGTCACGCGCTCGAAGAGCTTCCTCGCCTTTTCTTTCTCGCCCTGATTGATCTCGAGATCTAATAGCACGTTCCAAAGATCTAGCCGCTTCGGCCACTGCGATACCAGAGTCTCGAAGATTGTTCGACCGCGCTCTGCCTCGCCATTCGGGGACTTGAACTCTAGCTGCGCGAATCTGCTGGTCAAGTTGAGGTGGGTGTGAGGTGGCAGAGCCTGCATTGCTCTCGGAAGCAATGCGCGAGCTCTGTCCGGCTCGTTGAGAGTCGTCATAAGGAAGGTAGCGTAGTTGAAGTAGAGGTCCGGGGATTGCGTGAACTTCTTGACGGTTGCTTGGAAGAGGTCATCGGCTTTTTGGCTCTGATTTGCTTGGATGTAAATGCTGACTAGGCGTTCATGGATATCTTGGGAATCGTTATGTTGGCATGCACGCTTGAAGATTCCATCAAGGGCCTCTTCATTGCCGTATGTGTTTTCTAGGTTGAGCAATGCAATCCAGACGTTAAACTTCTCGCCTTCTTCTCGGATGTAGATAGTTTTGAGCGCACGTTCAGCTAAGTCGCGAGCAGTCTCAACTTCACCAAGTTGCAGCTGGAAGGCCATATAGCCAAGCCAGAGGACCGACGAATTCGGCTGGCTCAAGAGAAGCCGCTCAAAGTCCGCGCCTGATTGCGGACCGTTGACATCAAGATCACCTGTTCGGTCGACTTTGATTTCAGCGCGTCTTTTCCGCTTTTTTCTAGGAAGTGTTGCCTCATCTTCTGATGCCGATGGAGATGGAATATTTGTGCTCCCGAAAACGCTATCGCCCGTCCAGTCGAAGCCACCAGCACTGAGGCCTTTAAACTCCTTCGACAGGGATGGTCGATCTAAGGATGATGCCTTCGTGATCCCTCCGCCTTCATCGTCGGATGCTATGTCAAGATCATGTCCCTCGACTTCTGCGGAGTCCTCATCGCTTTCTTCGTCTTCATGCTCTTCAAGCGCAACGCCGTTCATACTAGGCTTCTCAGCTTCGTTATCTTCACTTTCATTAGCATCAATCATTGACTGATCATCATCATTGTCATCGTCATTCATAGAATCAATCATGACCCTTTCATCTGCTACTCCATTCGGTACGTCCGCAAAGTAGGATGCCTTGAGCCCAAGAGAGATCTGCCTCTTCTCTTGATTTAGGTTCAAGACCTTTGCTTTGACGGGATCGCCCTCTTCGTAAACTTTCTGAGGATTAAGGTCCTTGTTATCGCTCATCGCACTTCTATGACACAGTCCACTGACATTCGCAGAGTCATCGAAGACTACAAAGACTCCATAATCCTTTACCTTCCGGACTTTGCCGGTCACAATTTGCCCAACCTCCACGTCCGTAAACAACATGGGCGGTTTGTAGTCTTTGTCGATGTGGGACCGTCTGAGACTCATACTGATACGACCGGCACTAGCTTCTACTGCAAGGATTTTGCCTTTTACTAGCTGGTCGATCTCAAATCCAGACTTCCAATCCTTGACATAGAGATCCGTTAGATCAGCCACTCGCACGAAAGCGTTTACTTTGCTAGATAGCGAGATATGTATGCCACCATCTGCAACGAATTTGATGAAACCACGTCGAATGTCGTTGACCTGAATCTGTGACGCAGACTCAATGTCGGGATCTTCTACCGGAAGCGATGAGCTCAGGGTTTGTGATGGTCGACTGGAAAGCAACATTCGCTTGTTTGGGAGATCAATTTCCTTGATACAAACTTGAATGATTTGATCCTTGTGGAAGTTCCGAGGATTTGCCTTGGAATAGTCATCAGCCATGTCAACAAGATGGACCGCCCCTGATGCATCTTCTCCGAGCTGAACCATCAACTGGCGGTCTGTTATTTTCGTGATGCGCCCGGCAAGGACTTGACCTTGAGATAAGTCCTCGAATTTAGCAGATGGTCTCGGAGGTGGGCCTTTTGCCGACAGGTCTATATGACCACTCTCGGGATTCACCTTTACCACTCGTACCCGGAGCGCAGATCCAATGGGAAAATCCTTCGCTAAGTCAGGCGCGACAACATCATTAGTCAAATTTGAGGCTTTGATTCGACTTCGCACATTCGGCGATAGATTGACCCAGAGTGAGGTTGACTCAACATTATTGACGAAGACCGTCCACTTCGATCCTTTCTCAATTTTGGCTATTGTAAGAATATCAAGTTCGGGAGCCTCGAGATCTGACCGCTTCATGGTGAGTTCAAATACAGGCTGTTTTGTACGGTGCGTGATTGGCAGGAATTTGTGATTGCGGGCATCGTGCATACCCAAGATACGCACTTGGATGACTTCTTTAGGCTTGAATTGGCTCAATGGTGATTTAGGGTCCTTAATATCATCCCACGAGTCAAACGCTGAGGAAATACCAACTCGACCTTGAACACCATCCGCAAGCTGGACGTTGAGCTGTGTAGCCTTGACATGATTGATTCTGGCTTTCGTTATCTTTCCGGCTTTCAGTTCGTCAAAGCTTGTCAATGTTTCATCAATGGGATGCAGCAAAGATGAATCTTCGGATGCATCTACAGGTACCGGTTGGTTGGAAAGGAGAAATTTTCGCTCGGAGTAGTCTATCGATAGAACGAAGGCCGTGATTGGTTGATAAAGCCGCATGCCAAAGTCTGGTAGAAGCGCTGCTTCGTCAGAGAGGTGCCTTTTCAGGAGCAGTGCCGATAAGTTGCCCAAAAATTGAACAAATACACTTGTAGATGTAATGTTGTTGACGTAGCCGGTGACTTCGGTACCCTTCTTCACATCTTCAAAGTTTCGAGGCACTTTTTCAGCCGCAGCTGCCTTGATCATGCTTGGTTTACTGCTAAGCTGAACCAGGTGGTTCTTGTCTTGTTTATTGAATACTAGCAAGCTTTTCATCGTCTGACCCACCCTCACGTGCTCAAGAGTAGATATTGACTTCTTCGTCGTGCCATCTGTGAGCTGTTCGACGGGGAGTCTCCCTTTGAGTTGACTCGGTTGCAGCTCGAGAATGAGATTGTCGTTAGTCTTTTCAGTCACGATACCCTCTACTAGAGTGCCAACTTGCAAAGCTGTGAAAGCTTCCTGTTGCGTTGTCCCAAAAGCCGACGGTTCTTTGCAGGAGACTATCATACGCAACTTCTCAGCATCGACTGTAACGACGCGCACGTTGACCACCTGGCCAACGCGGAAGTGCTCTTGGGGATCTTGGATGAAAGTCTCGCTCATTTCTGACTTCGGAAGGAACGCTTTGACCCTGCCATAGAAGTACACTACAGCACCATTTGGTGAGACGCTGATCAGAGTCCCAGGTGATTGCATTCCGGGTTCCAAGCTACCATAGTCTACCCAAGGTTCAATATCACTGTTGATGAGACTCTTTTTCAAGGTCAGTCTGACTTGTCGCTTTGATGGCTCCACTGATAGCACTCTCGCGGTAACATTGATTCCTTCCGTGAATCTCTTTTCTGGGTGCTGAAGCCTGACATCCGCAAAATGATTCTCTGAAACCAGTCCGGACACACCCTCAGCGAGATTCAGTATGAGGCCTGTGACCCCTTCGCCCCCAATCAGAGTCTTCTCCACATTGGCATTGACAAGCTGGCCTGTTTTGACATCTTCAAGCCTCAAGAACGGCTGCTTAAGTATCTTAGGCTCTAAAGATAGTATAAAAAGCCCATCCATAGAATTGTAACCAATTACACGGGCAGGATGGATTGATCCAACCCTGAATGAACCAGTGGTCTCAGAGAGCGTCTCAACTTTACCGTCCGTAAGCTTAGAAATATGTGCAAATCCTCGTACACTGGGGACACCGACGTCCATGAATACGCCTATACTAGGTTCAACTTTGACAACCTTCGCTTCTTTCACAATCGCAGACAAAGGAAGCTTTTTGATAGGAGGTGAATTCTCATCACCGGATGTCTTTTCCTTCCACTGAATGATGTGATGCTCAAAAGATACACCTACTTTCATCTCCTCGGAGGTCGGAAAGGTGCAGAGAATACGACCTTTTAATTTAATGCCTGAGGGGAACTTCTTCTCGATGTCTTTGATGTGCGAGGCTGCGCCAGTGTGCATGATGTCTGCCGTGACGTCTACCATGCCCATCACCTTGCCTGCTACCCCCGACTTCGTTGTCTCTGAGACCATGAGCTCAACAGCAGTACCAGGTAAGAAGACATCTACCGTTGGCGCATCCGCCAAATATGCTCCTTTCTTCACACCGCCCAGCTTGATAGGATCCATAGATAACTTGATCGTTTTGCCATTGGCACTCTTTCCAGTCACCATACATAAGAAGACCGCCCCGTCAGTAATTTCTGAGAGCGTTTTATCGGTCCCAAGCTCTTTGGAAGACATGAAGCCCTTCACGCTAGAATCCTCAAGCCCGAGGTCCATAATAAGACCATGGTCTTCTACGCTTGTAACACTAGCTTGTACCGTCAAGTGAGGGACTAGATTGGGCGGTGAAAGCCCTTTGTTTGCCTGCCGTGGATCAATCGAGAGCCCAATGTGCCGTTTTCCCTTGCTTGTAGAATGCCGCTCATCTTCAGTAGATAGTACGCACGCACGGAGGTACTGGCCGATGGAAAACATGGACGGTAGATCCACGTTGTCTTCTGATGTATCCTCATCTCCATCTTCTTCCTCATCTTCAGCTAAGGCCTCTAACTTTCGATTGATCGTGTCCGAAATTGATGCAAAGGAAACGTATCCGGTGAGATTGTTCGGAAGACTCAGTGCGATGTCATGACGATTGATTTGGATGACTTGACCCAGGAGGAGCGATCCAGGCGCCAATCGCTTGTAGCTCATCCCTTCGATTCTGACGCCTTTTCTTTCAAGCACAGCGCTAGAGTCTAGTCTCTTTAATTTCGACTTTGGCCGGCTCTTCTGCTTTCGCACGCCATTTTGTTTTTGTGTAGGTAAATCCTCCTCATTTTCGGCGTTATCAAAGTCTTCGCGATGGGATCTGTTCCCGGTTTTCTGCTCGAACAACACATCTTCATGGGCTTGTATCTGTATCTGCTTCTGTTCCAATGGAGTCAGGACGCTTGCTCCACCTCGAGGGAAGGCTGGCTCTGCGTGAGGCAGAGCGATAGCCGGAGAAGCTCGCTGCTTTTTTGCTGGCCGTGTGCCTGGATTATCTTCTCGAGCTTTTCGCTTGATCGGGGCCATCTTACATGAGAGGCTCTGGGTTTGATGTGAACAATCGGCGCAATTACACAATTTTTTCGAAAGAGCGAAAGCTTCAAGCCCTAACTTTCGGCCCTAAAGGCTAGCCACTCCGAGGAACGTGACTTTGGCACGCGTCCCGCGACTTTACTTTTACGCCACAGCATCACATTCTCTCCCAATAATTGGGATGCATCAATTCAATGCAAGTTCTATGTGTATTGCAGCACTGCATTCTCACGTACTTCAATTAGCATCCTAGGTCCTTGACCCTGCAATGGAGCAACTGACGCCCGCTGCCTCCCAAGAGAACCTGCCGCCTTCGGAACCAAATACTATTGGGCATAACCTCGATTCCTCACCAATCCTGCCCACTTTCCAATTCTCCAATCCTATCCGACCAAGGAAACCCCCTACAATAACGCCTCGATCGTTTACACGGTTCTTCACGCCCAAATCCTCTATCAAAAGAAATAGTAAAACCGGTTCTTCCAGACAAATTCTCCGCGACATCACAGCTTCTGGAAATAATAGGAGAGGAGGGAGAGGGCAAGTGAAAGGCTTCATCTCCTTGGATGACGATGTCTATTCAGAGTCGGCCTTGAGAGCAAAGCGACGGAGAAAGCTGCCACCAACTCCAGCGCTCACTCCAGATTTCTCCTCGCCTTTGAAAAGACAGGGTCGCCCTGCGTCAGGCTGTACTAAAGATGAAGATAGTGACGACCAAGAGCTATCAGCCAAGAACAGATCAGACGGCATTCGGCTCAGAATATCGGAGAGTCCTAGGAGATATACGCCACCCCCATTTTCAAGATCGAAATTCACAACTGGACCGGGAAGTTGCTTAGGCTTAGAAGTTGGACAAGATAGACGGCCTTCTTGGAACCTGAGAAACAGCTGGCAATATGAGACCTCACAATTCTGTACTATCGTAGGCGACAGACACTATAGTCGCCACGTCGAGTCGCCACGTGAATCCTCGATCCCGTTCTGTAGCAAAGCCTGCAATAGTATGTTTTCCGAGGACTCCAGCGATTGACTAGCTAACATCCCATCAGCTAACTCACTGGTCGCAATTGCCGACGAAGATGGCGGTATCAAACTTCTCGAAAGCGCGGGCTCGGCGAAAGACGATTTCTCTACACCGTTTCTGCAATTTCGTCCTCACACAAATGCGATCCTTGACGTTGATTTCACACCTGACGATATGTTGATCGCAACGGCTTCTGGGGACCAGACTGCGCTCGTTATTGACATGCCCAGTCAAAAAGCAACCTACGCGATGGCCGGTCATGTATCTTCCGTCAAGCAAGTAAGATTTCAGCCCACCAACTCCAGCGTCATCGTGACATCGAGTCGAGATGGTAGCGTGCAAATATGGGACCTTAGATGTAAAGGCTATGATGGTCCAGTTAAGGAGATCAAGGTAGCTCTAGATGGCGTTCCAGTAAAAGGCGTTGCCCCCAACACTAAATTGACATGGGGTCGATCGGTAAACACAATCTTCGACGCCCATGCTATGAGGCAGTCACCAAACGTCCAATCAGTCTCAGCAAGTGGTACGAACATTGACCTTCCATCAAAATCCGAATGTCCAGGAAGGAAGGGCGACGTATCCGTCACTGTGTTGACATTTCTCACTCATGGCAGAGAACACCTCCTCGCTACCGGTTCCGAAGCAGATGCGTGCGTGAAGCTCTGGGACCTTAGAACTACTCATAATCATAGGCGGGGTCATGCAACGCCATTGTCCACCACACAGCAATCAGAAAGCCACAGCAGATATCGTCGGTTTGGTTTGACCTCATTCTCCTTGAGCGACGACGGTGCAAGGTTATATGCAGCATGTCGTGACAACACTGTGTATACATATTCAACTTCTCATCTAGTGCTCGGCCACGCTCCAGAATTGACATCAGCGAATTCGAAACCTCGCCGATCAGGCGGCCAGGAGAAAGTGGGCATGGGACCAATGTACGGTTTTCGCCATCCTAAATTCCATGCCACCACTTTTTACATCAAGTCTAGCATTCGCACTGCTCGAAATGATAATACAGAGCTTTTAGCTGTCGGCAGTAGTGATGGAGCTCCGGTGCTATTCCCGACAGATGAGCGGTATATGCAAAGATCTGCGAACCCGGACCCGCGAATGCAGAGAGAGCCTTCCCTTCCGCGGCTGAGGCCAGCACTTTCGAGGACAGAGAGTGGTACAGATTTGTCCGGGAGACTTGAAGACTCCATACCAATCTACCACCATGGTACGGCCTTAGTGAGAGGTCATAATTGCGAAGTCACCGGGTTGGACTGGACGTTGAATGGTGACCTGGTCTCCGTCGGCGACGACTTCGCCGTACGGTGCTGGCGAGAAGGCGACTCTCCTCATACTCGTCAATCCGCTAGGCATATGAGAATGAATGGCGAAAAAGGCGGTAAGCGGTGGGGCTGTGGATGGGCCGAAGTGACAGACGGCTGGGATGATGACGATAGTGACATATCTGATTAGCGTCCCTTTTCTTTGGAATAGAACCTGAGCTCCAGCGCGGCGTCTTGGACAGCCCTCAATCAAATCTTCCCCAGCTCCGTCTCCTCCTTTTCTCTCTCCTGTTCCTCTAACCTAATTTTCTCAATTTCCTCATCAATGAGCGCAACCTCCACCTCCAGCTTCAGGACCTTTTCCGTTAGCATCCCCGCATACTCCTCATCGCTCAGCTTCTTCAATCCAAGCCAATCCAGTTTCACGTTCTGCCTCCATCCCACTTTCTCCTTCTCCCCAGCCTCTACCTGCCTCTTTTCCTCCACTTCCCGCTCCACATGCTGCGTATGTCGCCCATCCACCCACACCCACGCTCTTTGCCCTGCCCAGCCCAGAAGCGCCATTTGCGCCGCGCCCGGCACCGCCTTCCCAGCAATTCTAGCTAGCGGTCCTCGAGTGCTAGCTTTACGGGCGGGAATTAGGGTACTAATCAAGGAGCCGGATATAGCGCCGCCGAGCGTGGAGGAGGTCAGTAAGTCGAAATGCGAAGGTGGGTGGGAAGGAGGCTGAGAGCGTGAGGTGTGTGTTGAGAGGGGACGATGTAGAAGGATCTGGGAGCGGGAATAGTGGAATGTGCTCCCCAGAAGGGTGCAGTAGATTCCTGAACCGAAGGTGAAGAGTTTGGGGTTGTGGGACCGGTAGAGACCATAGATGGAGCCGAAGGCGGCACCCGTGAGACCTGTAGAGTTTAGTCTTGAGGGACTGAGGCTTGCGAGAAAAGAACAATAGGGCGCATACTCCATGATCATACATAAAGAGCAGACAGACATGGAGTGAAGTTCATGTTTACTTTTTATCAAAAAGAAAACAAGAATGAATCTTTCGATGAAGTCCAAGAGACTACGGAGAGACATTGAGGTAGAGACTTGAATATCCACTCACCACTAGCAAGACCAAATGTGAGCGAAGGAGCAATCTTCTCCCACGTCAACTGCTCCCTTGCTCCTGTCAGCCGTTCCATGACTATCGATTGCACATCTATTCAGTAATGCGTAAATTTCAATCACGGCCCACGTGTCCGGTAGCAGAGTCGGACCCCACAAACGCTGATATGGAAAAGGTCTAAGACAATCGAGATGGCATTCTTGAGCCCAACATTGGGTACAATGCAATATGACGGAGATGTGCAGGGCCCTATATTCCTCGGGATGCGCTAATTTGGCCTTCGGCTCAGCCTTACGGCAATGCCAAGGCCAATCCACGAAATTCTTAGCAAAAAGGTTTGCCAGAGACAATCTCCACCTTCCACCCCTCGGTGGACATCACATACAACCATCAAAGTCGAACAACGAGTGCAGATCACTATTGCGAAAGAGGCTGGCAGACATACTGCAGCCTTGAGGAAGAAAGACACGGGACAATCAGCCAGAGCGTCCCCAGAAAAGAGCCGCAATCATGGGTACGTCTAACGCCACTTGGCCGGCTAAAAATCCTCTGAGTATCGAACGAGGCTGATAAATGTCTTAAAAGCTCCCAAGAAAGAGAAAGCGCAGAAGATGCAGTTGGGGGAGTTCCTCACTGATACATGTACGCTTGAACGCACCAGCGGGGATGACGCAGAATATGCTGACCGTGGTCGTAGCACTGGGATCATGGGCAGATGAGATGGAAGATGCGCCCATGCCATGTATGTCGCCTCAATGCTCTTAACTCACGCACTTTGCTGACTATTCGCGTTGCAGCCGGTAGACTTGCCCACTTTCCTCAGACTTGGCACAGCTTAGACTAAATATTACAGCACCTGCTGGAGGCTCAGTATATGGAAGAGGCGACAGAGGCTACGGTCAGGGAGGTGGGTTTGGCGCCAGCAAATTCGAAGGTAACGAGATGACGCCCCTGTTCATTCGCACACTCCTGACTTCAACATAGACCGAGGCCCACCGCGCACGGACTTACCTCTGCCTTCGAAGCCTCCGTACACAGTCCACTTGGGCAATCTCTCGTACGACGCTACCGAAGGAGATATCTCTGACTTCTTCAACGAATGCGCAGTCGAGAGTGTACGGATCGTTGAAGACAGGCTTGATTCTAAACCAAAAGGCTTTGGCTACGTCGAGTTCAAGACCCTTGATGGGCTGAAGAAAGCTCTGTCGCTGAACGAGACGCAATTCCAGGGTCGAAGAATAAGGATTAGTGTTGCAGAGCCCCGTGAGTTGCTTCCCCATCTGCCAATACACATACCATTGGCATCATACTAAAGCATATCACAGAGAAAGACCGCCTGGAATCCACCAGGGATTTTAGCGATTGGTCAAGAAAGGGACCCCTACCAGACATGCCAAATCAACGCAAACCATCGGGGCGAGACTTTGGGGCTGGTGCGCCAAGAGGAGCAGGCTTTGACAATATGTCTGATGCAGGTGGTGAACGTGGAGGCCGCCGTGCATTTGAGCCAAGCGATGGCAAGGTCCGAGACTTTGGCAATTGGGAGCGGAAAGGCCCACCAACACCAACTCTTACTGCCGGTCAGCCGAGTCGAAGCTTTGATAGGCCTGGAAGCCGCGACGGTCAATCATTGCGCCGTAACTCGCCTGCCTGGGGTGAGGGTCGCTCACAAGATGGTGGTTCGCGGCCTCCAAGACGAGAATTCACAGAACGACCGCCAATCGATCGAGCGCCTACAGCTGCAGAGCAAGACAATCAATGGCGGTCCAAAATGCGACCAGACGCTCCTCCGGCGCCACCAACTCCAGATAGTGCTGCTGCGAAATCGCCTGCGCTCTCGACTCGCCAGCTAAGCAATTCTTCATCTCCAGCAGCTGCACCTGTTGCTCCTGTTGAGAGGCCTAGACTCAACCTCCTCAAGAGAGGGGAATCCAGTCTTCCTGCAGACACGGTCAAAGCGTCTGAAGGTGATGCAAAGGCCAATCCATTCGGTGCGGCAAAGCCAATCGACACTGCAACTCGCGAAAAAGAAGTGGAAGAGAAAAGACAAGTTGCGTTGCAGGAGAAGAAGGAAGCCGACGAAAAAGCGAGAGAGGAAAAAAATTGGCTGAAGAAAAGGCAAAAGAAGAAAAACGCTTGGCTCGTGACGCTGAACTGGCAGCTAGGCCTGGAAGGTTCGAACAAAAACCAGAAGGTTCTCCAAAAAGCCCACAGCAGCAGAACGGGAACACACGGCCGAACACCGAGCGCAAAACCTCACAAGTGCCTGAGCGCAAGAAGCTCGAGAGGAAGTCTACGGGCGAGAAGGAGAATGGGTTACCAGCTCCATCGGCTGGAAAGCAATACGAGATTTTACGCCGACAAGTCGACGAAGAGGCTACCGCTGCTGATGAAGAGCGCGAAGACGCCGAGGCAATAGAAGAAAATGCGAATGGCATTATTACGGGCGACAAGGAGACCAAACCTCAAGAGATTGTCAGAGACCCAAAGCAAGACGCCCAGACGAACGGCGGAACGAGCGCTGCTCCTGACCAGACCGCAAAGCAATTGGAAGACGAGGGCTGGAGTACTGTCTCCAAGCCGGAGAAGAAACGAAAGAACGGTAACCAGGCCGCTCGTGCGATTGCTTCCTAAAGCAACGAACACCCACTCTCGATCTGCAAAAGTTGCTGCACATAATTCATTGCAAGGTAGCATGCAAATTTCCGCACATCCACCGTCAAGTTCTTCCCATCTTCTCGACTTTTCGACTGCAAGTAATATGCTGAGCACTAGCTCCGCATATTAATCACCTCATAATGAACACCGCAATTCCTACTAAACTCACCAACACAAAACCAACCCCTCTCAAAGCAGTAAGGACCGAAGGCGCCGAAAAGCCTTCACAGCATACACGGCGTTCGCGGATGCCAGGAAAGCACAGCAGGGAATCATTGTTCATTTCTTGCCTGGTTTTCTCTCGAGCATTCTGGTATTCTTTCAAATCGATCGATGAATAGATTTCCTTGGTGGAAAGGGGGGCCAGCAAATGGTCAAAAGCAAGCGATTGAAGCCTTTGCTTTTCACCCGTGAAGGGTGAGGCAGAAAAGGAAAGAGGTAGGAGAGGGGTGGAGAGGGGAGAGATGGCTTGTGTATACTAGATTGCTGGATACGACCTTTCTCGACCTGTTTTCCTCTCGGCACTTATATATCTTCTCTCTATATGGTGCACGCTCCTCATACGTGATTTTCTGCTTCGCAATTCCTGAATTGGTGTCTAACGAGTGCGGACTGATCTAGCTAAAGCCCCTGTGCGTAGCTTTCGCGCTCAATTCGGCCAAACGTTGAGTCTGGGATAGTTTGCTTATGTTGTTCTTGCGAAGAGACTAGGGGATTGTCTCCATTTCCTATTTGGTCATGCTTACGGCAGACCAAAGCTGACATACTCCATCGCTACGGTCGACTGAAAACATCTTTGTCTCGTATCTCCCCATCGTGACTTCCTGTCTTGCTGTTGAGGTTTCGTTAGAAGCCATGTCTTAGCCGTAAAGGTGACCGCTTCGGAGTGGTGGTAGATCATGGTTGCTTCATTACAACATTGTTTTGGAATTTCGACACTGCTATACTATTTTGACTCTACTACTTGATTTCATCTACCTGACAATCTCTGTGAAGGGACTTCAGCGGTCTTGACAGTCAAAAAGCATGGCGAGCTCGATAGGATCTCCATCGCAGTCCATCTTTTCCTCGACACCGTTCTATCTTCTGTTTGCACTCCTCACGGCAACCCTTGGCCCCTTTCAGTTCGGCTACCATCTTGTACGCCGCCAGCCCTTGACCTGATTATCTTCATCCATAGCTAACGAAATACCATAGGCTGAACTCAATGCCCCGCAAGGCGTCATTACATGTGGAACAAGAAAGAACAAGACAATTGCTGCCGGTGGCAAGCTTCCAGAATGTATCCCAATGACTATCGACCAATTTGCCCTTATCAGCTCTATCCTCACCTTGGGCGGCCTGCTTGGAGCATTGGCAGCAGGTTCATATAGCAGCGAATATGGTCGATTGAGGACGATGCGCTTGATGACCATTGCTCTCATCGTTGGCCCAATCGCTGAAAGCTTGAGCCCCAACATTGCAACACTTGCAATTGGACGGTTCATATCTGGACTGGGTGCAGGATCCGCTCTGGTGGTAGTACCTATCTACATCTCAGAGATCTGCCCACCGGAAAAGAGAGGTCTATTCGGGGCTATGACACAAATCCTATGCAACCTCGGGATTCTGATCTCGCAAACACTGGGATACTTCCTCAGCTACGGCAACATGTGGCGCGTCATTCTTGCAACAGCAGGGTGTGTGGCGGTCGTACAATTCTTTTGCCTCACTCTAGTTCCAGAGAGCCCGCAATGGCTCGCCGAGCATGGAAAGCCTGACGGTGGAAAGAATCTGCTCAGGAGACTACGCGGTAGACACTACGACATCCGCAAAGAATGGAAAGGATGGAATATCATCCACGACGACCCCGCAAGCTGTAAACCGCTCCTCCGCTCCTCCCCTCTCTTCACTTCCCGTAGACTAACAGCTTGTGTAGATGAAGAAGACTCCCTCATCCCCCCAGCCTCCATTACCGACAGCCCTGTACCGCCAGAGTCCATAACCATGATAGATACCCTAAGATCCCCGCAATACCGCCCGGCTGTCATTGCTGTCATCGCCGTCATGCTTGCCCAGCAATTCACAGGCATAAACAGTATCATCATGTACTCAGTCCACCTTCTCACATCCCTCCTCCCCACCTCCGCCGCTCTCCTCACTGTCGCCGTCTCTGCCATCAATCTCATCATGACCACAGCCTGCGCGCCCCTCCCCGATCGCATCGGCCGCAAAACCTGCATCCTGGCGTCCACAGCTGGAATGGGCATCTCCTCCATCCTCCTCGCCGTCGGCATAGGCCAGGGCATCAAACCCCTCGGCGCCATCGCCACCCTGCTCTTCGTAGCAGCATTTGCGGTGGGTCTAGGCCCCGTTCCCTTTATTCTCGCGAATGAGCTTGTGGGCCCCGAGGCCGTGGGCGCGACGCAGAGTTGGGCTCTCGCCGCGAATTGGATTGCGACGTTTGTGGTCAGCCAGTTCTTTCCGATGGTTAACAAGGCAATGGGAGAGAAAGGACGGGTGTATTATCTTTTTGCGGGACTGGCAGCGGTATTGGGCGCATTCATCGCCTGGTGGGTCCCTGAGACGAGGGGACGGAGAGATGTAGATGAGGTGTGGGGACGGAATGGCAAGGGTAGGGGTAGGAGGGGGAGTGGGGAGAGGATGGATTAGCGTTATTGGTGTTCAGTGAGGGAGTGGAAGCATTCAGGTAAGGGAGGTGAGGGCAGAGGGCCGTATACCGGCTGGCTTTTTGGTATGAATTATGTGGTATGATATCGTTATTGCATCTGCGATGGTGGGAGGAAACCAGGTGTCTTGGACTGACTTGGCACTGGTATTAAATTATCAGCATGGCTTTTGGTCTTTGTATACATAGATACCCCGGATTATATACAGCATCATTAGATTTTCCATGGTTGTCTAGTGTGACAATTCGACATTGGCTTGTGCAAAAAGAACCTTGTTCACCCGCGTCTTGTGAGGACTTATGCTGGAACGAGGGGATGCGTATTGGTATGACTGATTCGAATCCCTCTTGTCATATGTCAATGATCCTTGAATATGCCCGATGGGCTACTCGATTGCGCATTCAGCAGTGGTCAATTGATGCTTGGGATATCTGCATGCATGCTAGCGTCCTGCTTGCTCGTTTGATCACAGACTAAGCTAAGCCGTCTATTGACATTCATGATTTATTTGACCCGATTCTATGTCACGTATCTGATCTCTAGTGTGAAGATGCTGTAGATGCAGGCGTCTCAACGTTTTGTCCAGCTGCCTTACTTCTCAATGTAATCTTTTCATCCCACTTGTCGTTATCCCCTCTCGATGTCCCTAGTACAATACGACGGTTCCATGCTCTAGTGGGCCAGATCCTCCGTTCTACGCGTCTCCACCCCGATCCCCATCTCTCTCTCTTTTCGCCTGTCATACTTACACATGAGTCCTATTGCAGGCCTCTTCATCTAGTTCCTTCACCCGTGCCTTCATGGCTTCGCCAAGCCCAGCGTACGCTTCTTGCACGACTTTTCGGCCTGCGAGCTCGTTTGCGAATTTGAGGGCCTCGTGGGTCGTCCAGACATGGTCGGGATGGTTGGATTTGGGGTGGTGGAAGTAGAGACCGTAGAGGAGGCCGGCTGTGAATGTGTCGCCTGCGCCGATTGTGCTGGGGGGGAGGGGTGTGAGTATAAGGTAGGTGTGGAAGGGAAAAGGAGAGTGGAGGGGAGGGATGGGAGATGGGAGATGGGGGAGGAGGGGAGGGAAGACTGACTCGATGACCTCTTTGCCTTCGACCTTGAAGGCGGGCGTGGAGAAGTATTTCTGATCCGGCAGGGTGAGCACGCTGGCGCCTGATGCGCCCCACGTGATGCAGAGGTATTTACTGAGGATTGTCAGTCTTGGACGACCAGCGATTTCATGGTTTGGAGAGCTTACGCGAACATTGGAATTGCAGGCTGGGAGCGGAGACATTCTTCTGCTGATGTGAAACCGTTCGCCTGCGTACGTTCATGTTAGCTCGAGATTTGTTGTATGTATGTGAAGGGGATCACGTCATACCTCAGCCCAGCTCTTGGAGTAGAAGACAATGTTGGCTAGCCTCGCCATTTCTTGAAGGGCGGGTCGACCGGGCTTTTCTACTTCGACACTGATTTTGGCATGAGGGTACTTGTCGCGGAGGTACCGGATGCATTGGAGAGACACTTCTGGTATTCTCCCCTACATGCCATCAAAAGCGCGTCTCACTTTGAAGGGACGAAAGGCTTACCTCGAAGTGGTAAAGGGGCGATATAGAGGCATTGCGATCCGCAGCGTCCTTGAATTCCTCCAACGTCATATCGCGGACGGTATTGTATCCCACAGCGGTGCGACTTCCAGTGGCAGAATTCTTGATAATCCAGCTGAATGGCGCATCGTCCGTCTGCTCTCTAAAGAAGCAATGTTCGAAGTTGACTGCTGAACCTAGGGAGTCTTGGATGCGTTTGGTCTCTGATGAATTGGCGGAGGGCAATGCCGCGAGTAGTGTTAAAGGCGTGTTCGCGGAAAGCTGCTTGAATACGTCGAGGAGGTTACGAACATTTCCACCTGTGCGCTTCTCGAGCTGAGAGGCTTTGTGCTTTTCGTCCTCGGAGAGAAAACGGTCGACGCTGCCACTTGTCAGCAGTCCTTCTGAGATGAATAGGGTCCATATACGTCAGGATACTGTCAAGGCAGCAGACACCGACAGCGACGAGGGAGTCCATGGCTTTAAAAATTTAGTTGTTCTTAAGAAGTAGTCTCACTAGTTGACTTATGTTTTCCTGGAAAGGAGAAAAGAATGGGAGACGTGATGAAAGCGCAATATGGAGAGCTGATGCTCGCAATGCAGTACAAGCAGCGCGTACAGGGTATCTGATAGCAAGGAGTACAAAGCCATTAAGTGAATGAAGGGAATGCATTCATGTTGGACGGCACTGTCTCGGGCCACATTTGTCAATTGTATGCACATATCATTCACTGCAGCTTGGGCGATGTGACTCTTGGAGGTGGACCGGGCCACCTTAAGGAACATCTTTGGCCCAATAATTCGAGCGGCCATAGATATATGGCTAGAAAGGGTGGTAGAGGCTCACAGGAGAAGATTGAGGCGACCCTCGTCGTTGAATGCTGTGGTGATTCAACCCGCAAAAAGTGCGAATGCTTGGCGGCACGTGACTCGCGTTTCTTGGCAAACGCGGTGCACGCAGAAGCTGCACTTGGACCTTGCTCTCTATGATACTACAGGTAACCTGTCGTAGCTTCATTGAGTACCTGTCATCGCCTCCCCAGAAATACTGTCTCCGCATTCGGGCCTGAAGAAGCGCGAAGCTTGCTCTTGCAATCGACCTCCGACTACCGCCTTTCACAATTCGGACCTCGCACAACATTCCCTGAATCGATGCCCATGGACCGATTTCCGCAAGAGCTGTTGAAGATAATAGTGGATCATGTAGATTGCTTTGATGATCACGAGGGCAGGCAGGCGCTCAAAAGCCTTCGTCTCGTTTCGTCAACCTTCAGCAATCTAGCAGCTGTTCCTCTGTTCCGTACGGTACCACTTTGGATCGGCCTGCAAAGCCTCACAAACCTGTCGAATATTGCAGAGCACCCGTCTTTGTAAGTCTTTTTGTCCGTGCTCATTTTACTTGGCTGCACACTGATTGCCTGAATGGTGCAGATCCAAGTACGTAACAAAAATCATATTTTCCCCACTTCAAATAAGGACCTACGACAACGAGACGAAGCGCTCTGCGGAGATTCTTGATCGGTTCGAAGTGTCTTCGAATTCGGCAAATGAAATTATCTTGAGCAATTTGAAATATACACAAGCATATGGCAACTACAGACGGATGCAAATCGCTCTTGCAACGCATAATCAGGACAAGAAGATTGTAGTTAGAGCATTCCGGCTTCTCTCCAATCTCACTCGGCTAGAAGTAGATTCGTCTCGGACTCGAATTGGTGCTGCAGAATTACGGAGCGCTTTTGGAGTCATGGACGGATCAGAACTCACGATGCGGGGCGAGTACACAATAGATGTGCTTCTCCGAGCCCTAAAAGATTCAGGAATCAAGCTTAGCGCTCTCGTGATTAGACACTCTGAAACGTTTGTGAATCGTAAATCACCACGCGCGTTCGGACGTCCACCACCACTTCTACTAAAAAGCGATCTTGACTATGATCGTATTTCACTTGCTCTGCCTGAACCTCAACGCTTTACGTCAGCGGTCGATAACCTGGAAATTCGTGGTTTGGCTTCGATGTTGGAGCCGGAAGAAGAACATCTGAAAGCTGTTGTCATCCGTCGGCTTATCGAACTTGGTCGTACGCTCAAGAAACTTGACATTGGAGAGCTTGGTGATTTTGGCCTAAGCAATATGTGCCCCTTGCGGGAAATCTTCAGATTCATAACCTTCAGGCATCTGGAAAGCCTTAGCCTTAGCTGGTTCAATTGCCAAGAACAAGAAATTGTAGAATTGCTATCGCATATTACCAAAAGCATCGTCCAGGTCGATCTGGCACTGGTGAAAATTGAGGGCCAGGGTTGGTCTAGCGTGCTGACTTCGTTGCGGCAAAGATCCTTCAAGTCATTGACTTCTTTTGTTCTCACGTTTTGTCATGACGAGGAAGAATTCTTACATGTGGAGCGGTACATAAAAAAACAGACCAAGACAAACCCGCTTGAGCAATTTGAATCGTGATGTCCGCTTACCAACCAAACAGCGGAGGATCCCCATTGCGCGAGAGGAACATCGCTCATGGTGAGAGGAGACCCGTGCGGAGCTTTCGCTGGATCTCAAGACTGAAATTTGTTTACGACTCCAGCAGAAGTACAGGGTCTGGCCTTCGCTAGGTTAAGCAGCCTCCAATGTTGTAGAGGCAACTTGTCTGGTAGGACAAACCTGCTTTTGAAATTGTGGACGATCGTTGTTCTACTCAGAAGGCGATGAATGACTTAATTTGCATTTTGGGGTGAGGGATGGCTCTTGTTGGCCTACATTTATATGGGTGTGCCTTCGACGGCTTGATAATAGACTGTTGGTGTCACAGTCTATATGACACCTGCTGTGATAGTGGCAAACTTGATACTCCACCATAGACACTCAACAATGAGTGTAATCATGAATACCTATATAAAGGGCTCATATAAATGGCTTTTTCCTTGTAAATTGCAGACACCACCCATTGGTTGATTGAGATTGGCACCCCTAATATATCCCGTTTCTGGAACGGTCAACACTTGACAAACTGTTGTCATTTCCGCTTTCTTTGAGGTATTCTGACGTTTGTCTTTCACTCAATCTGTTGGCACTCAACCACGCCCTCTTGCGCAATGGACAGACTTGCAGCTGAACTGCTGCAAATGGTTGTCTCCTTTGTCGACAGCAAAGATTGTGCAGCTTGTAGGGCCGATCTGAAGAACCTCCGGTTGACATCTAAAGTGTTTGCAAACATTGCTGCTGCGCCTTTATTTCGATTTCTGCCTCTGTGGATCAGTCTGCAGAGCCTTGAAAATTTGTCGAATGTGGCAAATCACCCAGTAATGTATGCGAGTTCCAGAGCCTCTGTCGTATAAGGGGATTGCTGATGACCCCTTAACCTAGATCCAAACTAGTTGAATACATTGTCTTCTCCACAATGCAGGTCAAGAGCCATTTTGATGTGGTTAGTCGTCAAGAGATTGTAGGACAGGGTATGGAGTGGGAGAAAGATTGCCTAGATGACCTGGAACTGAGCCGAATGAAACATCTAGCAGCCTACCATTATTACACCAATGCACAAGACTTGATGCAACGCAATCACGCGGTCGAAAAAATCATGACACGAGCGTTTAGGCGCTTGCAAGGCGTCAGGAGCATTACAATAACCCGAGCTAATGGTTACATTGGAGCAAAGGAAATTTTCCGGAGTTTCAAGTATCTGGATGGTCAGGTACTATCTATGGGGGCGGAGCATCCTCCAGTGGCTTTCCTGTACGCCGTCTCCAGGGCAGAGATGAATCTTGAAGCAATAAATTTAGGTTCCTTCTCAAGCAATGATGAGACAAACCCAGCAGCCAATGATCCTCAGCTGAACAAACGCAAGGGGGCTTTTCCGTTGAATGAGATTTATAAAACAAGGTCCATGCCCATTGAACGCGCCCTTGACAGGTCGAGTCTTCCCACGGCTTTCTTCAGTAAGGCACTACGACAGCTTACTATCATGGATCCCTTCGTCGACCATGATGGATCGCCAAACGTTAAACAATTGACAGTGACTCGCGAACTGCTTAATAATTCGTTGGAGCTCAATGAAGTCTGTCTCGCAAATGTCGCATACGCCTCAGACTGGGACAGAGCCGATGGTCGAGTCCTGGCTCCACTTTTCAGTCCTGACTGGACCTGCAGGACTTTGACCGTATTGGCCCTTGTTCGCTTCGAATGCAGCTTGACCCAGATCACAGGTCTTCTAAACAACAATGCCCAGACAATCGAATATTTGGAATTTCACAATCTGAAAATCACTGGCAATGAAGATTGGTCCATGGCTCTCACCTCGTTCAGAGATCTTCCCTTCAACAAGCTGAAAAGCCTTGAACTTCGCAGGCATCAGAAACGTAAGCAATCAGAGAGGCTGATAAGTTACGTTCGCCGAAATGGAGATGCGCATCCTCTTGAGACACCCACCTCTCAGGTGTCCCATTTGGTGAAATACGTCAAAGCCACATGAAGAAATTTAAGAGAGCATCTGATAGTACGCGGCACAGGGAGAGGAGTTCGAAAACGGTGGCAGAATTGTAGATTGCTATCGCAAGACCCTGCAGTGGCTTTTCATGAAGATTATGAGGATAGATCTAAAGATTATGGGAAGATTTATTCAATCAAATGCGATGAATAAGCCATTGATTGCGTAAATGTACGACTGACCAGCAGGATATTGACCATACATGATTTTTAGGCCGTTAAAACGTCATCATCTTTTGTTATTTCTGAGGGCAAGAAATCTATTGACTTACCTCACGCTATTCAGATGGCCATCAGTCTACCGTCTGATTACATCTTCTCGGATCATCATCCTTTAAAATGCCCGTTTTCGTTAGTATGCGAGTTGACCGTGTTGGATTGTTCGTCATTTAAATATCCTGGACTTTCTCCCAACGCATCCATTTCATCGTTTTCAGACCACCAATCGGGCGTGTCATACTCAGAACCGTTGGGGCTTTCACCATAAGACAACCACTCTAAAGGATCTTGCTCTGGGTCTGGCTCTGAAGAGTAAGTCGAATCTTCCACCTCGTCATCGATCTCAATATCGTTTGCGTCAAAAGGAGACACGTCTGTTTCAGCTTTCAAGAACGGTGCAACATCCACGTCGGTTTGTAGATGTGAAATGTCACAAAACAACAATCTGAACAGCTTTAAATTGCTAGAGACAGGGCCCAGCTTTTTTCGATAGAGGCTTCTCCACCTATGAAGAAAGGACGGCCAGTCATTAGGCTCAGTTATTCGTACGCAGTCAAGTGTTATTCGACGAAGTGTAAGTGAGTGGTAAGACAAAAACGTGCATAGGCTGTCTTCCGAGAGCGTCATGGATGATAGATGCAAGCGCTCCAAATTTTGTAGCTCGATACCCTCCAATAGTCCGGAAATCCCATTGACGGTATCAATACTGATTTGGTTTTTGCTGAGGATTGTCAGACTTGTAAGTTTAGGCGCTCTTCTGATGAACGATTGAACCGCCTTGCCAAATTTCTCAATGATAATACCTCGCGTGGAAATCTTGCTGCTTTTATGATACTGCATTTCCAAGCTTCGAAGATGTGACCAATCTAATTCGGCCAATTCAATGGCAATGTTCATGGAATCTGTTTCCGCTCCAGATTTCACTAGATGCCGAGTAGGATCATGGGAATAGTCTCGTTCGTCTTCGCTGAAGCGTAATGACTGAATTGGCTGAGGGAGAGCTCTCAACACGGGAATGAAGACATCGATGGCGGCTAAACAGTCCCAATGATACTCTTCGTGTGTGAAGGTAGGGTATGCTGCACGAAGCTCGGCTGCCCCGATCTTGTGGCTGAATACAATAAAATCGATGGCTTTCAGATTCGACAAACGGTACAAAGCAGTACAGAGTAGTTGAATGGCGTCGCTATTGTTCAATAAGCCCTCTTGGCATCGCATGTACTCCTCGGTGATGATTCGATGACGCTCAGCGTCAATAAAGCCTTCAATAGCTTCTGCGGGAGGATTGAAATCCCAGATGACCTGCTCAGAAGGGGATAACCAGCTCATAGGACTCGTGACCTGAAGAGGCGAGAAGCGGATCTCCTCGACAAACTGACAGCTTCTTGGATGTCAGCACTGCTACAGCAGCATTCACAAAGCACGAACATTTCTGGATGTTTCGAGAGATCGTCCAGATTCTTCAAGCTCTTTGCGCTTATCCATACGGGGATTGTTGAGAATAAATGAGGAGCAACGGCGGACGCAATTCTCTTACATAGGAAGCGCAGGCTGCTAAGACCGACTTTGTGCTCTTGATGGTCTAAAGGTGTGAGGTACTGGAAGATGGCGTCCAGGAGTTCCAGCGGAAGGCGATCCATTGCGATGAAGGTTCTCGCGCGTGAAGATTGGCAGAAGATCAAAAAAGCCTTTGACATCGGAGGCAGCCGTATGTTATATATCTTCGAGCTAGATTAGCTAGGCTGTTTCAAAACACGATAGTGATCAACACCCAACTTCACACCTCACTTCTTACTGCGTTTGCCTGCAACAGATCTACAACATTCGCCTACTCTCCTTTCCAATTGACAATGAGCTCTTTGAATAGATGTATTTCTTAATCGTGGGAGGCTGAATAATTTCTTCATCTACGTCAGTCACAAGTACTTACTACATTGCTAAACTGATTGAGTGTCGACTTGAGAGTTTTAATCTATCGCGTGACAGATCATGAATCACGGCTGCCTTAGGTGCACTGAATCTTTTATGGCCTCGAGAAATTCAAGCGGATTCGAGAGACTGCCTTTGGAGATTCTCACGATGATTGTTGATACCATCGTGTATTCAATCGACTCAGACATAACTTTTGAGCAAGATAAAAGATCGCTGGATGGTATGTTGAAGAGCTTGAGGCTCGTCAATAAAGCACTAGCAGCTCTCGCGACTCCCCTACTATTCGAAGAAGTGCCTCTTTGGCTAGGCCTTGAAAGCCTACAGAACCTCACTGACATAGCGAACAGTACATCATTGTAAGCCATACATCGATATCTTACACTATACCAATGAACTAATTCTGCAATCGAGAAGTCCATCAGTAAAGTATATCGGCTTCTCACCCCTCAGAATTTGTCCTGCCGATGATGGCGTAGCTTTCTCAAAAGAGATTGAACGCGACATGGAAGAGCGATGCACAACTCTGAGCTCGTATAATCTCAAATCTGCTCAGTATACGGCGGGCTATAAGGCAATTCTTGATCGTCAACAATATCTTAAAGAGGATCAAAGGGAGCTAAAGATCCTGATTCGAGCCATGCGAGCCTTGCGCAACCTACAAAGCGTTAGTATATACACTGACTCTTGTGGCATCGGGTCAAAAGAGGCTGCTCGCGCCATAGGATCCCTCTATCAAAAAAGGCTATGCGTGAACGATCGGGAACCAGTCGCAATCTTAATCGAAGCGCTCCAAAAGTCGGGCGTAAAACTTCGCGAAATTTGGTTAGGCAGAGAAGCCAGCCTTGCTGGATGGGATAGCGTACAAGAAAAAGAAGCGAACCCGTTTTTGACTGAATCGCTCTCAGCCATCTTTTCTACCCTGAACTCGGGTCCTGGTCGTGAGGTTCTCAAATCCGTGAAGAAGATTCATATCCAATGTGTCTATAGCTTTCTTGATCTCGATGCAGGGAATCAAGACAGCGTGGCCACTCGCTGCGAGCAATCATTGTCTCATCTCTTAGACGCAGTACCCCATCTTGAAGAAATAGATCTATATGGAGATGTCATGGATGCTGGGCAGCATTCCGGCACAAGGATTGACAGGGTATTACCCTCCTTCTTTTTAAATCACGAGGCATTATGGTACGTCAGGCTACACTGCATGGACGCGAGGAAGCAGGACATTCTCGCACTATTGACTAATTGTCGCAAAACTCTGGGTAATATATATTTCGAATCTGTATACTTGGAAGACATGGGCCAGTGGGAAGGAACATTAGACGAAGCACGAAACCTCGCATTCCTCCGACTGCAATATGTGGAGCTTCTCGATTGCCTTGAGCAGAAGGAAGATATTCTTGCCCATGGATTCATCTTGAAACACTCTGATATCAACCCTGTGAAAGCCTACATGGACCAACATGCGCATCAATTCACAACCTGACACCTGTCTCCTCATTGATCCCATCAGAATGTTGGAGCCTACCTACATCTCAATAACACACACTGATACATAGCACCACAACGCCAAAGATTTCACATGTTCTAAGATTCAATTGTCTTTTTACATGACACAGCTCGCCACTCGCACCTGACGCTTGAAAATCATCATAGACAAGCTGTTTGCACAATAACCATAGCCATTCAAGCGGTTTGAGTTTATCCAGGTCTCGGATCAAGCTAGCTATATCATTTACATCAGCTTCACGGAAGGGATTCTGCAATACACAGTACACAGATAGCTAGGATGACACCATGATCATCATATAGCTCAGAGCAATCAAACTTCCTCATTACTTCATACTGATTCAAAAGCTTAAGCGTGGAATATCATGATAGTACATTTTACAATGCGCTCCATCTGTTTTTTGCGCCAGATATCCAAGATTGACCCATCTGCAAGTCTGGGTCGTGTCTGGTGTTGCAAGGATTGAAAAGGATATCTTAGAGAGAGTGTTGTAATGAGATTGATTACAGAACCGCTTCACTTGGGAGTCTACCCTGCGCATGCGTCTTTCCCTGGACTTGATCGTCACATGGCTTTTGTCAAGCTATATCCCCGTCAACAGATGTTAAGACCGCCGCCAGAACACCTTTCTGCCATTTGCTCGCATCAAGAGTGTCATGTGTATTATTCCTCTACGTGAATGACACTCTGAATACGGTCTAGCGTTGATGATTGGCTGGAATAAGCAAAGTGGGTTTGCCACCGCCAACACATCACCTCTCAGCATTTACTTCTCCCTCTCGTGAAAATTTGCTTCCTTCCTCAACGACGATCCCTCGATATGACGGAATCTCGCTGATTGATGTCGTGCTGCTCACTTCAACTATTTCACCCTTAGAACAAATCAGCAGGTTTTCCATTCCGCACCACGTCTCTCCGTTCTTTGATACCAAATCAATTTTACAAGCTTGACTCATGTGATGACAGAGTCTGGATAAGGTCTTCACCGAGCAATGGATAAGATTCCCAACGAAGTCCTGGAGCAGATCATTGATGATCTCGCACCATTCGAGGACCCCGGTACTCTTACTGATCTGAAGGCGGTCCGACTAGCTAACAAACGCCTTTGCCACACGGCAACACCGCACCTCTTCAGAGCCGTGCCGTTATGGATGAGTATAAGGAATATAACGAAACTAAAGCAGATCTCGGAACATCCGCAAATGTATTTGTCCCTTTCTTTATTGGTTGACATCGCTGACGAGACTTGCTAGCCGACATTTTGTAAAAGAAATTAGATTCTCACCGATAAGTTTTGGATCAGCTGAAAAAGGATATGGGTATCGCCACACGATTGAATATGACCTCAAGCTGTATCAATCACCAGTACTCAAGCAGTATTCATCAAAAGCAGTCCTCGACTTGACAATGCAGACGCACCTATCGGGCTACAATAGTTACGTACAAGATACCACTTTCCTGAAGAATGAAAGCATAGGATTGCGAATCCTCACTGAAGCGCTTGCCGCCTTATCTGGCTTGGATGAGATACATATTGATATATTCAATGACATTATTGGTGCAAAGGAGCTTCACGAAAGACTTGGATTTCTCAATGGCCACGAATTAATATGGGACGGACTTCACAGCACTTATATGTTGATCGAAGCGTTGGCTGGTGCTTGCAAATCACCTAGTGTCGTCAAGATTATTGTGCGAGATCGACAGAGGATATCCGAACAACCCTCTTTGCACGATATCTCAAAACGTCTCCCCGTAGTAGGGGTGGTGTGGGACGTCATACCCCAGAATGCTTTAGTTGATGCAATTATCAAGACCGGGGCGGATGTCTCATTGCTTTTTAAAAACGTAAAAGCTTTTGATGGCTTTCTTCTTCTGGGAGGATCCCAAAGCATTGCTGATCAAAACGCCTACGCAGATTGTTTGAAGGATGTTCTTGATCACGCTCCTCGCATTGAAGAGCTTCGCTTAAACATCAGAAGCAATGTTAGGACCGCATATCCGGACGACTTCGCACGAACTTGGGGCTACGTGCCCTACACATGCTTTTTCCCCAAATTGCGCAAGCTGGAGATATGTTCTTTTCAAGCGACAGTGGTTGAAGTGACATCTTTCTTCAAGTCTCATGCGACGACTTTGGAAAATGTTCTCATATTCAACGAGATCTGGCGTTACCCAAGAGACTGGCATAGTGTTGTAGCTGATTTGAGAAAGTATGACTTCAAGCGCTTGATTAGCTTCATCATTGGAGACCCCGAACGACGAGACCCTTACCCGTTTAAATCTACCAACGTTACAAGCTACGTCAAGGGACTTACCGAAGACGATGGCCTTGATCTGAGCTAGAATCTTTGAATCAATTTCGTGGTAAGATCAATTTGATCCCCTTTACCTTTTCCTCGCTGACTCTGACTATACTCTTAGGTACAGTAATGTTCCAATATTTTCACTCGGCTCAAGCAGCATTACGAAATAGGTTCACTTCACAACACCAATGGAATGTCTGCGAGATGATTGCGCTGAATAGCCTGAGTGCTACGCATGCACCAAATTTCTGATGGCATGGAGCACATGGAGGGTAATCTTATGACCACACGAGTCTGAAAGTACTCTAGACTCCAGTCCTTGTCGTATCTCTTACAGCCTATTTAGACTCGGGAACATCGGTGGCGCAATGCATAACTAAACAGAACTATGCACAAGGGCCTAGAGTATGATATTTCCATCCTCATGCCCTAGAAGTCAGGCTACATATTCCCGAAAGCTTCGGGTTGGATTATGTAACCCTTGTATTGTGACATGAGCTTCAGCTCTGAAGTCCAATATCATATTTGCGATTGCCTGTTTCGATGAAATCACGCGCATGCGTCAACCTTCGTTGCACTTTTTGTGCACATTGAGCGTTGATGGAGCAACCGCCGCTTTGCGAACAAAACATCAGAATTTTCTGCTATGTAGTCGAATCTACACTCTGGCTACGTTGACATCGCCACATAGCTTAAGCAGTGTATTTAGATTGTGTCTGCGCATGACATTCGAACTTATGCTTGATGAATTAATACTTTGCATTTCATCTATGTTTATGACGGGGCCCCATTCGTCCAAGCGCTGCTGGGTTGCTACATAAGCTAAGTAGGTTGCCTTTATAAACAATACGCACGTACAGCTGCTTCTCTGGCTATTATCTCTATAGTCCCCGCCGCAAGACCCTCAGACATCTTTCATCGCTGTTCGTGTAGCCGAAGGCTTCTTTGAGCAAGTTGGGTCTGACCGTATCAAGTGATAGGACCTAGCGCAAGATCATGGACAGGATCCCCGTCGAAATCCTGGGCAAGGTCGCCTGCGAGGTGTCTCTAAATCATGACTATGATGCATCGCCAATAGCAGATCTCAAAGCCCTGAGACTGACTGACCGACGATTCTCCGAGATAGCTAGGCCATATCTTTTCGAAAAAGCTGCCCTCTGGATAAGTCTTGGGGCAACTAAGCTCGAGATAAGCACTTTGCTTCTTTCGCACGCGAAGACCTTGGAAATAGTTCAATTCATTGGGACTCTCTCTGCAGCGGAGGTACCATTTTGGCCTCTAGTCCTTGCCGGAATGAGACTAGGGGACTTCAAGCGTTTGCGCCATTTCACGATAGCAGGTTTTTATATCTTGGGATACACACTGCAAATGGAAGCAGTAAATCAATATATCGACGTTGATGTGGCACCTTATATTAAGGGACTCGTCGAAGTCAGTGGGTTTGAGTGGATTCACCAAGAACTCGATCCTGCTCCAAGAGAGTGACTTCAATCAATTAAACTGCCTCAGACCTTCCTGAGCTGCAGTAACCATTTCTACATCAGTGTCAGCCTACAGCCTGTTACCTATCGGTGGAAGCCTTCTCACAAGGGTTCTTTCGTGCAAAGTAGCACTAGCGTACCTCATGTCAGAATTTGCACCAATCATTCACCTTTGATTACGCGTGGCTTTGGGATGGAGTGATTCCCCTTCTCTGTGTGTTTATGAGATTTCATCGATGGAAGCGAGTTATACAAAGAAAAATGGTGTGGCTGATGTGTACCTATGACACGCCCAATTAGGTATAGTGCGACTAAAGTGATGCTCAGAGAATAACCACCCTGATTACGTCATACTCGTGTTTTCACTTGTCCATCCTTCTTTCCCAGCGACCACCTTCTGCCTTCACATCCCCCTAGATATCACTAACATCGGTCTTCCTTAAATCCTTGCATCCACATTGTAGCTCTACTGATTATTTCTGGCATCTCCACCAATGTGGAATTGAGGCCATTACCAACCTGTTCTCACCGAGGACTTATAGCGCAATGCATCGTCTTGCTAACGAGATCTTGACCTTGATTGTCGACTATTTGCCTACAGCTGATGACTATGGGTTAAGAAGGGATCTGAAAGCTCTCAGATTATCTCATAGGAATTTCTCAGGCGTGGTAACGCCGCGTCTGTTCTACGTTGTTGCACTATGGATAGGTCTCAAGAGCGTAATGAATCTTCAACAGATCGCTGAGCATCCCCAAATGTACTTATCTCACCTTTATCCATCGATCAAAAGATCAAACACATGACTTACATCGATTGCAGTCGTCATTTAGTAAAGACAATCGTCTTTTCGCCTATCGGTCTAACAATTTCGCGGTCGAAGTACCAACGTGTCCACCAAGCTCGGTCTTACCTTACGGAACAAAATCTATCTCAAACGACCCTGAATCTGAAGCTCTATATTCATTCGACGGCATATGAGACATTATCTCATGATCAGTATTTCCTACAAGAGAATGAAATACTCTCGCAAGCTTTTGCTAGCCTAACCAATCTAGAGACCATTGAAATTGATATTAAGAATGAATTCATCGGGGCTGGGGAGCTTTATACCAGATTTGGCTTCCTTCATGGTAGGGAGATATCAGCAGACGGAGAAGTCAGCTTTCCTATTTTCATAAATGCGTTAGCGAAGGCGTCGAAGCGACCTAAGGTCTTCAAGTTCACTGGCCAGGAATCCCCTCTTCCTTCACTTTCCAACAAGAACATTCCAGACAACCAGATCGCACACGCTTGCCGTGAGAGGCTGTATGTTCGTGGAATGAATGCAAAACTATCAATAGGAGCACTTTGTGAGGCTTTCAAGTACGGTCTCAACGACGTCATGCCGCTATTCACAAGCCTCGAGAAGTTTGACACAGGGGATCTGAATCTAGAGCTCGTAAGCGAGGACGACGTCGAAGATCTTGCATACTGCATCAGAAGAATACTTGGAGCAGCTCCAGATATCCATGAGCTTTATCTCATGATAAAGGACGTTGCCTCGTATGGATTCACTGAGTGGACGGACTACGTTCCGTCCAACAAATCTTTCCACAACTTGCGCGCTTTTGAACTCCACCCTTACAAGGTGATCACCAATGGGTGTAAAGACTTAACATCCTTTCTCTCTCGTCACAAGAACACTCTAGAAAAAGTTCAGATCAATTACGGATGTCTAGAGGAGACCGAGAATTGGCCTTATGCCTTAGTCAAGCTAAGACAGGATGGGTTCGATCGCCTGTCCAGCTTCATCATTGCAGACGTCGAGCAAGAGAATGACTCTGGGAAAGTCAGGAATGTCGATGTCACAGGATATATCAACAGGCTGACTGATGACCATGGTTTATAACTTTGGCTGCTGGTAGACTTTCGTGTTTATCTAGTCGACTGTGTTGCTTCATCGGCTGCAGACATTCAATTCGACCTGCAGCACGGCAAGATCTGTCCGATTACATAGTACTCTTTTATGCATGAATTTTAAAGGATCCAGCGAAGTCTCGCCAGCGACTGGACTAGGAAGACGTCAAAAACGATCATACTCGGATAGCCGGATAGCAAAATATGGAATCAGATCGACATTTTTTCAGAGATGATACTCCAGTGATCATGGCATATTCAGTTGCAGCTCTGGGTCGTCCTAGCTACCACCATCCTCACCAAAGATCTCTCGAACTCGAACTAACGATACAGCCCTAATCGGAGAATCAATCCATCTTTCTGTTTCTCCCTTCCAATACGCTCAAAAACGTGACTCACAGCTCGCTACCATCAGATCAATACCATTTGCGCCAACTTCCTATCTATCACGCAATAATTGGCATCATCTTCAACTCACAACGTCCCATCTCCTCCTCCTCCTCCTCCTCCTCCTCCTCCTTATCAAGTCCTGATCTCCACCCCACGACTTCATGGACAAAATACTCGGACACGCCCTTGCTTCACCCATCACACGCTCTCGATTCACTGAAGCTTCCGTAACACTTCAGTATCGCGAATCCGTCTTACAAGCTACCGCGAATTTGGTACCCCACACATTCTGAGAAACATACAAAGTCTCCCTGTTGCGCTTGCCTGAAAGCTTCGTTGCCTTCCTTGCCACTGCCCAACAATACATCATAGTTTACCACACTAGTCATTTCACAAGACGATCCATGTCGCAACTCAATAACATTTACCGGAGAAAGACCTTGTGTATGTGGTCACCCTGGTTACTACTGGATACTGACACCGACCTCCATCCCTCCCTGTGCACGGAACATCTGATGCTCGCTTACCTCTTGATCCCCTTTCTTTAAGCTCCATGTACTGTATCACCACTCCACTCACCCTCACCTCTACCACCTTCTCGTCCCACCCCCCAACTCAGCTTCCACCCCATATTCGCCATCGTACATACCATACACTCACAGCACCCCCCGCCTGCCCCCCACCCCTTTACCAACTAAGTCAAGAAATCTTGTCCGCATACAGCGCGCAGGTATTACATACCTCTGCCAAATCTCAACTATTATCTACAGAGCTTACACTCACAACTCATGACTCGTCACGAGTACCTATGCAACGACAGCCGAGGCAATTGCAATAGAAGTTGGATTTCGCCGTCACCTGACGCGAGCGGGAGTGGGAATGGATCAGAGTTGTGAGCGTGACATGTTGTCTGACCTGACTAGGGTGGGGCAGGGGTTGGTTATGGCGGCTGTCTGCCTCACGTAGACGCTCTTTCGGGTGGAGGATATTGTTACGTCAAGGGGGAGGGGGCTGTGCGTAGTGGGGTGGGTTTGGGATGGAGGGGAAGGGGAGGATGCATGAGAATGTAATTGGGGGAGAGGGGGAAGGGGATAAAGCTTTACGTACCTGCTGTTGATATTTCCTGCGATTCTGGACTGGATGGGAGGTGTATTGGGGATGTTTGGAAGGTGAGTGTGGGTATTTGCCGGGGTGAGAGATGGGGTGGGGAGATGTGATTGATATCGGATCCAGATGGGGAAGCATGGGAGGTCATGAAGAGCCTGCGATTTTAATTGGGTTTGGAGGTTGGGAGATATATGTGATGGGAGCTAAGACTTGAGGAGGGGAGTTGGATATCACGTGAGTGAGATAGACATGCAGGTCTATATTGCGATATCCCAAGATTTTCAAGATAGAGTTGTCAAGTTTTTGGATCATGAGGATGTCGCCCTGCAGGCATTGAAAGTGGAACGAGTATGTGGTAGAGACTCGAGGGTATTGTACTAATATATTAGTTTTTGGGTTTTGGTTACGTACAGTTAGTATGAAATATGAAAAGCGTTGTTCCTGCAGACGAATTTTTACACGCGAGTATGGGCATGATTGAGGTTAGCCGGTGTCATTTGAGTCTCGTTCAACGTTACTTGTTTGGGTCATTTTCATTGGAGATCTGGCTGATTATTGATATGCTAGGTAGCCGTGCGTCGTACCTCATCAGAAGTTCATCATTCCGTATTGACCGTGTCGATAGGCCGTACCAGCCCGATGCCAAGTAATGGATTCGGGCATCTAGATCTCTTTTTTTTGTCTGTCGAGTCTAAAATGTTGTGTTGGAGGCTAGACCTTGTAAAACCATAAGGGTAACGGTGGCTTTCTGTCCGTCTCCGAACGCAAGAAAGGTGCTAGGTCGGCGTCGGGATCACCAGGAGAGGATTCCAGGAAAAATCCCTTCAACGCCGTCCAGTCATATTCTTGCCTCATGTTGTCATATACACGTTCCTTGTGTTCACTGTGATCATGTAGACTTATATAGTAAAGGTCGACATACATTATGTGCTTAGAACGACGTCCAAAAAAAGTCGTCATCTCAGCTATATCTCTGAAAGACATCAGACCCAATTTTAGCGAGCGGATTCCAAGTAAAGAATCCGACGAGATGTAATCAGTCACAATATCAATTGATGAGTCTCCTTTCGTCGTTCCTGACAGAGAGAACATTTCAAGATTGACGAGTGCTTCAAAAAGTGTTTTGAGGCTTCGTTGCACGGTGACTTCGTGCTGAGGGTTGGGTCTGGGCCATTGTCCATGAGAGCGGTATGGTACATGTACCTCAAGATATGTAAGGGCTGACCAAGCTCGCAAGGCAGGCATGCTTCGCTCAAGTGTTTTAGCCAACATTTGAAATGAAGGCATAGCGGAATTATCAAAGTTGAGATAGTGGCGCCGAGGGCATGTCATCTTCCTATTCCACTGGACAATATCCTGCGCTCCCAGAAGTAGGGCTGTGAGCTGTGTTCGTATCTCATCAAGAGCTTCTAAAGCGATGATGAGTGACCTCGGGCTGTCGAAAGTAAATACAGCAGTACTGGGATGATGAAAGGCTGAATGAAGTTCTTTTGCCCCAATCCAAGAACTCGGACCGAAGGCTTGAAATACTCGTAGATTATGAAGCCTCCTAAAGGCGTGTGATAGGATGGTTTTTGCCTGATTGGCGCGATACAAGCTACTTTGCTCCACTGCATACTTAAAACTCGTGCTCAAATCTTTCGCGTATCTGGAATTGGTGGGATCGGATGAAGGTACGCGCGCTTCATGCTTTTCCTTAATGATTGATCGCTCTTCTTCGTATTGAAATGTGGAGAATTGAATCGTATGTACGTAATTTGAGCTTGAAGCCTTCAGTTTAGGACCTTGTCGAGGTCTCGGCGTACTTACAATGCAGCATGTTGTGAAATGGCTGTCAAATTCTGTAGACTCTTCGATCCGATCCAAAGTGGGATAGTCGCGAACATTGCGGGCGAGGCTGCGTCTGACCAGGCCTTGTTGACCAAGCGAAGGTCGCCTAGATTATACTGGGATGTGAACTTATCATCGTTCTTGCTTGATGTCGGGACGTGCTCCGCGATGGCAAGCAGGACTTCTGGAGGCAACGACTCCATTGTGAGATGAGCAACTAGAATCCCGAACAATTAGAGCTTATTGTTGAGTGAGCACTAATAGAGAGAGATGAAAGATAGGATGATATGGGGCTCATGTGTTAGATACAGTGTGGTAGGAAGCTATCTAAGAACACAGTGTGGGAGCAGTGCCAGATGCCAAGGTTCATAGGGCTACTCTAATCCCAATCGATCTCGTTGAAGCCCTCGCACTAGACCCATAAGAAACTAACCCCCAAATCCGCCTCACCGCCAGAGATGGGAGGAAGCGAAGGCGAGAATAGCTAGAACTGGATCGCGAGAAGTGAATTGTGGCGATGAATTTTGATTTCGATGTCAGCAAGGCTATTCTTTCTCCTGGAACAGCGCTGTGAGCGTAAAGTAGAACACCGGGTTGCGAAGTGAGGTTCTTTGTGGACCCTACCAATTTATGCCTCGAGTTTTTCGTCAGAATAAGAGAGCGTATGATCCTGAAACCATCCCGAATCTCATACCACATGCAAATACCATTTTGCCTGTTGTTCTGTGCGTAAAATGGAGTCATGTAGCAGTAAATGCTCGGTTTGATCTGCGTGGGGTTATGAATACTGCTTGAAACTTTACGCAACTTCAATCCGTATGGTTTGGAGTAATAGGTAAGCGTCTGCGCTTGAGTCTGGACTTGAATCTTGTCGGACCAATCCGGAGTGATCAAGGCCTCCCAGTCCAACGCTCCGTTAGATCAGTTTCCGTGCGAGGGTCATGCGCATTCTCATGTTGTATAAGTCCGTCACCCTAAAGGCGTTTGATATAAGGGTGATGTTGCTTTTTCGCCTGGTTCGCACCGTAAGAAAGGCGCAATGTCGACTCTTGAACCTTTATGAGTCCAGATGATGAGAAATTCTTTCAGGGCCTTCCAGACGACGCGTTCCATGCGTTCAAGGAAGTCACTTATTGGAACGATGCGTTGCTCATTGATGCAAACGGAGACCAGACTGACGTCTCTCAATTGCTGGTAGCGGAATTTGAAGAAGTCCACCATCTCGTCGACGTTATCGAATTCCATAGTTTCTAGTCTCAAGCTAAGAAGCTTCGGCATTAAAGTTGACGAGATATATGCAGTCACGCTGTCAGGGCCGACATCGTCATCCTGGCAAGACTCATTGCAGGACAGGTCGAGCTTCTGAAGATTGACGAGTCCTTCGAGCAGAATTCTTACGTGGTGTCGCATCTTTACATAGCTCGTAGTATCCCACTCGTCCTCTTCTACTTGCTGTAATCCTGGTAGGAATAGTTCGAGATGTTTGAGGGATGACCAGTTTCGCAATGAAGGCATAGTGCGCTCAAGTGTTCCCGCGAGCACGGATGCGTAAGGTGCCCCCCACGGACGCACCAGAAGAAAATGGCTTTGCGGGCATGTTGATATCTGGTCGCCTCCATGGTTTACGACATCAGTCTCTCTCACTTGTAAGCTCGTGAGTTTTCGCCCGGATTCATCAAGCGCTTTCAGGGCCACAATCAAAGGCTTCTCATCATTGAACGTGATGTCGGCTGTATGGAATTCCGAGAAAGCTTGATTCACCTCTTTAGCTCCAATCCAAGGGCTCTGCAGGACAATCGAGAATACTCGTAGGCTATCAAATTGCTCCAAGGCCTTCGTCAAAGCAGACTTCGCGAACTCTCCCGTGTGTAGAGCAGCTTGTTCTGCAGCATACTTAAGGTTTGTACTACAAGCCTGCAGATCTTTGAATAGGTAGTCGTTTGAATATGAATACGTGAAGAGATTTTCAGTGGAGCCTAAGTGTTCGGATGGTGTCCCTGTAAATTGTAACGTGGAGAATTGAATGGTGTGGACGTATTTTGAGCTGCGGAAGATTAGCAAGGATCTATGAACAGGCTTCGCGCTTACAGCAAAGGATGTTTGGAAATAGCTATTAACTTCTGAACACTCTTTAGTCCGATCCAAAGTGGTATCGTTGAGAACAACAGAGGCGATGTTGCGTCTGCGAATCTTTTATTGACCAAACGGACGTGTCCTAGATCGTACTGAGGCTTAAAGCGGTCGTCGTGATTTGTTCCTGGTATAGAGACTTCCTTGATGATCATTTGGAGAATCTCCAAAGGGACCTTCATCATTTCGATTGCGTTGGGTTCTGGAGAAAGATATTCATCAGTCCTTTGTCGGAGGATGTGGCCTCTTAAGTAGAGGTCTCATCATGTGGCAGGGAGTGTGTTGTCAAGAGAAATTTGACACTTAATCCAATTCGACACTAAGCCCAAAGTGTCACCATGTGTGGCATACTAAATTCAGCCAATGGGCCGAGAGCCACTGATTGAGGGGTAGAATTCCTGAAGTAGAGAATATAATACCAACGTAACGAATTGGAGGGGGGATCTGGTCAGTCCGGTAGGTGTCATGCGTGTTCTCAGGAATAGTCTCAATTGATGGAGAGGACTGAGAGACTCGAGGCAAGTGGTGAAGCGTCGGGAGGTGATGCAAAGGACTGTGCGTAATCTGATATCCGAGAATTCTGATTGGTCTACGTCAGTGCTGATGCCTGTTTCTCAGAACACAGGGTAGGTACAAGTAGACTCCGTAAAGTGTTAAACGAGCGAGCCCCTGCTTTCTCCTCAAATAGGATGAGAACTGAAGGGAAGGCCGCTAAGTGAGCAAACATTGGCGCTCGAGTCTGGATTTGAATCTTGTCGGACCAATCTGGAGCGACTCAGGCCTCCCAGTCTAACGCTCCGTTACCAGTCCCAGAAATATTCTGGCTTCAGTGCGACATCCTCGTCTGTTCCTCCCTTTAGAAGTGATGTGATGTCCGATTCAACCCCAAGCACAAAGGATTGCAGGGTCTCCCAATCCCACTGCATCATGTGTTCTACAATAGGCCGCATAGGGACCGTGCCGGTGCCACTTCCGTCCAGGCATTGAACATAATTAAAACGAACGCTTCCCAACTGCTTGTAGCGAGATTCGAAGAAATCCAACATCTCATTCTCACAATGGAAGTCTATCCCCTCTAACAGCAGGTGGCGAAGCTCAGGTATGGAACCAGGAGCTATGTACTGATAGACTGGCTTCGTCCGGGGGATAATTGCATCAAGTATTAGATGTAAGACCCGAAGATTCGGCGCAGATCTGAGCAGCCCTTTCAATTCTCGCGCATTAGTGTCGACACTCTCAAGATCGATTTCGTAATCTGAGAAGGGGTTACTGTCGTCCACTAAATGTACTGACAGGGATTGAAGTGCCGACCAATTCCGCAATGAGGGCTTGAAGATATTGAGACCATTAGCAATCGTTGCGGGAGTAGGACCAGAGAAGTCCTCCATCAAGAAGTATCTGTTTCCTGGACAGTTTATGTTTCGCCTATTGTCTTCACACATAATCTTCGGTTTCATGATTTGAAAACTTGTAAGTTGTGTCCATGGTTGGTCTAAGGCTTCTAGGGCAATCTCAAGAGGCCTTGAGGCACTGAAGGTGATGTCAGAAATCTCAATCTCTTTAAAGGCCTGGTTCACTTCTTTTGCCCCGATCCAAGGACTCTGTAGAACGATACTGAAGTCTCGTAGATTGTTTAGGCGTCCGAATGCCTTGATGAGAACCTTTTTTGCTTCATCGCTTCTTGAAAGACGTGTCTCGTTTTCGACCCAGCGAGCTCTAGAGGCGAAATATTGCTGAAAGTCCAAATCGGTCGGCGCAAGGTCAATATCGTTGTTTAGGGCTTCAGCCTTGATTCGCGTCTCAATGGGAAGCGTGTGGTCCTTACTGATTTGCAAATTGAAAATTTCGGGTTGCAAATTGGAGAAATGGATCACTTTGACGTATTTTGAGCTGACCACTTTAGCGAATTCTTCGTAGTGTGGACAGGAGTCGAACTTACATGACAGGGTGTTCTGATATGGCCGTCAGGTTCTGCAAGCTTTTCGATCCAATCCAAAGAGGGATGGTAGAAAACAAGGATGGTATAGTCGCATCTGCGAAAGCTCTGTTCACCAGGCGAAGGCTTCCCAAGAAGTATTGAAATGCAAAATCATCATCGTGGGGCTCCGGTCTGTAAGACACGTTTGCAATGATCATCTGCAGAACTTCAGGGGGTAACTTGTCCATCGCCATGGGACCGCCTGCCCAATAGAGCCCCTGAGACTTGCTGCAAGTCTCTATTGGCAGCCACGTAAGCTAATGTCGTTGGTGTTGTGAGCTTCTTGCAATCACATCTAGTAAAACAAGATTACGATAAGTTCTTACGCTAAGCCTGTTTATCGCTAGTAAATTACAAAAACGGCTAGACTACGGAGGTATCGAAGGAGGATGCTGACAAGCTTGGCGTTTTTGGAGGGGAAAAATTGGACTTTCTATGGACAACATATTGTCGCACGTCAAGGTACTAAACGATAGCGATGATGCTGAAGAAATCAACTGGAGTGACAACATACTGTGACTTGAGTCTGCTAAATGCGGATCTGTGTATGAATTACCCTCCTCTCCGCCCACCGGAATCCCTTCCCCTAGTGAATAGTTTTTGCTACTTGATTTTAGCCTGACCGATGAAATTTGTCAGCGTACCTCTGGAGTCACTGACGAGCTTCAGATAAGTTTCGCATAATCTGCAAGCCTTGCAAAAAGGATGAAATAGTTCATCATAAGAGTATGGTCGATTGCCTTTGCTAAGGCTGCTGAGCAGCTGTCCTTATTGTAGTGGTTGTAGCTATGACGCAAGACTGCAGGATTACTCAGGGCTTTTTTAAATGATTGATATTTATCGCTAGTAAGTCTGGCCCTAAGGTCACAAGTCTTAAGTTGTTAAGCATAACCAACAAAATACTGTATACATTAGAAACTTGGTGAGCTTGATCTAAATGCTTTACTCTATTATTATACCAAGTTTTATCTAATTTGGTTTTCAAATGGTAGTCGTAGAACATGTTGAAAGCAAATGTCCGGATTTATCGGAAATATCAATCATTTAAAAAAGGCTTGAGTAGCTCAGTCTTATCCCTACTTGGTAAGGCTTGAAGCAGGCAGCAGCCTGAGCTCTAGGATCTTTCACATTGAGTCCTACACGTCGCATAGCAGCATTGATTTCGGAAAGAATGATCAGTACTTCAACTGGTGGCTATTGAAGCACATATGTATAGCTCTTCTACCGTAGGACTGAGGCTCGTCAAATCGGCGGACACTTTGGCTTCGGTACAACAATGAAGCGCAAGCGGTCAGCTCAAGGCGTCCGTAAAGCCAAAAAGGCCTCCAGATCCAATGGAGCTGCGCTACGTCATTCAGAAATGCGCATATCAAAGGGCAGTAATAGAGATGCCAAGATCAAGCAACATTGGCTTTGTCGAGTCTGCAGAACACTCGTCCGCGATTCAAACATACTGAATGGTAGACACCAAGAAGTCAACATGTCTACGGATCAGGACTCTGGAAAAGATGAACGACGTGAGCAATTCGTTCATCATGCTGGAATGAAGAGGCTGCGCGCTTCAGCGCTTGCAGGGTGCCATCTTTGTGTCAAGCTGCTCGACAATCTTGATTATCATTTGGGAAAAGGATACTTCGCCTTTACTGATCAGGACCGCCACGAGATAGAGCCTGAAGGCGAGGACGTCGCGGACGACCTCGTGCAGCAAATTCATCCTGCATTGTGGCTGGGTATAATGCACAAACAGCGGCAGAGAAAAAGGCGCCACCTCGCTCGTCAAAGGTATGCTCAGCTGGAAGAACTTGGAAACCCTACAGATCCGACTATTATTGCACAGATCTCTTATGACGGAGGATTTCACGACGAGTCCTCTCGGATATCAATCAACGTCGAACCAAATGGAAGAATTGGAGTACCTATGGAGACGGACGGCCGTAGAGCCATCTGCTTGAGGCCTGTCACAGACAAAAACAAGCGAAAGGGGGAGGTGGGCCAGGACGCGCCTGTAGATGATCACCATGACGCGCAAGTCAGTATTGACACAAGGTCAAGAAGTTCATTTGATTTAGCGCGTCAATGGCTTAGTGAGTGTGTGGGGAACCATCCCCTTTGCCGGGAGGTAAACAATTCCAAGTTCGTTCTGCCTGCTCGTCTGATAGATGTCGGGAGTGTCCCGGCAAGCACCACAGTGCGGGTATGCAATACCAGTGATCTTAAGACCCGGCCAATTTACGTCGCTTTGAGTCATTGTTGGGGTGAGGTCGAGACTGTGCGGTTGTTGCAGGAGAACAAGGTGGCTTTCAAGGATAATCTGAAGTATGAGGATCTGCCATTGACCTTTCAAGATGCAATTAGTATTACCCGCCAACTGAGACACAGGTTCCTATGGATTGACTCCTTATGTATCGTCCAAGATTGCAAGGAGGACTGGAAGTCAGAGTCTAGCGTCATGGGAGATATTTATCGGGGCTCTCTATTTACAATCTCGGCTATGGCCGCCAAAGACGCTAATGGTGGATGCTTCGCTGAAAGAAATCCATTGTTGTGGTGGCCGTGTAGGCTAAACAATACCCATGGCAAGCCTTTGGTTGCTCATGGGGTGTCTCTTCATTATCAGGTTGAGGGTGCACTCGCCAGCCGCGCTTGGGTCGTACAAGAGTGGACCTTGTCGCCGCGAACTTTGCACTACACCAAAGACGCCATCTACTGGGAGTGCATCGAAAAGTATGCGTCTGAGGTATGGGTCCGTGGAGATATTTCTTGGGAAAAAAACCCAAGAATTCGACGGCCAAAAGAGGCCTTTCAGTCCCTGATATCGTCTTATCGTCTGCAGGCTGGAGCACCTGATGTCTCTTATAATGACTTTAGGAATTTCCACTCCACATGGTTTGAAATCTTGAAAAACTTCAGCAGCTGCTCGTTGACTCAACCAGGGGACAAATTGGTGGCTATTCGTGGGATCATTCGGACTATCGAAACAAAAACAGGCCTTACCAATGTAGCTGGCATGTGGAACGACTTTCTTTTACCAGAATTACTTTGGTACACGCCGACACCAACCAACTCTTTGCGACCGTCATATACCGACAAGAAAGCCTATCGTGCTCCGACCTGGTCTTGGGCTTCAGTTGACACAATCGTTCTCAACTGCATGCCAGACCTAGTCGGAGGTCGTTACGAGAATATTCTCGACCTTTCCATGTTTGTTTCCTATCAATTTGAGTGGAAAGCCGAGATTGTTCAACACGATGTGTCGGCCAGACCTAATGGCGAAGTAACAGCAGGCGTTCTTGTCTTGAAAGCTCCTGTGCGCAAAGTAGAATGGGCAGAGAACAGTGGCGCAAGAGCGCGCAAACATAGTGATCATGCTCGAAGCGTGAACGATTCCTGGAGTTCAGACTTTCGTGCTGGGATATCTTGTGATAGTTTCGCCGTTCTCATAGGCCGAGGGACTAGCTCGTCGAACGTGAAGGGCGGAAGAATCGATGTTGGGCTTGTGGTGGAGCCACATCCAACTCGAGGGTTCTGCTGTCGATATGGGGTCTTTCAGCAGTGCTATTGGGAAGGGGACACCTATCCCATCTTTGCTGAGCAGCGGGACCAGGAGAAGAAGATCATGGTTTTAGCATAGGAAACGGCTCCTCAATGACGACAGTGAGTATAGAATCCTCTACGCAGATCCATACCCCTATAAACACAGCCATGACTTACCTGATCATCTAGCCTCAACCTTGTCAAGTCATGCAGCTTTTCTGAAATCACCCCTCTGTATCACGTTCCATCGCCCACATCACATCATGTTATTCAAAACATGGTCGAATAAGACTCAGCAAACCCTAGCACCAAGATCGGATCATCCGGGTATTGCTTCACCTCAACCCGACTTGGTCAACGCTAATCAGACTCGCCCTCCTTGTTACTGTCCAGCATTCCTCACTTGATTGTGGAAACAAGGTTTTTTGGGTCAAGCGAAGTATATTGCCCGACTCATCCACATCTGCTGAGAGTTTCGCCATCGCCTTCCACCTCTCGGAAAACATTCAAGCTTGAACGTGCAATACCTTTTCACGATACTATCTTTGACAACCATCAAGTCGTGTCAGGTGTGGGCTACTTATCTCATTCGATTGTAGCAAACAGGGCGATTTTTGGTGGGGGGATCCATCGAGTAAATGAGCACCTACTCAAGCTATGAGTGGATGGCTAAGATGAATCTGTAAAAGAGCTCTATCGGGCACGAAAGTGCGACATATCATGGCAGAGAAGCCTTGACAAAGTATCGGTATAATGCATTCGAAAGGGGATTCAGGGCAAATGGACTCAATCATGTTCGATGCCTAAGAGTGGTTCAATACTGGCAGGGAGAGGTTGAGGGTTTAATCATGAATGTGCTAATATCTTGCTATTGAAGCCTGGCGGATAATGCTCTAGAAGAGAGGCGTGGGCTGGGCCCATCGATATATTTCTGTTCGGTGATACTAGCTTATGTCAAACGCCGTACTGATCTGTAATGGCAGGGCTTGCTGGCCACAACAGTGAGATTTAAAGCATGACGTCCTTAAGTATCCTGCCAAGAGATAGAGGGACACGCAGGCTTGAGCTTGGTCACATTTGAATATACCCAACATTCTCGACGAAAGAGATCAAGATCCTAAGACACTCGATATCTGTAGCAGACTGGCATCGATCAAATGGGGGTCATCAAATGTTGCTTTGGACCTATAATCAAAAGCCAGCTATGATCAGTGTCTCAATTATGTTCATGATCGACGCCTCGTCATTCTGCTAATGGAAACTCGTCCGTCTCTTGTCTCAAAAATGGCCCGATGTCAATATTTGGGCTTCCAAGACCCGCACTCCAATCAAATCGCTTTAAACTTCTCCAAACGAATCGCTGCATGTATTGAATATTGAGCACTAGCTGCACATGCTCTCCATGGTTCCAATCCACCTTGAAAAGCGCAACACGTTCCAGTCGCTTGCAGCGAGGTCGAAAAAAGTCCACCGCCTCCTGCGGGTTCCTGAAACAAGAATTGGATATCCTGAGGTCGATGAGCTTTGGGACAGTAGCTTGTGGTAGATAATCAGTCACATAACCCCTCATGGAACCTCTCGTTCCTAAATCTAGGACGATCTTCCGAAGATTATGTAGAGCCTTGACCATAATCCTCCACTGTTTCAATCTGTGGGTTCTTTTACGATGATCACCGTTAATTTCCAGAAGCTTCGCATTCATTTCTAGATGAATTTCCAATTCCCGGAGAGCAGCCCAAGTGCGAGACGACCACTTCATGTTATGAAGGGCTTCGGCGATTATCGAGAGCGTAAGTGTACGTTCAGTCTCATTGATCAGACAACGTTCGAAACAGGCGAGGAAAGCTTCTTGATCATCGTTACGGCTTTCCTCAGGATCCCGCATGGTTTCATCTTCAAAGATACGTAAGCTCGTGAGAAGCTTTTGCGATTCGGTAAGAGCTTCAAGTGCAAGCCTGAAGGGTTTTGAGCCTTGGAAGCTTATGTTCTCGGATTTTATTCGGCCGGATTCCTGATTCAGTCGCTTTGCGCCAATCCATGGGTTTGAGAGTGTTAATTCAAGATGTTGGAAATTAGGAAGACGCATAAACACCTGCACCAGGGCGGACTTCGCGGAAGTCTCTGCGTAGAGAATGGACCTTCCGTCCAAATCTTTGGCCCTGGAGCCAAGGTACTGCATGTTGCCAAGGCCGACCTTTATACTGACCTGGAGATTTGAGAGACGAATGGTTTTAACGTAAGTCGAGCTAAGGAATTAGCCAAAATCTCCGAATTCGGATTTGCGCTCACATTGTGGGATGTTCTGATAGAGCTGACAAGTTCAGCAAGCTTTTCCCCCCAATCCAAAGAGGGATTGTATGGAATAGTAGGGGCGCTATCAAATCTGCAAAGGTTTTGTTGACAAGACGAAGATGAGCTAGACGATACTGGTATTCGAAGTCGTCAATGACTGCCCGCTCCTCATCCTCAGGTTTGATATTCTCGACAATGAGTTGCAAGATCTCTGGCGGGATACGATCCATATCTGACGCCACTGAAGCTGCCGGAGGACTGTAGAGTCTCTGTTCAGCAGAGACGGAGATGCGTGTAGACAAGGCCGTGAGTCATTGAGGAATGTGCGCTAACCCACTTTGTCACTAGCCTGTTACTCTTTTGGGAACATACGTGATAAGAACTGCGCAGAGCTTCCAGCGACGCTGCTGCCCTCCACAATCTCAATAGACGTGATTTTGTAGTGGATGCTCATAGGTATGCAGATAATCGTCTACTCTTGAGATGTAGAATATGTTGGCGTGAACATTCATGCAGCGTTACAGGGAATTTCAGGATAAAGAAGCTTCACAAAGATAGGTCAAAATGCATATCTCTAGATCTAGAAAAGTCAGCAGAAAGGCATTGAACGGCGAGACGGGTGATCAGTAGTCTGAATCTGTCAAGTTTAGGGTCGAACATTTCGATTTGAAGCCGAGAAAATGTGGGATTGGAAGAGAGCTCGATCGCCTTCAATGAAGATCGATGTTTGTAATTGTTGACTAAAAGGACCTAAGAATAAAGCTGACCATGAAAGCTGTGAAAAGTACTCGAATCTCAAGGTTCTCTACTCCAATCTTTCTTCTTGCCTATGCTGGCTTACCTCAAAGTATCGGTTGCCGTGTCAGCGACTTCTTGATCTAGGAATGGTGATATCGTTAGCGCACTTGAAGGCTTGGTTGTATATACTGATTGGATTTGAGAAGAATGAACTCATGAAGATGTGTCTGTTGTTTCGACACCATTCTGAGTTGATTGTACTTAGCGCTATGGCAGACTTGATCTCACCCCCGGCTCCAGCGGAGCCCGAGGTCTTCAGCAGAGTAGTATGTGATGTAGCTATACGCGAAATGATGGATCGCTCATGTTTCAGAAGCACGCATACTGTTCGCACTCCTTTTTGAGGTAGCCTGCAACATGAAGTGAGCGGTTTGGACTGCGTGTCGAGATTTGGAAGTTTCGTAGTCGCTGCCAGTCGAATTGTCTCAGAGAATCAAGTGGTATCGTCCAGTCATCGGCGTTGTCATAAGGTAAATACCTGACAATCACCGAACAGAAGTGGATCGCCTCAAGAGATTGAGAATGCTGGCCTAGGAATTTGACGAGCTGTTCATACCGTTTTATCTTAAAGTTGTAGAGGTAAAAGTTCTTCAAGTGGGGTAAGACTATATTTTCTTTCTCAAAGCGATCCATCAAGAAATATGAATCGCTGGTATTAGGTTGCCATTTCCGGATTCCAAGCGTCACTATGTCGTCTGAACTGTTCTGAATCATCTTCCCTATATTTTTGACGATTTGGTAAGCCGCAAAATCAGGGGCGTTGTACCAGTCTGGCAGGGTGATCGCCAATTCTTGCAGTGTCGAAGGAGGAAAGGCCAATTCGACTCTTTTCCTACCAGGCAGCCAAAATTGGCCCTTATGATCCTTAGACAATGGAGCAAGCTGCTGATCAATACCGACATCATAATCTAGCCCTCCTGTTCCCGCGTTCTCTACCATTCGTGACAGAGATTCTCCGTCTCCGTCTGGGATGATGCGTAGGGATTTCAATTCGATCGTGCTATGACTCAACGCCTCTAACACTAAGGAGATCAGAGCGTCGGCACTGTGCGTAGGGTTTCGAAGGGTTACGACGCCGTAAGCTGCACTTAGGAGTCGTCTGGAAGCGAAAAGGATTTCAAGATGTTGAAGCTTCTCCAGACGGGGGATGGCTTTCATTAGCTTGGACGTGTTGTCAAGAGGTAATTGTTGTTTGTTGGGCTTTCTTGGTCTAAGTCTTCCTATTTCGCCGCCCTCACGCGCTTCGACGCGGTCGGCCAAGCCGTCTGCGGCGTGGTTGTCTATCGGTTTCAAGGCTAGCTTGTGAACGTATTGAGATCTATCACACGTCAGACACCTCTGTAGTGTCATTCAAGAGCAATACGTACAGCTGTTGATGTTCAGCAATACAGACGAGACCCTGCAGGCCCTTTGTGTCGATAAGCACAATAATATTCCTGAAGAGCAGGGATGTCGTGATGGATGCGCATAATCGGTTCACTTGACGAAGACTCTTCAAATCGCGAATCGCGGTTGGATTTTCGGGTGCGGCGACTTCGTCGCCAACGAGTGTCAGAAGCTCGGCAGGAAAACTCTTCATTCTGGTGATAATTGAGGCACTCGCGGTTACACGCAGTATTTGTAGATGACGAACATAAGAGCTGCGGATCTTACGATCAACTTTCGTGGTTCGATTTCATGAGTCAGATGATGGTAGATGATGGAAGGTGGATGAAAGAGTTAACGGAGGATGTAGCAAGAATGTGCAGAAGTAATCCGACCAGAAGTGAATCAAGTGCGGGGTCATACTGTGTTGAAGGCTGCTTTGAGATGCTCTACGCTAGGTAGGGGATTTTACATCAAGCTATAACATGAGTGAGGTGCCATCAAGCACACATCATTTGTATCTGATCCTTCTACCTCATTTGGATGTTTGGTTAAGTCTCTTGTCCGACAACCTCCGCACGTCATTTAAAGGGCTTTGTCACTGGTAGTCACTATGACTGACTTATCTTCAAAGATGTGAAGCTTTGTGTTACTGTGCTCGGATGTAAAACCGTGCATCGCTATGTATCTCATCTTTTCACTATCATATCGCAAAGAGAAGAGCCGAATCCCCAACACAAATCGAATATGCAGAATAACTCATTTCTTCGACGCATTTCGCACCAGGCCCCCCAAATCAGTTGTCTCCACTCAAGCCTATTCCTCCTTCGTCCCACTCGAGCCATGCGTGTAAATCAGTCTCCCGCTTCAAACAACTAGTCAAGTCTTCCCAGGTGCCTTCTTGGCAAGATCGTCATTGGGTCGATGCCTTAAGTTACGCACTGAATATTGGTCCCTATCTCCGACGACTTCCCTGACGATCAGTATCATGCCCTCCGTGGAACGTGGAGGTCTCTTGCAAATGCCTTCAAACGCCCCCCAAAGAATTTCGATGCGGTACGGTGCTCGTGTTGGATGGGTGCCTTTTCGAAGGGGTCAAGTATGGGCGCTTGGGCATGAAGAGCGTGGAAGGTCCTGTGACTATATAGTATAGGGTGTGGCAAAGATAGTAGGCAAAGTGGATGGCGTGCGGGGTAGTCATGGGTGTTGAGTGGCGAGTGGGAAGCATTGGCTTTCAATAGGATCTTGGAGACTAACATTGTTTGCAGAGTAATCGTGCTTATGTTCTTGGTGTAATCAGCTATGCTGCGGCTCCTGGCCAACTTGAAACCACAAGGCTGGAATATGCTGGCTTGATACCTTTAGTAATCTGGGCAATCTTGTCCCTCTGTCCTCAATGTCCTGGCGTTCCTTCTGTTCTGTCTAAACCCGATGTTCTGTAGGTGTTGAGGTAGCCGCCTGCTCGATCGTTAGATAATAAAGCACATTAGTGCTTTAGGCTGTGAGGTACTGAAGAATCGACAACATTCGCCAATTAAAATTGAAATAGGCTATTGGGGGGAATATTGTCTCATCAAATCACAACTATCTTGTGAATGGGCACGTGTGTATTCTATGTACTGACAGTCTTTTGCTAGCGGTGTCATTGATGGCTAAGGTACCCAAGCTGATTGCTCTTGCAAATAATTGATGCACCGTAGCGTTCAAAATTTTCATCCGGCCAATGCTTCTCAGCTGACAGCCCAGACTGGGCTTCATTCCGTCACTCTTCGCCCGGTCTGGTCAATGAAAACCTCTCAAGTAATTGTTTTTTGTCTCTTGCTTCGGGCGCCACGTCCGCAGAAGCTTTCGATCTCTGACACTTGATAAGCTTGAAGGTCTTCAAAGCTGCCCAGCGCATTTTCCTCATCTGTCGTAGACCAGTGGTCCAATCTTTTCCAGCTGAATATTTTGTCAAACACATACGTTTTAGATAGACTTCTTCGAGAACATTACAGCGATTTTGAAAGAAGGCCACCAATGTCTTATTGTTCTTGAATTTCATGTTGTCTAGCTTCAAGATACGGACATTTTTCCATGGATTCTCTGCTGCCATGTTTTCCATTATGGAAAAGCTAGGTTCGGGCTCATCTTTGGGACCAATTATGTGAACGATGTGGAGTTTATCAGAGTCGTGACATAGCTCCTCTAACCCAGCAAAAATATCCATCCAATCGGTTTCATCCGACTCATCATCGTCATATTCTGGAAGCCGGATTGTGAATGAAGTCAAGTCTTTGAGACTGAGTTTTTCATGGTCAATTTTATCGATTTCTAGGGCAATTGAAGACGTTGAGAATGTGTCGTCGTGGGAGAAGTCAAATCCTTTGTAGGGTCGCTGTTTGCCTTTCACTCTGAGAATTTCTAGGCACTCCAGCCTTGGGCATCCTTTGACTATAGCTTCCAATGCAATAAAAAAACCTGGTGCGATACTGAAATCAAACTCCTCGCGAATGATGTATTTGAAAGCCTTCTCTAGCTCTTGAAAGCCAATCCATGGATGCTGAAGAAGTATTGTGAATCTTCTCACATTGGCAAGCTGCTTCAAAGCTCGTGTCATGATGATTCTGGCTTGGGAATCTGTGTTCAGAAGGCGTTGTTCCTCTATGTATCTTTTCCTCGTAGACACATATTGTGTGGCTGCTAGCTCAACAATACTTGTCAAAAGAGCATCTTCGTCAATTGTCCGCCTAATTACCTGCTTTGATGGCTGGCGCGAGGCGTTCTCTGAGACTTTCAGCTGCGAAAAGTGTATGGCTCGGACGTAAGTGCGTCTACAATGCATTAGTCTAACCACCGTTCTTAAGGTGGCACTGACATTTCGCGGTGTTCTGAGACGTCAGTCAAGGCTCTTAGGCTATTTACTCCGATCCAAAGAGGGATGGTGTGAAATAACAGTGGTGTTGTGATGGCTGATATCCTTTTATTCACTTGGCGAAGATTGCTTAAATCACGACGCGATGCCCATGTATCTGGCTGTGCGACGCTCTTGACGATGAGTTTAAGCACTTCAGTGGGTGTGCGGTCCATGGTGTGAGGTGAAGTAAGATGTGAGAGGTAAGAACGAGCAGGTTGTTGCAATTGAACTTGTAAGGCGGTAGAAAGTGAGGTGAATTATAAGTGGGTTAGGTAACGCCCGACACAGCAATGAAGATGTGTCAGTGGTAATTTTGATAGTGCATTGGGCAAGATGAGCGGATTCTACGAATTAATGTTGATTGTTGTTGTCTTTGGCCACGGACAGGTTGTAGACGTGCTGGCGGAAGTAAGCGAGGTGTAATTTAGCGATGAGGTGGGCGAGTGAGAAGTGAATGTTGGATAGGCCAAATGATGCTCAACCTCAGGAGCGACGAGGGTTATGTGACTGACGAGTTTCAAAGAAAAGTAGGTAGAATAGGCAAATTAAACATATCAATTATTTGCGTGGTTAGCAATGCTTATTCTGTGCGCACGCTGGTGATAGTACGCGATGTGCTTCTTCGTTATGGCGATGTCACGCACTGCATGTCCGCTTTGGTGACTTCAAACGAGTGGACATGCTTACTGATTAGCTCCTTTTCAAGTACTCAGCTTCACTGCAGTGATTTGAGAAAGCTGGACTCGGAATGTTTGGTGCCGCATACATTGATTCATTTCTGAAAAGCTGCCAACGCTAGCTGAATGGTTCTTTATTAGATACACTTTAGCAGCAGCAGTAGGAATGTAAAGCCCGCCAGACATGAAGTCATTGATTGCTAGGTACAAGCCAATGCTGGTGATGGTTGTAAGTTGAAGGTTCATAGAAAACGATGAAGTCAAGACATGTCATCGGCTTGTATGATACCCGCTCTCTAGTTCATGGATGAATTGATGCTATTATACTGTTGACCTCCCCTGTTTTATTTAGTATCGTTGATGTTTTGCGGCATTTCGGAGCGTACCTTTGACCTAATATGGCTCCTCCTTTTCATCTGCTCAGGCTGCACATGGATTATCCATGACTTCTTTCCTCAGGTAGGGTGCAATATCACCATCTGGTGTCTCTCCAAATGATTCAGAGATGGTGAAAGATTGAATAGCGCTCCAAGTCCATCGTCTCATGCGAGCTGCCGCTGTTTTCCATGGATCTGCCACACCGGGATCGGCAAATTTGACCCAGAGAAACTTGACGGTCTGTAATTTATCACAATGAGCGTAGAAAAATCCCAGAAAGCCTTTGAAATGAGGGAATTCGACAAGTTTCAAGTCAAGATACAGCAGGTTTGGCAGAAATTGTTGGGTGCCTGACCCAAAATAGGCGTCCTGCCACAATGCACTAAGACCTGTTACAGTGAGTGCGGAGAGATCTTTGCATGCATGAAGCTGATTAAAAATCCTTTCGCAGGTTTTGTAGTGTCGCTGCCCTCCAAAAGCTGGCAACATAAGTCCGAGACTCTTCAACGATTTCCAGCAATGATCTGCTGTGAAATCCATTGGGAATGCCGCGAGGGCTGCAGTCATGCAATCGTCGGTCATCCTACGCATCAAATGTCTCCTAGAAGGAGTAATACCGCAGGGGTTCAAGCTTCCATATGGTCGTGAGGGACTGCCAGCTCGCACACTGATTGACAGCTCTTCAAGCTTTACTCGTGCGGTGTGCAAGGCCCGGAATGCAATGGGAAGAATCGACTTGGTACTGAAAAGGATTTCGTCACCGATAAGTCGTCCAAAGGCTTGATTGAGCTCTTTCGCTCCAATCCAATCATCTCCAATGCTCACAGAAAAACTTTGGAGGCTTGAAAATTTTGAAAAGGCGCGGGTGAGAAGCATCAGCGCTTGCTTCGAAGTATGGAGCCACTTTTGGGCTTCAATATAATTCGCTCTTGCGGCCATGTGTTTGATAACGGCGATATCGCAGGTGCTGATGGCATGGTTGCCATGGTCTGCCTCAAACTTCGCTTTGACCTCTTGATGCATGTTGCCTTCCTTATCGGCCTTGATCTGTACAACGGAAAACTTAATGTGGGTGACAAGCTTAGAACTGGAGAGGTTTTAGAAAAGAATACCGTTTTAAGCACATATCAACGTACATGGTGGGATGCTGAGAAAGAGTGTGCAAATTCTCAAGGCTACGTAGCCCGATCCACAAGGGAATAGTATGAAAGACATGAGGTGCTCCCATGACCGAGAAGGATTTATTGACCATTCGCAAATTGCATAGATCTTTCCGAGAAGCGCGGTCGTTCGGTGAAGCCACCGCCTCAAATATCATATTCGTAACTTCGGGGGGCACGTGATCCATTTCGAAGCGAGTCCTTTGTCGCAGTGAATCGGTTTCTCAGAAAGTTAGTGACTCGATGATTGCAGTCGCTGGCGAGAGGAAGAGATCCAGAAGTGAGCCCCCTGAATGACGAAATGAGTCCTTGGAGGGTCAGATAGCGCTAAATGCTAGTAGTAAGGATCATTGAGATCAAACGTACTTTACAAATCACCCTTCATGCAGACCTGTACTTGGTAGCTTCGACATGATTCTGGGGTTCGTGAGAACAGGGCCTTGAAGAATTAAAGCTCAAGTTTAGATGCGCTCAGAGAGTGAGCCAGAATATCTCTCGATAAATGTAAGATTGACCGTAAGGACGCTCGTTTGTGTGAATTGAAGCTGTCAGTTTTCCCAACTAGCTTGCTTTCTCTCAAAAGCGGTGGACCTCGTTATGTGACCTGAATATTGGTGTTCTGGCGTCATTAGAGACGTATCTTTTATCTCAATTCATCTATTCTCTGGAGCCCCCAAAGGCAAGGTTCCGCAGCTGTGAAGAAGAACTTCTTGTTTTCAACTAGCGTCCTTATCTTCTGTTTGTTGGTCCAGTGCAACCAGAGCAGATAGGGAAGGGTGATTCTCCTGGCTTTGAGCCCAGTGACTTTCTCTTCCTCCAATGCGTGGCGCATTTGCATAGCCACAATGGCTTGTCTCATATCACTGATATGGGTCTTTGGTGGAAGGCCGAATTGAGACCACCTAGACACCTTGGCGACAATCTGTTGGGCTTTCACAGACCTCTCGATGTCGTGGCTGGCTAGAACGTCATTTTCGTGAGTAAGCTTTTCGAGGGCCTCGGATCCAAGCTTGACGTTCTTTTGAGTGGGATACGCCTTCAGCATATTTTTGTCCCAATTTCGGGACGATCGACACGCGTTTTCGGCTTGGATCCGCATGGATGTAGAACGACTGGTGTCTCCTAATGACAGCTTCAGGACATCTGCAACTTCTCTCAGGATCAGCTGCATAAAAAGTGTGTTCTTTGCCATTTTTGCTGGATTGGTATGTAGGGAGGCATCTTCAGGTATTGGAGCATCTTTTGATGGTCCTGGTTTGCCCTTGCAGTGGTGGAGATTGGTGCTACTCCCCTTGCAGTGGAGACCCTCGTGAGGTTGGTGCTACTACGGCCACCCGCGCTAGTACGTGTTGAGCTGTACCGAGTCGTAATATAAACCGCGTTCGTGAATTACATCCGTATCATCATCTCCTACGATACGACACTCTATGACACTACTAAAGTGAATATGTAGTCTTCAGGCCCAGTCCCATCAATTCATACAAAACTTACCTGACTCATCATATCTCATCATGGCGAGCTCAACAAAGGACGCTCTCTTCATCTACCGCATCTACAACAAAGATGACTACGAATCCATCGAACACGAACGCCCTGTACCATCCTTCCTTTGCGATCCAACGAACGCCATAAGTGGCAGCCAGCAATACCTCTCCGCCTTCTTCGACGTCCTCACTGTCGTCAACGCTGAGTTCCATGATGAGTGCATGAAGAACGCCAAAGATGGTTGCGCGCGATGCGGCAACCCAGCAATCGATGCCCTCAAATCACCAATGCCCTATCTTCACCTTCCAAACCCCCTCGTCGTCACTCAAGTAATGCCAGTGTGCAGCTCAAAGGAGTGTGAAGCCGTGACAAAAGAAGGGTTGCAGAAGATACAAAATGCGGTGGCACAGAACCGAAGTGGCATCGATGGAGAACGGTCGGATCTTGGGAGGTTGATCTGCCAGAATTGTCAGAAGACGGATGTCAAGAAGTGTGGGAGGTGCGGTACAGTGGCATACTGCAGCAAGGAGTGTCAAAAGAAGGTCTGGAGGACCCATAAGAGGGTTTGCTTTCCAAGCAATATGGGCGTGCCTGTGGAGGACCCTGAGGATATGCCGATGTAATGGAGCAGATCTCTGCAATAGGTGATGCCAAAAGATTCATCAAACGTAAGATCTGCTAGGGCTGAAGCAATATAGCAGGAGCTAAGAATGATGAAGGTCCGCCCAAGCCTCTCTCCTCCATGATCCTCATTACTGATCTCAAATAGATCGCACGAAATACGAAAGAAAGTGTTTGCAATCATTACTGCTCTATGACCTGATCTAGCCCATTTGCTGACGATTTCTAGTTTCCACCCTCGACTCCCCAACACTCACGTCGAGCAAGCAAATAAAAGCCACTTAAATGGCGTGAGACTTCCCAATTCCCGGATCCTGCAACATCATCCCCTGCATTGACGTCCCCGCAGGAGACATGAATGACTTTATATTATCCTCAAAGCCCTGGATCTCCTCTTTGATCTCATCCCCAAGACCCTTGCCTGCCCCCAGCGCAACCGCACCGGATCCCATCCTAGCGATCGCTTGCTTGGTCTGCCCAGTGTGCATACCTGACCCTACTCTCTGAAGTGCATGCTTCAATTTTGCCCGACGTCCTGTGTCCTCGTCAGAGTCCTCGTCATCAGTCATTTGGCCTGTCCATGGCGAAAGACGTATAAATGCTCCGGTGTCTGGCTCAAAGAAAATCTTTGTGTTGCCTTTGGATGGAAGCTCGATCAGACCATCACATGCTTCCTCTTCATCGTTGGGTGTATGACGGATGTTGACTCTACGCGGGGTGCTTCTGCGTCTGATCTCGTTTGGAGACAGACTATCAGTGGAGGTGTTGACAGACGCGCTGCTGAGTGAAGTCGAACTCGAAGTACGCGAGCTCTGCAACCACTGGCCTAATTTGTACAAGTCTTCTTGCTTTTGCGGTCGATGCTTTTTCACTCGATAATCCTGGCCCAGGTATTCTGCTCTCGCAAGATTCTGTACTCGCTCTTGTGTGGATCTCTGCAACCGATTGCCTTCTCTTGCCTGCTGCCTTGTACGCTGCATCATTACCACTAACAAGAGGAAAGCAATGATCAACAAAACCATCACTACCATCAGAGTGTTTGACGAGCGGAACATCCTTTGATCTTGTCGCACAGGTACTTTGTGGGCCATGCGTTTCCAAGCACCATCAGCATGCGAGAGTAATATCCGCTTCTCGACCTCCAAGACGGATTTCAACGCCCTTTTGTGAATGTGATATGGCGGTCTAAGCTGACCTATCGACGACTTATGAAAGTATTCCTCGCAAGCCTCATCCCGCTTGCCAAACTTGTCTTCATCCCACCCCTGGCAGATCTGGATGTACTGGAGCTGGACACCTGCGCTAGCAAGTCTCAGCTGTCGCCAACCGAAGAACAGCAGCCCAACAGCACCGACTGCGAGGCCTAAAATGGGAAACGCATGGTCCAGTAAGAATTCACAGCATATCTGAAGCCATCGCAGCCACGTAAACCGCTGCCTCCTCATGCGCCTTCGAAACCTCCCGACATCCGGAGCCCGGTCGTTGACAGCCACCGAAGGCACCGCATCACCATTTGGGATTTCCTTACTGCCAGAAACAGGAGAAGCCGGAAAGGTGACTCTGCGCTGAAACCTGGGCTCACGTTGTTCTTGACCCCCAGCACCATCATTACGCTCCTCTTCCGGCTTCTCAAACCCCTCAGCAGAGGAAGACGCAGGGCTCGAATTCGGAGTATCTTTCGAATGCGCAGAAGGCGACCTACTTTCCTGCAGCGAAGTCGACGACGACGAAGACTGCTGCGTCGTATCGAGTGAAGGCGGCGAGCCAGACGGCGTCAAGCCCACACTCTCAATCTTCAACCCGCCCGGTCGGGCGTCCATCTTACTCATCGTCCCTACCGACTGACTGGCTGGCTACAAACGAAGGCAGGTTCGGTCTGTGCGTTGCTTACATGTATGTAAGAAGCACATGATCTGGCGCCCTCCCCCCAGCGCCTTAAGAACGATTCGTCACCCACACATCTGGGCGGACTGGTGGGTGCACAGCATGATGCAGGCCTCCCTTCCAGCGCGGGGTCAAATAGATCGGCTTGCAAATCCCTCACATCTGCCTACAGCCTGCTTCCTTGCGAACAAAAAAACTTGCATATGCATGCGCGCAGCTTGCTGCGCCACACACCCCGGGAAAATCCTACGAGGCTGAAGGACCCCTTATCTTTCCCCACCACCCCACTGACCCACACCAATGCACGCTATAGCCGCCGCTGGAATCGATGGTCGACCTATCGCAGACCTACGAAACACACACGCCGGGATCGAGCCGGAAAACTCTGAACTTCGCATGCATAAGGTAAGGTGGGGATGGAACGCCTAAGCTAATAATGGGAGGGGTGGGCGGTCCGTCCTGCCCTTGCTCAACCCTGCAGAAAGTTGGTTAGGAGCTGGAAAGCAAGCAAGCTTTTGATGTCTGGTTCGGGGTGGAGTGTGGAGTGTGGAGTGTGGAGGGGGGAAGGGGGGAGGGGAGCGCCTAAGATCAGGTTTTGACATTGGGGTGCCTGAAGTCGGGAGGGAGATCTTGCTTGCTACTTGCCTTTGTTATCGTGATGGGAAATCGTTGGGATTTGCCGGTTGCGTGTGTTTCTATATTCTAGATGAAGAAATGTCTTGGTCTGGTGTGTATGGTGTGGAGGACGGATTTGCTGGAGATGCGAGAGTTTGGTGGGGATGATGTGACTGCGGCAACGTATGTCAGGAACGCCAATGGACTAGCCCTGTTTTTGTCGAGAAGAGAAGTGGTGGAATAAATGTTTCGTAGATCACTTGAGATAATCGTGATAATAACCTCGGAAAAGTGGAATTCATAAATTAGATTCAACGACGCGCTTTTGCTCATTTGAGCAGAGGCTTCTCCGTTAGTTAGAAGGCTCTGCCCAAACCAGACCTGCCCTACTCCAAAAAACGCTGCTCCATATAAATGCGAGCAGAGGCTTCTATGTCAGAAGGCTCTGCGAATATTCCAGTCTAGTCCATCCCAACCCAACCCGACCCAAACCAATTATCACGCAACGTAATGCGTAGAACGATATATACCCCAAGAACCCCGTCATTGTAAGGCGAACATGTCGTCTGCTGCCTTCTGCCATTACCACCACCTCCACCTCCATCAGCTCCTTCAAAATGTATCCCTCCTCTTTACGGCCTCCTCCCCCAACCCCTTCCCCCCTCCCTCCCTCTTCCTCAACAAAGCAAGTCTCATGCAACAAACCCCAACGTCGACCCCGCAACAGGCGCCGTATACGCCCCCTTCAATCTACTCAACCCACAATTGGCCGCGCGTCTCTTCGCACGCTCCACCACTACGATGGCCGAACATATAACTTCCTCTCTCGCCTTCCACCTATCTCCTTCACCACCGTCACCCTCGCCCGTAGCAGGTGGGGCAGGGAGGGCAGACTCCACAATGATCAATTCCCCCACATCCACAACCTCCTCCCCTGGTGTATTTTTCTTGCGCGCTCTCTCCCCCTGCCCGACGCCAGCCCCAACAACCGCACTCGTAGAAGAAGCAGGCGTCGGATTCTGCACAAACCGCGCCACTGTCTCCTCCTCTTCGTTCAGGCACTCAAACACGGATTTGTTCCCGGCGAAGGGCTGCCAGTAGTGTCGCTGCCCGCTGATACTCGTGATTAGGACTTGTGCGGAGGGGTTGAAGAGCTCGAGCCGCTGGACTTGCGGGGGAGGAACGGGGTGGTTGGGCGGCGGGGGGATGGGGTAGGCGATTGAGGTGCCGGTGCTGTGGATGTCGAAGCGACCCTCGGCGACGAGAGGGCCGGGCGCGTCTTTTGTGTTTTGTGGGGAAGGCGAGGGGATGCTGGTAGAGGATGAAGAGGGAGGCGTTGGGCGGAAGAGAGAGCGCCGCCGGGGGGCAGCGGAGGGCGCTTGCGTAGTAGAAGAAGGGGTGGAGGTGGTGGCGGGGAAGGAGGAGATTATGATGTGTGGTTTCTTGTTCATGAAGCCGCCTGTAGCGAAGGTTTTGATGTGGTAGGCGGAGAGAGCTGAGTCTTTGGGGATCAGGCTTTGCGTGGATGAGGAGATTTGGCGTAGGGTATAGTGTGTAGGTTGAGAGGAAGACTCGCTGCTGTGGTAGATGGGGAGGATGTCGGCGAGAGATTGGGGGGTATAGGGGGAAGCTCGTCGGTCATTGTTGTGGAGGTCATAATGAATGGTTTGGAAGAGAAAGTGGGAGAGGAAGCGAAAGGTTTATGTAGGCTCGTGAGGAGGATGAGGGCGGGTCATCAAGACGTTGGGAGATTGTCTTCTTTCTTCTTGAAGGGAGGGTCTGGATAGGGATTTGTTGGGTAATTGGGATACAAAGCCGGTGGAGTCGCCGTCAGTGGCTGTCGAATGCGGGGCTTGGCGCTAATTTCAGAAAGGGAAAGTTCCCCTTTCTGGCAGGATCATCCCAGGTGGACTCTCCAAAGAAAGTGAGGCGCCAGCTGGTGCCAGAGCTGATCGGGGCTCGATGATGAGTGCACCCGTTGTAATGATATCGCCGAGGTTCGAGTGAACGTTGAACATTCAAAGATTCTCGTTAGGGAGCCAATGCGTCCAGGGTAGGCGGGTCGTTCTCATCCCCGTCCTCAGCTTGCCAGCCCCATTCCTCCTTCAGCATTGTGACCGCTTGTCGCCTTGGCCAGCTGCTTCTTTCTTCCGTAATTCTCATTAGTCTAAGCAGTTGCCTCTGCTCATCCTTATCTTCAAACAAGTGTCCACACATCTTTACGGCAAGCATGGCATAGAAGCAGCCAGGGACGAAAGTGTTGTGCAAACCAATACCGCATAGCAGTCTGACATGATCCCTGGCCTTCTCCTGCATCGCATTTGTTGCAGCTTTCATCCTGTGCCCAATTTTTGGGATCGTGGGATCGTGTGTCGTCAGCAGAACTTTCGCAATCTTCATGAATTGGATACCGGTGACATGCTCGTCCGTGAGGTGACAGGCTTCAGGAAACCATCGACCTTGGGAGGGATCCCGGTCCTGATAGAAGATGGGATCAAAACTCCCGGGTCTCCACTGATCCCACTCCTCAACTAGGTGGTTCAAGTCACGCCACAATGCGATTGGACTCTCCTCGCCAAACGCCCATTGCACAACCCTTCCGCATATGTAAATAGCTCTTTGCGCCCAAATTTCATCATCGACAGGTTCGAAGGAAACCTCTAGGGGCGAACGAGCCAAGTCTATACTGACTGGTCGTTGCTGACTGCACGCCGCGTAAATTTCTTGACGAAGGTGACACCAGAATACTGCTCGTCTGAGTCGTGTTGAAAGTAGTGTGCTTGGTAGAAAGAGTGATGTCCCGATGATGTGAGTTACGGAGTCGGCGCCATTGACTAAGTCCTCGTGTAGTGCCAAGATCATTGAGGTGATCAGCAAAGCGTCGTCCTTGATTTGATTGTCGTCATTCAGTAGCGGGACCATGGACTCGATGCAGAGATCATGATATCGGACGGCGTCTTCTGAATCGTGGTAGAGCACGGAGTCTATTAGGTTGTAGTCTGCCATGTAGCTGATATGTAGAGCGGAGATACCGAGGATTGCATTCATTAGCACGGGAGATTTGATGGCGAGACAGGGTGCGACCGTTGCAAAATGACGCTTTGGGTCTGACACGTCGAACTATGGAGGGTGTTAGAGGCGGCGCAGGAGAATTCACGCACGGAAATATGTAGATGGCTTACCCATGGTGCAAGGATCGCTACGAAATGATGGAGCAATTTTGCCTCTTTGAGACTTTTCAACTTGTGCACGGGAGATGTGAATGATTGCGAGCGTACTCTCTGATTTATCGGAGGTCGACGATTGGTAAAGGGCGAGGTTGCAGAACCTGGAGTGTCTTGTCCCCCTTTCATTTGCTGGTGATTGGTTGTACGCGATGTGGATGCGTCCAATTTGTGGTTTTCATACGGGTATGGAGTCAGAAGCTCATTTGCCTGCGAGTGATGCTCATGATTATCTACGTTACTACTATTCTCTGGCGTAGCTGTTTGCTCAAACTCTGTCGGTGACTGGATATTTGGTGGCTTCCGCTGGGTAGGCCGCGCTGGCTTGGGTGGGCGAAAGTCCTTCTTGGAAAAGGCCACACTGTTGCTCGGGCTATCGAGGTCAGATAGCATAACGTCACTTTCAGGAATGAACTCAACTATTGCTCTCCTTCGTTAGCAGACTTAAATGATAATGAAGGAAATCTCACGTTTTCTCTCCACATCCGGCCACTGTTGGTCTGGTTCGAAGTAGAATTCGTACTTGGCGCCCCTTCGAGAGGTCTCATGCTCCGGGCACACAAGATTACGGAAGCGAACATTGTATCCTCGAATGCATTCACGACCTGCAGATCGACATTGATTGCATGGAGTCTCGTCATTGCCTGCTTTAGGTCAGAAATTGATGCGACAGGTGAGAACCCCAAAAGCGGACATTTAAGATGCCGGACGCGGCAACCCGCACTATAGATCCTGATCAGCTAATGGATCGATTTGCAGAGGATGGAATCAGCACCATTCAACCATGCCGAAGGCTGGTGGCCGGTGTTCGGGTCTTGATTTGCGGTAGGGGAACCTTCGTCGAGCAGTCGTGTATGTTAGCAGCTTGCCTCGACTGCAAGAGCGACATCTTGAACAGACTTGACCCTAGCACGTGCGGCGCCGCTGAGGGGTATTTGGACGATATTGTGGATGGTGGGCGAGGAGCATCGCATGAATCTAGAGGGTGGGAAGTTCCTCCTGCCGTTATAGGAAAGTTCCCTTCTCGAGGATGGCAACGTCAGTCTTGAAAATGTCGTTGCGTGATGAGAAATGCGCCGGGAGATCACGTGCAAAATACGCTCCTTGGCACTGTCGACGCGCTGGGCTGCCGGTCGCGTTTACGAGAAAATAGAGACATGATAGGTCGCTATCGGTCTGAACAGGCTCGTCACGCCGAATTCTGGGCCAGCTACGATGGACCAACTGCCTCTGAAAATTGTGGGCCAAATCATCTGCTCCTCCAGACAGTCGTAGAGCCAGAAGCGCATTGTCTAATTAACGACGCGTGAACAGTCCATATTTTTTGATGGCTGAGTGCATTGATTATGAGCACACTGATCTTGCAGCCTTTCTATCACATTTCACAGACAAGAATCCGGCAGAAGCTGCCTTGAAGAGAAAGGAATAAACCCATTGATTACCCTGAGATCTCGCCCGAAATCCTTCATACTATTGGCTTTACCAAAATTTCCCGTCCAATGCAGGTAGCTGTCCAAACAGTTGTGGTCGTAAAAGGTTCATGAAATTGTGTTCCTAGTACTGAGAGATTATGTATTACTTCATAATTTGATGCTTTTTACTGCGTCTGATGCCATTGATCGGGGTGAGAAGTCGTCTCATTCGTCAGTCTTGGTCGAAGTACGGATTCTCTGTTAGTGGATTCTCGTCCTCATTGGTTTGTCCTTTAATGAATGGTGAAAGTTCTACAAACATCTTGCGGTCCCAATTTCTTAGTGTAAATTTCTGCAATCTTGAGAAATCCAAATTTCTCATTTCTTTTATGACAGATTTCCATAAAGATCCGTCACGGATGTAGACATTACAGAAAAATACGTATTCTAATCGTTCTGCATGATCCTTGAAAAAGTGCAACACGGCAGTCTTGGTTGCGAAATGTTGGAAGCCGAGACATAGATTCTTGAGCTTGGGGAACAGGTTCTGTTGCACTGAGTCGATCATGACCGACGCCATAGGTATAGACCAACGAGCAGACAATCCAAGGGTGACAAGGCTTGATCGGTTGTTCCGAACTAGGGAGGCTATAGGGCCAAACCGCCCTGCAAAGCCTTCAGCGCCTACGTCTTTGGAATCAATCCTATCCAACACCAGGGATTCGAGATTTTGAGAGCTGAACGGGCGAAGTGCAAGATGATTGAGTGAGACCGAGAAGACTGATGCACAGGGAGAGTCACTTGCGTCCATAATAGGCAGAAATTATTCGGGAAGCGAAATATCGACGTCTTTTCGCTGCCTCCTTCGGTCAGTATCCAGAATATGTACGTCAGGACGCACAAAATTGAGGGAGCGGATCCTAATTTCTGAGGTGGCCAGTGCTTCAAGCAAAATATCAATAGTGACCTTGCCTGTGAATTGGTATTCACATCCAGTCATCTGACCTAAGCTTTGTGTGATGTGTTTGGCTCCAATCGTGTAACTTAGGAGTGCAACGTTGACGTTTTCGAGACACGGTAGGCGACGGAAAGCGCGAGCTAGTAGATGCACACCCGTTTTGTCGGTCGTCAGAAAATCTTGAGCGGCGAGGAATGATTTTCGGGCTGCAATGTGCCTCCCCAAGCGGAGTTCGGCGTCGTTGACAGTGAAGGCATTCTGGTAGAATTCATCTCTCATCACTCTCCGTACTTTTGCGTCGTCCACAGGGGAGTCAAACCATATCGCAGAAAATTCGATGGTCTTGACATGGACCGAGCTATCTGTAGTTTAGCATACTTGCAAGTCGTACACTGAATTTGCCACTGACATAAATGGATGCTCTGAGATATGAGTAAGATTTTGCAGGCTTTTCAAGCTGATCCAAAACGGTATCGTTGCAAATAGGAGAGGCGCTGCAACTGTAGCCAACGACTTGCAAGTACATCTCAAATTGGCTAAGGCGTCTCGACTGTGAGGCGTTCCGTTGATCACCAGGCATTTCACAATGTGTCGTATGACTTCTGGAGGTAGGCAATCCATTACGTTCTTGCTGTATTAGATCAAACTCTGATCGACATGAGACGGGAGGCAAGAAAAGTCCGACGCGCGCGCCGAGTTCGCGCTAAGGGATCTCTGCGCGTAGACCTCAGTACGTGAGAAGTCCTTATCACGTAATTTTCTTGGCGCGAACGCGTCGAGCAAATTTCTTCCTACAATGTCATAAGCATCTTGAACATTACGTACAGACCAGCGCTGGCAGTCTGCGCGTGATGGATCGGCTTCCGCCTGAAATACTGCGCGAAATTCTGGGACAGTTTGATCTTGATCTCTATTGGGATAGGGTCGCCCTTTCGAATTTTCGATGCACGTGCAGAATCCTATCTACAGTTATCGAACCTATTCTCTTTCAAACGGTCCCTCTTTGGATCAGCTTGCAAAGTATTGAAAATCTGACAATATTGTCTGAGCATCCCCAAATGTAGGATGATTGCTAAGTGTGAGAGAAGCTTACTGACCACCCTCACAGCTCCAAATGTGTCAAGTGCATACATTTCTCCACACTATGGTTGCGTGACACCGATGATTGGCACGACAAACAAGTAAAAGAAAAGATATATCGAGAATCTCAGGGAATAAACGAAGCAGATATCCGAATTGGGAAACACCTAGCCGCGCGAGAGGGTTTCTTCAAGGCTCGCCAATATCTGACAGATGACAACATGGCCTCAGACTTGTTGGCTCGTGCTTTTCGGCGCTTACCAAGCCTGAAAGGTATTCACATACGTCATGCAGATAGATCGATTGGGGTGAAAGAGGCGATAGGGACCTTAGGTGTCCCTAGCGGCTTCGAACTTGGGCACAATGCCGAGTTGACAGTTGATATATTGATGAGAGCCAGAAGAGACGCGAAATTGGACCTTCAATCCCTTCGGCTATCCTATGCTGTCGCAAGTGTCGCAGGCGAGGACGTCATTGACTGGACCAGGGAGGAGTATGACCCTGATGATAATAGGCCAGAAAACACGATCTTGAAGGTCAGTTCTCGTCAACCATCGACCAAAGACTTCCAATCGGTAATCGGAGATTTTGAAAACTTTCCGCCCTTGATGACACTCAAGACTTTTGAGGTTACGTGTCTAGAGTCGACTGCACACCCGCGTACCGGCTTGGACCATTTTTGGCTGGGTGCACTAGATATTATCGAAGTCAATTGCTCTACTTTGGTAAGTTTGAAGATCGACGGGGGCTTCGATCCCGAATTCGGAGACCATTTCATGAATTGCCTCTCAGAGATGCCGATCCATGTACTCCGGAGGCTTTCATTGAGTGAGATATATGTCAAGAAATGCGAACACTACCTGAAACTCTTCGCTCATTCAACGTCATTGATTGAGATGTATCTCAATGGAGCCATCATATCGAGTCCAAGGGGCTGGACTCGGGTGGTAGAATGGCTGAGAGCGACCAAGATACACAAGCCAGTACGGATGGTGCTGAAAGATTGTCTGCCTCTTGAAGCGGGCGGACATCAAGCCATCGACATAGGTCCATACATTGGGCGAAAGACGAGAACCAATCCTTTGGATGACATCAACGACGATGGCCGCTACTAATGAATGCTCGGCGAAATGCGGGCCTTGAGCAAAGGGCGAAGGAGATCAAACTGTTGCGACCGATATTTTCAGATTCTTGTCAATCTTCTACACACGCACAGCACACGTCAGATGGCCACTTGGCACGGCATTTCGATCTTGGACTTCTCTTTTGATACACTGTTAGAATTGGGGACTCCGTATTTCGGGTTGATGTGACACCTTCTTACTTTGCCAGACTTCTGCCTCACACCCTTAGTATACCTTATTGTAGTTCCATCTTCTGAAATTGATCATCAGCAGTGCACGCTTCACTGTACGATTCTACAATCAAGTCAAGGGAACTTTCAGACCATGCTGAGGGACGGGTAATCGGAAGGTGGCTACGCCAAATTTGTAGGGAGAAGATTGGGGCATAGTCCACCTAAGAAGCCAGCCTTATAGGGCTCTCCCCGGGGATCAGCCCCTCGAAAATAGGCGCCTCACTAGATTTGGCGTGGCCACCTTCCGGGCAAGTCTTGGCGCTCTCGGCGTGTCAATTTCGCGATAATTCAGAAACTTTTTCTCTAACCTTCACGAACACCACAATCCATCATCACAGTTGGCAGCTTAAGCTGTCGGGGCTTCAACGCAATGGAAACGCTACCTCTTGAAATTCTGCGTCAGATTCTAGGGTTCTTCGATTCTGATTCGTACCAGGGAAGACGAGGTTTAGCGACTCTTAGATGCACTTGCAAGTTCTTAGCTTCCTTGGTTACACCGACGCTGTTCGCGGTATTCCCCGTTTGGTTGAGTCTCCAAAGTCTTCAGGACTTGACTAATGTTGCAGATCATCGTGATATGTGCGGTGCCTCTGCCTTGATTCGAGCGATCTGATGCTAATCTCTACCCAGTGCTATTCATATCAGAACTATTCGGTGTTCGACATTGCAGTTCAACAGAGAGTGCGATTGTGAGGAGATGAATGAAGAAGTGCAAGATGAAATTTCTTCCGAGAGTTTCAATATCAATGATGCGGACATAAAGTTTACTAATTATCTCATATCGTATGAAAAATACAACAAGGAACGCTATTATCTTTCCAAGAACGGCATGGGCGAGAGGCTCTTGGCAAGGGCACTGAGGCGACTACCCAATCTAGCATCTGTGGATGTAGTATTCTCAAGCCCTTGGATTGGGGCCAGAATGATCTTGGGGCAGATGCATGGCGTTTCAGGATTAGAGTACGATTTCAGCTCCTCCGAGCCCATCAATACTCTGTTCCACTCCATAATTCAAGCATCAATAAGGCTCAAGTCTCTCAGATTCATGAACGCAGATGACGTACTCCTGGTCGGAGGGGTCAACGATCATGATTATCGCACCCTGGGCAAGGAAACACGGCCATACAAAAGCCTTGCCGTACCAAATGGAGACGAGGCTTCGGGTTCGACATTCTCAGAGAGCCGAAAGCTTATTGCCTATTTGACAAATGAATCATCGGCATTGCGAGGGCTTGAAACCTTTGAAATACTGCGAATATCGTCCGAAGAAACTCCACAAAGGCCTCAGACTTTCTGGGAGTCAGTGAGCGTCTGTCTAATAAATAACGCGCCGACATTGAGGATCCTACAAATAGGTGGAGAGCTCGTAGGCTGGGAGACATATGCTATCTCCAAAGCCATGTCGGACACGACATTTCCAGTCTTAGTTACCTTATCAATGACCGAGATGTTTTTCTCCAAGGCTGAGTTACTGATTGACATCATCAATGCTACGCCCAATGTGCAGGAGGTAAAGCTAAAAGACATCAGTATTCCACGGCAGCCAGGGTGGAAACATGTCGCGAATTGCATCAGAGAAATGAAGATGTCCCTGCTGAAGAGTTTCAAAGTAGTGCATGGCCTGCCAATCGAGGTGACAGAGATGGCTTCGTTCCTCAGAGGAGAAACCGACAGCAACCCCCTCGAGGCTTATCCGTATCATAGATCTTCCCGTTCCAGACTAACGGCATTTGATCAGTGACGTTTGGGACGAGACCTTAAGATGCAAGCCAGAAGAAAACTCCGATTCATCGAGCCATTTCGCCGCTGTCCTTTTGGTATGGCTACGAAGGCGAGTCCTCGTAATCGTTCTCAATACTCTCGTCAACGGCCCACGGAAGTTCTAGTGTATCAAATTGGTCAAAGTGCACAGACAGTCGCGGTATGCTGAGAACATGGCCTTCCCCTTGACTAAATCTAAATTTCCTCTGGGCTTTCCTCCCGAGCATCCTTCGGTACAGCTTTCTTGCGCACTTGTGCACGTACGCGAAGAACATCTCTGGTACAAGGAATTCCAGGATCGGCTTGCTGGATATCAAGCAAACGCAGAATATGGTAGTATGGCATTCGGCCAGTTGCCACTCCACTATATGATTGCCGTCCCCTGAGATCCCATTAACCTACTGCATCATCTTCTGAGCTCAGGACTTACAGGCGATATCGTCCTGAGACTCGAATAGATATCGAAAGCGAATGCAGCTCACAAGACTAGTCCTAGAAGACATCAATATCAAGTTAAAATTCAGACATTCTAACGTACAAAGCGCCTACGAAAAAGAAAGCCCCGATTGTAATCTTTCGGCGAGCCGGCATGTGCAAATTTCTCACCATCGGTATTGGTGCAAGAAGAATGGCGAAGTCTGTAAGGATCCACGGCACTGGAGACACAATGCTTAGAGTGAACGTGTTCGGGCAATCCGATCCCATATCGTTACTCCAAGGCGTAGTTTTCGAAGGGCAAACCAAAACCGCTGCAAGGGTGACTGCAATCCACCACACACCCATGATCGAAGCTAGTAATATGACTATCAAGCGGAACTTCCTGGTTATGAAGATTCGGTAGAGAAGCATGAGTAGAGACAGCTTTGACAATGCCAGGACTGCCGGTTGCAGCAAGGCTGTGATGAACTCTATCTATCCCCAGAGCTTTATCTCTGGAAGAACACAAGGATGACGTTGAGCTTACCTTCCAAAACGCTACGAGCTGTTCTTCGCTTAATGTCGCCAAGTGACGCCCAAATCCAGCATGGGCGACACCTAGTAGTATCGCACATGAGCACAAACGTTGGACGTTAAGCGACAAAGGACTAACCCCATATACCCATTCCAGTCTGGGCCGCCGAGATGACCTATACCTAAGCAGTCGTTCACGAATGATTGGCAGAGCTTACATATGCGCAAGCGATTAGGAAGTCCTCAACCCGAAATTGGTTCTGCTTCATCCTTCTCGAGACAACGCTTGCGGTCATGCCCAGAGAGGAGAGTATGAGACATCCGGTGCAGACAATGTACAATGTCATGTCGTGATTCTCATTGGCTGCTGAAACGGTCCGAGGAGCGATCGCCAGCCCCATAGTCAAGTTCGACGATTTGAACTTTTCCTCCACGACGAGAAATATGCAGGCAAAAGGTGAAGAGTGGGAAGACAGCGATCACTCAACAAAGCAGTTCTCAAGGAAATTCGACAGGTGCTCAAGGCAACAGTAATCAATTCTAGGCAAATAAGGGAATCAACCAGGGCGTTCCAGAGGCACCTTTCTTCTGCATACGACTTCAAAAGCTCCAAGTGCGGCATGGTCAACGCACAAGACTCTTTCCCCTGCCACTGGGGTTGTAGAAGCCAAGGCTATCGTCGCGCTTAATGAGTGCCACAACGATGCATCGCCCTGCATAAATGCCTCATGTATGTAAGGCTGCGGCGCGAGCAACCTTCCAGACAGGCGTGGAGATTGAGTTACATGATTGAGAATCATACAATGATCTACGCCCAGCTATTTCGCGGTCGTAAAGCGCACGTCAGTTTATTCCGCATATTCTAATTACAGAAACATGACATCTCCTTCTATGCAGCCAGTGAGGTGCCGATTCCATCATAATACCCTCTACCCTCCCTAGGGTTAAATGCAACACGCCCTTCCTCATCACGACCGTGTAAAAACCTCCTCATCTTCCTCCCGCCATCAGATTCCCGTGCCCATCTACCGATAAGTATCCCAACTCATCCCCACTCTAATCCCCGTCGCGTGCGGATCTGCATTCTGCGCCTGGAAAAGCTCGCCCCATGATATTTCTGTGTAATTATACCTTGCACCCACCCCACCCACCCCACCCGAATTGTCCGCTCTTGTGGATCCAGCGCCAGCACCGCAGTTACCACCGTTGTTACGACTTGATGAAGCAGCAGATGCATCAGGCTTGGAAGTGGCTTTACTGTTCCCCTTTGTTTTGCTAAGGTTAGTTGGTTTGTCCTTCTCTTTCCCCTTCCCCTTCGCCATATTAACACCGCCCCCATCCCCGTCCCCGTCCTCATCCTGACCACCATCATCATCATTCCCAACGGCCGGGACTCCCTTGCGCGTACCCCTCGCCTTACTCACCTTTCCCCCACGGAGGCTGTAACCTTCTCCATCCTGGTCAGTGCGTGCTGCGGTGGGGGCGGTGGGGGCGGTGGGAAGGGTGGGGTTGTTGGCTTCAATGCGCGCTTGTTGCGCTGCTCTCGCCGCGTCGAAGTCGGTGTCGTTGGAGTAGTATTGGTAGCCTGCTGCTTTTGGCGGCGCTGGATGGGTCTTTTTTTGGGGGGAGATTTCTTGGGAGGGGGTTTTTGCTTGGGTGGGGACTTTTTGGGGGAGCCTTCTTTTGGGTGACTTTCGTTGCTTTTCTGGGCGCCATGCTTGCGCAAAATCGAAGTTTGGGGTGGTTCTGATGTGCTTTGCGAAGTGGTACAGAGAGATGTGGGTTCTGTGGCGAGAAGTGTTCTTGGAAGGAGGGGAATGTGCGGCGCGTTGAGGATGATGATGTTAAGTATGAAGGAAATCCGGGGAGGGTGAGGGCTGCTTACAGAGCGCGATGTTTGTCAAACACAGAGGAGGTGTTTTTCGGGTTTGGTGGGGGAGGGGAAGGAGGCAGGACAAAGCCGCCTAGCAGCAATCAACGCTGAAAGAAAGCACGGTGTTTGGTGGATGAAAGGAGGGATTTTTGCCATGGCTGAACATAGAATAATGAAAGAAAGGAGGAATACAAGTGCGGAATCGTGCGATGATTGCCTACCACTTCTTTATTATTACTGATATTAAGGGTTTTCGCTTTCGTTGGTTTGACTACTACTCTGTTCATGTTTAATTCATGGGGGCCTGCCCGACAAGAGGTAAGGTATCCGCCCAATCAGGATGTTTTACGTGAACTGTTCTCGAAAGGGAATTCTTGTTCTTTCTATGTGAATTATGTTGTGTAGAAGTTGATAATAGGGCAATTATGCCTATAAATTCGCTTGGTTTGTTAAGAAACGCTTTCCAAATTTGTGGCGGTAAAGATGCCGTATCTTTCACTGCCTCTATGTTTTGTTGACGATTTCTTAAACACGATGTCGGCAAGTTAATGTTGGGAGATCGATCCTGTTGTTGCGGGAGTTGTATATGCTGTTAGGCTGATGCTGGAGATTTGGGGCGGATGCGCTCGATGTGCGACAGGATGCGCCTACAGAGGCAGAGTGTGATCGAAGATTTGCGTGAGATGGAAAGGTATCAGCGACCAAATTGGTGGTCGTGATCAGATTTCGTCAGAGCTCTCGTTGAGGTTCAGTTTGGTATGTATGAAAGTCGTAGAAGATAAATGAGTTTGATTAAATAGGTCCTGTGTGGCAATCTGCCAATTAAGCGCGATCCAATGCCTCGTAAACGCCGATCTACCTACCCAAATATGCACTGATGCACACGATTGTTTCTCTCGACCTTTACATTAGTAGCATTCGCGGCTCACGAAAGCCACCTAGGGCTCAAGCGGTCATATACGTGTCTAGGAAAGGGATTATGGTCTGATGTTTGAGGAAATGTGCAATATCCAACTCCCACTCTCGATTTAAGCATTGGGTTAGTCTGAATGACCGCAGGCTACGCCATTTATACTGATTTTGAGACATGGCGTTGAGTACACCTGACCACTGGTTGTTACCCTCCTCAATAGCCTTGACGCCCCAAAGGTTGACTGTCTCTAGAGTATGGCTGTGATCAATAAGAAATCGGGAAAGGCTTTGTAAGTTGTTAGTCCTCAACCCGTAAAGATTTAGATTCCGTAATCGGGAGAAAGAAGCGGATGTAAATTCCTTTACAAGTCTTGTGTGATCGATGGTCGAGTTATCGGTGTGGTTGCAAGTAACGAGCCCAAAAGTGGAGACATGCAATGTCTTTTTGAGTGCGTATCTGAGCAATCTGTAGGCGTTGACAAATTCTGCCCGGTCAGTGCTTGCGGGCACGGTCATCTGGAAGTCGTCTAAACAGGGCAGTAGATGGGAAAAATGTTGTTGATCGTTGAAGAGTAGCCTCATCTGGCTGGAGGGGACAAGAATATCACATGATGGCGCTTTTGAAAGACGGTCTGAATTGATCCCATCGACCATTCCTACTAAAGGACAAGCATTTTCTTGCGCCAGTATTCGAATCGAGTTGACCTGTATTCCAGAGTCTTCCATGGCGTGCGAGAACACCCGGATCTGTCGAAGGGGGTCAGTTGTAATATCAGTGTTATCAAGCCGTCCGAAAGATTTTGTCATCTCCTTTATGGCCATTGTGGCGCTGCACATAACGATATCGATAGACCGCAAACAAGACAATGATCGTAAGGCGCGTACCAAAATTCTTCTGTCGGTGTCGTCTCTATCCAGGAACTGCTGCTCATTTGCGTAGCGTTTGCGGGCGGCGAGATATTGTCCGACGGCAATAGTACTATCATTAAGACTACTGTTTTGATAGTCAAAATAGTCCTTCACGCTCTTTTGCAATTCGCCCTCATCGTAGGTTTCGATTGCACGGAGCGGCTCAAAAGCGATCTTTGTCACGAGTTTTGAGCTGCGGAAGATGATTAATCATAGAAGTAGTTGAGAAGATGACGGGCGCCAAGCTAAGGCACTTACAGCAGGGGATGCTGAGCAATATTGTTGAGATTTTTGAGACTGTGCATCCCAATCCATAGAGGCACAGTAGCAAAGACAAACGGCGTGGCAACGACGGACAGCGCTCGGTTGACTAAGCGAAGATTTCTGAGATGGGTCTGTGATTCTGTATCACTTCTTTTCAGGAGATTGACAATCTTGTTCGTCAGCTCAGGTGGTAGACGATCTAGAGCAGCCATTCTGGGCTTGCGATATAGGCTCTGGATATACTTGAAGTCGAGTTCAACGTTCCAGCTCAAGTGATAAGAGTCTGGCGCGTCGAGGCGCGTTGGCGCGTAATGAGACTCTCAACAGCTATTCAGGTAGGGCATTCACAAGCTCAGAGCTTCAGATCGCGCGGCTGTCACGCGTGTATTGAAGCAAGTCTTGACATGCCAAAGCTGGTAAGCATGAGGTGTTGCAATACGCGTGATTTCACGCGGCGAAGAAATGAAAAGGAGAAACGAAAATTTGCCTTCATTTAATTTGAGGCTTGAGGATGACGTACGCCAAGACTTTCCCCTATTTGCACTTTTTCTCTCGGGTTCAGGACTCAAGACTCGACAACCGCGTTCGTGTCACGGTGCAAAGAACACTGGAGAACACTTGCTTTCAAGTTATAGTCCTTGCCCCCTAGTGGAGGTATTTGGAAGATGGGCTAGCCAGGGACATGGCGATGACAAACATCTATCATGATTCAGTTGTGGTCAAGGCATTGTCCAGGCAAAAAGCCTTGATAGTATTGTAGGGCATATCGTTATAATTGACGTGTGTAGCTGCACATAGCTGTCGCCTTCACTTCTTTCGGCGGTCAGGAAGTTCCCCTAACATCAGTCGCAGCAACAGGGATGCACATCTCAACCTTCAGCAGGACTAGGCACACGGCCGCTGTAAATTCCACCAAACATTGCGCGATCGCAGCGACTAGCTCAGCTTATGCATTCGAAACACCACCTGCAGCCTACTATGACTCCTCCCTCTTTCCCAAAACCGTAAGCGCAAACGCTGAGCTCCTCTCCCTCGCCTCATTGACACCAATGATCGACGATCCACCTCTACTGGGTCCCTCTTCCTCACAATACTGGAGAATATCCTGCGCTAGGGTACGAGCGTCTCTGAATGAGAAGTAAGAACGGCTATCATTCTTGTATGCTGCCAGAAGGATCGAGCAGTCAGCAGCGTCGTTAGTGATAGCGTAGGGTGGTGGATGCGGGCGTTTGGGGTACTGGATCGCGCCCTCGATGAAAAGTTGGTTCCTCCCGTACTCGGGGAAGGTCTTGAGGACGTTAAGGGTAGGGCGGCAGCCGTCGACGGTCGTAGGTGGGTTTTGGGGGATTCCTGGAAAGCAGACGATTCTTCTTTCGTTCTCCTCAAGAGAAGTGGTGTTGAATGCCTGAAATTCTTGTCCTTCGTCGGCTGTTTGGGATAGGTCTTCACTTTCAGGCAGATTCAGAGCTAACACACGAGGTCGAAGAAGGCAAAGAATTGAAAACAGTTCGAAACACTGAGTTATGGGATTTTGTCTCCAGCTTATCTGTGCAGAGTTGAAAATCCTCATAGTTTTCTGGAACCATTCGAGTACCTACCCTACAGCTTTCTTCAATAGATTGACCCGCTGTAATTATAGAGGGTCGTTGGAGCGGTCTATACGTCGTTCTCAGCAACTTTGATGTAAGGTAGAAAGAATTATGGAGCAAAACGAGATCAAGTATGTCTGAGACTTTGCGCGCAAAAATTTATCTTGGGATTCGCAAAATAGTTTGCTCCTCCAAGCGGACTCTGGCGGGTCTACACACCTGCGGAATACAAGTGCCCAAAATAGAATCCTGTATCGCCGATTGTAGATTCGGTGAATTTACACCAAGCACTTTGCCTTACCTTCCCTCCACTTGAACGTATGGAATTAGCGAGGGTTGCGTCCACCTATGTGAAAGAAGCATAATGGAAAGTGGGGCTCCTGCTGACAGTATATCGTACCTTTCCATAGCGTGCTGTCTCTACTTAATGCTACTTTTTGCAATGGTTTGATCGCCTTCTTCGTGTTTCGTATCTCCGAGTTGATAGGGTCATTGACTGCTGTTGATTTAATAATGGCACTTTCAAGAGATCCCGTCGTACTGCATTACTTCCTACTTCAAAATGTAAAGCGCGAAGGAGGATCACATATGGCTGTAGTGGAGATGTGCAGTATTTTATTGTCATCATTACCATAATAGCACTGGGTTTAGGCTCTTGACGGCCGCGTTCCATTGAGCGAGCGATTTGCGAATTTTGAGGACTTTTCATATCTAGTCTCATTCATGTCAAAGAAGCCAGCCATAGAAACCCGTCTCCAGAGATGATCAGACTCATTTCTGCTTCTTTGGTAGCGTAGAGGATGTACTGCTTCCAAGGGATGTAAGCGGAGGACATCTACAGCCGAAGACCATGGATCGCTCGGATCAACTTTTATCCGTCCGTCGCGGTGAGGCGTAAGGCTACGATCTCGAAGACGAGAATCTGTCCTTCTATGTATGTTGTGACATTCCAAGAAGTCATCATATCTACAAGACTGATCAGATTTATCTCCTTGACTCTGTGGCTGTAAGTACAGAGTATCATTTTGGCCCGGTGGTCGGTCAATCTCTCATATCATTCCCCCTCTGACGAGAAAGATGCATTTGCTAAATACTACGACCTACAAGACTCGAGACTTCTTACCAAATCAATTGCCTGCATATATCATACTCTCGCATCGATGGGGAGAAGAAGAAGTTCTTTTCAAAGATCTTTCAGGGCCAAGGAATGCCGTGGAGATATCTGACGGGTGGATAAAATTGAAGTCTTTCTGCTCCATCGCGAAATCGGACGGCTGGGAATGGGTGTGGATGGATACATGCTGCATCGATAAAAGGAGTAGCGCTGAGCTCTCTGAAGCAATAAACTCAATGTATCAATGGTATTCAGAGGCTGCATACTGCGTCGCATACCTCGCGGATATCACAGTCTTCCACGATGAACCGCTTGCACATAGAAAGCCGTTTCGTAAGAGCGAATGGTTTGAACGAGGATGGACGTTACAAGAGCTCTTGGCTTCTCATAGGGTGACATCGAGGCCAGAAGATATCGCATATTGCTTACTAGGTCTGTTCAGTGTCAACATGCCATTGCTTTACGGCGAGGGCCAACTGAAAGCATTTCAAAGACTCCAGTATGAAATATATCGATCGACACGAGATGAATCTTTATTCGCTTGGACTGCGCTCAAGAATCCATGGGAAGAGGTATCTGATTGTCACCCTGCGCCCAATCTTCTAGCTTCCAGTCCGAGGAATTTTCTAAAATCAGCCAGAATCATTCGTGGATTCAAGAATGCTTTCCCACATATTCTCTTTGATGGAATGACCTGGACGATTAATCGAAAATTTAATTCTGACAAGGACCCATTTATACCACTTGCATGTTCTAGCTACAACTCTTCCTACCCAGTAAAATTGTCCATGCGTTGGCTTCGTAACAAACCCTTGACACGCATTGGTTCCACTGAAATCGAGTTTTTGAGCAAAAGTGAATGGAAAAATTTTCGATCCTTCAAAGGTCAAACCGAATCGTATCACATCATGCAGCAAGCGCCCAGGACGAATGAGATATCATGCCCATGGGGAGGGCGGTTTGGTCACACATTTACACTCCAGGTATCTGACAGTGGCCGACGACATTTTTCTGACCCTTTTATCCTTTGCTCTGGTGTCCAGCTTTGCCATGGCTCAAAAGAACTTGAGTACATCGTTTCAAAAGGTACGGCTAAATTCGACGACACTGCAGGCATCGGAATGAAGAGTACAAATGGCGTAGTTGTAACGATGAGGTTTGACTCGGTTGTGTTCACGTTTCGACATCTCCTTGTGAAAATCGGTGCTGAGGAAGAGACTGATGAAGCAGTTGAGTACTTTGCGCTGGATGGAAGGGACGAAGATAGCGACCTCAATCTCGGTGACCGCCTCAGTGCACCAATAGACGAGAATCATTGCGTCTCACTTACAACAAGCCATGGGCGAAGTGATGATGGGGACGAAGTCCGCATTCATCTAGATGTTGTCGCCAAGGACCGGATTGACTTGGCTGGCATTCTAGGAGATTCTCCCCCTACAACTTCGCTAGAGACGTCAGATGAAAGCGATGCAGCGGAGGAACATATCTACAGTCCCGAATAGATTCGGTCCCACAGCATTTCCGATGGCCATCGATCCGCCAGCGAATCCGAAGAGCACTGGTTTACCAGCGACGTCAAAGAGAGTCAATAAAGGGGAGCTTTCGTTCACTTCTTTCGACAATTCTTGCCCAATGTCCGATCGAGCGCAGAAGCGCAAGGCTCGATGGCAAGGCTGGAACCATTCATATGCAATTATCAAGATTTCGCCTGAATTGTACACATGACCATTAGAGGACTACCTTGGAGAAGATTGATACTTACCACATCATGCATCTCGTAGTGACGTCCTCTTCTACAAGGCGCGAGACCAGACGAATCCCAGCCCTAACGCTCTTGAGCTTTCAGCACCGATTCTCAGCACCAACGGGCCATCAAACACCATAGTCAGAAACTTGGTACTATACCTTTGTAGCCAACCAGCTGACGGAGGGAACAGACCAGATGGAAATCACTTTCTAAGAAACATCTGTGACATAGCCTCTCAGCAACCACGAGGAATCAAGCACCGAGGGGCGAATAAGAGAGTCATCGTTGCAGAACATACCTGAGATCCGTGCACTTAGATCTTGCCCTGTCACACTCATGCTGACGCTCGACACTGAACCTGGAGAAGGCATCCCGTAGCGCGTTTGCATAACGTCCGTAATGGAATTGTTTGCATGACTCTCTCTAGTGGAATGACTATCCAGGAAATCCACGCACATGGTAGCTGAAAGTCGGTGGAGACAAGGATACCGGAATCAGCTTTGAATTGAGCATACTCCACTACTACCTTGTGTAACTGCACAACTCGAGCTACAAAGATTCCGACGGAGTGATGGAGCTCATGGACGGTATTTCAGCGTTCCTCGCTTCTGTGGGTATGTTCTGGTATTTTTATGAAATGGTATACTATGGAAATCGAAGCGGGGATGAAAATGTCGCACGTGATCGTGTTTAGAGATCCACGACTCAAGATGAGTGCATGGGTCGAAGGGAATATATGGGCAGAAGAGATCACAGTCTGACATGTGGGTGGCGCCTCAGGAGATCTAAGCTTTTCCTATGTCTTTTTGCTCTTGGCCTGAGAATATTTCATACTTAGCATGACCACTCGAGGTCCTATGTCATTTCTTGGAACACATTATGCTTCAGCTTTCCTTTCCGCTGTCGCTACAAACCAAGATTTTCTTAATTCTTGACCGGATGACAAAGTCGATAATTCTGGCTGTCACCGAAGCATCTGTCCAGCGCCATAGACATATTCTGTTCCCATTCTAGATTCTTCAAGTTTTGCCTGATGCGAGCGCTGTCGTCAGTGTCGTTATTCGCGGACATGAATATAACGTCTTGCAGCTTCAACACCTTCAATGTTTTGCGGTACTTCATGAGAAACGTATGGAACTGCTCTTCATCTGCAAATTTGACGTAAATCATACGAAGTTCCTGGAGCTTTGAAAAGTTTGCATCTGCAAGGAGCTGGACGAGGCAAGAGTTCCAGAAACACTTTCGTCCCCGGATAGCAAGTACTCTGAGGTTAGTACACACCTTCACTGTCCTCGTTAGAGCTACGCAGAGTTCGTTGAAATCTTTGTAGAGCCCTAAGGGTGGAAAGTCAAAATCAAGTTCCTCTAGCATTGAGAGATAGTTGCTGAAAGGGCGTCGCGCTCCTTCAAGCGCGAGTGCCACATTGTGAGCCATAAGATCATGCTTGCAATCAGTCTCTAGCTTGTTATAATTTCGAAGGCCGTCAGTAGTGCGATTTGACCCAATCATTGTCAGCTTGATAATTTGCTTGGAAGCATTTTGCAGAGCCTGGAAGGCGATGGGAAGAATATCTCTGATACTGAATAAGTTGAGCTCGCATATCTGGTTGAACGAATTGCTGAGCTCTTTGGCGCCGATCCATTTATGGCCTGTCACTATACAAAGAGCAGTCAGATTAGGCAGACGTTGAATCGCCCGCGTCAGTACTCTCAGCCCGTGATCTTCCGCGAGAAGCCAGTTTTGTTCCGCTTGATACTTCATTGTTGAACCATTATGTTGCGCAATGGCCAGTTCGCTTGCATTTATTGTCATGAATTTGTCTTGGAACTTTCGTATGATTGTATCCTGCCTCTCTAGATATTCGCTGCTCGAGCGGGAAATCTGCAGCGTGGAGAATTCAATGTCGATGATATATTTGGATCTTGGGAAAGTCAGCCAAGGCTGCCATAATTTGTGAGGGAAACCCACAGTACAGCATGCTCCGAGATATTGGTCAGATTTTGCAGGCTTTTGATTCCAATCCATACTGCAACGCAACGAAAGACCCTCGGGGTCACTATAGCTGATAGACATCGATTCACTTGTCTAAGGCTCTTCAAATCTTGTCTAGAAGCGTGCGTTCCCGGTGATTCGACGTATCGAGCAATGGTCATCAACACTTCCGGGGGAGCTTTGTCCATTCCCGCCTTCATGGCTGGAGAGAGGACTGCCTGGGCGTCAGATAATGAGGATGATGGATTTCTCGCGAACTGAAAGGTCATGGGGTAAAGAGGGGGCTTTCGCCGCTTTGAAAAAATCAAACGACACAGCAACACCTTGCTAAAGTGGGGTGAAGGAATAACACCATCCAATTTCGTCATCATCAACTCGTTACTATCCTCAAATCAGCCTTCAGCCATCCGACTCCGAAGCCTGACTCCCTTTCTCCCTTTGGCCACCCTCACCCCCACCTCCACCGCCCGCCCCACCCCTTAACCTCTTAACATCACTCCACACCGCCACCCCGATCCAGCCCACCCAAACAACGCCAGCAACAACGCCATAAGCAATCTCTCCACCCGTGGTATTCGCCGCCCAGTCGAAACCCAATCCTCCATTAATGATCCCCAGTGTCAAAACCAGACGCCCAAACCACACGTGGATATCAGACCAGAAACTCCTTCGCCCCGTCTTTTTGAACACAGCGTGGTGGATGACACCGAAGAAAGGCTGGATGAAGAAGGCGGCGATGACGGTAAGGCCGATGATGGTGTGTTTGTGATCCAGCTATACCCCCGCCCCTACTATCAGCATCTTGTTTGTGTAACAGGCAAAGAGCAAGGCAGGGAGGGGGAAAAAGGGGGGGGGACTAACATTATACCCATAAGGCCCCGTGACATACACCCCGCATCCCATGCCCGCGATAGTAAGCGTATACGCGAAAGCCTGCACGCCGGCATGGATCCAGACCGTGCCTTTCACATGCAGCAAGCGCACGAGTATGCCGCCGAGGGGGTAGAAGATGACGAACGCGAGGGCCATGAGGCAACCGTGCGCGATGAGGGCTCTTTGATGCCTCTTCAAGTCCGCTATTTGGGCGGGGGTCAATGTGTAACCCGTTGCACCACTCTCGGGCCCGGCTACACCTCCGGCATTCTCTGAGGAAGAGGATGCAGCGGAACCACTGGCCGCGGGGGCGGAGGCGGAAGTGGTAGCGGCGGCGGAGGTGGAGGAGTCGACGAATGGGTTCAGGGAACTGCCCCCCTTGCTTTGGTGAGGTCGAGGGTTATCTCGTCCATGTTGTCGTGCATTGAGATGGTCGCGCTTGCGTCGTCGCTGTTCAAGGGCGAGCCCGATTTCGCGGCCCAGATCCAGTCGGTGTTGGAGGAGGCGAAGTTCATGCTGCCGCCTTGCCAGGTTGCGCAGTTGGAGCCTGTCAATTGCACACGTCTCGTCAGCGATTGTTCTTTTCTCTTGCCCCTTCTCCTTTCCCAACAAGGTGTAGGAAGCTTCAGGGCGGGTGGGGAACGTACACCGAACGTTGGCCGTCATCTGCCCCCCGCAATCCCACTCCCTTCCAACAGCGTCGCCTGCGCCGTGGTATCGTGTTTCGGCATCACATGCCCCGTCCCCGCCCGCGGGCTTAACGTAACATTCTTCCCATCTGCGCTCGCGTATATGACGAAGATGTTTGAGCCCGACATCTGGCTGCCCTGGCCCAGCGCCAGCCAGGACTTGGAGCTGGGACCTTGGATCTGGAAGAAGATGTCGCCATTGCCGCTGCTGGCGGAGGCGTCAGGGACATTGACGCTGTAGCAGAGGCCCGGGACGGAGGAGGGGCATTGTTTGACTGTTTGGGCGAGGGAGGAGGAAGCTGGAGGGGAGAGAGGTCAGTGTGTGTGTTCAAGGGGGGGTTTAGGGGGAGGACGCACCGAGAGCGACGAGGGCCACGGGGGGAAGGGCGGAGAATCGCATGGTACTCAGAGGGAACTTGTCTCAGGTACGTTGTCATTGTACACGAGAGCAGCAGCATCGCTGCTCTTATGACTTCATGACGACGCACACCTACGTGTGTGCAGGAGAGGAGGATTGAAAATCAGCTCTCGCGTGATTGGGCACCTGCAATCTCCCCTTGATCTTAGGTTCGGGGGTGGTGGTGCGCTACTGGGAATTGGCATTGGCGCTGGCGGTGGGGCTGAGCATTCCTCGGAGCGGCCTAGAACAGCAGCTGGAGTTCTCTCATTCGCGGAGGGAGTCTTAGGTACATTCTTAGTATCGGGATGGTACGATGGCCTGTGCGGCGCCGTGTGGCGGCGCTTGCTGGGAGCCATTGAAGAATTGCAGTGGTTTGTTTCGCTTCGTGGTGGAGTCAATGCGTCTAGGATTATGCTTGTAGAAGGCATGGAGACGTTACAAATGCTGCATATGTTTCAGTGAGCATATGGTTTGCATCTTATTGCAGGGGAAAAAAGAGATACGGACTCCGTGGGCCAATGCTGGTTGGTACGTTCAAGCCACAGGCTTCTCTCCTCACCCCACCAGGATTATGTACCTCTTCAGGCATCGTCAGCACCAAGCTTTTGATAGCCTGTCCGCTACTGATGATATCGGCGTCGTTGATACACGCGTCAACAGGCTCAGCCTCTTTGACCTACGAGGCCATGCGTTTGTGGCTGCTATCCCTTATCAGTCCTGCCTATTTTGGTGATAAAGTCAAGCTACGAAAGCTCTAAAATCTCTAGTTCTCCAACTATCATTAATGTGTGTTATGGACTGAGCGTTTGCCAAACTTGGGAAGTGGGAAGAAGCTGTGCCTGCCCTGCATTCGCGTCTCTTGGATTTATAATGGCTTGGCAAGCAGCTGTCATAAGGTAATACACGTCAGCCGGAACGAAGGATCCAATTGACGGAGGATCGGTCGGTGAGGTATTCGTGACGAGAAAGACTGACACCGATCCCGGAAGTCGCATCTTCCAGAAGTGGTCTGACAGCGGCCTGGGAATTGTCGTGCCTTTTTCAATAATTTGATATTGATGAAATGGCTGGTGGAGGTGCGATTACGTGAGCCCGTAAGCAGCGTCCTTCGATACAGCGGGACATCCGTCTCCGAGCAGACTATGATTGGGCCAAGTGGTGTGATGGCCTTACTGTGGAATTTGTATGATGTCGCCGTGCTGAGATTGCATCCTAGTCGTGATTGAGTTTCTGTTCGCTGACAGTCGTTCATTGATGCTTGTCCGTAATGTCAATTGTGAGACTTGGCAAGTATCTGATCTTTCTTGCTCAACATCTCTAGCACTTGGCCACACATCCTCAGACCACACGGTCAGAGTTGCCGTTATAACCCGGGGACTTGTGCCGGCCTTGTCTATCTGCATCATTCTGTATACCATGCAGAGAGGGATGCTTAGATTGCTTGGCAGAAAACATCCACACTTTGAGTTAGCCATTGAACATCTACCTGTGTGTGCACCTTCACGGTTTACCGAGCTCCGTAGTACGTCCGTTGATGCCGACCATGCACATCAATTGCTGACTTCTTGGCAATCCCCTTGCATGATTATCCCGCCGAAGTCCCCGCACAGCTGAAGCTTGCTCTCCAGTTCGAAACGATCCATTGTATGCGTTCAGAAGGTCATTGAGCGGTCCAATTAGGGTCGTTGACAAACACGACGAGGTCAGCGCCTCGATTGCCATTCGCCCAAAATGCCGGCCAAAGCTGCCTTGGCACTGCTGTCGTGAAGAGAAGTAGAACAAAAAGATATAAGTCGTCCGGTACGGGCATCAGAAGAATACTACCCATGGTGACAGACCCCAGAGCGAAGACCACCATTCGCAGAATGCCAACAAGGGCCCCCCGATGACAAAAAACCACCAATAGCGATGTCTCGTTGAATCCCTTACAAGTATTCGATACCTCTCTCGGCGCCATTGATGAAGCAGGATGCGTAACCAGAGACTTAACGCCGAAGCTACCTTGACTCTTTCGTAGTGTTGCTGCAATTCAACACTTGAATCCACTACCAATGTGTTGCTGGTTGCTCCGCTCCCATCACTCGTGTTGACGTTATCCACAGGCTTGTACAGATCAACACGATTGTGCCAAAGCTCAAAGCAAGCTGCTAGAACGGCCGGGCTGGCTGAGATGTAATACCAGGCAGCCCCTGCTAACCAATCCCCTCCAAACGCAAAGTCGGTGGCCGATCCATACAACGTAGCACCAAAGAACACAATGAAAGCCACCCAGAGAGCAATTCCAATGGAGTAAGCAATCCATTCCATGCGGACATGACCTGCTCCCCTCGTCGCAGACCCCATCGTGCGAGATCGAGACAACGCCCTGGGACGAGCACTATCGTACCTCCAAGTCTCGCACATCGCTCGTCCATCTACTTCAGAATGAACCTCCACATGATGTGGAGGCGATGAAGCCATGTCCAAACCCGGGAGTCCTCCGCAAGTAATGCAAAAGAGACCTGTCCACCATATGTTATCGTAGATCATGGAGGCAGGATCAGGAGCAAGCGCAACGATGGCTCCTACAAATGCTGGCCAGAGCGTAAGAATGTACTGGCGGGAGGCAAAGAGAGCTTTGTCGTATTCGGTGAATGTCTCCAGGATACAACCTGTAATGTTAGTGCGGAGACGATCATCCTGGTGTTGGTTTGCGCCGAAACGATGAGTGCACTCGTCGCGCAGTTGTGAGAGGTACAGGCCAGCGTTTTTCTTTGCGCCATAACCGGTCATTCTGAGGAAGGAGGAAGCAGGATATGAACAAGCTTTATAGACTCAGCCAATCATCTAGAGAAGAAGTGTTTCTCTACATCCATGGATGTGCGCCGGAACCAAGGTTTCCATACCCCGCACGGCCGCAGTCGGAGCGGCCTATGTTTTATCCGTGAGCCTGCCAAGCCCTTGCATCCCATACCTTATCATCCCATTTATCGTCATGATAGTCCAATAGCACTACAGAGATACCTTCATCCTACCTAAGATATATCTGAAGACCTCTACACTTATCTCAACCGACTCCACTCTTATGGAGGCTTAAGAGAATCTAACAACGAGCGGTTGGGAGATATCGTCGTCTCGAATGGGTGTCGTTTGAATAGTGCTTCAAGCAGCTTCCCAAACATGTCAAGCTGATCAGCTAGATGCACAGCTCATGCTCAACATACTATCGCAATTATCCGAAGACGTGCTTTGAAATGGGGGCCTCAAAGCTGCCAAAGCAACCCAAAAAGAACTACATTAGAAAAATTACTGCGACCAGGCGGCAACGATGTGCATGCTTCATTTCCTATGCATCACAGATAGGTGCCGCCGACATTCCAGCTCTCTAGTATAACAGCATTGCAAGCTTTGACAAACGAGTGACTCTCCCACCACGGACGCCTCTCTCCCTCCCCCTCTACATTGCGATCGTTCCATTCGTGCTCATCTTGCGACTACTCGCTTTCGCCAGAATCGCCGGAGTCACCACCAGCAGCATCCCCAGCCGCACCCCCGGCCGTTGTGCCTCCACCTGCTGTCCCAGCACCAGCGGCGATCTCAGCTGCGGTCGGCATTTCTTTTTGGTTTTGTGGTTTACTGTGCACAATGATTAGTGTATGCGAACGTACATAGTGGGAGTGGGAGTCACACACTTGGATTTCGTGTCCTGTATTTCTGTTTACTTCGGCGGATGTGTTTGCAAGAGTAGAGGAGAGGGCAGGAATGAGACGCGTTTTATGTGGCAAGGATAAAGAGGGGTGAATAGGAGACCTTACATGCTCGGGCGAGGGAGAGTAAGGCATCCAATACTAGCCATCGTGGCTTTGCTTGATAAGCTGTTGTCATCGCCAGGCTATACTCAAGGCGGAAAGAGTCGCTGTACGCCTGAATGGAATAAGGTATGGTCTGGAATCACGAATGCACAACTTGGCCAGACTTGGATTTTTCGTGGATCGAAAGGAATTGATTGGCATAATGACCGTGCCGTGGGTGGTTTAGAGAATCTACGCCTGGGCTCTCGTCGAATAATGCGCTTAGTGAACGCGTCCGTCCAAACAGCACACTCGCGTTCGGTCGACAGAAAGCACGAGTGGCAAAAGCAACCTATTGCGGCGGTCTGCCTCGCAACAATTCAAGTTCGATTATTCTTCGCACGGAGCCATCGTTGTCAATTTGGTTGACGCTGAATAGGAAGCCTCCAACGATGTTCGCGGGCCCCTTCTCATCCAGAAGCGTCCATGAACAACAATGGCCGGAAAGCTTGACATGCCGTGAACATATTGTTTCGTCCCAAATTATGATACCTACCAGACGTTCCCTGGCCAAGAGAAAGAGCAGTAAACGCGTGGAAGACAGGCACTGAGACTGCCTCCAATCAAGGCAGTAGAAATTTCGAAGACAATGAAAGGTCTGCAAGAGCACGCTGGGGAAAACGAGCTTGGTGGCAACATCTTGAGCACACCATCAACGAAACGCAAACCCGCCGCTGCTGAGCTAAGTGAACACAAATGCCATGGAAAACGCCATTGGCAACGAAGACCTTGACTTCGTGGATCACATAAGACCATTACATGCAACGCACCAAGTCACGACGTGCAGCGTCGGTTGACTTCGCAGGACTGAGGCCTTTGCCCATTCAGAAGCCCAGGAGTCTACTAATATTCCAGAAGCCTTGGGAGTAGTTCACTCCAGAAGCCTTGGTGCGAGAGTCTCGATACCAAAGTTTGAAGCGAGGACTCGGGCAATTGGGTTCCCCAATTGACTGCCACACCATTTTGTGCCTCTGGGACGTGCGCACTCTGAGCAAGTCAATTTGATTCACAGCGCTGAATTCGGCAATATCGACAGGCACAAATCGTCGACATCTCCTGTGTTTTACCTCTTGAGTACACCAGGGCGACAATGCGCCCATGGATGAATCATTTGGCGCAAGAAACCAGTACAAAAAGCCGCGTTCGCGCGGTATAGATCTTGAAAAATCTCGTCGAGAGAGAAAAGTAGTGCCACCACAAGCAGAATTGCTAATAATTCAGCCGTTACTGGCGGTCGAACGATGAAATGGCCATGTTGGCGAGACCCGCATCAGCAGTGGGTAACCAATTGCATAGGGTATGAAGCTAACGAAGGATTAGAGATACGCATTCAAACACAAATCAAAAATTGCAATATTCTCGTCAATTTGCACGAATTTGCAGGTCGTAGGCTCCAAGACAGTCTCCAACCGAAGATCTATTAATGGTGAGTTCAAGTAAGGATGCGAAGGTCAAGTTCTCGGAGCTTTCAAAGCAGTAGTTCGAGGGACTCATCGTTAATGGTAAGATAGTGGGTGCGTGTAAGTCATATGTTGGACGGAGATGTCTCTAATCTGGGCGGTCTGAGACATATCGTCGCGAGATGTTACTACAGCAGTACCAACCGTTTGTGGAACACACCGTTCGACCCGTGGACCAGGCGGATGGAAATATCTAACACAATGTGGGATCTCTTCGCAAGGAAAGAGGGACATATTCAGCCAAGCGATGGGACGTCCTGGCTTGCGCGGCTATGAGTGCAAAGGCGAAGCATTCTTGGCGAGGCGAAGACTTGCCACAAGCATCGCAAGCTTCGCAAGCATTTCTGCCCAGAGCAAGCAAGCGCCTTGAAAAGCACTCAGTGGAACGTAATCTTATCGATCGCGTTTGCGTTATGTCAGATCCAGTGATGATCCCCCATGACCCACGCCGGCTCTTATTATCCGACAAGGTGACTCGACACCTCCTACCGGGGTAAAGCCTGTCGCCTCGGGCGTTCCAGACTCTCGCGCGATCCCACATGACCTGTAGGATAAGCATGCAGGCCAGGCATCAGCATGCCAGATATCGAACGACAGCTGGTCCGGCAATAGCAAGCTTTACTGTGCCTCTTATCGATATACGGCTTCCTACCTGCATTCTGCTTGCGGTCTGCAGCATGCGTATGCCTTGCAGTTGTCCAGACAATTCTCATGTTCGGAGGTCACAGGGTGAGACAGCAGAATACGGTCAACCCAAACGGAAGATTTGAACATGCTTATGCACATCACAATCGCGTGCCCCATACGACTTGGCGATAGCTACTGTGCATGATGGGGGTCACAAAATGCCTCAAATCGTCCGGATTGTTATGGAATCCATCTGTCGGCGTCTAGGGATGAGTTTGTCTAAACCACAAGATTGCATGAGGCATATATGCTTGCTGGTGCGTTTAGAGGGAGATTACCTCATTAGGCCAGACTCTACCACTAGGCTCGCCGAACCTATCATCAGCTGCACCTCAACCCAATTTGAACTTCACCAAGAAGTTTGACAGCCCGCATACATGCTGCGTAAACGAGACTAAGGCACCTCCCAAGTGATTCTTCAGCTTGGGGACCGAGAAACACACTCGCCATAGAGAGTTTCACTTCAAAGCACTTGCTCTCGTTCAAGCTGACATCGATAGCCATAGACTGCCTATCTCACCTACAGACAGGGTACCAGACTCCATAGACACCAGCAAGAGGAGCTAAATGGCTAGGTTAGGCTAATGATCCGCAGTTTCGAAATACAATGCTCCGGATAGGCGGCAAATGGACTAGTTCTGGGGTACTGCACTAGGCGACGCCAACCCCATATAGCCAACCAACAACAGCGCAAGGCTTCTTGCCGCAGAAGGGTTTCAACTTCGTTCAAAGACTGGGTCGATCACGAGTCCCTCTCTGCGCGAATTGATGGGAGGAAAGGGAGATGAACTGCGACAGCATGCGACCTCTACAAGCGGCCCAATGATGAAATGCGCACAGAGCTCCATCCATCTCCACTGCCGTCATCCCACGGGCCCGAAGCCGCCGCCCCCAAGCAGTAGCGGGCGAGTCAACTTGGCCCAAAAGCTTCTAGTGCTTGCTCTAGAAAAGCTTTGGAAGCTTTGGGATGTGGAGATCGTACCGCAACTTGGCCTAAAGTCTTTTCAAACCTGACGTCAATTGGCTGGAGAATCTGGAGTAATCAAACTCACCCAAGGGACTGGGGAAATTCCCTCCAGCGTAGAAATCATAGGCTCGATGGACAGACCTCTCCCCTTGCGTGCCTTCAACGCTATCAGCTCCTACATGCGAAGCATTTGTCAACTTCGTCAGTCGCGCTTAGAGTTGGTCTCAGCTTCCTTCACAGCAGTCTCGGGCGTCCTACCACGGCTATCTTCATTGGAACAGCCAGCCTCCATCGTACCGCTGGCGAGTCGCAAGAATTTAAACTCAGATATTCAGGTGCATTTTGCAGATCCATAACCTTACGAACCGACTTCCACCTGCCAGAACTAGTCCACACCATAACCCAGTGGCGTGGTTAGACCGGCTGCAAATCTCACATCGTGTCTACCCGCCGCCACCTCACTGGACCCAACGGCAAATCGTACACGCGACCTCCCCACCCCCCGCAGCTATATACCCTTTTATACCTTTCATTCTTCCGCTTCTTGTTTTTCCAAACACCTCTGAGACTCCTCTCAACTCTCCCTCCTTCCTCCCCAATCCCCGGATGAGGAAGTGAACGATCGTGAGGGATACCGACCACAAACAACCTCTCCTTACCATCGCACCGTCGCCATTTGCCTGTCACCATGGACAAAATCGGCAAATTCAATGTGGCCCATCGCTATGAGAAGCGCTCGCTCTTGATCGCGGTCAATTGCGTGGCTGGCCTGTCAATTTTCTTCTTCGGTTATGATCAGGGTGTCATGGGGTTGGTGGCTGTCCACCACGCTGTCCACGACCAGTAACGCTGACCTTGACGTCTCCACAGTGGGGTCAACCCCAATAGAAACTATGCCGAGACTATGGGCTTCGGCCACTGGACTGGCAAGGAAACCGCCATTGACCATGCCCTCCTCCAAGGAGGTATCGTACGTTCACGCAGCAGCTCGCCCATGTAACCAGACTCCTAATGCAGACAACAGGTCGCTGTATACTATCTCCCCGGCACACTCGTCGGAGCTTTCCTTGGTGGATGGTTCGGCGACAGGTACGGCAGAATTCTGACAATCGCCATCGCAAGCTACTGGTCCATCGTGGGCGCCATCCTACAATGCTCTTCACAAAACGCGAACTGGATGTTCTGCGCCCGTACCCTCAACGGTATCGGCACAGGTATCTTGAACGCCATCACACCCGTCTGGGCTACAGAGACTGCAAGCCATACATCTCGAGGACAATTCGTCGCGATTGAGTTCACGCTGAATATCTTCGGTGTAGTGGTAGCCTACTGGATTGAATAGTGAGTTTCCCACACTTTCATTTACACGCGAAATTTCGATGATTGACAAACATCCAGTGGCTGCTCCTTCTACGGCCAAAAGGACTCCGATTTCATCTGGCGATTCCCCATCGCATTCCAAATCGTCCCCCTGATTGCCCTCGGCATCGTTATCTGGTTCCTGCCCGAATCCCCACGTTGGCTCACTAAGGTCGGCCGCGAGGATGAAGCTCGATATATCCTCGGCAGGCTTCGTGGAGAGGAGGACGACCTGGCAGAAGCCGAATTCCAGGATATTCGCAACATTGTCCAACTCGAGCGCAAGACCTCGTCGCAAAACAGCTACTTGGCTATGTTCTTTGGGTGGAACTCCGGAAAGCTACACACTGGGCGTCGTGTCCAGCTCGTTATCTGGTTGCAAATTCTCCAAGAATGGTAGGCATGATTCTGGCTCCAAGACCTCGTCGGCGCCGAGCTGACTTTTGAATTTGTGCAGGATCGGTATCGCTGGTATCACTATCTACGGCCCATCTATCTTCAAAATTGCCGGCGTGTCAGAAACGGATCGCCTGTGGATCTCAGGTCTTAACGATATAACTTATATGGTGCGTATTCACCGCGAGTAGTGAAAATTACCCGATTACTGACAACTCCCAGTTGGCTACTCTGATTTGCGTTTTCACACTCGACAGAATTGGACGTCGGTGGACTTTGTACTGGGGCTGCGTCGGGCAAGGAATCAGCATGTTCGCGGCCGGTGGGCTTGCTCGCGCAACGATCAACGCCCAAGCTTCTGGCAAAAGCACCAGTGGCGTGGGTGGCGGTGCCATCTTCTTCGTCTTTCTGTATACGGCTATTTTCGGTGCGACGTGGTTGACGGTCCCATGGCTTTACCCTGCCGAAATCTTCCCGCTAGAAGTCCGAGCACGCGGTAACGCTTGGGGTGTGGTTGGATGGTCGATTGGTAACGGCTGGACTGTAAGTTCAAGACCCCTGCTCACCAAGTCCTTCAAAAAACGCAGAATTGACATGGAAATCAGGTGCTTCTCCTCCCCACCGTCTTCGCCGCTCTCAACGAAAAGACTCTGTATCTCTTCGGTGCCGTCAACGCACTCTCGCTCGTCGTCGTATGGGCGCTGTATCCAGAAACAAATCAACGCACGCTCGAAGAAATGAACTTGGTGTTCGCCGCCGACTCCATCTGGAATTGGGAGGCTGAGAAGAACTACAAAATCCTCAAGGAGCAGAATCCTGAACTCGTGCAGGCTGCGAGGAGGAACACCAGCGTTATTGATCCGGAGACAGGCGAAAGGAGGAGCAGTATCATCCCGGCGAGGAACTTGAGCTTGGATGCTAAGGCATATGAGAAGGCCACTAATGAGGATAGTGATGAGGGAGAGAAGGGGATTAAGCATGGTTAGATGGGTGTGTGTTTAAGGGTGATGTTTTGGGGGTGGTAGGGGATGGGGGGGGGCTGTTGTTGGCTAGCAGTATACCATTTGCTTTTTCGGTTGTTTGGTTGCGCAAAGAAAGAGAGGGTGGAGGACATAGACGAGATTGAGAGTAAGGGTGAGCTGGGGCCTGAAAACATCGATATCGAGATTGGGGTCCCTAGATATAGAGGCAGTTCTTGAATAGACATTCCTCACCAATTCTCTCTACCATCTGTATCATTCCTCTCAATGCTTCTGTCCAAGTCTGCAACGACACAATGACTCGCTCTATACAAGTAGACTGTTTGTCCTAGATTTGCATTCTTGTCCTCATATAGTAGTAGTCTGTCACTACTCATATCAAGACACCTCCATGCTGACCCCTATCCTCGCCAAGACTTTTATGATGCCGGATTACGCTGCCGGTCATTTGCCCCGCGAAGTGCCGGAAGAAGCCAAAACGAAGTGGAACGCGCCACCAACTCCTGGGGACAGTCGCTGACTGCATGAGATGTCTGCGAATCCACGAATTGATGATTGAGAATGTGATCACGGATACCGCGACTGTGCATGCAATTGTGCTGAGGGTCCTTGCATTTCAGTGAAAATGCGGGGTAATATTTCCATCTTCGGAAATTCGGAGAAGAGAGAGTCTTGGCGCTGCATAAGGTGCATAAGTCTGACCAATCTGCACAATTTGATTGGCTGGAGTGGGATGACATCATCGACTGGGCGACTTCGGATTCTGCCTCCAGAATTCCATCTTTTCAATTCGCCACCAACCCCTCTATATCACTCATCCATCCTCACTCTCTCCTACTTGTTCATACCCATCAACCATCTACCAACCTTCCATCTACACTATCACAACACATCACGAATATGGCACCATCAGCGAACGGAGGCTCCAGCATGGGCAATGCCATGAACGGCACCAGCGCCTTCAAGTCCTACACCGATGACAGAGACACCAAGTCTCAAGACACGATCTACACCACCAGCAACGGTGTCCCCATCCCCCATCCCTACGAGACGCAGCGTGCAGGCACCAATGGCCCTCTCCTCCTTCAAGACTTCCACCTGATTGACTTGTTGTCCCACTTTGACCGAGAGCGCATTCCAGAGCGTGTTGTCCACGCCAAAGGGAGCGGAGCACACGGAGTCTTCACATGCACGGCACCACTCGACGATATCTGCCTCGCAGACTTCCTCAGCACGAAGGGGAAGCAATGTCCCGTCACTGCCCGCTTCTCCACCGTCGGTGGCGAATCTGGCTCTCACGACCTGGCGCGGGACCCAAGAGGCTTTTCGGTGAAGTTCAGAACAGAGGAGGGTAATTGGGATCATGTGGCAAACAATACACCCGTCTTCTTCCTCCGAGATCCCGCCAAATTCCCTCACTTCATTCATACCCAGAAGCGCCACCCCTCTACCCACCTCACCCACGCCGATGACAGCACCGTCTTCTGGGACTACCTGTCGCAAAATCCCGAGTCTGTCCATCAAGTCATGATCTTGATGGGCGACCGCGGCATTCCAAAAGGCTATCGCTTCATGCATGGCTACAGCGGTCACACATACAAGCTGGTCAACAAGGCTGGTGATTGGGTGTACGCCCAGATCCACATGAAGTCGAAGCAAGGAGTAGACTTCGTCACGCAGGAAGATTCACATGGCTACTCTCCAGATTTCAGTCAGAAAGATCTATATGAGGCAATTGAGAAGGGCGACCACCCCAAGTGGGATGTCGCGGTACAGACCATGACGGCCAAGGAAGCTGAAGAGCTGTGGGAGAAGCAAAAGATCAACGTCTTTGACCTTACACACGTCTGGCCTCAGAAGCAGTTCCCACTGCGCGTGGTTGGCGAGTTCGAGCTGAACCAGAACGCCGTGAACTACTTTGCCGAGATCGAACAGGTTGCCTTCAACCCATCTCACATGGTCCCCGGCCTAGAACCATCAGCAGATCCCGTCTTTCAATCCCGCCTCTTCTCCTACCCCGACACCCACCGCCATCGCATTGGTGTCAACTACCAGCAACTCCCTGTCAACAGCACCCAGACCCCCTACAAGACTGCCAACTTCCAACGTGATGGGCAGATGGCATTCTACAACCAAGGCTCCCGCCCCAACTACCTCTCCTCCATCGAGCCCATCCAATTTCGCGACCGCAGCGTCGACCTCGACAAAGTCCACGGCCAGTTTATTAACGAGGCTGTGACCTTCCTCTCCACCATCAACCCCGAGGACTTCAACGCTCCACGCGTGTTGTGGGAGAAGGTCTTCGACGACGGTGCAAAAGAGCGCTTCATCAAGAATGTCTCAGGCCACATGTCGAACTGCCACAGCGAGGAAATCATCAAGCGTCAGACCGCCATCTTCCGTGAGGTGTCTGAGGACCTTGCCTCTCGTCTCGAGAAGGCTACAGGTATCAAGGGGTATGATGGAATTGCAAACGTTCGTCTCGTTTTCTCTACAATATCACTTGAACTTTCTGGCTGACTATTCTTATAGCTTTCCTTCAACGGTACCCACAACGGCATGGCTGCAAAAGACAGCAACAAGATCGCCAACGGCATGGGTAGCAAAGTGGGCAAGAGCAGCGTCAGCCATAATGGCGCCCCCATCAAAGGCACACACAAGCAGGAGAGCATGAGCGCGGCGGGTACGAACGGCTCGAGGGTAAATGGCCATTAAGGAATCCCCTGGTTGCAAGAGAGATAAGATTGACTGATCGGTGTTGTTTTGATGGTGATGTAGGTGCCTCCCCATGTCAGGACCGGACAGGCAAATGGGAAGGGAGGTACTGCGTTTATCAGGAAGCTTTGAGAGGACGCGGCAAAGTACCGAATGTATCTAGCTGGACAACATGAACGGTAGCATGCCAATCGAACATTCAATCCCATGATATCCTCCGCTACCTCCTTCAACATAGCGGCATTGTGTTCGTTGCGATTTCCCTCATCTCATCACATCTCATGCAATTAACGTGTGCGACGGATTCCACCCCGACACTCAGATACAAGAGAAGAAGCAGTAACAAGTCATTGACGAGCCAAACATATAGTCCAGCTGACGAAAGTATCCAAACGCGCATAGCAAACCAGCAAGAGCTTATGTACGAGATCAAAAGGGTATCACCACACACAACCACGCGGAAAACCACGCGGATAACCACTCCGGTCAGACTCATCCCTCCCTTCCCTTCACTACCGTTCATTTCTTCATGACAAAAACCACCACAATCACCCTGATCCATCATCCTACTCCTCATCCACGTCACCTTCTTCTGCGCGCACTATCCACGTGTTATCACCACCCTTTCTCCACCCTCCCCCTCTCCCATTCCCTTACTCCCCCCCCCTCCCCCCAGCTCTCTCCATAACTCTCAACCGACGACCTCCTTCCCATCACTACTCCCCGTACTCCCCCCTCCTTCTCCTTCTCATTGAACCCCTTACCCTCCTGCTCATCCGCGACACCCACCAGCAACTGCGCGCGCACTCTCGGGCCGACGTAATAGTACCTTCCACTAACGACCCAGTAGATACCCGCGAACAGGGCGACTGCTACCATGAGGACGGATACGTAATTCATCTATCACACCCCGTGTTAGCTTGTGCAACCACCTCCCCTTGTCCACCAAGTACTCACATTATCAGCCTCCACCGGCAACAAAGTCGGCTGCACATAAATAATCGTCACAAAAACCGTCCACACAACCGCCCAAGCATTGATCCACCAACTCGCCCACCCCAGATGAAACGGCCCTTTATCCGCCTTCCCATAAATCATCTTACACAGCACGGGGATCACATAGCTCCAATCCAGCGCGATCGCCGTCAGGTTGAAAATCGCACTGATCGCCGTATAGGATCCCAGTCCAATCAGGTTAATCAGCACACAACAGCACACGAACAACCAGACCGCGTTGACGGGCGTGTCGGTCTTGCTCCACGTCTTATACCAGATTTTACTCCCCGGCAGCATTTCGTCGCGGGCGAACGCCCAGATCGTCCTGCTCCCGGCTTGGATGGCCGTCATAGCAGTCATGTTCAGCACGAGATACGCACAGACGACGAAGAAAATCCCCGCCTGTCTTCCCATGACTTCATAAAAGATCTGCGCGACGGGCTGCTCGATCTTACTCTCCAGCTTATCCGTCACGTCGCCGGTGCAGTAGGCTAGGACGATGGTGTACAACCAGCCGCCTATCCACGTAAACCCCAACGCGATAGCGATGCTCCACGCGGCTTTGACCTCCGGCTCTTTGATCTCCTCCGCAATATGCGCCGTCGCGTCATAGTCCGTCATAGTCCAGCTGGCGCCGAGGAAGCCGAACATCCAGCTCCAACCATTGGGCGTCCAGCCACTGCTATTGACGACTTCCGTCCACACGTACTCAGATGTGTGCAGGCCGAGGCGTGGAGCGTTGTTGTTCGCGCACGCGAGCAGCGTGATGCAGCACGCCACCAGCACCACGATGTGGAAGATGACGTAGCTCTTCGTGATCTTCTCGAGCGCGGACGTGTCCAGCGAGTTCAGCGCGCCGTGGAACACCGTGCTCGCCGCCATGACACCGACGGTATGTTTCCCCGTCGGCACGTACGTCGTGAAATCCGTGCCCATGCTCACCGCCGCCAGCAATAGCTGCGCGCAGCCGTACTCCGTGCTCGCGGCGCCCGCGATCTGGCCCAGTAGGTTCAGCCAGCCGACGACCCAGGATACCCAGGGCACCTGGTTCGGCGGCACCAGGTATTTGCACGTGAAGTAGATGCCGCCGCTCGTGGGGTAGGCGGATACGAGTTCGGCCACGGAGAGAGCGATGCAGTAGCACCCGAAACCGGAGATTAGCCAGCACCAGACTGCGGACGAGACGCCGCCCGCTTCGAGCGGGTAGATGTAGGTTGTGGTTACGGAGGCGAAGAGGCCGGAGATTGAGAGGGCGAAGGAGAGGGTTGAGAGCCAGCCGAAGTGGCGTTGGTAGACCTGTAGGGGGAGGTGTTAGTGGTTGGGTTTTGAGGGAGAGTGGGAGGGGGCAAAGGGGGATGGTAGGGGATATGCGGAGTGGTGGTAAGGATGGGCAAAGCAGTGGGAGGGCGGTATTTGGATTCCGCTGTCAGGGGCTGGAGTGAGTGATGGGGTGGGCAGACAGCGGATTCCAGATTCCGCAGACAGATATAGACGGGGCAAGCGCGGTCGCAACGACGAACAAACGAGTCGTAGATGGAGGCGGGCACAATCGCCTCGCCATCCCCCACCCCCCACCCCATCCTGAGTCCTTGAATCGCGGTTGCTGCTGGCTGTACGGCGATTCTACGATAAGGAAACGTGATGATAACACATACCGAAGGATATCCCAGCTCCGCCAACCGTCTATCCGCCCTACTCAACTGCGACGCATCCAGCGTATCCGGCACGATCGAGTCCGCTTCCACAACGCTGCCTTGCCGTCGCGCATTATCGAATATCGACTTCTTGCGCTGCTTCGTCTGGCTGTCGGGCGGGACTTCGATATCGGCCATTGTTGGCGGGCGCGTCCGTCACCACTTTACGTGCGTAGGTGAGGGGGGCGAGTACGTCGGGGGCGAATTGAGAGAGGTCAGTGTGAAGAGGGGGAGGGTTATGGATGCGTAGAATCAATGAATGAATCTTTGAAGTCCCAGATTCAAAGATCTTGACTTGGCGGGGAGCTTGAAGGTTTAAGAACTACCGGTAATTGGGAACCCCACCATCGGTTTTGGCTGGTGTGGTATGGAGTTGCCGGTCAGCCTAACCTCGGGCGAAAGCCTGCATGGATCGTTGGTAGGAGAAAATGGAAGGCGCGATGATTGGCGAGAGCCTAGCGTTGGGATTTGCGGGGCATGGCGGCCATGAGATAGGACATAGCGGTGTCGTGGATGGCTTAGCGAGGCCTATAGGAAGATTTTCTCGGGCTGGAACTGGGGTTGATGAAAGATAGGGTCGACCTAAGTGGTTAGGGCGCCGAGTTTGAAGATTGCCAACGCCAACGGTTATGTCTGTCCATAATAGAGCTGGAACGGAGGGGGAGAGGGAGGGATGGGATGGGTTGTCATTGTTGGTGTCTATCTGGAGCAGAGTGACAGCTTGACGTACCTATCCGCGACATCTTTTCATTTGGATGGAGTGGCGGGGAGGGAGTAGGGAGCGGATGCCGCCGTGCGTGGTCTTGCGAGAAAAGGCTTCGGTAAGCAAGCATTTTAGTCTGGTCGCGTGCCCCCCGCCGTTGCTCGGGGCGTGGGATGGTGTGACATAATCGTGAGTGAATGACTGTCAGGAATATTCAAAAAGCCTTTTGTCGCACCATTTTGATGAGTTGTTGTGACTTCTGTTGCTTCTGTTGGCGCTGGTGCGTAGGCTTGCTTGTGAGCTTACGCGGCGACGTTTATGAGAGCGTACTGCCCTCACGATCATGCAAAGTTGGTAACGATGGTGCCGCAGAGGATGAAGCAGCCTCACTAGGCAGACCGGTGGTATAAAGATGTTGAAGTACTCTAAAGTCTAGCTTGCGAACTGCAGGTTTCATAAGACAATAAGCCTCTGCCACGATGACGAAGACTTTCGAGGGTTTTCAATATTTTCTTTGTTTTGATTGGGGGCTCCGTATCGGTCCCTGAGACTTTACACTTTTCAATGGGCAATGCAATGCCTCCAGTACCTTGAGTGATTTCACGAGGGTGTCTCACTTGCGGGTGGGCTCCACTGAGTCCTCCTGGGCTTGAAGACTTCGAGCATGGTCAAGCATCAGTATCGGATGACGACTGGTCCGAATCACTAGTCTGTGGAGAGCTCTCGTGCTGGACAGCCTCCTGGATCGCGTTTGTAGCCCTGCTTGAGATTTGTCCCTTGCGCACAGGCGAGTCGGGATTGTCAGAGTCTGCAGATCCTTCTGCCGAAAGCTCGCTGCCAGTGTCAGCCTCACTATCGGTGGCACTAGCTTCACTCGAGTCATTATCGTCATATTCCCAATTGCCATAATAGCGACGTCTTCATGCTTCAGAAGCCCTTCCTTCTTCATCAAGCTCCTCGGACGGAAGCGGTCCATCATCAGAGGCTATGGAATCGGGTTCATCTTCAGCGCCTTCCGCGTCTGAGGTATCGAGATCGTCGTCGGAGACCCAAGATGAATCATCACTGTCATAACTCTCTGAATCTGACTATCCTGGACCGTAGGCCTCCAGTGCTTTCTGGTCTCTCTCCATCGGATTGACGTCTGTGACTCCCCTGATATATTCTACCGCAGAGACTGATTTTCCCCGTGAGTCGAATTTGAAGCAGTCGTTCATATTAAAGGTTTGAAGTCGATGAAAATCATAGCCCTTTAGACATTTCAATAGTTGAGCCCAATGGTTTGGAGAATTGATAAATACAGACGTCAGTTCAACATTCTCAAGCGTCTCGCATTTTGTGCAGAGGATGACACCAATTTCCATGATAGTACCCTTCATATGGTCCAGTTTGATGCTTTTGAGACCTGCCAAGTGGCCATAGCGATCGAAAGGTATTAACGATGTTATGAAACGGGCCTGCGGTGGTAACCCACGGCCCCAAACTTTCTGGAGCCAGCCGATATCTAGGGTCTCAAGATGGAGGCAGCCTTGCACGATCCATCGCATTGCTGTCATTAATGATTCGAAAGGTTCGAGCCGCTGGTGATAAGCATTGAGATCCGGCATTCGAAGTTCTGTAATTGATCCAAATACCGCCTGCCTCTTGTCTTCAGGAACAACCTTGAATGCGCTCAGAAAGGAGTTTTTGTCGAAGCACATGGCCGAGACCTCCACTGGTGGTATCATTTCCCACCACGGTCTTTCAGCATTATAAGGCGGATCAGCTTCGTTGCCCAACGTCAGAGATGTGAGGGGTTTAGAAGCTGCACAGAGTGCCTTGAAGAGCACGGTGAGGGTGTACCGGCCATCCATTAAGAGCTCGTCGCCGTCGACTTTGCCTAGCCGTGAGGCTATCTCTAGGCCGCCAACGTAGCATCCACCGATCTGCAGCGACGTGAAATTACCCAAGTTTTTGAAAGCTTGGATGAGAAATTTCAAGTCTTGCTCATCTTTGGTCAAGCTGCACTGCTCATCCCAATATCGCGACAACGCCGAGGCGTAAGTGGCGCAGATCCCGTCAATGTTCTCCTCATGAGGGCAATACATCTCGCACTTAGCTTTCACTGATTCTGTCGACTGCTTTATGTCCTTTTCATTGAAGCGTAGTGGCGAAAACATGATTTTGCGAACGTATTGGTGGCTGTAAACTTTTCAGTCCCCCGTGCCTTGCGTCTTTTCTTAAAGATATACTTACAGCAAAGGATGCTCTGAAAGAGACACTAGGTTCTGCAAGCTCTGGCGGCCTATCCATATTGGTACATCTCTGAATAACAACGGTGCTGCAGCATGCGCGCAAGCTTTGCATAAAAGTCTGAAATCTTTGAGCGCGTGCCTGGTTGGGTTGCTGTCCTCGCTGAAAGCGAGACCAACTATCTCTCTCAAGAGCTCCTGCGGTAACCTCTGCATCTCCGCGCGAACGTGAATCTAGGTACTTGGCTTCAATGCAAATGCAAACTCTGGAGACGATGCTCTCCCTGACAAGGGAAAAGATTAAATTTAAGGAAAATTGGGCCTTGGCAGTGGCTGGTGACGGCGCTAGCCGGATTCGGAAGTACGCATCCAAAGATCAGAGTTACACGAAGCAGCCCCATATTGCGATGCAGCTTTGAAATCTCTCCTCCATCTTTACATCGCGTCTGGGGGACTGGACCTATAATTGAAGAGTGAGGTATTAGTGGATGGATGTATCGCGATCATTTTGCTAAGCAAAGTGTGATTTAGCTATTGACTATCAAGGGGCAATGGTTCGCGTGTTTGAAGCTTGGCTGTCATTTTGATACGATCCTCGCATGCATATCACTGATCAAAATTCGAGCTACAATCGTATCGACCATGGGCTTCTGGCAACTTCGGCCAATGTACAGGGTTTCTAGATCGCGGAGCATCGCTATGATGCCTTGGTTTCGTCTTGGCTGAGAAGGGCTGTAGAAGAGGAAGTCAACGACTCTTGCGCTTTAAAACCCGCCTTAAAACCCATCTTCATCGTTTGAACCAGAAGAGAATGTTGAAGTGTCGTCTTCTTGCTCATCAGCAGTCGTCTCGTCGGATGAAGCCGCAGACCACACATCATCGCTGGAAATTTCAGAATTCTCGGCGAAACTTGACTCGTCGGAGCTCTCGGTATGCCAGCTCGATTCGCTTGAGTCATTTGCATCGGCAATTCCGCGTGATTCCCGTATTAACTTCAGCCGCTGTGCTATTGGATCTTCATCAGTGAGCTTCTTGATGTAAGACTCCACCTGCACCGAGACAGCAGCGGTCTCTGAGCCATCACAACCGAAAAGTCGGAACGACTGGAGCCGATCGAATTCCAGGGTTCGAAATAAATTTAATACCACAGACCAATCGTCTGGGGGCCGAATAAGTACGAAATACAGGTAGACCGTCTCCAAAGTTTGGCAACTCAGACCAATCCATGAGAATATCTCCATCGCACTTGCCTTCATGTGGCCTGTATCAAGTGTCCTTAATTTTGATTGACGGACAGGCATCTCTGGTGGGATCACTTCTGTCAACGTTCGTACCTCTCCGGAATGAATAACGTTCAAAGAAAAATGATCAATATTCTGACACCCAGCTAGAAGTTCATTCACAGCCGATAGAGCGTTCTGTATCTCTTCATGGCTGAACTTAGATGTGCAGAAGCATGGGACCTGGAACGACTTGACAGCGCCAAACACCATACTCCTTTTATCGCCAAGAGCATCAACCGCTTTGCAGACCGCGGACGACGATAACCCGCTGAGTCTCGATTCCAAGGCTGGGAGCCACGAAAGCCCACCAGGACGTACGTACTTTGCGCTATTGTCCAAGGTAAAAGACTGTAAGCAGGTTCCAGCATTGGCCATCGCTCTGAAGAGAAGCGGTAGAGTATATTCGCCATTGTTCGAGAGCTCCCGGCGTGTGCCAGCCCCAAGGCTTTCTCCGATATCTGCCGAGCCGACTAGGCTTGGACCAATGCGTATGCTATTCATGTTTGGCAATATTTGAAGCGCTTGTGTGACCATTTGAAGATCCTGGCCATCCTGAGCAAGCAACGCTTGATCCCGCCAATATTGCAGAAGGCCGAAGCGATACTTTGCACAACGCTCTTGAAGGATCTCTAAATGTGCGCGTCTCGCCAAAACTTTTACTACTAGTTCGTCGATGTTGCCCTTAACGAATCGTAGGGGCGCGAACAGAATCTCGCGGACGTGCTGAGAGCTGGAACATTGAGAAGTTAGTCTAGGTGTAGTGGCGAACAGGAGCTGTGAGCACAAGCAAGGTCCTGACCTACATTACAGGATGCTCTGACACAGCTTTGAGATTCTCCAGGCTCACACGACTTATCCATACTGGGATCTGGCGAAAGAGAACACCGGCTGCGGCATCAGCGCAATCTTTGGAAACCAGCTGAAAAGTTTTGAGGACTTCTCTTGATGCGTTGGTGTTGTCGGGAGCCAAAACGTCAATGATCACTCTCAAGAGCTCTTGCGGTAATTGTTCCATCTCTGCACCAGCGTGTACCAAGGGTTTCGTGGTTAAGGAGATGGAAAGAAAGACGAAGGAGGAAAGTTCGAATGTAAACAAAGGCTTGGCGTGGCGGGAAGCAGACTCAGAAATGCGCGTGACAGAATGAACACTACACGGGGATTGCGACAGCACATATTCAAGTCTGCCATATGTTTTCGAAGATTACGAGTGAGTGTGCAGACAAGTGGTCTTATTGCACTAGAATACGGAGCACCAGGTCTCGCGGCACCATCTGGTCTAAAGCATTCAGTATGCCCCCCTACAAATTAAAACATCTCTCGTCATCCAGCCGTGAGAATAAGGCAAAGCTTTGAACTAGGCAACCTCTATCATGATTGTTGTATCAGGAATCTGTTGTCCGTATGGAAGTCTTCAATGATCCTTTAGGAATGCATGTAAGTGGGAGTCGTGTATCTCAGAAATAACTGCTTTCTCCTGCGTTGTCCCCGTCTTCCAAGATTCCTTCAGTTGCTGGAGCGAACGAGGCTGGAGGTGTTCTGATTACGTCCCAATCAAAATCAAGAAGATCAAAGGCTGCCACAGTCCCCCAGAGTCCGTTTGGTTCTCCATTGGAGTTGGTATCGCTAAAGTCTGCCAGAGACTCAGAATCATGGAGATGATCCATAGATCCCGAAGAGGGCAGCGATGCCTCGGAATCATCAAAGTAGCCTTCAGAACTCCTTAGCTTGTCATCGTTGGACTTCCCTAAGACTTGTCTTCGCATTAAGAGTGGATCAGTGTTGACCAAGCCTTTGATATAGTCGTGGACTTCAAGTGGGTTTCCGTCCTTGTACTGACTATCGCAATCCAGAAGTGTAAATTTCTGCAGTCGGTTCCAATGAAGCTTCCGGAGGCAATCCAATACCTTGGACCAGCGGAAATCAGCACGCCTCAAAAGGTCGGGCTCAAAACAGAGGTGTTCGAAATGGACCTCTTCCAGAGTTTGACAGCAGCTTCTCATCCAGACCATTATATCTTCAGGACGTGTAAATACATGGCCAATATTGAACACCCTCAAATTCGAGAAATTGGTGAGGATTCTACGTGTCAGCACTGATCGTATCTCAGGCGACCGGCCTTGAATCAGCATGGGGCATAAGGTCAGACTCTCGAGATTTTTGCATTCAGATAGTAGCGTACGTATGGTTGTGCAGATGTCCTCGCCAGATCTACCAATGCATAACAACTCGGCAGATAGGTCGAAGGTTTTGACATTAGCAAAAAGCTGTTCCTTTCTTTTCCCGAGGGCGTTGATTGCTGTGCAGACTGCTGCTGCTGAGAATGTGCCCCTTCCAACGAATGTGTACGAGGTCCAGCGAAGTTTGTGTTCGGACATGATCTCAGTATCTTTCACGATGAATAATTGTAAGGGCTTGCTAGAAATTGCCAGCGCTTCGAACAGGAGCGACAGGGTATGTTCCCCGTCATTTGAGAACTCCTCGCAGACGCAGTCACCATGCCTGATCTCGTTCCTCCCAATCTGACTCCTGCCAATGTGCAGGTTTGTCATATTTGGCAGATGTTCGAAAGCATCGGTCAGTATCTCGAGACCCTCAATTTGGTGCAGGAGCAAGGTTCGATCGTGCTCAAATTTCTCGAGGCCGTAAACATACTTCTCATGAGCGTCCTTATACTCAGTGGCCTCCTTTCCTTCTCGACGCTTCTTAGCAACGAACTTCGCCTCTCGTTGATCCATGTCCTGATCAATGAGTCGTAAAGGTGAGAAAAAGATACCGCGAACATGTCGAGAGCTAAGGGGTACAGATGTCAGTCCTAAGAAACCAACTCGTGCAGCATAGGGGAATGACTTTACTCACATTTGGGGATGCTCGGAGACATCCTTAAGATTCTGGAGACTACCTTCACTAATCCAGACTGGAATTTGGCTGAACAGAGCAGGGGCAGTGGCAATTGCGAACTTGTGGCAAAGGAGGCGAAGACCTTTCAGCCATGCGCGTGTTTCGTTGCTATCATTTTCGACTGAATGATCGATGATTTCCCTCACAAGCTCTTGCGGTAGGTCGTCCATTGACCTCCTCCTGGCAAGTGACATGATGGATCAGTCTGGCGTGTGTTGGGTGAGTGAGTATTGTCGCGGGCATGGAGATGGCTCTGATGAGGTGAAAGTCTTGGCGTTACGTCAAGCCTGGATTCGAGCGACACAACAAAGTGACTGATTCGTCATAGATCCTAACACTTTTGAGCCGTGACACAGGGCATGTCACGACAGTCCCAAGTGATTCACGTGCTACGTCGGTGATTCGAGGCTCAGGATCTGTTAGCGCTTCACCTGTGCACGAGTAACAATTTAGTACAACATCAGGAGGAATCGACATCCTGAAATTACATTAGTGCAATGACACCCAAATAGAACAATTCTTCTTGCCATCACTCTCCGTCTGAGTCTATCACAGCAAGACTTTCAATAACCCCTGACGGAAGCCAGATACTTCCTCGTAAGGAAATGGCTTCTTTAGACCGCTTACCCCCTGAACTGATCAACAAGATCGTCGATCTCATCGAAGAGCCCGACAAATGTCCGCAGAAGCATTTGAGTCGCCTTCGGCTAGTCACCCGTGCTTTGAACGCTGTTGCCACTCCGAGGGTCTTCGCTGTCATGCCTCTATGGATCGGCTTGCAGAGTCTTACTTATCTCGATAACGTTGCGAAACGCTCGAAGCTGTAGGTCAGCTTATCGAACATTCAAGGCTTGCTGATAACAGTATATATAGATCGAAATTTGTCACCAAAATCGCTTTCGATCCAATCCGAATGATTGTCGATTATGACGAGGAAGAACTACGAGGCAAAATGAAAGATTACTTCGAATGCCGTAAGGATAGGCTTAATGATAGCGCATTTGCCTTGGGTCGTTATCTTAGCTCTCGAAAGGACTACGCAAGCAAACAGCGCTTTCTGGACTTCGAGAACACGGACAGAAAGATCTTAACCCGCACGCTACGGCTACTGCCAAACCTACGTGCTATCGACATCATTGTTCCCAGCATCTCCCTCGGCGGCGAAGAACTCCTGAAGTCTTTTGGACGACTCTGTAGACTCGATTTCAGCCAAGATTTCCTTCGACAATCTAACGTTCTACTGAAGGCTATAGAAGACACAGAGATTAGTCTCGACGCTCTCCATTTGCTAGCTTCGGAAGAAATATGTCCTCTTAGGAAAATGGAGAATGGATGTTACCCGACTCAAGTTCAGACTCTGCCCAAGAACACGTTCATCTTCGAGCTTGACTCCAGCCAATGGAGAAAATTTTCCCATAGTGAAAACCTCGCATCGAAAATGCTACCTTCATTAAAGGACCTGAGATTCCTTGTTCCCGTCGACGCTGACCTGCAAGAGTTCAACACGACATGCGACAGTGTCCGCTTTGTACTGGGGAAAAATCTCGGTGTATCTAAATTAGGTGTCGCTGCTCATTACCGCGCCAATGTGATCCGGGACGAACGTACGAGACTTTTACGAGACATCATGGAAATCAAATTTGATGGGCTACAGACCTTGCATCTTTGCGGTCTCCGTGTCGACAACTTATCCGAAGTCGCACAATTCTTTTCTCGGTTGAATCAAGGCTTGGTGGCGGTCCATTTTGGGAATGTTATTGCTACAAAGAATGTCACTGGAAACTGGTCAGAACTTCTCGCAAGCCTCTCTATATTGGAGTGGAAGTCATTAAAATCATTCAAATTGACTGAATGTGTGAAAAAGGAGCGTGAGCTAGACATTGCTCCCTTCCTCAAGAATGGAACAACAATGCCTCAACTAGATGAAATCCTGAAACAATGAGGTCTGGACGACTGTTGGGTTGCGAGGACACTGTAACCGAGTCAAAATATCTTGGAATGGCACTGAAAGCGACAGTGGAGGAAGTCAGGGGATGAGATAATTGTTGGCATGCGTACTTAGAATTTTGTAGAAAGATGCAGTCGGCGAGGTCGTATTTACTGCATTACAAAGGCGAGATGCCGCATTGACCTCGACTAAATAAAGGTGGCCAATCTTGAAAGTCTCCTCCTACTACCTGCAAGTCAGAAATGAGGTCACCTGTCGCTTTTTAAGTTCGTGCATTTGTAATAACTCATTTCTCAGTGTATGTACGTTGTCTATGGAGACTTTACTGCGAACAATTATGCAATCTGATCCAGTTGCCCGTTTCCGGGGAAGCCCAAGACAGAAACCCGAGAAATTGTCGATCGTATTCTGACAACAAGTACGCTGTTCCCACTGGATTAGATCTGACAGACTCCGTAGAATACACGAGAGGGCAACGTGTGGTACGCGCATTGAACTCCCTGATTTTCAAGTACGGCGCACGCAGGGGGTATGAAGCTTGTGAAATACATGTGTCTTACGAGTAGTATTTGCGTGTCAGCAACAGGGATGGTCAATACACGCGAGATACCATGTGGCGATGGCAACAATGAAACATGACTGGTCGTGACTGCCAAATCTTGACGCGTACGTGTCATCTTCATTGTTTACTTTCGAGACTGCTTTACACCCAAAAACTACCATACATTTACGCGTGACTCTTGCAGAATGGAGATCCGCTTTAAAACACCATAGTATTCTCGTGTTCTCTCTTCATCTCCCGTCAGGGCAGCCGGCAACATTTCCCTCACCATCAACATCGCCATCAGAAACCCTCATCTTCTACCTAGGCCCTAAAGCCGGACCCACCTTCAACATATCTCCATCGCAAACCACCCGTCACAACCCGACCCGCTCCTTCCCCAAGCCATCCCTCCAGCAACCTTACGCTCCCTAACCCACCAAAAAATGTCAAGCAACGACCTCACCGACCCCCCCACCCCGGCCTACTCCGACATCACCAACCCTTCCCCTCCCCCTTCCCCCCTCCCCCCATTCTCCCCCCCTCACCCTCACCCCCAACTCAAACGACGAATCTACGTCCAAAACGAAGCAAAAGGCTGGGCCTACGAAAACCCCGACGAGGCGGCCGAGCGCGACGCCCGCATCCAGGCGGAATGGAACCCGATCCTTCCTCGAACCGGCCGTATTCCTGCGGAAAAGAGACCGAATTATGGTGTTGAGAGGGTTATAGGGAGCGAGACTTCGCCTGAGACATCTGGCCTTGCTGCTTCTGAGGGCGCGCGGGGGGGTGCTGGGGATGGTGGCGTGGGCGGACGTGGGGGAAAGAGGGCCAGAAATAGTGGAGCTCGGAAGAAGAACAAACCACCCAAAGCAAGAAAGCGAGCCAAATCCACCACAGCTACCTCTGGCGCTGGAACCCCACCCTCAGCCTCCCACGCCGCAACAGCCGACGTCGAGGCGTTGGCGAATGATATGACCAAGAAGGGACGTCTAGGCAATCACGATTTCGCGGTTAATGTATCTTTTACGGCTATTGATAGACTGAGGGCACAACATCCGGGTGCGAGGGGTGTTGGGGTGGGTGTTGGGTTGATGCCGCTGTTTTGAGGGGGGTGATGGGAGGGGACTGTGGGGGAGGGAGAAAGGGAAGGGGGACTGGGGGAAGGGGGACTGGGGGGAAGGGGGACTGGGGGGAAGGGGGACTGGGGGGAAGGGGGACTGGGGGGAAGGGGGACTGGGGGGAAGGGGGACTGGGGGGAAGGGGGACTGGGGGGAAGGGGAGGGGATGCAAAATCCAAGATTGCATTACTAGAAGAGAAGTCTTTGATGTGAGGAAGGTATTTTTAAATGATGCTTCATTGGGAGGAGTGAGGAAGACTGAGGAAGAGGGAAAGGCAGAACAGGGACGCCACAGAAGCCTGTCTGGTTGAATGGATGCAAGAATGCGAGATGGGCTGGTTGATGGGGATGATGTGTACTGTCTGCTTAAGCTGCTTTTCTATCATTATATTCAAATCGTGCCATCTTATGCCTTGGTCCTCCTCTCCGATCGCCAGGAGACCCCGATTACCAACTTGTAATCACCACACTGCCAGGGGCAAAAGTTATCGTGCGCGTCATCGCCGCTGTCCACCGCGCTCCATCCCACCGCTTCAAGCCATCGCATCGCATGTTGCACCCATTTTTAATGCTCGAACGCCCCCTATGCTACCGCTTTGAGAGGCTTTCGAAGCCCAAGCAGCCTTTTCTAGTAACCGTCGCTTCTTGTCCCGCCGACTTGAGGCGGTAGCTGGTGATTGACAGCCACCTCTCATGCTCCTGACTCACTGATTTGTCGACGTGCGAGACTGTTGACCTTGTAGGCAGCCGCTTGTATCCTCTGTAGCCCTAGAACACGCCGCTTTTAGTGCTGGTATGCTGTGTATCTGGTAAGGCGTGGTGCTGTTGGCGTAATGGCTGCCTGATTGGGGATACGCGGTAGCGATATCGGCCTTGTCTAGTCGTCGCGGCTGATGCGAGTGGCTCTGGTGTACCGTATCTCGCCGTTATGCCGCCTCTTGTTGGGATGCTTAGGTCTGTTGTTGACGCGTTGAGGTGGGCTTCGTGGGGTTTGCTGCCTTTAGGGAATGCGGCGAGGGCGAGGTCGAGGCGGGTAAGGATATGGTTCGGTAGGAATATTGGTTGGTAAGAATGATCTCGCTAATGAAACTGGGTGCTAAGAATACATTCTGATCGTAATGCTGTCACGAAATAATAATGATGATGATGATAATGCCGTAAACTCCCCAACGCCGGATAAAAATAGGTTGTAACGAAAGCAGAATGTGATGATTGGTGGCGCCACCTAGCAGATCGTGTGGCTATTGTCGGTACTACCTGGCGCTGTAGTGATTGTCGATGCCACCTGGCTCTGTGGCGCTTGTCGCTGTCATCCGGCACCATGACGCTTGTCGAGGAAGAGGAGCCCGAACCCCGGTATTGCTGCCGGGGAACGTCCCTTGACTGAGGGCGCGAGGAGGAGCCACCTAGTACCGTGGCAATTGTCGTGTAGTACTGCCTGGCGCCGCAGCTGTTGTCGAGGTTGCCACCTGGCACTGTGGCGCTTGTCGTTGTCATCCGGCACCATGACGCTTGTCGAGGAAGAGAAGCCCGAACCCCCGGTGTGACAGGCCGGGGGAACGTCTCTTGACTGAGGGCGCGAAGAGGAGCCACCTGGCACCGTGGCGATTGTCTTGTGGTGCTGCCTGGCGCCGCAGCTGTTGTCGAGGTTGCCACCTGGCACCGTGGCGATTGTCGTGTGGTACTGCCTGGCGCCGCAGCTCTGGTCGGGGGAGAGAAGCCCGAACCCCGGTGTTACTGCCGGGGAACGTCTCTTGACTGAGGGCGCGAAGAGGAGCCACCTGGCACCGTGGCGATTGTCGTGTGATGCTGCCTGGCGCCGCAGCTCTGGTCGAGGTTGCCATCCGGCTCCATGGCGATTGTCGGGGAGGGAAGCCCGAACCTCTCAGCTGTGACCTGCTGAGAGGAACGTCTCTTGACTGAGGGCGCGAGGAGGATGTCGCCTGGCGCCGCGACGCTTGTCGAATTTAGGCACCGAATGCCTTCTTCGATCGTATCCGGGGGCGTTGGTGTTGTGGCCGAAGCCGGAGGTCTGCCGCTCGGATCGTATCTGGGTAGGCAAGCTCGACGCGTTTGCCGTTGCTCTTTCGAGCGAACGGGTCCGCCGGATGGCGGCATAGGGTCTCGGCGACGATTATCTTGTCGCCGTCGTCGTCGTCGTCGGCTTTGTCGAGGCGCGAACGCCGGAAGCAGGAAAAAAGGCAGGCGAACATGGTTGGAGAGGTAGGAGGTGTCGGGCAGAGCTTGACAAGATGCACCGACGAAAGCTTGGTTCGGAGTGAATGATTGGGTTTCAATTGGTTGGATTCGTTGTTGTTTGGTTTGGAATTGGTTGTAAAGCGGTGGTGAAGATAGCTACCCAGCGGGTCCCAGACGTCTCTTCTACGAAAGGGGCAGAAGAAAGAGGGGAGAGGGGGGAAGGAAGACTTTATACCCAGAATTCTCAGCTTCGCGGGCCTTCTTCGAGCCGTGCACTATGCCAAAAGTGGTTGGAAACCCTACGAAATCTGTAGAATTGTGGCTGCAAGGTCCATATCCACTATGAAAAGAGGGCGGGCGTTATAGATCCACTTCAAAGAAGCGGCTCCAAACTAGAGAAGTCGAGAATAATGGTCCTGTAAAGTCTATATCCATTATGGATATGCGGTAGGCGTCAATATACCCACTATATCTAATAGGCTTCAAACTCTAAATTTTCGCTCTTGTGTGGTTCTACCAGGTTTATGCCTACGAAAAAGCAGGCATGAACTATATCTTCTACGGCTAATTGTGGCTGCAAACTCTGAACAACAAGATTATCTTGCTTCCACCAACAATTTTTTTTTCGACGAGGACTAAGCAAGATCGATTATGTTTAACCCTAATCACGCCTCTAATTATAGATTTCCGAGGAATCAAGGGCAGTATTTGGTATATGTTGATATATATCTGCCTCTTAAGAGATTTGTACCTATACATTCAAGCCTCGAATCACACTGTTAAGGTCTGCCATTGACAAACCATCATCCGTGCCGCTCCGGAAGTGGCGTTTATCGCATTGAATTTCAAGCCATTCCGCCCGCCATTTGAGATTTTCAGATGTCAAAGTGGCGTTACGTCCCCATCCACTCACCGGATCGAACACACATGTGACTCAAACGTGTTTGTCTGGAACCAATTGCAGTCGAGATCTTCCGGTTCTCATGTCTACCTTTGCGGTCTTCTTATGGCTAATCCAGCCTCTTGCACAGGGTGATGCCTGATTTCCAGTCGACTGAAGAGGTGGGTATTGGCGGGTGGAGAGACGAATTCAATTCCGAAATCATGCTGGACGGGGCGCACGATCCCCCCTTTTTTCAAAGTTACGCCTTAGAGGCGGAAACTAGAAGTTTATTTTCATGCGAAAATTTCAGAACGGGCAGGACCCTGCGTGAAGATCATAGCATGGGCGTACATTAGCGCATGAAGGGAAAATTTCAGGTGGAGCCGTGAAACTGTATTTACTAGTGATCACAGAATAACTTTCACGTTTTCTTTTTTACACACGCAGGGAAAGCGGAGTCCCCCACCAGTCCCGCCACCACATGCACATTCGAAGGCTTGAGATGAAGGAACAGTGATGACAAAGTGTAAAGCCCAATTCTTCAATTACCTACGTGGACACTCTACCGGCTTCGAGTGCTATTCTGATTGGTTGAGGGCGGCGCATGAGATGCTTTCCCTCCTATTGTGTCTTCTGGCCCATAAGCGAATGCATTATCAAATTTCAAGGGACTGATTAATCGAAGTATGAGTTATGATCTATCCCCTCATTGAAGATAGCGAGACTTCATTATGTGGGACTCGATCCTCCCTTCCTCAGAACGACTGCATTGGTCCGGTGATCATGCCCCCATTTTGGCGAACGACTCGCGACAAGCACCTTCCTATTTCGTCAAGTAATCGTGGCTTTTCGAGGAAATCTTTCGGGTACCATGCCATATATGGCTGTCCTCCCCAAAGGAACACGCCGCACAACTCTGCAGGACTGCCACAAGGCACTGCAGCAGATCATTGAGTCGCACCAATCAAACGCAATCTCTTTATAATCCATGCAATCAATCTAATGATCCCCGCATGTGGCTTGCAGCTTGTACCTGGGCACACCGCCTCTCAAATTTGACTATTCCGGTCTGGAAGAGTCTGGAAGAAGGAAGTTGAGCGGTTACGTTGCTCCAAAGAAATCATCCTCTTGCATTCGAACCAGTACCGCAAGGGGAGCCGAGACCTTATGTCAGGGTCAATCTGTGCCAATTTCTCCTCCGCAAATCGTCACGATGTCCCAAAGCCCATCCCAGAAGAAGAAACACATTTGAGTACTAACGGTACCTTCATTGTCAAGATCTAGCCAGAAGGAATTTACCGTGGGGCATCCATGCAGGTTCGTTGCTTACAGCACCTTCCCGTTGCAGCGCTGCATGCTTATGTGCATCTACGATGGAATCCATATGTATTTCGCACCCCACCCATGCATTCGATTAAACAGTCTTTTTGCAGGCTTTGGAGATCCTGAGAGACCTTTCTGAATTACTGTCACACTGACATCCTATCTCCCATGATACATTCCACCATATCAAAGAGAGTGTGAACCATGCGACAGCTTTGGTTGTCGATATTCGTCCTTTTTCTACTCCCGTTGATTACCGCCATAAAATCTATATGTCAAATGTCGTTGATGAGAGGTCCGCAGGAATCATCATACCTAAGAAGAGTCTTCGACTGACTTCTTAGCTGCAATGACGCAAGATCGAATCTATCTTGCTGCTCGCCTTACTGGATTCCAAGATGGCACGAATGAAAGTAACGGTACGCTACCTGACAACTTTTCTCCAGTCTCCTGGAATTGAAATTTGACCCATGGAGCCTCCTTCCTATACTGGATGGACCTAGATAAATCATTTCCCGTGAACATCAATCCAGATTCCGAGAGTCAGCTTAATCGTACCGACGACTTTGAGGCCATGAATCCTGGCTTTGTCCCTAGAGAGGGCAGCCCCGTGGCGTATAGTATGGAGTAAGATCTTGAGATCCTTTGGGCTCCTTGTTTATACATGTTAACAAGCGACTCCTAGCATTAATAAGACGTGCATTTACATGACCGGCTACGTTCGGCGGAAGGACAATGCCAACAACGATCTGATACCTATGTACAATACTTCGGATGACACCTGGCGGACATCACCGCTCTTTTTCACATATAACAACTCAGACCAACTATTTGATAGCGACATCTATCCACTTGCATCATCGAATGATGGAGGCAATGCTTTATCTTCGTTTTGGACTAAGCCTTTCTACAATGACACGACGGAAGAAGCAATAGTCTCAATGGGCCCTGCTGATAGATCAACAAGCGTCGGGTCGATGACCGACGAACCCAATCGACCAGAGTTACTCGGCAGTACGACACAGTATGTGCGACTCGGGGCCAGCGGGATGTTAATTATAGTCGGTGGAAAGTCTAGTTTTGACTATATAAACGACACTGTAATAAGCGCCCACGATGGAGAGTATGTTCCAAGTACCAACACGAGCGGATACCGAGATATGCGTTTGATACAGGTACGAGATATGGCTACCCAGCAATGGTTCGTCGTCACGGCCCAAGGTGACATCCCTCCTCCACGCTACGATATGTGCTCGGCTATAAGTGCTGCCCCCGACGACTCGAGCTTTCAAATGATAATTCATGGCGGTGTCTATACGTCTAACACTCTCGACGATGTGTATATCTTGACAATGCCAGCCTTCTACTGGGTGAAAGTAAACACAACATTTTCCTATGACAATGGTACGCTCCCGGCGTGGTCTTCGAACACTACATTCGGGGGCCGAGCGGAGCATTTCTGCAGTACCTTCAATGAACGTCAGATGTTTGTAATGGGAGGGTACGACAACGCATTGATAAATTTGACATGCTCCAACAACTTACCTTTCATGCGGGTTTTCGACGCAACGACGCTCAATTGGGTGCCTCAGTTTGACCCAGATGCCGCTCCCTATCAAGTGCCAAAGGCTGTGTACGACATCATCGGAGGAGGCCCCGAGGGTGGCGCCCGGCCAGCAAGCGCGTGGAACCAAACCCTAGGAAACGATTCGGACTATTTTAAATGGGGCACTTTCAAGCGATACAACGTGCCGAATATCACACACGTGAAAGCATCCGCAGTCAACGAAGCACCATCACCGAAGAGTCCTACACCATCGTCGAAAACTCCGGGCAAAATCGTTGCTGCTATATCCGTTGGGTCTGTCGTCGGAGCTACTATTATCAGCGCATTAGTGTTCATTACGATCAAATTCTGGAGACGCAGAGCAACTGCACGAGAAGTAGGAGAGCAAAATGAATATCGCAAAGCAGAATTAGCCGGCAGATTGGTACCACAAGTGCAATCGATTGAGGTTCATGGAGATTCCACGATGAAAGAATTGGAGGGGACGAATCATGTAGCTGAGGCTCCAGCGGTGGATCGAAGGGTGGCGAAACGAGAGGGAGTGGAGCAGCAGGGATATCGCAAGGCCGAGCTTGCGGGGATATCGATACGAAAAGCTGAGCCGGCTGAGATTCAAGGGGACTTTAACATTGAAGAGTTGGATGGCTCGAGTTGTGTGGTCGAGGCTCCGACTGTGGAACATTGTGCTGAAGCCCCTCCAGCATCACGTTGAGACAGAGGGAGGGGACCGATGGGTTAATGGAGTTCTTCGGCTACCAGAGGGGATTGTGATCATGAGATTTCTGGAGAAGACACGAATGATTGTAGGTGGAACGATTGAATTGGCACATCCATCAAAATGCACATTTGCTGAGAGTGACGCGGATCGTTTGCGGCGCTTTCGATCAATCTAAGCAAGCGTTACACCAAAAACATCCTAACGAACCTTCCTTCGACCTTCATTTCCTATTTTGCACCCCTTCCCCATTCTTTCCCCCCAACACCGATGCTGAATGTCTAGTAACCGAAGTATGCACCTGCTCTAAGAGATTATAGAATGTCTTGGCATGTCCTCTCCGTAAAACCGGGAAACGTCTTGGTGTGCTATAAATAGGACGATCTTGCTCCACTCTTCTATCTTCTTCTACGTAGCCTTACGGCCTACAACTGAAAAAGTTGCGACCTTCAGTCTTCGCGTGAGATTCATGTTGATGTTTCCCTAGACCGCTGCTGTTTAGCTCGTGCCAATTCGCCAGAATCAACGCGGGTGGTCGTCGGCGTTGTGAAAGACTCCTTCAGTGATCAACGCTCTGAGCGCAACATGAGACGGCTCACCGACAGAGCTCAAGCGCCCCCGACCCATGGCGGAGACAAGGAACGAGCATTACTCTCCTCTCATTCCATCGAACTCAAGATCCAGAGTGAACTTAAAAGCGCTATGTATAACCCTGAAGTACCTGGCAAGCGCTTCATAACATACGAGAAGCTCTGCGCTGTGTGGGCTAATACGTCGATTGACTCTATTGAATCTTTTAGGAGCTTTTTCCTTGAGGAGCTGCAGCTAGTGCGACGCAACTATATGCGCGTATTATCAATTCTGATCTATATTGGATGGGATCTCGCTCGCTTCAGGCCCGTTTTTCTACGTTGTGATCTCGACGATGACAAGCTATGCTTCGATTCCGATCAATTGCACGAGCTTGGAGAGCTCGCACCTAATTTTAATGATGTCCAATATATATTCAAACCCGTGCAAATCGATTCAAGGCCTGAAATTCAGAGTGTTAGTACGAAACTTCGACTTCCCTTTACTTCGATGAATGAAATGTCAGGTACCGATGGACCGGGCGTCGTGAGCCGAAGAGTCATTGCAGCTGGACAGTTTATCGAGTCGATAGGTGGCAAAAGCACGCGAACAAACAAAGATGTCAGTCAAAGATCTACTCACCGCTAAACAGACTTTATTTACATCTTACAGCCCATGGTCGTCGCCTGCAAACAATTCGAAGCCGACTTTCGATGGGCTCCCAGAGCACGAGAGACTAGGGCATATTCTATCATTAGGGAAAGATCAAGGGCCCATGAGGGCATCTTGACACACTTCGCAACGCTCGCACATGGCAATGATTTTATAATAGTCTTTCCGTTTGCTCAACACTACAGCCTTGAGGTATTTTTCAAAGAAGGTGACGAAAAACGTCCGACAAATCTCAACCAGGGAGGTTCCCCACAGGTTCGAGAACGGTACCACTTTACTAAGAAATTTCCCCTACTAGCTAATTCCTCGATATTGCATCTCACAATGTTGAGCCAAGCCTGCAAACTTGTAGATGCTCTTCTCTTCCTTCAGAAAGAATTGCAAGTGCCTGGCTGGGGAGACTCTTACTGCGTTCATGAGAATCTCGAGCCACCCGAAATTCTGATTGATGGTAATCCAAGCGATCCAATGACACCCGCTGGTACTTGGAAATTGACCGATTTTGGTCTTTCGATGTACGAAAAGGGTACAGATACTAGAAACATACGCCATCTGTTATTGGAGGAACTTTCTCAAGGAGTGTTTGTCTTGGATGAAGTGTTTATCTCGAATCTTTCCCACAATTCCGGATATCTGTCTCCCGAGCAGGGTTCTAGGCGTGGCATACATGAATGGCCACGAAGCTATCATCGCGAAAGGGATGATAGTCTTGACTGGCGCAAAACGGATAGTTGGTCCGTTGGTTGTCTTTTGTGCGAGTTACTGGCGTTCAGTTTGTCTAGACGCCGTGGAGTAGACATTCTACGTCGCGCTAGAAGGGATGACTTTGGCATTGGGTTCTACGAGACTTACGGAGACTCCAATCAACCGATGAGCCAGATATATCGCGCGAACATCAGAATCAAGCAGAGTGTGCTATCTTGGTTGCACGAAAGTGCAAAGGCCAAACCTACTTACGTGAGCGTCGTTGACCAGATTTTACGACCGTATCCGGAGGACCGACCGAATATGCGTCGTATCCGCTCATTGCTAGGAGCATTAGAATCGGGGAAAGTAACAGCATCAAAGACTCGCAGACCGACCGATATCAGATAGGCCCATTCATGGATAATGAGAGCGAGAGCGACGATGTCGAGTCGGTTTTCTCAATAGAGGACGCTTCAAGTATCTCTAGTGTTGCCACAGATGAGCTGCAAGACCCCGCTGAGGAGTTTATCTCCTTTCTCTTGAGCGATAAAATTGTATCTCATTTAATCAGTATTGCATCGAAAGAGACTCCGGACGCGCAGACGCGCATGTTTGTACGACTGAGAATCCTGTTGAAAGTGTTTGGTAAGGACTTACATGGAGAAGCAAAGAATGGTAAGTTGACCTCTTCATCGCTTCCGTGCCGCATGTGTTACTCGGTTGGTTCAGTCGAGTGAATAACGGAAATTCGAATGTGAGCTAACACTTCACGCATCGCTCAGTCGATGAGGAAGCTGCTGGGAAGCTTATCCGCGCAAAAGCGACATATGTAACGACACGGATCAAGAGTTTGCGAGATAACCTCCCCAATCAACAAGCTACGCTGACATCTGTTTCTCTGGTATCAAGCAATGAAAGCTCACAACAAGACTGTGCATCTCTTAGGAGTCTACCAGCAGATCAGGGCATCATCGATCATGACGATAGGCTTTTGTCAGGGCGAATCGAGGAAGAAGACGTCGAAGACGAAGATAGAAACGCGGGAGAAGAAGTCGCGCAACAAGATTCAAATGTCCAGTATATCTCATTAGACGTATTGAAGCAAGCAGATCAGGACGTCACAAGTCACAACGATCGCCTTCTGCCAGGGCAAATTGAGGAAGAAGACGTCCAAGATGATGATAGATACGAAGAAGAAGAAGAAGACGCGCAACAAGATACAACTGTCCAGCAAGTTTCATTGGATATATTGAAGCAAAGAGTAGCTGACAGCAAAGCTTTTGAAGCATTTCGCTTACGCTTCTGGCGTTTACTTTTTCCCAATCCTTTTCGAGGCGTAGAACATATGATGGAAACTGTTGTCTTACCTACTAATGAAGCCGTGCACACGGTGACTTTCAATGTCTCCTGGGATCTCTTTGCGTTCATAGATTCGGAATTCGATTACATTAAGAGGTCAAGCTTAGACCCAATCGATTTACACAAGATCTTAACGATTATGGGCACTTCGGTGAAGGCAGTCACAACGACGGCTGGAGAGTACGCTAAATGGAAATGGTGCTCTAGCGATATAGACATGTTGGAGTATATGAATGCATTGATGAAGTCATTGTCTGACTCAACAGGTCAGTACTATCAAATCCGTATTAGGCCTCGCTGAGCCAAACAGTGCGTGTCAACCCCTGGCGCACTTCGAGTAAATCATGGAGTATAGAGTGCATCTCTTCAGACCTAGCAAATGCACTTCAGCAAGATGTGAGTAATACAGAATCCATGACCCATCTTCACACTTCAAATTTTGAGCATTTTCTGTGTGTGGTTCTGTGATACTAATCAAACGTTAAAGAGACTCTCATTTCGAGTGGTTGGTAGTAACAGATCACTGGTTGAAGTTGCGCAACAGCTTTCTTGGTTAGCAACAGTGTGCAGAAGACCTGATTATAACGAAATATCTTTCTCCAGCGTACGACTTAATGCTGAGACGGGTACTTTCGGTATCCAGCTTTGCGATCTGGAGCCGATGAAAAGACGTGAAGACGCATGCTGGATACCTTTATTCACTAATGCTGTGGTAGCTCGAGGTTTTCCAATTGCTCGGCGTTATAACCAGGAGAAAGGTCTTGAGATCCCTTTTCACATCATGACCAGTCTAGCAAAGGTTATGTATCCACTTGAAGAACCTGGTATTGGCCACTACCTGAGAGCCTTTTCCTCACTCGTCTTTCCGTCAAAGGTTTCAGCCAACTGCGAGACCATTCAGTGGCACATGACGAAACCACACAAGGGATATCTCAAAGCAGGATCTATGCCGCCAAGTGTTGATGGTAAACCTTGGGCTCATACAAAGACATTGGAAGAGCTCGTTTTTGCTAAGCGAAATTTCTTGGGCTATGTTCGAGCAATTGAAATGCATATTGGATCAGGCTCTGCTATTGATAGAAAGAATATAGGGACAGTATTCAACTCGGGAGCAAATCGGGAGAACCCAGCCATTGCCCTCGAATGGAACAGAATACAGACAGGTACATCGGGCCTTGGACTTTTTGGCGTTCAGATTGAGGCGAACATCATTTACAACCAGGGACTCTTTTACTCCATAGAAACCAGTTGGTACCGAGGACTCCTCGACACGGCAATGATTACGCCGATAATTATCTACGATCACGCAGAGGAGGCAAAATGTGCGTGGATGGTGCCTAGTATCAGTGCAGTATTGTTCATGGCTCATGTCTGGGCCAAAGTCGTAGGAGATACATTAGGTTCCCTACCGACCGCAGCTCTCAGCTGGTAACGACAGATTCCACGCGTCAACCTATTGTATACTAGCTGACCAACATCGCACGTAGGAATGGTGGAGAAGCCGCCTACCGCGCCATTCTTGACCATAGCAGAGACGTCATACGAGACTCTTTGGAGGAAAAAGAGTATACCTTTCGCGATCTCGTTAGCCGACTGCTGATATGTCTTGACAAGATCCAGCATGTAGAAGCTAGGGCTCGCGCAGAACCGAGACGATCCGTCAGCTTGGAGACATCCGAGAAACTGTACGGCTGGGATCTGGTGAAAATTGCACAGGGAAATGGGACTGCCTGGCGACAAGAGCTAGAGGTCTCACAGAACTGGAGAGTCCTCAGTCGCAGCTGTGTCGTTCTTTTCTGTCAAAACGCTGGCGAGCTCTTTAGGCCAGCAAGCACTACGAAAATCTGCCATGTTGCTAATCCAATCAACACGACCTCCGATTGTCTTGTTGCTCCCATCAAATGCCTTCGCTTTCTTTCTAAAGAACATGGTCAACGTGATGACAGCACGACCTTGAAGTTAGATGACGACCTTTTCTGGACGCCCCAAGGTCTAGGATTGTTTGATGACTGCAACATGTGTTACAAGACCTCTGCTCGTTCTATGAAAGTACAGTGCAAGAAAACGAAACAATCCATCTCAAAAGAAGATCGAACGCGAAAGAGCAATCTAAGGCCGCCAGAGGAGGGTGCAGTAGTGTTTGGAAGGAACAAGCTTCAGAAAACGAATTATTTGGTGCCTGAATCGTCATCGATGAGTCAAACGGCGTCAACAGATACGCCCGCGACGAGTCTGTCAATTGGAGACTTACACGAACTAGCACAGCCAGCTTTCCAAACTGAAAATCGAAATCGACGATGGGATTTCATACACCTGTTCAGGAAGAAAGGCGCTTGAGTTACTCTGTAATCTCGAGGTTGATGTATCATACGCATTAAGGAGTTTCAGCCAGATCCTCAGATATGGAAAGGTATCACGAAGTCGACAAAAGCCAGCACTCAGAGTCCATTCAATTGACAGGGTGACTGATCTTTTGCGCACTCAAACCCCCGTCTGGGGACGTCCATAAGACTCCCAACAACGTTCCCCCCAGAAATGAAAACTCAGCGTAGAGAAGGCGCTTTAACAGCAGCAAATTAAACGCCATGGATGCCAGCCGAAGATATAAGTGTAATAATTCATACATGAAATTATTCAGGTCGGCAACTCAAAAGGTATTGGATGCATCCTCCATGATCGTTGCCGCGCAAAGAAGTTTCCAAGTTGGTGACAGCTGGCAATAAACTGATAACCGGAACAAGGAAGTCGTCGCGACAGTGTGTAAAATTGACCAACAACGACAATGTATGCTTTTGGACCTCACGCTCGGAACTTTCGCTTTCTTCATGATAAAACAATGCATACAGTGCTCTCTTTCTACAACAAGGCAGGTCATTCTCAACATTCTTGCCAAGACTTTCCGCATCCGTCTTCCCACCCTGTGAAAGCAGATATTTGTCTCTTTGTTCACTGCTCTTGAATGATCGTTTGCGTTTGATCTCCGCATAGTGATATGACCATGCTTATTTCAGGCATCTGGAATATGAAAATCATCAATGTCCTCCAAATTCGACAGATTTTACGCGGCTGTCAATTTCGAAGCAACAGATCAATGCCAGTCAGAGAATCTGGGAGGCTGTCCACGCATCTTATTGTATACTAACTGGCCGACGTGAATAGGTTGTTGAGGCTTTACAGTTCCATCATGTACCAACGTCCGGCATACTAGTTTAAACACATTCGAAGGCTCAACCCAAGTTGGACCGCAAAGATGAAGTTTTGTCCTACAATCAAAGCCCGACATTTCCACCGCACACTCTCTCCATTAGACAACCACCAATCCTCCCATGCCGCTGTCAAACATCTCAACACGAGTCTACGGCAAAGTCCAGCACTCTTTGCACCAACTCCTCTCCATACCCCCGTTACCCTCCCACACCTACCTATCCAACAAACCTCCTCCATCGCCACCGTCTCTCGATTCCATTTCACAAGCAAACCCTCAGCATCATCTCGAATATTCTGGTATCCCTCCAACGACTCAGCCATTACTCAAAAGCCAGGGTTCGCATGTGTCGAGTTCTGGAAAGATGGCACGCCTTCGCCGGAGAGATGGGCCGTGATGATCCCTCGAGATCTCGGACGTGACAACAGAGTAAAATACGTGGGGACGCTCGCATCCGATCTGAGGAAAAGTGAAGGTGGTGACTACGCTAAAGCTCTTCACTCATTCGCCTCTCACCTACACCCACCCAAGCCTCGAACCCGCAAAGCCAGTCCTGTCACCACGAGACCCGGCGCCAACTCCAAGCGCACCATTTCCCTTTCCAATCCAAACAACAAGAACCCCTCTCCTTTGGGTTTCTCAGCCACCACCACCCCAGCACCGACCACACAAACCCTCCCCTCTCCTCCTCCCCCTCCTCACCCACCTCCTCCTCCACACCAACCCCTCCTTCCTCCACATCGCCATCCTCCTCAGCCGGTCCCCCCAGTCCATCATCCGCCTCGCCAAACGCCTATACAATGACCAAGAATTCAAGACACTGCTGCGATACAAGAAGAGAGGGAGGTGGTCGAAGGACGAGATCCAGTCGTTGTTGAAATTGTGGATGCAGGGGTTTGCGGTGTCGAAGATTGCGCTGTGGATGCGTAGGAGCGAGGATGGGGCTGAGAGGCAGTTGAGGGGGTGGGTAGTGATGGGCGCCAGGGGAGGGGATGGTAAGGGGATGGGGAGAGGGGGTGAGATGTGAGATGTTGTGTGGGCGGTATATGGCTGGCAACATCGACATCTTAGCATAGCCTCATAAACCGATACCCAGCAACACAGTATCACTAAATACGTCAACACGCGTATTAATGATGGATGCTCTGTGGCACCTCGCAGCATCCTGCTTTGCCACCAAAAACTTTGATGAACATCCTTGAATTGCGTACACTGCCATCTCACTTACACACCAACAAAATATGTGACTCTTCAAAACTTCATGCTGAGCAGACGTACCTGAAGAACCAGTGGACCCTATTGGATTGAGCATTCGCAAGAACGAGTCAGGCTGGCAAATTGGTCTTCCAATGATCCTTCGGAATCCACGCTTCAAGTGATCGAGCTCGAAAATAGAGAGACTTCTACGAGCAAGGGAATGAATGTGCTCCTGGTCTATTTAGACGATCTCAACATGGCAATTATGAGGCTATGGAAGACATTTTACTAGATTCGACACCTAGATCGAGCTCCACGTAGCAGCGGGGCTGAACTTTCCGAGGTCGTCACGGTCCGCGTAACAGATCCTGGGGAGGCGGCGGTACTCCTCAAGACACCTACAGTGTCAGCAAGCTCAAGTCATACACATATGGTATCAATGCTGAAGTGGGCCCGACAAAACCACTTCCGACCGAGATCAAGGCTCTGGTGGGCAGCCGAGCTCTGACACAGGCTAGACCTGAATAATATCGACGATCAACAACATGACGATGGTTCGTATCCTGATAGTTACGACGACGACGATCATAATCCATTGAGTAATACCAAGCATGGGGTACAATTGCTTCGGGGCCGAAGACTAGGACTAAGGCTTAAGAACATTCTTGATCAGGGCTAGCTCTTAAGTGGGCTCGTAGGTGTTTTGAGATTGGGTCTATAAGTATTCAATCCAACATTATGTAACTTCAATAAGAAGCTTTCCGTTCCTATCTGTTGATTTCAAAGGAGGAAATCAAACCTTTAGCTGACAAGTGATGGTGTTTGTACGACGACGATCCCTGCTATCTATAGATGCGGGCTGAGATGTTGAATGGATTAATTATCATCGTCGTCCTCGTCTCCCCCACCATTATCGTCATCATCCTCCCCCTCGTCTCCACCACCATTATCGTCATCATCCCCGGCCGTCTTGACCTCATAAACATCAATCCTGAAAGAACCCCCACAAGTATCACATTCTGCCCCGTCTCCTGGACACCTATCAGTACACTCCCCAGGCGTCAAGTACGCGTAAGTGGCAATTCCTGTCCCGCACCAGCACTCCCCGGCGTACTCGAGGCCGAAATACATGTATGTGGCCGAAAGCGAGGTACAGTAGGTGTGGCAATCCTGGGGCGTGTTGGCGTCGGTGCTGTGGTAGGCATCGGGGAGAGTTCTCCCGTCGCCGCGGTCAGAGTAGCAGCCTAGATATGTGATGTTGTCGTTGGACGGGAAGATGTAGGGTGTTGGCGTGCATTGAGTTGAAAGAGTGGGAGTGCTGCTGCTGGAGGACACGGTGCTATTCACGCTGCTGCTGGAAGGTGAAATGACACCATTTGTGCTGCTGCTGGAGGACACGGTGCTATTCACGCTGCTGCTGGAGGGAAAGATGCTACTGTTTGTGCTGCTGCTGGACGACACAGTTATGCTAGTTGTGCCGGGCAGGGTACGCGTGCTGGTAATTGTACTGTTCGTACTGGTAGGGAGCAAAACACTGCTGATGCTACTGTGCGTGTTGCTGCTGAAGATTGCACTGCTCATACTCCCTTTCGACCTGAGAGTTGTGCTATTCATACCGCTGAGGACGGGTTTGCTGCTGACTCTGCTGACTCTGCTGCCAGTGTTGCTCGATAGAGATGCTTGACTTCTACTGCTCTTGTTTCCGGTTGACGAAGACCTTTTGGTTGGCCTATCAGACGTCCATCAGTTGCCAGATACGAGACCTGATGCTAGGCCCACTAAGGTCTGAAAGAGCTCTAAGACTTACGTTCTTGACAAGACCGACTTTGAGGTCGTACGAGAACTTGGTGTGCTTGGTGTGGAACTGAAGCGAGGGGAGTGACTACTGTTAGCAGTCGAAGATCGCGGTTGATGACTCGAGCTGTGCTTATCGCAATCCGTTGTCCAGATTGTTGATGTAGGGTTTGCGAAGATGCTCCATTGTTTTAAGGCAAGGACTGTAAAGATGATGAGGCAACGCATCTTTATCACGTGCAAATCACGTGAGTAATGATGAGTCAATATCAAACTACGATAGTACGAGAGATGATTTTGAAAATATTTGAAAATATGAAAGAATCAGAAAATGGATATCTTTTAAATGTTTGTGTGTGCCCCACCAGTTGTGGAGCTTGTTAGCGTGGGATTTTCGTGTGGGGTTTGTTGTGGAGGTCATTGTGGAGCTGGCGTTTTTGTGGACAAAGTATCCGGAATAGGCAATCAAGAAGAGTCAACGATGGACAGAGCTTGAGCAGTACGTCAAGGAGACAGAGGTCGAATGAAGCATATGGCCTTTTCTTTTGATGTATTAGGGTCCACCACATCCGTTCTTGGATGTCGTCCGACAAGAGATCCGACGGGGTTGCCACTAAAGAGTAACCCGGTGTAACATAAATATGTGGGCACATACATTCCGCCAACGGCCATTCCAAGCCAAATCATGCTCCTTGTGTCTCTAAATCTATTATTAATGGCTTGTATATTTCACGTATCAAGAGGTAACTCCGAGCCGGCAGCCTATTAAACTTGATCATGGGAAGCTCAGATGTTCCGATTATTTCAACAATTCTGACAGTGTGACGAATAGAATTGTGAACCTCCAGCCGTTTGAGCTAATCTATTTATGGATGTCTCCAATTGGTAGTACCCTATGCTGTCAAACCGAGTGCTGGCGGTCCAATTTGGCCTCTGGAGCCTTGAATTCCAGTACGACCCTGTCGACGTTCCCAAGTCATTAAAAATGAAGATGATTTGTTTATAGAGATGCGAATTCAAGGTTTGCAAAGCCAAAAGTCAGGGGTGTGAACTTTTGAATGATTCTAAACAGATCCCAGCAGTCCATCGAGACTGCCGAGCCTTCAATCGTAAAAGCATCTCTCTCGTAATTACAAAGTCCCCTTTTGAGCAGTAAAGTCATGAAAGGTTGAATATCCTACATCCAGGCCTTACTTGCCTGGTGTCTCCAACTTTTTTTCAATTCCAATTTAGTGGCCTTCCTGTCCTACTTCTCAAGTTTCATTTTTGGACTTGCACGAGATTTCTTCCCTACCTTCCTCTTGTGTAGTTCAGAGATGCGGAATCTTTCTGTTGACTATTATTACCATCTTCTCCTATGTAAAAACCATCCACCATCCACAGCTCTCCCAACGGCACTCCGCTCTCTTGCACAATGCTTTTCCAGAACTTCCCGTCATTCATGAACTCGCTGCCCTGTTCACCAGTAACCCAGCGCTCCATGATTTCGAACATCCCCTTCACCACGCTAAGTGTTGTGAAGTATGGCTCTTCTGTCCGTTTGGGCACTTCGGGAGTATTGCCTCCGTGTATAGTGACGGTGAAGCCCTGGCGTGGCCGTTGGAATGGGGACAGCTTGAAAGTTGAGAGTCTTAGCGCGTCGAGGGGCTCACGTCGCTTTGATACGGAGTCGTAGAATGTAGCGATAGTAGCTGAAAGAGCGCGAAGCGAAAGACCCGTTTCAGACGTAGGGGTCATGTCGATAGAGAATTCAGGTGCACTCAAATCGGTGCTGTTAAGAGATCTTTGCATCGGAGCGGTGAGGGTAGGTGAAATGACTTCTGAACGCTTCGAAGTTTGGATATTGGACGAAATACCAGCTGTCATATTCGACGTGGTATTTGAATCTTCGAGGGGCCCTCTTCGTGTTGAGAAGGTCACAGTTCCGACAAGCTGACGGTCGTAGATCTTGACTTTGAGACCTTTATACCGGTTGTTCTTGATCGCCTCATAATATCCATCTAATATCCCCTGGGTCAAGTAATCTCGTTTGATCCCTCGACCGATCATAGTCTCCTTCCCCTCAAAGTTTATAAGCACCTTGTTGAACCCTTGACGTGTACAATAGCCACCGGGTATATTTAAGTCCCAGAGCCTAGGAATGAATTCACTGAGGCAAAAGATGGTGCTGATATGAAAATCCGTCTCGTCTAGGCGCTCCGTTTTTGACCATTCGAAAGTTGTCCTCACCGCAGTCAATGGGCTCCCGGTCATGTTTCCGTCGGTAACGTTGCCAAGATTTGTTGTCAAAAGTGGTACATTTCCCACTGGACTGCCGCTCACAAAATCTCGGTCAAGCACGCCAAGCAAGAGTGCCAAAACGATGACGAACAGACTAAGTCTGCGTCCTATACCAATCCACATACTTACAAATTTGCCGGTTTGAGTTGAAATCGAAGAGTGGAGCGTGGTGGTCTTAACCCCCAACCAAGTTGCCGAATTTGCGATTGCGCATATCACCAGGCCTGCCAGAGCTACCAAAGAATCCCAATCGCGTTGTCTTTACAATTGGAAAGCCCCTTCTTTTGTCCACAAAGCGGGAGATCTCCGCGCAAATGATGTAGCGGAGTTGGAATGTCTCAGACAAATAACCCCAACAAGGCCAACACGATCACCAGCTAGGCCGACTCAACTCGAGACACGCGCAAAATTCAATGCAGCCTTAGAGATCGAAATACTAAAGTAGACCTCACCGCTCCCTCATAATCGGGCTAGTTTCTCTACAGATCATTTGCAGTAGCCACGGCAAAAACGAATATGTCGCTGTGGTCATGGATAATAGGTACCTTCATTTCCTCGATTTTTGCAGCATCAGTGGTCGCCTCTCAAAATATCAGTCTAGATTCACCTTCATCGAATACTCCGTGGGAATACCGTACAGTCTCGACTGGACAGCCCTTAGATATGGATGACGTTTATATCGCGGCAACAAGAACCCTTTCCTATCTCTCTCGTCTTCCAGTCCACGAGTTAGAGCCCAGAAAAGCTTTCTCGTACCAGAACGTATTGCTACAAATTTCTACACCTAATGGTATGGAACGCGATGTCTTGACATGGACACTGGTACAGGCAACAGCCTACTTCGCAACACAATCTAATCAGAACCTCACCAGCGCCTCGTTTATTCCATACACTGGCGACCAAGAATTCGGCGTCCTAGCTTTTCTGCCAATGTCGGCCAATAAATCATCCTCAAGCAGCGACATCCTGAAATTGACCGGCGCGCCTGTCCAGACAAGCCTGCCGACCTCCGGCGCACCTACAACTACCACGGGCAACATACTTCCACTAGATCAATCGATACTTCCTCGTCCACAATTCTTTTGGCTTATGAGCAGCATTTACGGCGAGCTCGCAAAACAGGCCAAAAACGGCACCTTTGGTGGCATGACGTACCAACCGCCGGACAACCCTTTGACAGCCAGTGTGAAACTCAATGACCAACGCTCCAGTCAAGCGCCACCGCTGACGGTACTGGATGTCATTAACGCGCTGGATGACGTTACAGCAAGGTGTCTGCCGCCGAGGGATTGTCACCCTCTTTCGTGTACGATCTTTGCGACTCAAGGGCGGAGCGCGTATGAGCTGGCTTATGTTGATATCATCAGCGCGTCTTCCGTCGGCGGAAGATCGCTGGAGAGAAAAGTGTTTGTTAGATAGTATGGAATGATGACTTCAAGGAGAATACGTTTAGCCATCAAGATACTGCTTTATGACTAAGGCTCATCATATTGAATCACCTTGTGATAGCGAGCTTGGAAGGTATGGGCTCCGCCATGAATAGCATAGTTCTGGGCGTATATAGTGTATCAGGGTCTAACGTGAAATCCACATGATTGCCAAAAGTTGCTCTAAATCCAATCCTATCATCTCCGAAGAAGACAAACAAATACTTGCCTTGGTTCCAAATGGTGCCTTAGTTTGATTACCGCTAGTTGTGCGTGTGCAGCGTCGATTCTGGTCAACCAGTTGGCATTGTCATGTGAGATGACGCACAACAGATAGTCCGCACGGTTGGATGAGCTGCAGGGGGGTCCGTTTTATGGAGCGATTAGCTCGCATAAGGCACGCTTGAAGCTCGATTAGGAACGGTGCTGAACCTCGTGGAAGCAGGCAGGAGATTTCTCCGACTGTCGGCGTGCCCTTGAGCTGACTTATGACATGATCGATTCAATCAGATCAATTACGAGCTGGAAGAGTGTAACTTGCTACCCTGGCATATAAGCTCGGTATGATGTGGCATATCCTGGCATGCTAGGATTTTATGCAGGGAGGGTATCTCCTCTACCGTCCCAGCCACTGGAGAGTGGAGGGTGATTGGTGCGGAGCTTTTCATCTATCGGTGTAAGATGAGGCTGGAGACGTCCCGGGTTGGGTAGCTCTCGCGTTCTCGAACAGAGTCTTGCGAATCTCGAACCTTGGAATCGACTCGAGATTCGCGGGTCATGCAATTGCGGAGTCAGTCGCTGCATGTCCGCAGGATCTCAGTCTTGTGACACCAGATAAGCCACACGTCTATCGGGTCTGAGTGAAATCAAAATCTCAGGACTCATTGGATCAATATGGTATGGGCGAATCTTGTACTACCGTTTTCAAAAGTGAGGTCCACTCACCTCCTCGAGGTTGTTCGGCCTTTGCCGATGCGTGATCGGTATCTGCCTTGGTGGCTGCGGCTTTTGTTCGAGCGTAGGAACCGGCAATGGTCTGCGCAGGACCTCCGCCATTAGTTCCAAGAAGTCGCTGTTCTTTGCCATGTGATAGTAATTCCCCACGCAAATATCCATACTGATGTTCGAGGCCCATTTTCGCTCTTGTTCAGTCTGCAGCTCCACCGGCCCTCTCGCAAACGCAACCTTATGCCCAAAGCTCTGCACAGCCGTAACTATACGTGCTCGACTACCGCTGATGGATACAAGTTTCACCTAGAGCACATGTCATCAGTACTGCGTATTCACTTGCTCGGTCGCAGAGCTTACCGCATGGTATTGGTAGAAGGGAGGTTTATATTCGATCTCCTTTCCTTTCCTACGTGGGACCTCTGTCTCTTCGGATACAGCTTTCGAGATGTAGCCTTCCAATTTCCGGGAAAGGAGGCAGAGAATATACAGCTCAACAGGCATCAGAGCTTTTTCCTGGGGGTCAAAGGTTTGCTGCGGCTGCCTCACGAACACAGTGATATGAGGATGGGAAGGGGTGCGAAGGATGTTGTCTACCTCGGTTTCGAGGCGAATATATTTGGCACGTCGAATGTAACTGTGACACGTGAGCTTGGTAACATGTCGATGGGTCTTACTCACGGTTCAAGTACCTGGAGCCCCGGCTGGACTGACTGGACCCATGAGTCGATAGATAGCCATTCCCTGAAATCTGCCTTTACTTGTAGCGCATTTTCCAGCGCCCTGGAGATCTTCGTATGGTTGGGGTCATCTAGAGATTCGTCATATGAGGGTGACGGCATGAAATCTTTCTCTGAGAACAGAATCCTCTTTGCGGGCTCAAACAGATTTATGAAGTCTGTAGTGAAGGAGCAAGACGCGCCCATCGTCAGTTTTGCCAATATGTCAGCATCAACGCCCATTGACATCGCCTGCGCTCCTTTCGCTGCTGTATCGTGGCGGAGCTCATTTTTTAATTCTTCTATGCGATGCCGCAAATCAACCCAGCCTTCCGCCAACACTCTCCGAGCTTTCTGCTGTTCTGACGTGCTCATTGTGACCTAAGGTGTGCTGATGCAAATAGAGAGGAGATGCGTTCTGGTATGTTTGTCAACATCGCGCGTCAACACGCTAAGGAATGCTTGGCAAAGTTGACTCGGCAACAACCGCATTCCGCAACTGCCGCCCTACCAAATATTAAATCACCTTGCATCTTCATTCCTCGCAGCCATCTTCTAGCTTTGTGCCTTCTCGAAGCTACAGTAGGCGTTCTGAATTCCTTAAGCCGGAGTTTGACTACATTAACCGAGGGATAGGTAGCAGCCTCGTGAAGGGACCTTCAACTACTACTGAGGATATATGTGATGACTTCAGTCCCAACAATCTCCTCGGATCGTAGCGACTGGCGGTCGAAGCAAAAGAAGGCTAAGAATCTGCCCATGAAGCATGAAGAAAAAATATTTGGTTCAGGGAGCAAGTTCACTGAAACCGATACCCACGCCATCTGCGCACTGTACTCGAGATACGGTAGTCTCAGACGATTTGTGAAAAACCACGGAGAAATGGTCAACCAGGAGATCCTCTCACTGGCTGGAGCGCGGCTAGATAATCTGTTTTCACAACTTTCTCATGTCTTGGGAAGCTCTAACGAATTTTTAGAGCTTGACAGAGCCACACGCGACGCAAGTGGTATTTGGGGTAGCGCAGCTGAATGTATGTTCTCCATTGTGAACCGTTTTCACGAAGAGCGCGGCTATAGAAGCAACGCCTACCATAACAGTCCCTATCATAAGACGCGGTCGACTGGCGGTCCAAGACCTGATCTCGAGTCTCCTACCAAGCTTCGTAAGAGAGCCATGGAACAATCAATTGAGCAAAAGATGAGTTTCATGAAATTCCAAGAGACCTCAGATGACTCCGAATCCGAGTCCTCCGACGCTGACAGCATCTCGGTGGCCTCAACAAGCCATGACGGAGCAGTTTACAGTCACAAACAAGAGTCTTTTCAGGCCGGCGATGAAGCGACGGTGAATACTGCCCTGGTACTCTTAGTGTTGCCGTTAGCAAGCATCGACGACGTAATCGGGCGTGTGAAATTTGACCGCAAAAACTACGTGGTAAGTCATGGCGAGCGAGATTTTTACACGGCCAAAGTAGACGGCGTGGTCCTGGGGCAATTCAATGGGAGAGCGGACTACTTTCGCACGATCGCTTTCTTCGAAGCAAAAGGGAATCTTCAGGCCGCTAAGAACGGCACTGCGCGGAGGCAGGTCTGCTCTGAGATGGCCGCAATCATTCACAATGAGGACGATAAGGACCTGGGCCGCGTCTTTCTCGGCAGTGATGACGATACTGACGAAGAGCTACGCCTCCCTTACTTTCTATGCCCAGATAGGCAGACTAGGTAGTTTCACTATCACGAAAGTCCTGAAACGTAGCTAACATATCGTAGGAAGAGGTGGATGGTTTGTATGTGGGGCTATGAAGGCTATATCGTTGTAGCTACCTATAACAAGGGCTACGTAGATTTTATTCGAGGTGAAGGTGAACCTGGGCGGCATTTCCTCGAAATGCACGAATACGGACCCCTCGATCTAAGATCATGGGGAGGCCTGGAGGTATTCCTCACTCATATCGCAGCTTTACTGCATGTTATGTGAGACAGTCCTAAAAGCACTGCGGGATGTAAACAGAATTGTCAAAAGAGCCCTCGGACACCATACAGATTTTCCCATCCAGTATCAGCAGATGGATATGCGTCTTCGGAAAGCTGGGGGCCTATCTGGTCATCTTGGGTGTCGCAGCTGAGCAGAAAACTTATCTCGCCTTGAACATGCAGTCGAAACGTAGAAAACGCGTGGAGCATGTTCGCGAGATAAGTCGATACGTTTCGGTCTTCGTTATCCTTGGCGGTGAGTCGATACGTTTCGGTCTTCGTTATCCTTGGCGGTGAATGGTTCATGTAATGCTGCGCAGCTTCATGGGAACGCCCCAAGCATGTTCATGAAAGATGCGGAATTGCGAGCCATGAGACTTGTCTGCAACGCAAATGTAGGACCTCATAACGAAATGGACACAGACAAGAAATGCAGTCAAACTCTGGCATTACATTGGGGGACCAGCAAACAATCGAAAAGAATCAAGTGACAACAAGGATTGGCGGGAATGTTCCTCCCTCTGCATAACCGATCTACTTCTTCAGTCACATATGAATAATTCACGAGTATAGGAGTCTTATTGCCCTAGCCAGATAACTGGGACTTTAAGCATAAGCGGTGCTATAATTAGGATTATTCCGGTGACTGCGAGACTCTAGTTGCTCCCGTCAATACGATCTTGAAGGGTTATGAACTTTCTCAGCTCGATTGCTAGCCGCTGTTCCTCACAAGTGAGCTGGGACAGGAAGTTACCATGATGTTCGCACTCAAACGTGACCAGAATGACAGAAGGTTGCAAGAAAATACCTTGCCGCACTGCGCCGCCCCGCGAATCCTTCGGTCAGTCTCAGCCTCAAAAATGCATTTTGGGCGCTTGCTTTCAGATCCTTTGTTTCAGAAGTTCCTCCGCATCCCGTCTCAACCTTCACCTACTCTCGAGCACGGTAGTAAAGGCAACTATGGTATCGCATATTTCAGTGGTGCAGTTGTGAAAGCGCTCAAGGCCACGGAACTACCTCAACAGGAGATGGAACGAAAGCTTGGCAAGCTCTGACTTGCAGGATGGAGTACGCGCTGTCAACATCACGTTCGTATGAGGCGTATGTGAAGGATTCAATGCGGCACGATGATCATGATGAAGACGGACCACACGAAGGAAGACGGAGGCTCCCACGCACAGCCTCGACCAGCGCCTACACCAGCATCTCTTCTCTAACGACCATCTGCATATATAAACGATGTTTCCGACCCACGAGCAATCAACGCACCTTCCAACCATCAGTCCACGCAACATCCTCCTCGACCCCGCTCTTCTTACCCCACAAACAAGCCTCACGACTACCTACAAGATGCAACACCCCTCCAGCCCCATCTCCATCTTCCTCCTCTCCCTCATCACCCTAGCCAGCGCTCTCCCCAGCCCCACTATCCCTCAGCCCCGTAACATCGACTTGCCACATATCCACCCGAGAGCCCCACAAGAGACGCCAGTCGTCTACGTTGTCGAAGAGGTCGATGGTGGCGATGCGCCGGCGTGCGGCGTGCATGTCGATTTGAGCGGGAAGAATCCGGGGTGCGATAAGAAGAAGCGAGCTTGAATTGCTGTATGTCCTCTGTTCATACTGGACGCAGCTCTTGCTCATGTTATCAAGGTGAATTTGGAAATGATTTGTGCTTTGATTGGGTTAGGGGGAGAGGGGAGGGGGGAGGGGTTCGATTCTTCAGCTGAAATAGATTGGTGGCGGGCTATGGAGGGTGGCAATGTTGGCAGGCGTGATTGGATGGAGACGAGGTCAGCTTGATGACATTGTACTTTGAAGCATGATCGTGGTATGTGTTTTTGTCGGTCAGGTATCAGCTGCAGAGGTATCGTATAGTCGATCTTGCACCAAGCAATCCACTTTGAGCCATAGCGCTATTTTTCACGGTAGTCCTGCACTTGTCCGCGTTCATAGCTGTGTTTTGAATCACTGTCGTGGTTGAACGAGCTTCTCACGTAGGAAAGATGTCACCACATCGTCGAGAACAAATTCATCGCCACAACTGTTTTCGACTGCTGCAACTAGTCCTGTTTTCTTACGCGACTTCACAGGAACCCATTTCGGACTGTAACGCCCGTCAAGTTACTGGCAGAAGTCTCGCCATCTACATCTCTGTTGACTTTGACAACAGCTTGTAAACGCGGTCGTTCATCCTTTCTTTCATACGCCTAGGCCTCAGGTCGGTACATTATCAGCCGTTCAATATATCACACTTTTCAGCATTCGATCATGCAAGCTGCCATACGCTGCAAACTCAATTTTCACAAATCTCGAAAGTGGTGAGGCCGGCTCCATCCGCTGTCTTTCACACACCCATTTCTTTCAAACGTATGACAATCGCTTTATGGTTCCCTTCTTGTGGTCTTTCGCGCTCGTACTGAATGTACTTGTCTGACATCAAAGAAAGAACTCCCTTGTTCTCCATAGACAAGGGGTGGCTTTCAAACCCTATATCCATAGAAATGGTTATAACCTCAACTTCTCGCAATGATTCCTGTATACAATTCTTCACCACTAAATCCTGTTATTTCCCAAAAACCTTTCACCTTCTTAGTAAACCTTTTTTTTTTCGATATCAATTCCTACCATGCACTTCCTCCCCACCATACTCGCCCTGGCGGCGACCACAAGCCTTAGCACCGCAAGTCCCCTCTCCATCAACACCACCACCACCACCACCTCCACCACCACCACAACCCCCACAAACTCCACCCTCGTAAAGCGCTGGTCCGAACCCTGGATAGGTTCCCACCTCGCCCCCAACTGCGACAAACACCTCCCCCTTCCACCCGGCCACGGCCACCACGACGCCGGCACTCAAGAAAACGGCTACATTCTCGAGCCCCGCCCAAAGCTCCACAACCCTCCAAACCCTTCCGACGGCTGCGTGGAGTTCAAACCCAAGACCGACTGGATCGGCTGGTCGTGGGGCTCAGGCAACCCTGCGGTTCTGCATATTAATCTTTATAAGAATATTGAGGATTGTAGGAAGAATTGGTATGCGCCCGCGGCGCCGGCGTTGGGGTATAATGGCCAGGATGGCGGGTGTGCGAAGAGTGCGGATTATCCGTGGTTGGGCGCTGTTTCGGCGTATAATTAGATAGGGGTTTGTATGATGTTTGGGAGTGGAGTTTGTTGGCGCTGTGGGTTTGTATCACTATGTCTTCGAGATGATATGCATATCATTAATTCTAATCCCAATGGTGACTGTGTATCTCTTTGAGTTTGCTTATCTTCGAAACTGAAGTTAGAGCTTAGACGGCTCCTTTGACCAAATGAGCAAAACGATTGAATGATTTGGAACCTACAAGCCTGGTGGTCGGTGTCAATCAAGTTGATGCATGTGCCTTCTTCAATAGCCATTAGAGCTGCCAAATATTGGCGACTGAAGTCGAAACTTGGATTGTCGCGAAACCCTGAGCGTCGTGCAGCGGGGGTGGCAACGTTTGAAGTCCTAACCCTAACCTATCATTTGTAGGCTGAGATGATGTGCACAATGTTTCCCGTCCTTGAACCTTGAGTGCACTTTCTGATTTTCACTGGTCTATCTCGAAACAAGCCACGTCTCTATACTACGTATGGGCGAAGCCTGACACGAAGGGATATATCTATGAGCAATCTTGCACCTTTCCACTTTGCTCCTTGCAACTATCTTTTGACTTTTCAAGCAATCCCTTTAGTCTAGTCACTCTCGATATCAACTTCATTCGTTCATTCTTTATCACTATCTTTCAAATGATGCATTTTCTCACCACACTCATCGCACTGGCTGCGACCACTACCATTATCACCGCGATTCCCTTATCGGATACCCCTATCACCACCAACATCGATACAACTCAGACTAATTTGACCGTCGAAAAGCGAGGCTGGACTTACGGCTGGATCGGGTCTCACCTTTCGCCCAACTGCGACAAAAAACTTCCTCTAGCCCCAAATCATAAACCTGGTCCCTATGAAGACGGTCACGTCGTCGACCCACGCCCACAGCTTATCAACAACGACGAAGAGCATCCCGAGAAAAGTTGCAGAGAATTCCAGCCAGTGACAGATTGGATCGGCTGGTCATATGGCTCAGGAAACAGTGGGATCAGCACTGTCACTTTCTATAAGTCTATTGCGGATTGTAAGAGGAACTTTAAGGCCAACGTCAAGTCTGCTACATATGATAACGTTCATGACGGGGGATGCATGACCGCAGCAGATTACAAGAGCGCAGGGCTGGGAGCCGTTGGGGCATACAATTAGGTGTTGCGATGGAGATAGTCTAGGGCGTGGCACAAAACCAAAAGATCGTTAGAGAATGCAGAAAGACATGGTGGTCGCAAAAGGTCAATCAGCAGGCTAATCTGACATCCACAGCCATCATGGCAGATCAACGTTGGCGTCCTAATGTCACTCGCTCTGATGATCCTTGTATGTTAGTGCCTTTCTTGTTTACTGATGGTGCGCACCATCCAGGTGTCGTGGTATGATTTCATGTCCAATGTTACAACTGCAATCATAATGTGGGAAATGTGTTTCGTGAGAACGTTGGTAGCAAGAATTGGCAGAGACAGTGCATCATTATGCTGCTCCGAATCTGCGCCCCTTCTTGCTTCCCAATGAAATTAGTTGGAACTTCTGTCCTGTAAACAAGGAAGGCCAATACGGGCTTGGAGATCATGATTGGCAAGTTCGGTAGATAACGTGCAATGATGATGAGCTGCTCGTTGACTGTGGGCTCTTGGCGTCCACTCTTTTGCATCTGCATCGATGCCCGAGCTTGAGCGCGGCTTATTCACGTGTACTACGCCTCCAACATAGGGGTTCATCGACGATCTCTTGCGAGTCAAGACAGAAGTGGCTTCCATACGTGTGTTTGCTTTCTTCTCACCCGTTTTCAATACCCTAAAGACTCTACTCAGGCGATCACTAATGATCTACAATGTCCTCAAACATGAACAATTGATTACACCTGCTTCATCGGGTAGCTGTGTTGAGACTATTTGCTTCACTTTGACTTTTCATGGACAATTGAGTGCTGGTCCGACGCTGTCAGACTATTAGCGAAAAGCCGGGGTGAGGCGATGGCCACTTAGTGGTTTGACCTAACGTCTCCGATGGAAAACAAACCTTGCATCTCGGCCTTTCTCGTTCAGGCAAATTATAGAGGTACATGTAAAGGGCAGAATTCCTCAAATCATTTGCTCACACAGCTGCAGAAGTGCAGGAATGCAGGAATGAGCTCAGCGGGGCGAATTCCGGAGGACGCCGACAGACGCCAAAGTCTTCCACCGACTCAATCCGAAGACCCTTCTTACTCTGCGCAACCGATGACTCGCTTTGAGTGCAAGTGCATTGGTTCGTCGATGGCTCTCTTAAGCAAGCCCCTCATTGCCTCACCTTTGGGGTTTCGCTGCAAGAAAGCTTCACCTTCTGATCGAGATGTGTAAAAAACGCGCAGTTGGGCACAAATACTGCTTCACTTCCCAGGTCTATTGCTTTTCAAAGACAACTTTGCATCATCAGTCATACACATTATTTGTTATTCTTCACCATTCAGCTCGTGTTACCCCTTCCCGAGGTGGAGCTGTATCTAGAGTTCACAGAACCATTCAGCATATTTGATCTCAGTGGACTTCATCCTTAAGACTACATATCCGTCGTGCACTAAGTCACCAGGCCAAAAGCACAGGTCAGACCCCAACGATCGCTTTTTCAGCATGGCAACCGAAGCGGCAAGTGCTCTCTTAGGTCTTTTGCTAGGTGGGAACAAAAGCCAGTCACCGGCTGCTGGTCTTTTCAAATGGGATAAAAGACCCGTGAACGATACCGGCGATCAAATTCAGGAAGGAGATAAGATCAAGCTGAAGCTATTTGTGAAGGGCGAATCGTCTTACAACAGATTCGGTGGTGTCGAGAGTGAAGATCCTTACTGGCATGCTGAGCAGGTTGGCTGTGAACTCGACGATGGGGCATACTGGGCCAAAAGTCTCGCCGGTGATAAGCAGTGGGACAAAGCCGAGGTATTCATCGTCAAGAAGATCAAGAACAGGGCCGCCAACGAACATGGCTGGGGTTTAAATATCATGCACAATGGGAAGGAACAACAGCTCGCCAACAATGGTCACTGGATCAGCACCTACCATCAGAAACTCTATCATCCGATATCTCTCGCCGCGGTCGCCGAAGGCGGCCCTAGGCAAGAAGGACCTTACTTGTACGGGCTGTACTTTGAGTCCAACGTACACGCCGAACTCAGGTCAAATCCACGCCTCAACGTTAAGGGGGCGGGTAAGTATTGCATCTTCATGATCATGAGGGCTGATCAGCCGGACCCAAACCCAGACGAGAAGATGTCGGATAAGCTAGGCGAAGAGCCTCCTCAAAATACGACTCCGCCTCAGAAGACGTCTGAGCCTCAAAAGACAACGGGCAGCCAGCCAGCGAATCAACCCCCAGCAACCAAGACCTCAACGGCAGACAAGTTGGCAGGAAATTATACACCAGCTGTACCCAACGAGTCAGGAACGGACACGCCATCAGGAGGGAACGCTGTCCCAGCTCCCCTAAGGACGTTGGTACTGACACACCAGCGCTAAGCCACACAGAACAACCAGAATAAAGTCGATGCACTGCAAGACCAAACTGGCTGGGAGTATTGAGGGGGTTTCGCCCCCCTGTGGCCAGGGATTTATTGAGAGTAATGGTCGACATTGCCCTTCCTTATTTGTTCCTTCGCACTGTCATTAAATAAACAGCAGCCTGGCGAGCGTGGTAGCGGCGAACACGAGTAGAAGTAGTGGTTCTTTCCGTAACGTCATGAATCAATGATAAGCCAATACGACTTCCAGATGAAGATACCAGCCCCATGACCCTCGCGCATGATTGAAGCTCCCTGCATTTAATTCGCAATTAGAGACTCCCTCCTTGCTAGAAGATGAGAAGTCAAAGAATACACAAAGTCCATTCTTTCAGCCCTAAAAACAAGGCCAATTAGATTTGCCTGTGTCAACGCCCAGAAGAATCTTTATACCCAACCTTTTTTCACAAACGTCTGCTGTATGAGTCTAGACAATGTAACAAGCAATATGATATCACTAGCTGTAAAAATTCAGTCTACACCCTCAGAGCTGGAATGCGATCATTCGCCCAACCTGTTATAGACTGAGCATAGCGCCGCTTTTGGTGCAGTCAGCTTCAGACTTCTCCGGCCCCGAATGTGCGATCGTTCCGACGAACCCTACTGCTTTGCATAGTGGAATGTTTGTGGCGCTCTGTAGCGTAGCTGAGGGGCTGAACTGGGGTTGTGGCGTTCTGCAGCTTAGCTGAGGCGTTGAATCGCGCTGTCAATCTTGCTCGTCTTTGGTTAGTCGTGGCCGCAAATGGCCGCCTTTTGCCAAGCAGACATCCCTAGTGTTCTGACTATGGTCTCTAGCAAGAAGCTTGCGGGCGCTATTGAAGCCATGCCAGCGTCTAGAACGGTCGTAAAGCTCAGCCCATAGAAGGGCTCGCCTGAAGTTCAGTTAACGTACGGATAAGGAGCTTTGGAGGCGTAAGGCGTTGACTAGCTGGAGCTGAGACAATTGGAAACGGGTTAGGCACTAAACCGCCTGCATTCAACTAAGAAAACTCCAACCACTCGCATCAGCGCCTTCTATCGTAGTGAGGAGCAACGCTTAATGATTATCGCACCGTGAGTTTTCTAGCAGATGTTCACTGCGTCAGGAAAGATTGGCGCTCCGAGAACATAAAGGCGCTGGTCCCTGCCCTTGAGTCAATCTCTTTAAGACCAGTTTCTAAAAAGCCTTGAGCTATACACATCGGCTGGGATTACTTCCACCATGATCACTTCACGCTTTGCAGCAGCAATTTTTGTCCTTTCTCTCGCCTCAAATGTGGCTTGCGTTGGAGCTTCGTCGTCTCTTCAACAAGCATTGGATAACGATACACAGACTGAGCCGCCCGCTCTACACACGGCGACCCTTACCATCGAACAAACCTGCAATGCAATTTATGGCGCTCCAGGCGTCGCCCTGATTCAAACAGAGATAGGAAACGCGATAGCGATCATCACCGCTGCCAGTACAGCTTTCAGAGCTACGCCAGACACCGCCCTGTCAGGACCCTACGGTCAAGCGTTCATGCCGTTCAATAGCTTTTGGTTTCCTAAACTGCCTGGTATAACAGACGCCAGGGGGTATGTAGCCGAATACTACGCTCGTATGGCACGAGCCACCAGGCCTGGATCAGTAGACGAGCACGGGGATCCGATTAAAGCTCTATTGATCAGCTGTGATCCAGGCCATTTCAATAAAGACGGTAGCAAAGAATGCAACGAACAATTTGCAGTCACACGAGAAGATCTGAATCGTATTACTCTTTGTCCTCCGTGGTTTACGGACCAGATACAGGCGCCCCCGACGACTGCTATCACGTGTCGGAATGGAGCGGTTCTTGAAAGTTACAACAGCAAGGGTCAGTACTCTCATGTCTGCCCCAACCTTTCCAGTCTTGATCTATGCCGTACTCCTAAGCTTCTGGCTGACCAGACACTGGCCTGCCACAGCTAGGGTAATCGCGCACGAGCTGTCCCACCTCCAGCTCGACTATTTTAGACCAAATGAAATCTCAGGCTATGAACGGTACGTGTAGCACCCACCAATCTCCAAACTGGACTTCCGAGCTCTTTAATTGCTTGTTTCCGACGTCGAAAATACCTGCAATATTACGATAAGGGTAACTAATCCGATGTCCGTAATAGCGCAATAGATGTCCAGGGGTACAAATACGGCGATAAAGATTTTATACTTACAATCGCATACGGAGTACAGATTTGCTATGACTTAGCACAAGGCTACTTCAAGCCAAAGAGTGGGTTAGGTGATACCAACGCTCCCTGGGAAGCGGTGCTGAATGCGGACAATTGGACCTGGCTGGCTGAAGGTAAACAGGCCAGGTTATCCCACGAGCCATAAAGAGTTGACAAAGTAGCTAACGAGGCTTGTTCAACTCTAGGTATCTACTGGAACAGTTATTGCAGAGCTCATAACGCTGAGTGGATAGACATTCCAATCGGTTCAGCACCACGACCGCCGCCACCCCCGCCGCCGCCGCCGCCGCCGCCGAAAAGTAAGGCACATGTTGATCTCAAGCGCCGCTAGATGTTCAAGTCAAGTAAGGAAAGAATGTATACACGGTGGAAACACACACACACACACCCACCCACACACATGTATATATATATGGAGAATAGTAGTCTTAGAAATGGCACAGACCTCTTGTCCTTGCGGAGAATCTTTCTCCCGTGTGCTTTCCACATCACATTACAAATACTACTAAAAAGCTGATGTTCCTCCCCATGATCTCATATCTTTTTTATAAACTAACGGCTTGCCCTCGAGCTTGCCACCAACTAGGCGGCCTCCATTATCATCTCAATAATGGACTTACAGACCCCGAAAAGACCAACACTATCACCCTCAACAACGATAGCCGGCATCGCATTCTTTGCCGAAGGAGACGGCGGAACTGGTAGTGGGGCTGAAGACCTGCCTTCTTACCACCCTAATGGACAATGACTAATGGTCAGCCTCCTACATGCTTTCAAGGAACGTACTAATACTTTGAAAGCACGGCTGCTAATTTCGGCTCCCTAGTCCGAGAAAAGTGCATCTCCTAATGCCAAGGCAACGAAGGTTGAGCGTCCTCGTCATTGAAAGTTACAAACCGTTGCTTCCCCCCACGATGCTATTTTAGTCTAAGGACAAAAAAGCGCTCTCAACCAAAGATTTATCCATAACATCGTTGGCGTTCTTGGGGCGTGAGGCAGAGCGGCGATGGCGCGCGAGATGTTGATATATAAGGAGATAAGGACCGTGGTCTTGATGATGGAGGAAACAGTAGGATGGTGGGGAGGCTCTCCATCTTTGAGTGGGGTAGTCCATGTGTCGTGGTCTGGGCCTTCATTCAACCGAGCATCTCCGGATATGAGTTCATGAGCTAGGTCGTCATCGTGCCGCTTCTACAACTAAGCTTTTACTCCAACGAAAACTCTCGCTAACAAGCAGACTCAGATCTAGGAACCATAGGTGATCTACTACAGGGAGATGGTGAAGACTCATGGACATGTAATTTACATTTGTGGCTCTCGAACATCAGCTCCTTACTCTAGGCGGCGACGACAGTATTGGCGATCAGCAAGCAAGCAAAGCAATACATCCCGGTCTAAGTACGTCGGCCGCGCCAAGGCTCACGATACCTCGTTCTCAAGATGCCATATGAATATTTATAACTCCTCTGTCTTCACTGCATTAACAGGCTTTGTGCAGAGTAAGCCCTGCCCCTATAGATTTCAAGTATGTCAGCGCTTCCTTTCACCCTGAACAACGTTCACAGCAAAGATCAAACATACCAAGAGGGGAAGCGTGCAGCACCCAGCCTTTTTCCCGGATTTCGCACAGAGCGCTTCAAGGTCCTTAGCACTATCATATTCATCTTCACTCGCTATCGCTACCGTCAGTATTGCTTGACAATTGAGATTTATGAGCAGGAAAATGTACGCTTTGTGCAGTCCAAGTCCGCGATCCCTCCAACATCGACAGCGCAGCACATAGCTTCACTGTAGAGAACCGATGGACACACCGATGCATCAGAGAAGGTATGTTGGGCTACTCTGATGTAAGGGACTGCGGCCAGAGTGCCAGAGGCGACGATGGAGAGAAAAAGGAGGATGTTGCTCTTCATGATTTCCTATGTTTTTGGAGTTTCTAGACGTGCAGAACGATGCAGGTAGATGCAGGGAAGATGCAGGAACAAAGGAAGGTGCACAGATCTGCGCGATCTATATAGTGAAGAGATCGATCTGCAGAGAGCTAGATCCTGCTCCTCAACCGAATATCACCGAGTCTTGGTAGGCGGAGAAGGCCGTCTGTGCCGCTTGAGTATCTCTTTCTATACCTCAGAAGGCAAGGCTTCGCTAATAAAACGCTAGGCTGCCGTAGTCTGGCAGGCTAAGCTTTACCAACGATCTGTTATGCTAGATTGACTTCCGGGTGGTGAACAGTGACGTGGTCTCAATTCATTTCATTGGCAGCAATCTCACTGAGCCAGCTTACCCTTCATTAGCACGGATAGTCATGCAGTGCCGTTGTTTGCGTGAGCCACAATCTTCTATTTGAACATTGAACCGTGAAGTCAGAGAAGCTTCCGGTGGATATTGCACTACGCAACCCTAAGTGTTGCAGTAATCAATTCAACAATCTAACCTTATGCTTCAGTGACTCTTCATTTGAACTCGCGGCCAATGTACTATGTAAGATGACTGAAGACCGCCAGTTGAAGGTCGAGTCAGCACCTTAAGATATTGTCGAATGATATTGTAGATGTTAAACCTCAAAGCTACCCTACTAAACTAAATACATACATATCAGTATACTGGAGTTATACTATGCTGAGTGGCGGCATAGCATGATAGCATTTGCTACAAAGTCAAAAATCTTAAGTATATCTGCCCATTTTGCCACAAGGATTTGGTCCCTATCCACGATGACGTATAGTTTTATATAAGACGCGGGTACCTTGCATATAGCATGCTCCAAATAAGTTACATGATTTGCGGCCTTGGTAAGCGCCTTACTCTCCTGCGAAGTGGCCGACGAATCAACGTACTATACAAACCACATCACTTCTCTCACAGTCCAACTCGGGTGGAAAGATGCACTGCGATAAGATGAATCTTCCTACCTACTGGTCACCAACGTCCTTCGCTTGCTCTTCGCTAACAAGTTCGGTCGTCTCAGGGGAGGTGTATCCACCAATCCCTTCGAGTCTACGTATCGTAAGACGAGATGGAGAGTCCTAGGGAGCAGCCAGATTGGGGGCTTAATTTTGATCTCTTGATACGTGAGCGGAGGGAGCATAATGGAACTCTCTAGCAGAAGTGGATTCAGCATCAGCGATCTTGGGAAGGGAGAAGGTGGGTCCTGACGTGGAGGCTATAGTGATGGTAGATACTGGTGGTGCGACTAATTTGCAGGTGATGGGCTTCAAGAGTCGACTCTCACATTTCTGGGCAGGTTCATGGTTCGATATTTGTGGCTGTTGGCGAGCTCGCTGCAAATTGTGGAGATAATGAAGTTCGAGTTCTTTATTCCGCAGCCTATTGGAGGTACAGCCCGATTGATATCCCGTGTTCACGCAATTTGGCTCCACCACAATCCCAGTATCCTCAATTGACTAGACGCCCTCGGTAGCGACCGCTGGCGCTCAACCATCCAGTCTTCCCTTTGAGACCCGAAACTCTTCTGCTTGGACCCACGCCTTAGCTTCACCCGAGTATGGAAAACGTACAATCAACCCCGTGCTCAGGCGGCCACTTCATAGCACCCTCAACCTTCAACCTTCCTACACTACCATTTCAACGGTATTCCTAGCTCTACCTAATCAGAGCAGCCGTCGACTATCGTCCCTCGCTCTCACGCCTCGCACCATGCTAATCGATCCCCATGGCCGTCGCAATATCTGCTAGCATATCCAACACCTTACTCTCCACACTAACGCTCTTTTCCTTTAGGTCACCAATAACACGCACCCACAGCTCCGTCTCATTCCTCACAAAAGCGCCGATAGAGCCACGGAACTCGCTTTCCAACCAACCCTGGCAGTAAGAAAACGCTGGCGCAGGGCCTTCACAATGCGCGATCTGAGGGGATCTAATGGAGAAGACTTCGAAATAAATATCGTAGCAGATATTGAACGGAGGGAAATACTGGTAATAGCCTTTAAACTGTTGTTGGGATCTCAGGGTCAGTTTTATCTGCTGTCGCTATTGGAAGGCGGGGATGGGGGGAGGTCGGGGATGGAAAGCGTACCTCTAAGCCTGAGAAGTCGAGATCAAAAGTGGAGCGGGACTCGGAGGGGGAAGATCGGCACATTGGGCGAGCTTTAGACCGGGTGCGATTGGTTTGACTTCTTGCATATTGACCTGCGTTTCCAGTGGTGGTTGGGCGTTGATAAGAGCTGTGGCGTTGAAGAGCGTCGCGTGGATAACGTAAAGAAATGGATAGAGCGTGACGAAAGGGAGTCCATAGAAAAGTGTATGATCGCTCGAATACATATTGTTTGATAGATGTTTCGAAGCCGGCGTAGAAGCGAGAGTAACAGATGGTCAAATATGTAGTTTAGAGCGTCAGGAACGGAAGAATCAGGGCCCTTAAGAAGATGCTTCTCCAAAAAGGCGTCACCGGCGCTCGCTTCTGCAGGACCCTCGTGCTTTGAAGTGTCCCTGTCACAGAGTCAGACAAGACCATGGGCTGCTGGTTAAACGGTGGAGTATTGGCACCTAAAATACAGCATTCTGCTAACCCTATCCAGTGTATGGATTGCCAATATTCGAACCCGCCAACCCATCCATGCAAATTGTTCTTATAAAAAGAACTCTACCGTCTTGCGCAATCGGGCTAAGACACAACCTAATGTCCATAATAATAGGCTTAAATGACGCGCATGAGTACCATCAAGAAAGGCCTCTGACATCACAAATAGCAAACCCCTGTGTACAAGCGCATATCAATACGTCCTCCTGCCTATGAACAGTGGAGGTCCGAGATATCTATACAGCTTAATTATTTATAATTAAGGCTGTCGTAGAATTCCCGAACTTGCTGTATGAAGACAAAGCATAAGCGACCGACGCGGACAACACCTTTCCAAAGAAATGCGCAAGGTTAATCAGAGCGGGCTGCACAACCATCAAGCCATCCATGCAAGGCAGCGCAGCCTATCAGGGCTAGTCACGACTATCCGAGTCACTGATACAGAAGATCATCAATCCTTCCATGCCAGGCAGTGCGACCAATCATGCCTAGCCACGGCTATTCGAGTCACGAACACAGAAGATATGAGGGAAGCGCTGGTGATAATACATATATCTGCGCACGCGAAGAGGCATGTAATGCGAATGTTTCTTCCTTGAGCTACGAAACAAAAGGATCGACGAGGAGAACTGTTGCAGCTACAACAATGGGCAGAGTTTACTTGGGGTGACTAAGCCGCCCTCCTTTCGAACGACTCCAGCGTGTGGAAATACTACGTCGGCGAAATCGATCTCGCGACTGGTTTCAAAAAGGTTCTGCGTCTAGCAAGGAGATAGTTCTCCGAGATTAGAAAAGCCACTTGAAAAGGAAATTTGCGATCCTTGAGTACCTTAGGTCGTTTTTAAAGTATAAATGATTACTGCTGTTGACATTCTATGCCGCGGTATTCTATATCATCTGCAAACCTACTGAGATAGGGTGGCGCGTTAATGCAGCCAGTGCAAGAAGGTCCAGTATCTAAGGTACACATCGTATACGGCATGTTGCTTAGGTATCGTGGGCCAGTGTCTAGTTGCTGGTTTTGTGAGAATTGCCTCTCGCCAATCGACCGCGACGAAGAAGGTCGCACTTCGATACTCCTTTTTAGGGCCGCGAAGAGCGGCAGTTCAGCCTACTAGATGAGATGTGTCTCTTGGGGTCAGTTGCTTACAATGCTTATAAGAAGGGGGCCACATGCCCTCTTTTAACCATAGTACTACGAATCTGGGAGCAGTTGTGGCAGGACAAGGTATCTCTATTGCTTTTCTCGTACGGCCTTGAGGGATGGTACGTTTAGGCAAAAGTGAGGGCGCAATTTTCGTTCCTATTAAATGGTTGAGCAACAGCGTCGGCGCGCTGGTATTTTGCTGCTCTCTCCTCCCAATTGCGTCTGTGCTCGTTTTCGATCTTTTAAATATTAGGCCTAAATTTGTAATGGGGGAGCGCCCTTCTACTACTCCAATCCCACCCCTTCGTTGATATGTTCAATCATCAACTTCCTTCATATAGATATATAATCCACAAGTAAAGGCCCAACTTCCAGTCTACCTTAGTAGCAGACCAGCGAGCCTCATCGTTCGATGTCCTGCATATTGCGAAACACGGGAGGATATACCCCGCGCAATCCTCCGATCATTGCTCCATATGGAAGGCGTTCTGTACCCCACCAACACTGCATTACGGGGACTTATTGGCGGTCCAGTCACCAGGCCCCAGCCGCAAGCTATTCACTAGGGCCATGCAGCTACTCTCGACCTGCAGAAAGTCGATCGCAAACGATGGTTTGATTGTGTTGTTGAATCCACGAAGTGTTTGGGGGGGATGGAGGCTCAGCAACCTGTCATACGTGAGTTCATCTCACATAGTAGTCAGAACGGGTATTGTAAGGCTGTCTCACTGTCAGTGTCAAGGTGCTTATTATTGCTCGGGCTTTAGAATGAGGTTCCGCAACCTTGACTACGAGTATGTTGATCCCACATCTTTTTGAGCTAGGGACAATAGCCACACCCTCAAGACCCTGATGTGCAGCTTAATTCTCGTCATCCGTACCGCAATTTTGCGTGCTTGGTCGGTCCGCTCGACAGTGACCCTGACCCTAAGCGAACGAGTCAGGGACAGCAATTCGTGAGGTGCAGACGGCACGGCTTTACTACCCTTCGCGGCTTTTCACTGGCGGTGTGTTTCCAAGGTCCCTCAACCTTTATTTGAAAGAGTTTGTCGCATCTTTGATTAATTAACTACCGACCTTGTTGCAACGCTGCCAATAAAGTCGGCAGCGTTCCTGCCATTTGCGCTCTCTTTGACAGCAATACGGACGTCGCTCAGTCCTGCCACCGAGGCCCTCCGCCAGCCATAGATACTTCTACGCCGTTATTAGGGAGATGGGGGGCTTAGATGACCCTTCCGCTCCACTCACCTCTGGCAACGACGACTTCAGCAAAGGCATCGTAATCCTCGTCCTCATCCCCGCAATCCTGTCCTACATCGTTGCCGCCCTCCGCTTTGCCGTACGAGCATGGATCGTGAAGAGTCTCGGCTGGGACGACTACACTATGATGTTTGCGACCGTGAGCCCCCCTCTCCCCCTTCTCCATTCTCCTCCCCCTTCCCCTTCAACTTCTTCCTCGGCGCCCTTACTTGCCGCTTCCCCATTTTTCGACCCACCCACCAACACCCCGTCTGTACTAAAACCCGGATTCATGTCTAGATCGGCTTGATAATCGGTCCCGCCTTCGTCCTCGTAGAAGTGCACTACGGCTTCGGGCGGCACTACCAGTACCTGTCCCCCCACCAACTGCTCGAGTTCCAAAAATACACATTCGGCGAGTGGATCCAGACGTTTGCGACGTTGATGTGGACGAAAGTGTCCATCTGCCTTTTCTTGCTGAGGATTCCGTTTACGAAGTATTTGATTAGGCCGCTGCAGCTTGCGTTGGCGGTCTTGGTAGTGAGCAATGTGGTTTTGACGTTGCTGTGGATCTTTCAGTGTCGACCGGTGCATGCGGCGTGGGATAAGACTATCCCCAGCCAATGCTTTTCGAAAGCGGTGTTACGGAAGATAATCTTTGCGCAAGCCAGTAAGCTTCGTCACCATTCTAAGTTGCTGTCTACACGTTCCGTCGGTTGAGTGTCTGCTGACTTTAGGGTGGGACTTTTGAAGTCATATCTGTCGTTTCTGACTTCTTATTCGCCGCATATCCGATCCTCATCCTGTGGAGCGTGCAATTGAAATGGCAGACTAAGGCAGCGCTTTGCGGCTTAATGGGATTGGGAGTTATGTATGCGAAAGCTGCCACAAGGGATGACCTTCTTTGCTAAGCACTATACAGTACCGGCGCATGTTGTATCGTAAGGACTGTGCTAAATGACGCTTCGGTTCCCGAAAAGGATGTATCTTGTGAGTTTTTTCCGCCCCCGACGAGAGAACGAGCTTCTTAGCTGACGTAAATCAAGACGGTGGCATCATTAATTGGATCTGGAGAACGTATGATTCCTCTTTTGTTCGCTAGTCATCATTTGAAGCTGATTAAGCACCAGTTTCGAGGTCCATATCGGTATCATTGCTGCCTGCATTCCGACCCTTCTACCTGGTGCTCGGTGGATCCGTGAAAAGATTAGGCCGGCAAAGGGGAATTCGAGTATTCATCTTCCTCTGGCAGACACTCCAAATCATCAATTCAGAACTGGTATGAAACCGACGCTTCCACTTGGTCTGTCTGGAACGACAGCGAAGGGAGACGGTACATCGGGCAGTGATATTGTCAAAACAACAAGAATAGACGTGGAGCCGGGACTTTTTGTTTGACTCATGGTATTGCAACGACAGGTCGGCCTTCGCTCCTCGACGATTGGGTTGGAATTTCGCTGTATATCTCGTAGCAAGGATCGGACATATAAGAACCTATTGACCCTGTTAGTACTTCCTATGTCTAAAGTGAGGGTAGCCATCGGAAAAAGTCTGCTAGATGGTCTCTCCGAAGACTACTGAATTCGAACAGCAGAAGTGACTGCTATTTCCTGATCTTCCGTTCACTCAAACACCCCTAATTTTGGCCTCGATGACTGCCTCTTTCTCCGCCCCTACAGTAATAACGACAGATAATGCCTGCACGTCCCCCCGGCGCCATTCATAATCGCCATTGTAATAATGTCCTCCAACCCCCCCTCAACTAGACCCCTTTGGTCTGAAACGCGAGGTTTTAAATCATCGACGACAAATACTGCACATCCATGGAGGGAACAACGTTGCGCATGTACCCTTTGCTTGACCAGTTGTGGACGACGTATGATCAGTGAGTCTCAGATGGGGTTCGACGAATGATCACTAAGAGACTGGCCTGTGGGCGCGCACGAAGGACCTTGAGAAGCAGCATCAGGCTTATGAACTGTTTAAAACGCTCTGTAATGATAGAGCTTTTGTATGTGTTTCCAAATTTTCGGCCCGATATGTACAACAAATTTGTCGCATGTTCAATTGCTAGTGTCTGATGCGAGCATTCTCCCACGCATTTATTCACGTATCTTGAATTGAAACGGCGTCCACTACCAACTTCAAGTCTTCGCTAATAACCATTGATTGTAGACATTGTGGCTGGGGAGACTTTGGCCTTCGTTTGGCTATGAAGTCTTGTTTTCCCAGGACCACAGGACTCGGCTGCCCAATGGGGCTCACTTCGTAAACGACGAGTTGTTCCTACCCCTAAAGTGATTGAAAATGCCGCCTGCATCGCCTCAGGTTGTGCACCCATGAAGGCTGCCTCAGTGAAACTTCAAAGCCAACCTTGCCTTGCGGGGAGTTAGTTGGTCGTCGAATTATATTTGATTGTATCATTCATTGGTGATCGACAAGACGGGGGATGACTTCAAGTGTGTGGCGCTCAAAGAATGCGCAGAAGTCCCTTGAGTGGATATGCGGACAACAACGACAATTCCTAAGACAGTCCAGTTCAAACCCACACCATCAAAATGATTCTCTAACGCGAGCAAGCCATTTGTGTCCAGGTGGCAATCTTCGAGGTCGCGGCTTCCTTGAATGAGAATGCGCCGTTCGGTATTGCTCCTCATGCTGCCTTAAGTGCTCTCACGACAAATTTGACGCGTCTACGCGCTAGTATTGTTGATGTAAATATCCAGTTCATTTGTCTTCACGGTACCTCTCGGGTTGTTCGGCATCTGAGGTATACTCCTCAACATCAAAGACAGCTGCGTAGGTAGACATTTGCGACATTGCTGGACTTGGTGTTGGTCTCATGGAGTTTCCGAATGACCTACCCCCAGCTCTTGGCAAGGCCACTGGTGATACTCTGTTGCTGTCGAGATTTTGCGCTGGAGATAATGTTTTGTGACATAGGGTGTTGTTGTCAGACCAGCGTGGCGAGGGTGGCACTTTGGGAAGGGGTTTGTTCAACCGAGTACTAGACTTGTCTGTAATCCTGACTGAGTTTGGCGTGGGTTGTGTAGCTAGGTTTGGTCCCAATCTAGGTGATATGGGTAACTGTCCGGTGCGACCCAATCGCGATGATATTCCAGATCTTAGTGATGCATTCTGCGCCAACGATGACGAGTTGCGATCTCCAAAGGAGTCCGACGCAACTACTGTATCACTTAATGATGCTTCTTGAATACTTTGTCGCGCTTCGTCGGGCGATGAAGGCATGGTGTCGGTCGAACATGATGACTTGCCGTCCGCAATCATTGATGCGGGTAATTCATATTGAGATATATGAGCCTTACTTGGGAGCTCATTCATAGTTTGTCCGGAACCAGATGCAGCTTTCTCATTCAACAATTCTATATGGTGTGAGATGTTATGCAGTTCCTTGACACTTTGATGACCAATTTCATGTGTGGCATAGAATTGCATCTTTTGTGAACCGGTGGCTGCGTCTGGCGAAAGTTCTGGGAGGCGGTTTTGCGTTAAGGCCCGGGACTTCCGTCGCCGTAGAAGGATGTAGAAGATTGCCAGCAAGATTAAGATCCCTAATACCACCGAGCCCACGCTGATACCTATCTTCTCTTTCTGACTGAGGTGATGATTAGAGGCAGAGCTAACTGTGGCATTCCATGGTATCGGTACGAGCTGAGGTTTGGCTGTGTCATTATGTATGGCCTGGGCTACCGTAAAATTCCCTTGATCATAGTCAGTGATGAGGTATCTACATCAGTTGTCAGCGTGGTGCGAGCATTGATCTCAATAGTCCTTACGCTTCTTGCAGAAAGGCCCGCCCCAACGTTATCTGACTATCGTTACCGCGTCTGAGAGGGAAGTATGATGTCTCATTCGGGAGAAGTGGTGGCTTTATAGTAAGATCAAAGCTCGAATATGGTAGAGTGATGTTGACGGTCGGTCCCGTGATCTTATCATTGCCGAGACGGAACGTAAAACGCGGTTGCAAATTCGATAGAGTATCGTGAAGAGTCTGATCTACGAAGTACAAGTTTTGCTTTTGGTTCCAGACAAGACCGAGTTGCGCCTCGAATGTCTTACACGCTTCTTCCGGAAGATAGATATATGGTACAGTTGAGTCGATGAATGCGAGTGTTGGCGAGGGCAAAAGACTGCTTACAGATCCATTGTTGAACGTCGATGTGATGGCCTGAATGGCGACAACGGTATCTCGCTGTACATCTTGGGCTAGGGCGAAAGAGACGTTTGTTGGTGTGTATCTCGCGAGATCAGAGCCACCAAATGTAAGGCTCCCAAAAGTGCCCCTCGACTCTACATGAAGCCAGTAAGCATACCATTCACCGATGGGGAAGTCAAGGTATGAGGTAAACGCACGATAGTAGGCTCCGGCGGTGTATGCCCAGCTAAGGCTTGGGATCAGGTTGCGCGTTCTCAGCGACGATAGGAAACTTGGCTCAGACTGAGTAAAGCTAGACAGGTTCATCGGCTGCTGTTGCAAGCCAAGTATGCCAGTATACCAATGACTAGTAGCAATTCCAGCAATGACCTGAGACTCCAAAGTCGGCCCACCAACAGCGTCAGTCAATCCTAGTGATATTGTGTCTAGGCCATAAAGCCCACTCTCGTTATGGTTGAGATTCAATTCTAGCGCCAAAGTAAATGGCCCCAGATTCTTCCATGTGCTCGATTGGTTATGATTGAAAAGACCACCGCGAGAATCACTACAATTTGGTGCAGTACCTTGACATCCATCTGGCATAACGACCCAAGTCGCTGAGCCTGCTGTCGAGGGCAGAACTCGTACCAGCTGCCCCGGATTACCTACTCGTATCGAAAACGATGACCACTGACCATCATCGCCATCCCTATGCACATAAGCGACAGCGCAACCAGCCAGAAGTAAATAGTCTCACCAATATTGGGAAGGAGCCCATGAGATAGGTGATGGTGATGTCTTATTCGGCATTCTGACTATTCAAGGGCTGCCCAGGGCAAGCTCCGGCCGAAAGGCAGGTCTCCTTTTAAACGGAATCGCAGCCAGTTGAGGATTTAACGATCCGCTGCAAAGTGATCGGGAGAATACAAGGCCTCCACGCAAAAGGCAAGACTGTACGTCTCGGTATCTGCACGATGAATGTCAAACGACATGTTCAGTTTCAACACGCGGTGTCGTTCGGCGGAGCGTCAAAACTTCCTCACCATTCGTCATTCCAAGACTCATTGCTTTTATCCAAAAAATAGCGGCTCGTAATCCGAATCCCATCGATTGCTTTTGTTTCACCATCAACCTCGACAATCTAGGGCTGGGGGGCGAGGTGAACTCTGCTAGGCTGCACCACCTGCGGGATTTGATCCTTCAGGATTTGGTGCGGCACAGCAAACCAGAATGATATAGTATCGAAAGGGTGTTTTGACTTTCTGTTTCAGCCCTAGCGACCCCCAAAAGCTTCAGATTCAATTATTCGACGCGGGTCTTGCGTATCTATAATCCAATTCAAACAAGACTTGAAGTTGTATCAAATGCTCCAACCACGATATACTCAAGTAATCGCTGCGGGTACGATTAGGGACTTGCAAGCTCTGGACAATACTACGAATAATGCTTGAGTCTACGTCAATACTGCGGCGGACACATGAGGTAGACGTTTCCTTACTCAAGATTGCGCAGTTCAACCTTCTTTCTGCCGTCAGTGAAGTTTGGTTTTCTGTTGGTGGATTAACCCTTAATCACATATTCCTTCAGGGCGGTTGCGTAGGCGAAAAAAAGCGGGTCATTATGCATGGTACCTGCGGTAGTGACGCTGCGCCGCGAACCGGCCCAGCCTCGCGCCTCGCTCAGCCTCCTTGAAATGCACGTTTCTTGGTTCTAGTCCGAAAAAACAATAGTCTGTGGGATTCAGCCCCATGTTTCACCTTTCAGCTCCTTTCAAATCCCGATTCTCGAAACGCACCACCATAAGCTAACTTCGAAACAAGACCTTCAGCCAATGAACACGATGGTTATACCCCAACAAGAAAGTCTTCGCGGAGACGAAGGAATGTTGTATCGATCACGTCTGCACCGAGGCCGGTCAAGTCGGCATGTCATTTCAATTTCGCTTCGGAGGCTTCAAGATAGATCGTCATCCGTGTAGCCACCCTTTTTCCTTCATTTTTCACAAGCTCATGTCTCGATTTCTAGATAGCACAATGAGATCAAGTCTTCACCGTCCTCATCGCATTTTGCTATGGAGCTTTCTCTTATGCGCAGTATCAGGTAGAATTATTGACCTCACACAACCTGATGCGAAGATTCCTTGGCAAGGATGTAAATACACCGAATGCGTCTCTGCGAATGCTCCTATCAAGATTGGAGCCGTCGAAAGTGGTATAGCAGATGGCGTTTCGCTCAATGTCGGCGATGTTTTGTTGGATCCTAGCGAAAACAAAGCCAGGCTTGCCGACAGTTCCGTGGAATCGTACATATGGCCCGTGAAGAATCGCGACACACAGGGCAATGAGAAAACGCTCTACATGAAGAGGATCGTCGCCGTGAAACCACAGTTCGCTGCTTCTGTCGGTGCCTTGGATGCGATACCAAACACTGTTGATGATGTGGGATTCGTGGTCATAGACACGCCAAAGCCTGATCCAGCTACACGCTTCGACACGCTGGCTAATGATCCCCTGCTTCAAGGAGTGTCTCAAGGTCTTCAAGCCGTGCTCGATCCTGGCACTCTAGTCCCAGCATCAAATGGCGAGTGCGTAGTCAATGACGATTGCTATATCATTTATCCTGTGAGTCTTGACCGCAATGCTGAGGGAGTTATACTTATTCAGCTCAGAGTGCAACCGTTTTCTATACCGCTCCAAGTCCCACAAACACAGGATGTCTATCTACTATAAAGTCAAAACCGCCTTCTCCATCCAAGGTTCCCTTTCAAGTGTAAGGACCAAGCCAAACTCCCCAAGCTCAAACGGTATACCAGGACTAACACTCCCCAGAGATGCCGCCGACGCATACGTCGTCTACAGCCAAGCGCAAAACTTTGACAACTGCAGGAATTGGCTCGGAGCCGATGACGCCGAACCTCTCACCTTCAAATACAAAGCACAAGACCTGGCAACGCTCCAAGATGTCCCACGCTCCACGCCAGCAGCGCACGCCTTCAATTTCAAAGACCTCCCTTGTCCACCGCCCGACGCGCCGTCACGGCCAAATCCTACTTTACCGTATTCGCCGATTTTGGCAAATGGGTTCAATGTTTCTTTTCAGAAGGTTGAGATTACGAAGAGTAATGGACACGAGACGTCGAGGTTTGTGAATTGCCATGTTGCCGCTATTAGGGATCCGCCCGTCTTCGCTATTCCTGTTGATGGCATGACGGGGGACACTGATGGGGATGGGACCGTTACGTGAGGTATGGTGTGATCTTCGGCAGCAATAGATCGATGTCTTCTATCTGCTTTAGCGATCGACTTTTCAGACGCGTCAGGTCGTCCGAAGGCGATGAGGTAATATGCTTGAGATTCGAATATAGTATTTTGTCGATAGGGTTGGCTCTCTATGATATCACTGTCAAACTACTACCGGCCTTATGGTCAGTGTTAGGCAAAGGGCTAAACGACTCAATCTCAAATCCATTATGATCCCCCACGCTGATCTCCCCGCCCTTGAATCTATAACCCCCCAATCTTGCATTACAAGTCTCAAGTAAAAATTTAGAGCGCTCAGCGAGTTCGTTCAATGAGAATGTGTCTCCCGCCCCTTGTCTAACCGCTACGACTTTAATGGTGCACTCAGGGTTGTACCAAGTCTTCGTCCAATCAGCGGAGAATTCTTTGCGGATATCGGCGCCTGGTTCGAGAGTGATGCGGTTCGCATTGGAGATGCAGCGGTCGAGTCTGGTAAGTGGAAAGGGGTCCCTCTCATTGCAAATGAGGATACTCCGGCCTTGGATGGAAGTTGGGGTTTGGGAGCCCAATGAGTCGGCTGGAGAAGAAGCGCTGTCATTACCGAGAAGCTGTTGTTGGAAGGTTGACGTCAAAGCGGCGAGAGAAGTGAGCAGTGTCATGGATAGGAAGGGAAGCATTTTGTTTTCCTACACAAAATAGGACTTGAGGATAACGATTGGGATAATGCATCCTGTATGCGGAACGGAGTTTTATTGATGAGCAAAAGTTTCGCATGCGATGATCTAGGGAGTCTCACAAACCAACTTGATAATGATGCGCTAGTTGCAGTCTGTTACGATCATGTTCACAAACGGCTCAGGCGTGTTGGATTTACTGATGTTAAAGGCTTGGTGGTGTCGCCATTGCTTACGTGCCATGATCATCAACCTACGCAGACGAGTACTCGACACATGCCCCTTCTTACCATGTATCTAAGTGCGAATCCCGCCTAAGATGGAGTTTCTCCGCCATCTTAGTTATCGTCGTTGTATAGCGCCCTAGATAGCTCTAAGCCTTTAGGCAAGACACCTGACAGAAAGGTGCTGGCGGCTGCTGAGACGAATACCGAGAAGAGGGCAGGACGGCTTAGGATTTGTAATAAGAAGAAAGAATGGGGGATAGCCAAAGAAGCTGGCATCGGGCGCAGAGGTGGTAGGAAAGATTTCAGGTCCGCTCTATGCAGATGACAGCCTATTGATAGGGAGAACGATCTCGCGTCACGATGCCTAATGACTCTCTGACAGCTTACCAATTCGTAGATTACAGATAATTTAGCAAATTCCAGATCAAATATAAACGTGCTACATTCCACTTGACTAAACAAGGACAATTTCACAAGGCTCTCTGATCAACTGGCCGTCTTTGACAAGGTCTTCCATGAACTCTCCTTCCATGACACCATGCATGTAGGTGTCGCCTATAAGCTGAGCCCGAACAGTCTGTGGTGCACTGTTCTCACGAAGCTCGGACCCTGGCTCTAACCTCAAAGTTAGGATTAGGGTTAGGGTTAGGTTA